AAAAGAATTTTTATATGAGCTCGACTTTTACTATTTAAACTTATTTAGCCTTGGATTTTATGATTTATACTTAAGATTTTTTTAGTCTAAACGTTGAATAATACACATATATAATTAGTTTCTGATTCTTTCTTAATTCGGTTGAAGAGATATAAATCACACATTACTTAAATAAACTTATATGGATAGTCACTGCCGTGGTCTATAAGTGAATGATATAATACCAAAAGAATGGTTTGTTATTTAATAATGTTGCGACGAGCCTGTCGTCTCTTGAAACCCAAATTTGTTGTTACTCTACGAACAATCTCATCTTCTTCTTCCTCAAGCTACGTCGATCGTCATATTAGTGTGATTCTCTGCGATCAGAGCTTGAGCTTAGAGTCTCTGCGTAAACACAACGCTCTTATCATCACCGGAGGAAACTCGGAAAATATCTTCGTCGCATCGAAGCTAATTTCATCTTACGCTTCTTACGGGAAACCCAATTTGTCTTCCAGAGTCTTCGATTTGGTTACTCGAAGAGATGTCTTTCTTTGGAATTCTATTATCAAAGCACATTTCTCCAATGGCGATTATGCTCGATCCTTGGGTTTCTTCTTCTCAATGCTCTTGTCTGGCCAATCCCCTGATCATTTCACTGCTCCAATGGTTGTTTCTGCTTGTGCGGAGCTTTTGTGGTTTGATGTTGGTAGTTTCGTTCATGGGTTTGTGTTGAAACATGGAGGTTTTGAACGAAACACTGCAGTGGGAGCTTCCTTTGTTTATTTCTATTCAAAGTGTGGGTTTTTACAAGATGCGTGTCTTGTGTTCGACGAAATGCCTGAGAGAGATGTTGTTGCTTGGACTGCCATTATATCTGGGCATGTGCAGAACCGAGAGAGCGAGAGAGGTTTGGGTTATCTTTGCAAGATGCATAATGTTGGTTCTGATTTTGATAAGCCGAATCCCAGAACATTGGAATGCGGATTCCAAGCTTGTTCAAATTTGGGAGCTTTGAAAGAAGGAAGATGTCTTCATGGATTTGCGGTGAAAAGTGGTTTAGCCTCTTCCAATATTGTCCAGTCTTCGATGTTTTCATTGTATTCGAAATCTGGGAATCCAGCTGAGGCTTATCTTTCTTTCCGTGAACTTGGGGATGAAGATATGTTTTCATGGACTTCGATTATAGCGTCACTGGCGAGATCAGGTAACATGGAGGAAAGTTTTGATATGTTCTGGGAAATGCAGAACAAGGGAATGCAGCCAGATGGGGTTGTCATTAGTTGTTTGATTAGTGAACTAGGTAAGAAGATGCTTGTCCCTGAAGGTAAAGCCTTTCACGGGTTCGTCATAAGACATTGTTTCTCCTTAGACAGTACAGTTTGCAATTCGTTGTTATCGATGTACTGCAAATTTGAGCTTCTTTCTGTGGCTGAGAAGCTTTTCTGTAGGATAAGCGAAGAAGGAAACACAGAAGCTTGGAATACAATGCTTAAAGGCTATGGTAAAATGAAGTCTCACGTAAAGTGTATAGAGTTATTTAGAAAGATTCAGAATCTTGGAATTGAAATCGACTCTGCCAGCGCAGCCTCTGTCATATCTTCTTGTTCCCACATAGGAGCGGTGCTACTGGGGAAGTCGTTGCATTGCTATGTTGTCAAAACTAGCTTGGATCTTACCATCTCAGTGGTCAATTCCCTCATTGATTTGTATGGAAAAATGGGAGACTTGACTGTTGCTTGGAGGATGTTTTGTGAAGCAGATACGAACATTGTCACTTGGAATGCAATGATTGCGTCTTATGTTCATTGTGAGCAATCCGACAAAGCCATTGCGTTGTTCGATAGAATGGTTTCTGAGAATTTCAAACCCAGCTCAATAACTTTGGTGACTCTGCTTATGGCTTGCGCCAATACTGGCTCTCTGGAGAGAGGACAGATGATTCATCGGTACATCATTGAAACAGAGCACGAGATGAATCTTTCTCTTTCAACTGCTCTGATTGACATGTACGCAAAATGTGGCCACCTTGAAAAGTCACGAGAACTGTTTGATGCTGCAAATCAGAAGGATGCCGTTTGTTGGAATGTGATGATCTCAGGTTATGGAATGCACGGACATGTTGAATCGGCCATAGCACTTTTTGATCAAATGGAAGAGTCTGATGTTAAACCAACCGGACCTACATTTCTTGCCCTTCTATCAGCTTGCACGCACGCTGGCTTAGTTGAACAAGGGAAAAACCTTTTTCTCAAGATGCATCAGTACGATGTGAAACCCAACTTAAAGCATTACTCTTGTCTTGTGGATCTTCTTTCCCGGTCTGGTAATTTGCAGGAAGCTGAAACCACAGTCGTGTCGATGCCATTCTCACCAGACGGTGTCATATGGGGAACATTGTTGAGCTCATGCATGACCCATGGGGAGTTTGAGATGGGAATTCGAATGGCAGACCGTGCGGTTGCTAGTGATCCGCAGAACGATGGGTATTATATAATGCTTGCGAACATGTACAGTGCTGCAGGTAAGTGGGAACAAGCGGAAAGGGCACGAGATATGATGAGGGAAAGCGGAGTTGGGAAGAGAGCTGGACATAGTGTAGTCTAATAATAATCTTTGATACAATGGATATGCTTGTGATTCATCTGTTTGAAACAAGTTCAATATGCTTAGTTCCTAATACACTTCTAATCTTTATATATAGAGATTCATACAATGATGCATAGATTAGAAGATGAATTTGCTCACCAAATACAACAACAACCAAATAAAAGGAAAGCCAGCTTCATAAAACATAAACTGGTTTTACGAGAATTAAGGTGAATTATAATTATTATCCATCCCAAGTGTACTTGAACGTCTCGGGACCTAGATTTTTGGACAAGTAAATGCCATCACCTTTGGCAATATAAATGCGTTTCTCACCACATCTAGTGAAAAAAACACCTTTATAAGCTCTAAAGTATTTCGAAAACTTGCCATGCGTCACGGTACAAGTCCATTCTGTTTGACCAAACTTAGCTTCGTGGAATCTTATAACGAATGGAGTACCTTTAAAAGGCAAAAAGTGGTCGCCTAGCTTGTTGTCTCTCGATTGACAATTGACTTTGAGAGTAACACCTTTATCGATTTGGTTTTCAAATTGCACCAAGTTCTTTAGGCAACCAACCTCATCAGCTTCGTTCAACGTAAAACAAGTACTAATGGTTAACAGAAATACTATGAGATAATTCATCTCTTTTGGATTTCAAATCAAGATTATATGAAGCTAATTTATTAAGCGCAAAAAAAAACCTAAAAGTGTATTATTCTAAAATATTTAGACTACTCTTTCATAAGATAGCAAAAATCTTGGAATAGACAGAATTTAACAACAAAGCAAATATAGGATTTACATTTTTTATTTTTTAACATTTTTATGGGGAAAAAACCCGAAAAAACCGCCATCTAATTTTTTTTTTGCCGTTTAATACATGTAGTATTAAATTTGTAATAAAAATACCTAATTTAATTTCGGTTGTCTTTTAAAACCTTGGTTTTAAAAAAATTGGTAAAATCGTACGCCCGAGTTAACGGCGGTTAACGTTGGTAACGGAATCTCTAACTGCAGTTAAAACTTAACCCATGGTGTTCAGGCACATATATATACGATCTGTTTTCATAGTTTTAAGAATTTATTGTCTTAGTCAAGTGGTTAAACGTTTGTAGGAATTCCTCATGAGCTTGGATTCGAAACCCACCTCCGTCTCTTTTGGACGTTTTTTACCTTTTTTTTTTTTTAAAAAAAAACATCGTCTTCTTCAATCCTCTTTGTTTTTTCCTCATTGTAAACCCTAGTTTTCAGAAATTGAGAAAAACTGGATCCATTCTTCTACAAATTCCCAGAAAAATTCAGTGCCATATACAAAGACAACAATGTCTCGTCTTCAGATCCACGAATAGTTTTTGAAAAATGTTGACCACGAATCGAATCGCCGAGATTAGATCCGTATGGATCCGGAATTGAATCACCTCCAACAAAAACAATCGAAATCGTGATGTCAAAATCACCTAACAAATCGTGATAACCAAAATCGTGGATGTTCAAAATCGATAACGAAGAGACAGAAATCAAAATCTTGAGCATGAGCTCTCTCTCCCCTGCACGCAGATTTTTTGTTTTGAAGCAAAAAAAATTAAAGAAAAAAATTAAAAACGTTTAAAGTGACGTAGGGGTGTTCGAACCCTGGTTTAGTCGAAGAGTCAACCCATGTTTAACCACCAGACTAAGACAATATATTCGGAAAGTTTTGAAAAGAGATCATATATATACGTAAATATCATGGGTTAAGTTTTAACTGCAGTTAGGGATTCCGTTACCAACGTTAACCGCCGTTAACTCGGGCGTACGATTTTACCAATTTTTTTAAAACGAAGGTTTTAAAAGACAATCGAAATTAAATTAGGTATTTTTATTCCAAATTTAATACTACATGTATTAAACGGCCAAAAAAAAATTAGATGGCGGTTTTTTTCGGGTTTTTTCCCCATTTTTATGACAAGTAGTTTTTGGACTATTTTGTAATCAACATATTAAAATTACGAGTCGATTACGACCACTTTATTTTTAGTTACACTTACACCCATTGACTTGTTATGAAGAAAAAACAATTCCGTAAGAATTAAAAAAAAACGGGACCAGACACCTTTCCTAATTTCCAATATGGAATTTTCCCTTTGAATATTTTACATAGATTTGCATTCACTGTACTCATTTTATGTTATAATATTATTTTAAATTTGTCTCTATCACATAACTTTACTAGTATTTTTTAATTAATATTGTGGGAATAAAATTTCAAAGGCAGAAACGGGAAGTTCACCAAAAAATTGTTATTGTAACGAATCAAAACATGTCACGTAATCACTAAGAATTTTATTGTAATTAATTTTAATCCAATTATTAATTACTTCCTCTTTTTTTTTATTTTATTTTTTAAAGTCACTTGATCTCTCTGTCTGTCTCTGCAACTCTCATCAGAAGAGAAGAGGAAGAGAATCAATGGCGAGTTGCTTCAGCTACGTGTCTTCTCGTAACAAATGTTACCAATACAGCTTCTCTCGTGCTGGTCTCCGATCATCTACCTCCGATCTTGGCGACGGCACCGTCGTCCACTGTTGGATCCCACAGACTCACATCGACGTCAAGCCCACGCTCCTCCTCCTTCACGGGATCGGAGCTAACGCTATGTGGCAGTGGGACCGGTTCATCGACCGGTTTATCCCCCGGTTCAACGTCTACGTACCGGACCTCATCTTCTTTGGCGACTCGTACACCACTCGTCCCGACCGGTCAGAGTCTTTCCAGGCGAGTTGTGTCATGAAGGCGATGGATGGTTACGGTGTTGGGACCATGAACGTGGCTGGTCTCAGCTACGGCGGGTTCGTGGCCTACTCGTTGGCGGCGCAGTTTAAGGAGAGGGTAGATCGAGTTGTGCTAATATGCGCTGGTGTTGCTCTGGAGGAGAAAGACTCGGAGGATGGTATGTTTAAAGTGAAGAGCCCGGAGGAAGCGGCGGCTGTTTTGTTTCCTCAGTCTCCTTCGATGCTCCGGCGGCTTCTCCAGTTATCTTTCTACAAACCGCCGATTTGGATCCCTTCTTGCTTTGCCATGGACTACATTCATGTAAGTCTTCACCATTTTCACACTTACTATTTCTAATTTTCTATGATGGCTGATGGTTGTGAAGTGTTTATAAATGGGACTCTTTCATAAGTTATCAGGTAAAAAAGATTCAGCATTTAATTTATTGTTGATTAGGGTCCCCAATTTAGGATGAAATGAAATAATCTTGCAATGAAGCTACTATCAATAAGTTTAGTCCTTTTGTGAATTCATTTAATGGGTCCACATACTTTTGAGTTTCCAGACAAATATTTGTGTGATTAAGCTACTATCAATATTATGGTCTTGAGTTCTTTAGTTTAGTTTAGTTTAGTTTAGTTTCAAAAGCATCAATCGTTGATGTTCACAACAAGACTCATAGTAGTTTCGAAAAAGAGTTTTGTATTCTGATGTTGTGAGGATTTGTTGCAAGGTGATGTGTAAAGATTATCTTCAAGAAAGGAAAGAACTTGTAGAAGCTCTGCATAAGGGTAGAAGATTCTCCAATCTTCCAAAGATAACACAGGTGATCTCTCTCTTTGTTCATAATGATCTATATAAATTGCAGCTTAAGATTATCATTGTCTGAATCTTGGTAACAATGATATGCAGCCGGCATTGATGATATGGGGAGAGGAAGATCAAGTTTTTCCGGTGGAATTAGCTCATAGATTGAAAAGGTTATAAACTTATCACATTTTTTTTTTTCCAAATAATCATCATTTTTTCTAAATTACGAATGGACTTTCTTGTGTTTTTTTTTTCAGATATTTAGGGGAAAACAGAGCACAATTGGTGTTACTAAAGAAGACAGGACATGCGGTTAATGAAGAGAAACCAAAAGAGATGTACAAACACATGAAATCATTTCTTTGCACTGACGCAATGATTCCTCAAAATCAGATCAATGCTAAGAGACTCATGTTAGCAAACTTGATATCCCCAGATCAGCAGATCAATAAGTGATGTTACTGCGGAAAAGTGTTATTAAGTGATGTTTAGCTTGTCCCTAAATGTGATTAGTATCTTTATTGTTAAAGACGACATTCATTGCTTCTAGTTGGAATTAAGAATACTTTTTTTATCTCAAGAAAGTAATCATAATATTGATTCTTGAAGCTTGCCTATTTTTATTTTGTTCACAAGGTTGTCAATTTTATTTAATTTAGATTATTTAATCTCGTAGTATTAAAATGATTTTTTTTCTTCTAAATTTTATCAAAATGCACATCGGTGACCTACCTCTCCGGTGGGTTTTAATTTAACAAAACTGATAAATATATATTGATAAAAATAATAACGAAATTAATGGTAAAAAATAATTTAATTTAAGGGCTAAAGTTGGGAGAGTGAGAGAGAGAGTTGTCTTGTTTCATTTGAGTCTACTCGTTTTTTCTTATCTATCGCAAAACTCTCCCGTCGTCACCATTCGATTACGGTATGATTCAGCTTCTCTTCTTCGATTAGAATCAATCCAAACAATCTTGTTTTGCTTCACTTGTGTTGATTTGTCCTCCGCGAATTTGCGGCAGGTGGCTCCAAGCTCGTGTTTTTAAAGATTTGTTCGCTCGAATTTCTGTATAAAGCTGTGTCTTTTTTTTTTTTTTTTTGTTGCTTAGTTGTTGGAAGTGAAACTCTTTTGTCTCGTACTCTTGCATCTGTTCTCGGGTCATGAAAATTGCATTATCTTCTTAGGGTTTTAAAAGCTTTCAACTTTTGGTTTGTTTGTTGAAGAAATAGCTGAATCTAGTTGTTGTGTTGCAGGGAGTGTAATGGCTCTTATACAATTTGGAAGTTCATGTGTTGCTCAATGGGGGATTCTTCGTCCTCACTTTGCTGTTAAAGCTTTTTATCCAAGCAGATTGGAGTCTCACCAAGACAAGTGAGAATTTACTTTTAACCCATCTTACAATTGTATTGGAGTATAATTGTTGTAACAGTTACAAATTTTAATGCTTTGTTGAGTTTTATTATCTGAATGGCTAATTGAATTGTTTTTTCTTTTGATAATCTTTTGCAGTTGCATCAGCCAGATAAATTGTTTGGGAGCTTCAAGGTCGAGTATGTTTGCACAGGGCTCTTTACCGTTCTTGTCATTGACGGGAGTATCTCGTAATACACATTCTCGTAGAGGAGCTCGCTTCACTGTTAGAGCCGATGCTGTATGTTTACATACCCTTTCTTTAGACATTGAATGAAGCTTTTTTGATGTTTTTGCTGAACGAGTGTGTGTGTGTGTGTGTGTGTGTGTTTTCAATTTCCAGGATTTCTATTCTGTCCTTGGAGTCTCGAAAAATGCTACCAAAGCTGAGATTAAAAGCGGTATGTGATTCTATTTCACTGAGTTCCCTAATCAGAAAAATGCAACACTGATGTGTAGCTCTCATTGATGATTCTCGTTGATGAGCTTCATGTGTTCAACTTTTGAGTTGTGCTTTTCGATAGTTTGACAAGGAAATTGTTCTACTCTGCACCTATTTTCAGCTTATCGGAAGCTCGCTAGGAGTTATCATCCGGACGTGAACAAGTAAGTGAAAAACTTTAGCTTACTCTGTTTATATTATTACTTTCCTGCATAAAGGTTGATGTGTTTCTTGTTAGAACTCAATTACAATATTTGAGGAACGCTAAATCAAGAGAATTATTGCAGTTCGTTGTTTAAGTCTCACCAACGTTCAAAATTATGATAATATAGACTAAGAAGATGAAGAATTCTGAAACTGCTTCTAAATATTTCAGTTGTCACAGTTCTATTTACACTTTGATTACAGGGATGCTGGGGCAGAAGATAAATTTAAAGAAATAAGTAATGCATATGAGGTGAACTACATCTTCTTTAGATGCCTTTATCTCTTTTTTATTTATTTATTGTTCTGATACTTAAAGAGCCTAAACATTGTTTTTTCTTTTCTTGCAGATCTTATCAGATGATGAGAAAAGATCTCTATACGACAGATATGGCGAGGCAGGAGTTAAAGGCGCTGGAATGGGAGGCATGGGGGTAAATATCTATTCTTCTCTAAGACATTTGAATCAACATTCTGATGATCAGAATCTGATCTGAATTTGCTGATTTTGCAGGATTATAGTAATCCGTTTGATCTATTTGAGTCATTATTCGAAGGAATGGGTGGGATGGGAGGAATGGGCGGTGGAATGGGTAGTAGAGGTTCAAGGAGCAGAGCTATCGATGGTGAAGATGAGTATTACTCACTAATCTTGAATTTCAAAGAAGCGGTTTTCGGTATTGAGAAAGAAATTGAGATATCTCGGTTAGAGAGTTGTGGGACTTGCAATGGTTCTGGAGCAAAGGCGGGAACCAAACCAACCAAATGCAAAACGTGTGGCGGGCAAGGACAGGTGGTGGCATCGACGAGGACACCACTCGGTGTATTCCAACAAGTCATGACTTGCTCTCCGTGTAACGGAACTGGAGAGATATCAAAACCATGTGGCGCATGCTCAGGAGATGGACGTGTGAGAAGGACAAAGCGGATTAGTCTTAAAGTTCCTGCGGGTGTGGATTCTGGAAGTAGGTTAAGAGTAAGGGGAGAAGGGAATGCAGGAAAGAGAGGTGGATCACCGGGAGATCTCTTTGCGGTTATTGAGGTTATTCCGGATCCGATTTTGAAGCGTGATGATACAAATATACTTTATACGTGTAAGATATCGTATGTAGATGCCATATTGGGGACGACTTTGAAAGTTCCGACAGTGGATGGAGAGGTGGATTTGAAAGTACCAGCGGGGACACAACCGAGCACTACATTGGTAATGGCGAAAAAAGGAGTTCCGGTTTTGAATAAGAGTAAGATGAGAGGTGACCAATTAGTGAGAGTGCAAGTTGAGATTCCTAAGAGATTGAGTAAAGAAGAGAAGAAACTTGTTGAGGAGCTTGCTGATATGAGCAAGAACAAGGTAGCTAGTAGCAGGAGATAAACCAACACACAATATTAGTGAAATGTGGTGTTATATAGATTCATCATTCTCTGCTTGTCTTCTTTCTAATGGGCCTTCTAATGATGGAGAAGATAAGCAAAGAGGAAGAAGAAAGAGTTATTAGGTGAGAGGAAAATTTGAAGAACTCTATTTTTGGGTTTTCCTCTTCAATTTTTGTGTTTTACTTTAAAAACAATTATTATGGATTTATCAGGATTCAGGGTAGGTCTTGATTGTATTGTACTGCTATTTATACATTTGAATCTTTTTTTTTATTGATGAAAATTTTATTAAACATAAACAAATGTACAGTTGCAGAAGAACAGTAAGGAATGAATAGGAGACAAATGTCTTAAGCTGCAGTGACAATTGTTTGAAGCAGAGTTTCCAGGTCCTTCAATCTACAAAAACAACAAGGAAACACCATAAGTTAGCAGATGGGTACGAGGAAAAGAGAGAACCTTTTAGCAAAATTCTTGTGAGAAACTTCAAGGTTAACTACTTACTTCACATTACTGAGATCAGGGTATACGGCAATCGCATCATTAAAATCCTGAAAAAAACAAAGTTTTCGACTGTTCTTAAACAAAATAGCAAAAGGATAGAGAAGTGAAGAAGATGTTGTTGTAGACCAGACCTGATCAGAGGTTGAAGAAGTGTATGTGATCACACATGACATCCCTGCTTTTGTAGCAGCCTATAGATTGAAAGTCAAGCCATTTTAAGATTTAGTTTCAAGAACCAAGTTTAGGATGTTTCTGCGGTATAAGAAGAGTGAAGACAAGCAAAAGATAAGACTTTTGACCTGCAGGCCAATCACACTGTCCTCTATGACCAAACAGTCTTTCACTGAAACACCTAGCTTCTGCAATCAATATACACAGAATGTGAAACTTGGGCTAATTCTTGTTAAGTTATATTAACTTTCCTTTTACTTGGACTTATATTACCTCGGCAGCTGTGATATATATCGAAGGATCGGGTTTTTTCTCCTTAACATCATCCCCTGCAAAGCCAAATATACAACCAAATGGATTCAAACTTTAGTAAAGTTTTAGACACATAAAATGCAAGTAAGTAACTCTTAAGAGAGAATGTGATAAAATCACCTGCAAGGAAGCAATCAAGTCCTTGGAACCGCTCCTAAAAGACATAAATATAACCGATAAAGAAAAAACACGAAAGAAGCACGGTCGATAAGAGATTGGTGAAAGGGAAACAACTCACGATATCGATCAGATTCTCGAGGCATAAGATTACTGAACTCTTTGTAGCTGCAGAACAAACAGCTAGTTTTTTCCCCTGTATCAATCATTTCAAGAACCTATTCATTAAAGGCTAAAAACCAAATTGGATATTTACAAAGCTCGAAAAAGACTCATTACAGCAGCTTTTGCTTCATCCATTAGTCTTATTACACCAGGTCTTGGTTCTACCTGAAAGTAAAAAGCAGAGAGATTTAGTTTCTCTTAGAATAATCCAAACCTAAGATTCTAAAATCTTGCTACTTACACTTCCCGATTTTATGATTTCTTTATACCTCTCAGTTTTCCAATCCTGCAAAAGATAAAAATCCAATCTTTTAACATCAAATTTCAGTAAATTAGAGATTTTTTTTTTCTTTGGCAAGTGACCTGAAGAGTATCGATTAACTTGGCTCGATCATCGTCATTCTCAGGAGGTGACTCGAAAATGGTCGAAGTTGGCCATCCATTTTCTTTGAAATACCAACGCATTTTCGGTTTTCCACCTCCGACTAGATTCTGAAACTTATCGTAGAATTCGAGGCTCCAATTGAGAGACTCAGAGGAAGAAGGAGGACATCGAACATCGAAATACGAGAAAGCGTCGTTGTAAGCTTGACGGTGTAGATTCTCCGATTCGAGAATCACACCGTCGCAATCGAAAATCAGAGCTTCGAGAGACCGTGAAGGCAATGCCGAGACAGGAGAAACTCTAGATTTTGAATAAACGCTTCTTGATTTGAAACGCAGCGTTTGGAAACGAGGAAAGCCGATGAGCGACGAGGAAGAAGAAACGGAGGAGGAACCAGCGGTGGATGGAGAGAAGAGAATCGCAGAGTGGTTGCAAGAAACCGCCATTGATGAATCTCTGTCTCTGTGTGTGTGGTTCTTCTCGAGATAAAATGAAAAAAAAATCTGTGGCTATAATTTGTAAAAAGCTAATCTTCTTTACAAGTAACGGTCATTAACTAACTTTTACCGCTCCTTTTTTTTTTTTCTTTTGTTCAAATAATTAGTTGATTAAATATTAGAGGAATTTAAATCAGATTCAGTAAATAATATTTTTAAAGATATATACAACTTTCATATCCAATAAAGACAGATTTTTATAAGAAAAAAAAATCAAGTATATCCAAATTTATGATCCATTAAATGCTCTAAATTGATTGTAATGATTTTGGTAGGGGTTGAAGGTTGATATTTGATTTTTCTACCCATTAATGTTTTAAAATTCTTGTTTCATATATATAAAAGAAGTTAGTATAAGATGGTGACAAATATTAAAAGGGCGTGGTCCATGAATTCATATCTTATAAAAGGATTCGGTGTGTTAGGTGATAACCAAAAATTAATCTTAAGATCATATGCAACTTGATGAGTGGTGGTAGATTTGGTTGGTGAAGGGCTTTTCATGTCATTAACCCAATTTCCGGTCTTCCCTTCTTAATTTTTTGTAAAGATGTTTTTTTTTGTCATCATCTCAAATTTGATAAGTGGCATAAAATATCAAATGTTTTAATGAGCTACCTAAAAAACAAATATATATTACGTGGCATAAATTAAATCAACAAACATAAATATTGGAATATTTTTACTTCTTTTAAATAAAATTTTTCTAAATGTGGTTTTCAATCTTTTTCTTTTGTTTTGAACTTCTTTATGCATAAAATATAAAATAATTAAATAAATAAACAAGAAAACAACCCAAAATTTTGTAAATATTATCTACCGAAATTTTGAGCGGTTCAATCAAAATTGAAACATTCTTACTTTTGAATATACAACAAAATAATCATTCATACAAATTCGTCATCATCTACGATTTTTTGGACAACTTTATTTTTACATGAAAAACGTTTATTTAGCGGTGGCCAAAAGAGAAAATACCTCCAAATACAAAATTTACGTAAATACCCCTCGACGGCTTCACACCCCCAACAACCCTCTCTTTTTTTGTATTGTCTGCACAAAAAAAAAACTCTGAAAAGTCGAAACGAACCCTCTCCCCTATAAATTGCTTCTCTTTCCACAATTCTTCTCTCTCCTAAACAACCGCCTCCATTTCTCATTCTCTCTCTCTCTCTAAAAAAAACCAAATCCAGAGTCAGAGGAAACAGAGAGAAGAGAAAATCTCTCATGGCTCTTTCAAACGCCTCCTCTCTCTCCACCAGATCTATCTACGGCGGCGGCGACGCTCGTATTTCTCACCGTCAAAGCAACCGTCAATCATCCTTCACATTTCATCCCGTCGTCAACACCAAGCTTAAGTCCGTTAACCTCGTTACGGCGGTACACGCGGCTGAGCCAGCTAGAAACGCTGTTTCAGTTAAGGAATCCGTTGCGCCGTCGTCGTCTGGTGCATTGAAATGGACTCCAGAGAGCTGGAAATTGAAGAAAGCTCTGCAACTTCCTGATTACCCTAACGCTAATGAGCTTGAGTCTGTTCTTAAGACGATTGAGGCTTTTCCTCCGATTGTTTTCGCCGGAGAAGCTAGGAATCTTGAAGAGAGATTGGCTGATGCTGCTGTAGGTAAAGCTTTTCTTCTCCAAGGAGGTGATTGTGCTGAGAGTTTCAAGGAGTTCAATGCTACTAATATCAGAGATACCTTTAGGGTTTTGCTTCAGATGAGTATTGTTCTTACATTCGGCGGCCAAGTTCCGGTCATTAAGGTCAGATCATCTTCTCTCTTTTTTTTCCTCATCTTGTTTTTTGGAGCGGAATTTGAGAATTTTTGTGGTTTAGGTTGGGAGGATGGCTGGTCAATTTGCTAAGCCTAGATCTGATCCATTTGAGGAGAAGGATGGAGTGAAATTACCTAGCTACAAGGGAGATAACATCAATGGTGACACTTTTGATGAGAAATCTAGAATTCCTGATCCTAATAGGATGATTCGTGCTTACACACAATCTGCTGCTACTTTGAATCTTCTTAGAGCCTTTGCCACTGGAGGTTATGCTGCTATTCAAAGAGTTACTCAATGGAACCTTGATTTTGTTGAACAAAGTGAGCAAGCTGACAGGTACATCATATTTTCTCTACTGGTCATGTCAATTTTCAGCCTTGTGTGATGTAACTAGGCGTTAAAGGTTTTGCTGTTTACCTTTGATTTGTTGTACAGGTACCAGGAATTAGCTAACAGGGTTGATGAGGCCTTGGGGTTCATGTCTGCTTGTGGACTTGGCACGGATCATCCACTCATGACTACAACTGATTTCTACACATCACATGAGTGTTTGCTTCTTCCTTATGAACAGTCGCTTACAAGGTTGGATTCAACTTCTGGTCTGTACTATGATTGTTCTGCACACATGGTGTGGTGCGGAGAGCGTACCAGACAATTGGATGGTGCTCATGTCGAGTTTCTCAGGGGGATTGCTAATCCTCTGGGCATTAAGGTACTTTAATTTTTCATAGAATATATAAACTTCAACGCATAGGTAGAGCGATAATATGCAGCTTGCTACTGAAATACTTAAAGTAAGGATTAAGTTTAGATATCACTTTTGGTTTATGATAAAGCAAAACAGAGTAACATATGATGTTTATGCTTGGTCTCGTGGCTCTTGTAAATCAGACAATTGTTTGAGGTTTATGCTTGGTCTCGTGCCACTGAATAATCAGAGCTATTGGCCTGAATTTTAAGCGGAATTGACTGATTATCCAAAACACTTGATGCAGGTGAGCAACAAAATGGATCCCAATGAGCTGGTCAAGCTAGTAGAAATCCTGAATCCTAACAACAAGCCTGGAAGAATCACTGTAATTGTGAGAATGGGTGCCGAGAACATGAGAGTTAAGCTTCCCCACCTGATCAGAGCAGTCCGCAGATCAGGCCAGATTGTGACATGGGTCTGCGATCCAATGCATGGAAACACCATCAAAGCACCTTGCGGTCTTAAAACACGTGCCTTTGACTCAATCCTGGTACACACTTTATAAGCTAAACCTCTCATCAGCATAACATAGATGTGACATAACAGTGATTAAAACGTCCTGTCTTTTTATACAGGCTGAAGTCCGAGCATTCCTTGATGTGCACGAGCAAGAAGGAAGCCACGCGGGCGGTATCCATCTTGAGATGACAGGCCAGAACGTGACAGAATGCATTGGAGGGTCCCGCACTGTGACCTACGATGACCTCAGTTCTCGCTACCACACACACTGTGACCCAAGGCTGAACGCGTCACAGTCTCTTGAACTGGCCTTCATTGTTGCAGAACGGCTCAGGAAGAGAAGAACCGGTAGCCAGCGAGTGTCTTGAGTGCGGTTTTTCCTTAATATACACTTTTTGATTCCAAGAAACTCTTTTCTCTTTGTTCTGTGAGTTGGTGTCTTTATGACTAAGTTAAAAGCCCAAAAGCCTCTCTAGGAGGAGTAAACCTGTTTCTGCTGTGGCCAGACCATGTCATGTCTTTGTTCTTTATGTTAACTTTAATGTTAATCCGTGTGACTTACTACTAGTGTGTAAATTTCTCTTTACATATCTACAAACTTGAAACTCGTTCTAGTTACTACTATTGTTAGATCTTTTTCTTTTGGCTATTTGTAAGCTAAGAACTGATTTGATCTTTAGAAAATGACGTTGCAAGATGGCCCATCAGCTCAGTTGGTTAGAGCGTCGTGCTAATAACGCGAAGGTCGCAGGTTCGAAACCTGCATGGGCCAGTTTTCAATCTTCTTCAGTTCTTTCTATTTTAAATAGTGATGACAACAGGACACAAATACTAAAAGATCTATTGAATACATAGACCAGGTATCATTGGCCCATTAGCTCAGTTGGTTAGAGCGTCGTGCTAATAACGCGAAGGTCGCAGGTTCGAAACCTGCATGGGCCACTATTAATGTTTACTCTTTTTCCGTGTTTCCTCGTTTTCTAAACGTTTTTTTTTTTTCAAATATGATACGAGCGGAAGTAAACAAACACTCCGATGCCGACGGTTTCGGGACCCACTAATCAATATCGTGTCCCGCTCACTTAATCCAAAATATGATCTCCTACACACCTCTTTACTCTCTTCCTGTGCTCCCCACAACCATACTTCATCTAGATTTCCACCACGTGTTCAAAATACCTCTCTATATTCCACGTGTCATAATCCTCGCTCGTCTTACTCTCAATTACCAAAGAACTCACACACACCAGATCACACTTTAACACAACGATTTAAATCAATGAGTCAATAATCAGCCAACTAGCTTTTTTAATTTTCTCCACAATTCTTCTGTCGCTCTCACCAGTTAACAGCTACAGCACAAAACTGTAACCACGCTTCTAACTTTTTCGAGAGATCTCAAACTTCAGAAAAGAAGTGTTTCAATAGTTCGCCGTCAAGATGGCCGGAGGAGGCGGATACGGCGGCGCATCGGGGAAAGTTGATTACGTCTTCAAAGTTGTTCTGATCGGAGATTCGGCTGTTGGGAAATCACAACTACTTGCTCGATTCGCTAGAGACGAATTCAGTATGGATTCTAAAGCCACCATCGGCGTCGAGTTCCAAACTCGTACGCTCTCCATCGAACAAAAAAGCATTAAGGCTCAGATCTGGGATACCGCTGGTCAGGAAAGGTACGAGTTCTTAGATTCTCTGTGTTTTGGAATCTTAATCAGAAGAATTTGTTGATTTCTGAATTGCTTTAACACTGGATCTGTAATTTTTCCTGAAATCGACTTGGTTTGACTAGAAAATGTGCATAGATTTTGTTACCTCTTTAGTACTTCTCATGAATTTACGCTAGTTTATGAACACCTATGGATCCGCCTTGACTAGATCCTGAATTTGTATCATCGAAATGTATACTACTATAGTGTTTGATCCGATCGAATAATTAGGTAATCTGGATAATAATGTGTAGGAGCAGAATTCGACTTACTCGTGTTTAGATTCGACATTTTTGTATGATTCTTGGCTGATTGAATCAGTTTGGCTCATTTCTATTTGTGGAACAGAAGATTTGGGATTGGTCTTTAGTTTCGTGACTTTGCTTTTGTTGCACTAACCAGATACAGAGCCGTTACAAGCGCATACTACAGAGGAGCAGTTGGTGCAATGCTGGTTTATGATATGACTAAACGTGAAACCTTTGAGCATATCCCTCGTTGGCTTGAAGAACTGAGGGCGCACGCCGATAAGAACATTGTTATCATCCTTATTGGAAACAAGTCTGATCTAGAAGATCAGAGAGCTGTTCCCACTGAAGACTCTAAAGAGTTTGCTGAGAAGGAAGGACTCTTTTTCCTCGAGACCTCAGCTCTAAACGCAACCAATGTCGAAAACTCCTTCAACACTCTAATGACTGAGATATACAATACGGTGAACAAGAAGAATCTTGCATCTGTTGAGAATCAAGGCGACTCAAATAACCCCGGTTCCTTGGCTGGTAAGAAGATTGTCATCCCAGGTTCTGGACAGGAGATTCCCGCTAAGACCAGCACGTGTTGTAGTTCTTCTTGATCTGTCTCGTTACAAGCAAGATTCATTTTTTTTCCTCCTGAAATTTGGTGATAGAGAATGCTACTTTCATTGTATATTCTTTTTCGAATCTGGCTTGTTTGCTGGTTCATTAAACATTGGTGTGCAATTGGACACCGATAGAAAGTATTGGAACAATAGCTTTTGATTGAAATATGAAACAACAGTCTTTGAGAGTTATTCAAGCCGTCTCAGCAGTCTTCAAACAGTTCTCAGCTATTTCTACTTCTTTACTTCTATCAGAAAGTCTCTCGATAAGTTGGTGACAATCCACTGTTGTGACCATAACGGTTAAGCTAGCCTTCCCCTTCCAGCATCCAATGGCTATTGTTGATGTTTTCAGTTTGACTGGTTCTGACCCGAGCTGAGTATCATCTGTAGTAAGCAAAAACGGTTAAAAACATATCCCACATGATCCAACCAAACGTGTCTTATATAAAACTTATCGATACACACCATCGACGAGAACCATAACACAAGATCCCAAGGCTAGCTTTGCTGCTTTCTCACCAATCTGTGGATGGATGAAATCTAGGAACTTGATTGATTTGTGTTGCAGGAGATTCTTGAAATCCGCCATTGTTGCATAAAGTATTTGCTTGGTCATGTACGGAAGGATCACAGGCAATCCCTCTGACGTTATTCGGAATGAGCAAGAGTTGGCTTCACATTCTTTTGCCGATTGTTTCTCCTGCGTTTTTGGTTAGTTGAGAAGTTAATAAATCCCGCCTCTGCTATTTATATTTGATCCAGAGAGAGAGAGATGAAACTATATTGTACTTACAAACATCTTGAGACCAACAGAGGAGATCTTAAGCGGCTTCCCAACTGCAAAATTAAGCTCAAGAACATCTTTAACTGCTTTTGAAACATAGTAAATCCTTTTCACGTTTCCGTGGCTGCTTATGTCGCTGTTTCTAGTCACAAGATGACCATACAGCGGAAACGATTCATCTTTGATGCCATAGAATGTCTTGATCCCGTCGATCACTGTTTCATCTCTCAAGAAAACAACAGGGTAAAGGCCTTTCCACTTCCCTTGCATTGACGGTACTTCTCTCTTGCCTCCCCTATCATCAAGTTTTTGAGCCAATTCTACGAAACCTTCATCGCAGGTGCTTTCCTTCTTAGGCGGCTTAAAGCCATTCTCTGAAACCGTTGCTTCTAAAACTATTTCCTCTGCACCCTCTTCAGGTTTAGTAACCACAGTGTCAGATACTGCTTCATACAAAGACTTCTCAGATGAGTTGATGTTGTTTCTATTATACGAATTCCTTCTATGATTTATTTTCTCCTGAAATTCTGCAAGAAAATGAATCTTATTAAAGAATTAACTAGAGAGGTTATGCAACAGAAAGTTCTTCAAATTCACCTGGTAAAGGTGAAACTTTGTGAAGGACTGCAATGAAAAATCCCCCAGTGTTTTGATCATGAGGCAGTATCCTCATACAACGTTCAAGGGGAAGATCACAGACTTCCACGGCTGATTCATCAGAAGAGATATAAGCCATTTCTTCATAGCTGTTTCCGCCACCCGTTGAGTCTTTATCACTTTTACCAGAAGGAAACATGCTCCTAAGAACTCCGTCTCTCTGTGACTTTGGAACATCTTTGTAAGATCTATACCAGCCACCTCTATCATGCACCTGAATCCACATAGATACAAAGCAAGATTAAAACTTCATTACTTTTATCCTTACGTCAAAGTAATAGGTATTTTTGTACCTTCCATTTCGTAAGACCTGGTCTTCTAATAAGTTCAGGAAGCTTATCTGAGACATCTACAAGCTCAACAGAGCATCCACATCTCCTCAGAATCTGAAGAATACTAACAATATATCAGCATCCAGAAGAATAGGTTTATGGAGAAAGAAGAAGGAAACTATCAAATTACTTCAGCAACAACGGCTTCATCTTCAATTGGGTTCATTGAGCAGGTGGAGTATATCATTCTCCCACCAACTTTTAGCAGAGATAAACCTAAAACCACACAATGCAGATAAAAATCAAAACATAAGATTCTGCGACTCGGATCATATGTGAAAAAAGTTTACCTCTCATGGCAAGCACAACCTGTAGACTATGAAGTCCATTGCCAGATCCAGAATTCCTGTGCAGAAACCGAGGAAACAAGTAAGAACCTTGAAGCAATTGCAATCAACAAATGTCAATTTGAAAACTCATAAATATTGAAACCATCTTCGCCATATGTCTGGAGCCTTGCGCAGCGTACCATCACCACTACACGGGACATCACATAAGACACGATCAAAAAGAAGCTGATCAATGGGATGAGGATTAATCTCAGATGCTACGGACAAGGTCCTCTTGGTGTTGCAGCTGGGGAATTGTTGACCTTCGTTGTTAGTGACCATCAAGTTAGTTGTACATGTTCTTTTCGTTTGGTGAATAAGAAGGTTACATCTTTTATAATCAACATCATTCGCCACCACCTGATTCAACCAAAAAAAATTAGAAACAAAACATGATCTATCAATTTAAAAAGGAGTAAAGAGTACTACAAACCATTCCATTAGGTAGAGATCCTGGTTCTGATGATTCATGTATTATCTCAAGCAGCTGAAATGTCTTGGAACCAGGTGCAGCACACACTGTTCAGACGAAAAGAGAAGAGAATACAAGTGAATCCGTTAACCATTACTCCTCAAGTCCACAGCCATCTCAAACAATGTCGAATAAAAATCACTTACTGTCAAGAACAAAATGATCTGGATGTACATCAAGGAAGAGAGGAGGTACCTGCGTAATCATAAAATCGACCAGGAGAACTATAAAATGTAACGATGAATTGTCATTAAAGAATGTTACACTACCATACCATGCTAACTGATTCCTGCCTGGTCATGTTCCCAACTTCAGTTTCTAACTTAAGAAACTCATGAAACCTGAAGAAGACCCCGATAAAAAAAGGCTAAATAACTAGGAGAAAGCATGAACTAACACAAGTAAGCGACTACTTGTTCTGAAGCAACTGGCATGAAAATGTACCTCTCAAGTATCTGGTTTTTTCTAATCTCCTTGCGTGAAAAATTAGAATGCCAAGCAAGATTCTTAGGGTACCAAGGCAAAGGCTTGATAGCCTCCAATTCACCACTCTCTCTAGCCTAAGTTAGGAAAACAAAAACCAACATTTTGAGTGCTTCTTATGTAGACTATCAATGAGACACTAGAAAAAAAGAAGAGTCATGAATTTACCTCAGCCTGAAGAGATTTCATGAAATCATTCTCCACTTTCAATCGAATCTCATCACAAAATTGACCACTGAAGAATCAAAAACAGAGACCACTTAGTCAAAAAAAACTTTTACTTTGAAGTATAGTAACACTTAGCAATTCAAAAATCCAAGAATACAAATAAAAGCTAGGATACAAACTTGGAATTAACTCTGAAAGCAGCAGGTAATGGCTTACGAAGAATCTCCATAAAGGAATCCCACTCTTCAGCTTTCACTATCCTTTGTTCCTTAAACACAACACAACAAGAGATTACAATATTGTTTAGAAGCAAAATTTCTAAATCCATGGAAGTGTCATTGATGATTCTATAGAGGTACCTTGTAATAGTCTTCGAAATGAAGATTTGAGCAGATGGGCTTTTGGAAGTTGTTGGAATCAAAGGAAGCGAGGGGTTTTTCAACATTCTCGTTGCTATTATCGATTTGATTTCTCTTCGAAGTAGTACCTCGGTGACGTCTCCCTCTTCCCATTTTTGTCGCCGAGTTTTTCGTTTTCGCCGGCGGCGTCACAGCGATGGGTTTTATGGGTTTATATTGGTTTTGAAATTAGAATTGATTTCAGTTCGGTTTACTTTGGTTTACAGAAGACAACCAGAAAAAAATAAGACACGCGATGGGATTTTGAGAATGAGGAGCGTCGACCAAAAAAGGCATGATTTTTGTGGGTAAACCCCTTTAGAAATTGGACACACGCGCTCAACGCGCATTTGCTGAGACTGGCTGTGAAATTTTTATTTTTTCAATTTTTTATTCGAAAAGTGTGAAAATAGAGTTCTCTGATTGGCTGAAAAAATGAAAATAGTAGGGAAGCTCCTCCTCTCCTATATTTGAAAACAATAATAAAGACTCTGAGTGAAAACTCTATCAGAGACAAAGCATATTTTTTTCAGATTATATATCTGCTCTTTGATTTGCAGTGCGACGAGTAGAAGCCTTTACTTACATGTGAAATTTAAGTTGAGGCTTTTTGCAACTTCTCTTATTCAATTTCCACAGAGTAAGTTGGAGTTTTTATTTTGCTTCCCTAATTCTTATAATTTGTGCTATGAACTATCTGAAGAATAGGCTTAAGTAAAAAAAAAAAAACTTATGGTTTCAGATACTTGGAAAATTATCCATATACCTGAAAAGCCTGTATTGTCACTTGACCATCAGCCCACTGGTATGGCCAACTTCAACTTCATTTTTCGTATCATTATGTAGATTTAGTATCAAAACAATAAAATTAAAAAAAAAACAAACACAAAAAAAAAAACTTACAATACAAAATATGTTTACATATAAAATGTTTTCAAACTCAAGTGTTAAATTTAAATACCTGAATACTAACCGGATTTAGCATCCCGTCCTTTGGTCCGTAAGTTTTGTGGTATCATAAATTCAACATGTTTTCACGTATTTAAATTTAACACTTGAATGTTTTCAAAAAGTAATTTTATTCGATTTTTCTTTTAAAATTGATTTTTTTAGATTTATTTTTTATAGAATTTTAAATAATGGAAATTCAGATAAGAAATTGGCATAGTTTTGTAGATTTAATATACAAGTTTCTAATTTGTTTTAAAAAAGATTTTAAAATTTTGATTTTACCTCATAAATTTTTAATTCCTTACACAATTTCGTATTTTTGTTTTTGTTTTTCTTGTTTAACAATTTTGATACTAAATTTACAAAACGACTTAAGAACTAACTGAATTTTTAATTCTATTATTTGATATATTATTAATCGTTGGAAATTTCACTAATAATTCGATAGGTTTTCTTATTATTAAGTAGATTTAACATTTGATATTTTATAAATGCGAGAGTGTGACGTCATGGACCTAATGTTTGGTCGTTAGTATGGGCCATATACATTATTATGTCATGAATTATTACTTATTAGTATTGAGCCACTCAAAATTTCATCTACCATATATATCAATTGGATTTGCTAGCCACTATATATATGCATATCATATATTAATTGTAGCGTTTTAAGGATATGCATGTTAAATTTTATATTGTTTCTTTTATATAAATTTTTAGCACTATTTGACCTGACCCTAACATATAAAATATTTTAAGAGAAATTGCATTGGATGACCATCAAAAATTTAATAATTTAAGAAGTAACCATAAAAAAACTTTGGCTAGAATATGACGTATATTTATTGTATAGTAGACTATTTTGCCCTTGTGCTCTGTGAAAGGATCTTCGTCACCACCGCCATCAGGTCTCGTTCCAACCACCACCGCCATCGGGTCTCGTCCCAGCCACCACCGCATCTCCGACGCAATCACTGGATCTCCGTTACAACCACCGGCGAATTTCTTCCTTATTATGGAAGGATCTCGTCTTTACCTCTCTCTCACTGGTGATGGTGGATCTCTACCTTTTTCTCCCCCCCTCCTATGTTATCTCTTCCTTGATATCCGTCGGTGGATCTTCGTTTCTATTTAGTCCGATCACCGACCCTCCTTCTCCCTGATGTTCACTCGCTTCTCCAAGTTCTCAGTTTTGTAAACATAAATACAGGGGTAATTTGGTCCAAATTCAATTGACATGGTTACTTGCTGAAATATGGATATTAGATGGGTATAAATTTAATTTTGCATACAAAATTGGTTATTGAGCTAATTCACCCATATTTTAAACATATGGATGTTTAGAAAAGAAAAACATTGGCCAAAGAAAGAAACATTTGCACCACTTTAGATTATATTAAAATAAATGTAACAAAGTGAAAATATGTTAGTGGCCTAGTAGCCTCTTTATAGTCTTTACATAGTAACCCTACTAATAAAATTAATCGGAAGAATCACAATAAATTGTTGTAGCTACATCCCCTCCTTAGTTACGTAGTATTTTTAGAAAAAATAAGTCATTGATTCTTAACTGATATTCACATTTAGCTACCATAAAGTCACTTGACGCATATGTAGATTATAGTTTCGGAATCAGAAGACCCAATTACATATATCTTTCTTTGAATTATTCTAAATTGCAAAATGAATTATACATATATCTTTGGATTCTAGTTAAAGAAAAGGGATGGGCCTTATTAAACAAAAAGAACTGTAATAAAGAAAGAAAAGTAATATAATAGAAATATACATAAATAAAATGACCCACAAATCTTATACTTTATTTAACTTGATTAGAGGTGAATTATTCCCACTTAATTATACAAACATGCAACACAAGATCATCGAATATAATTCTCAAGCGGCATACAAATAAAACATATGCATGGACATACACACATGAATGCATGTATATGAAATCATAGAGCACATACAAAATCACCATTTCTCTCTTCATCATCATCAACATCATCATAAATATCAGCATCATCAATATCATCAAGATCAATGCTCCCATCTATTAACCCTAATCCACCATTATTATTCATACCATTCACTCCTTTTCTTGCTTCCTCTATTATCTTCACTATCTCTTCAACACTCTGTCGACACTTCTCTTCTGCTTCTTCTTCATCTTCCACTCCATTATCGCATTTCTCCTCCTCCGGCGGTACAATTAGAGGATCCTTCAAGAACCACGGGTGCTTTTCGATTTCCGGTACAGTTATTCTCTATATCATGGTTTCAAATTTCAGTTTTCAAAAGTAGTAGCCAGTGTAGTAATCCATATGAAACAGTTGTTAAACCAATCTGAACCGGTATGGTATAATTTAGATAAACTGGTTAGGGTATTATTTGATTACCTTATCAGGGTCAGCCACGAAGATACGAGATAAGAGATGCTTGCACTCGGAGGAAATCCTGACGTAGTCCGGTATGGTGTAATGTACACTTAATATCCTCTGTAAGTATACATATTAATCATTCACAATAATTATTATTCTTAAATTTATATATGACATTGTAAAAATTTTAATAGTGACCAAAAAAATTATAAAATAGTATTAATTAGTGGAAAGAACGTTTGATTTAATTATAATCTTTGAGTACGTACCTGAATGGTATTTCTAATGTTTCTTGGATCTTCGGGATCTTCAAAGGGATAAGCACCAACTAACATTACATATAAGGTCACCCCACACGACCACACATCTGCAATCTATATATATTTAAATCACATGTTATATTATATAATTATACGACTTTTATATCAAACAAGTTGTTGTTTTATTAATTAACTTTAATCAATCTATTATTATTGTAGTTACTAATTTAATTTGTACCTTTCCATTATATTCTTTCCGGGACAAAACTTCCGGAGCAACGTAAGCTGGCGTTCCCACGGTGGATTTTGGCTGAGAGTGTAAAACTGATGACTGCATTTACGTTTAAGAAAACTAATTTCTGTTAAAATATTTAATTTCTTTTTTCAATGGAGATTACTTAGATTGAATATGTATATATACTATACAGTATTTTATATATATACCTTCGAGTATCCAAAATCGCATATTTTGAGCTGCGAAGACGGGCTCCCGTCTAAGAGTGTATTCTCGAGCTTAAGGTCTCTGTGACATATTTGCTTCATTAAAAGTAAAATTCAGTAAGCATAAAGTTTCAACTGTATGATATATCACTTTTGGAGATTATTCATATAAGACTAATTAAACGTAGTTAATACGTACCATAGCGTGACAATAGCTAACTCCCGAGATAAGTTGTTTGAAATAATATCTTGCCTAAAACAATAATGAGCAAATTAAACTTAATCAATGTAATTAACCACGATATTAGTTTTCAATCATCGCTAATTAATGATGACTTTAGACATACTTCGTCTTCGCTGAATCTACCGGCATTGCAAATTCTTTCAAAAAGTTCACCACCAGCTGCATACTCCATTACTATGGCAAGATGTGTTGGTGTTACAAAAACCTGCAAAATAGACCCCAAAAAAAAAACCAACACATAAATATTTATTTTATTCTATTTTTATTATCTTCAAGATCGAGACGACCTACCGATTGCTTCTATTTTTATATAATCTTGAATTTGAAATTGAAGAATTTTCAACGCCGTGACTTATATACATAAGCTGTCATATGAAACTCGAATTTGGACCGTTGGAGAATGGGACATATTATTAATTAAATGCAATTTAATAAATTCTCTTAGAACTTAGAAGAGGTCCAAAGTCTAACCATATGAAATGAATACACATAAATTACATGGCCAGATATTTCTTGCTTTTATTTTATCGTGGATCGGAATTCAGACTAATGGATATCAAATTTCACACCAATTATATGTTGCAGTGGAAAAATGTATGTTAATAATAATAACCACGTTCTAGGCTTTCAATAAATGTACACTAACCATAAATATAGCCACTAGCTTATTATCACATATTGGCTGAATTTGATATATTTTTATTTTGTTTTGATCAGACTCGATTATGGTTTTGATCATTAATTAACATATACATACACACCTCTTTAAATCTGATGATATTAGGATGCTTCAAGTCTCTGTGGTTTATGATCTCTCTCTGAACATGTTCATCAATCTGTATAAAACCCATTTCATAATTTGATAAAATGATTTCTAAGAAAAAATGAATATTTAGAAGAAGATTAAAGAAAAAAGAAGAAACCTTAAGGCCTCTTTCGATGTATTTAACGGCATAAAACTCTCCGTTGGCTTTCTCTCTGACAAGCTTAGCAACTCCAAAGTTACCGGAACCAAGATCTCTTAAGATGTCGTATCTATCCATTGATGGTCGGATCAAAGAACAGAGAAAAGATCAAACAGAGAAGAGAATATTGTTGTTCTATGTCTCTATCAAAAACTATGTCGTTTTGCTTCTTCTCTTTATTATTCTTTCGAGGTTAAAGCAAGATGCGAGAGAATTTAAGCTTTTCTTATGGTTCAGTCACATATAGCATATTTATATACATACATACGTACATATACAGTCAGCACCAACTTACCTTTATGGGCCCACTAGACTATTGGGCCGTTAATATTATTATCGAATATAGGCCCATTTGACACGTGGCATCGCTGATGAACATGAACAACATGGACAGGAACAAGGTGGTGACTCGCAAACCGTTAAATTTGGTTTCTCTTCATCGCTATTTATTATTTGTACCTTCTTCGGAAGAAACGAATTATTGTACGTTTTCTCGCAAGCAAAAAATAATTAATTATCAATTCATTACAATTAATCAATTTATGTTATAGTTAATCAACATCTCAGAGATTGAAAAGTGAATACCTGATTGAATAAATGCGATTACCCATTTTTAGTATATATTCTCTCTTTTAAATTGAAGTATTCTACCAAACTTACCTGTTTTAAATATAAATATAAATACCTAATTTTTTAGCTAGGAAAACAATGAAGAATGGCCCACATTTTAGATTCGTGATCCTTTTCCGCAACCCAATAAACAAACAAGCTCATATAAAAAAAAAATGAATTAATAAAATGAGCTTATTCTTTATTTACAAAAAAAAAAAAAAAAAAAAGTTAGATGTCGACCGGATTAACAGGTCAACGGCTAAATTATCATAAGCTAAAACCCAAAACACAAAAAAAAATGTTGCTTAAACAAATCACAGGTCTATTAAACAATGTAATTTGATCCCCATAATGTAATTTAAACAATGTAGGTAGGACTCGAAAATTCTTACGTGCGTTGATCATTATCTGATCCTTCTGTTTGTTTCTTTTATTGTGTGTTATCTTTTTTTTTTATATAGTTAAGCATAATGTTTAATTAGGAGATTTCATTTATAGTCGTCCCCCATAATGTCTTTTCATTTTTATAGATTTAGTATAATGTATATGCATATATAGAATGTGTGTATAGTCAAATACTATATTCATATTCAGATTTCAAACCCTACGCGTGAACAACACGCGCTTCACCTTTTCTCTCCCAACTTTTTTCTTCATCAGCCGCCGCTCGATTTCTTTGATCTGAGGCCGGAGTGCGGTGGCTTCTCCAGCACCGGCTTCGGCCTCCCCTCCTCTTTAAACTTTCCTGCAAGTTCTATCCGGCGCTTGGGCTCTCCTCTTTCCCTGAAGTTGCCATGAATCTCGCGGCGTTTGGAGCGAGAATCGCCGTGCGCGACGGCCATCTTTGGTGGTGTAGGTACTCCTCCGTTGGACTTTTCTGCAAGTCGTCGGCGTGAATTTTCCTCGGAGCTGAGCACCCTCCTTGCGTCTCGCATTTCGACCGGCGTAGATCTGTTTTGATCTCCTCCTCCTCGTGTTTCCGGCGTCTGAGCCTCCCACACTCGACGGTGTTGCGGCCGTTGCAGTGTCGTTGCTCCATTCTAAAGGTAACACTTTTTCTTCCTCGTTGTCTTGGAAGATCCGTCGCAGAGGAAGTTACGGTTTTCGGTGGTGTGGCGCCTCCGACAGATCCCTTCGGTTTGAGGACGCCGTGGTTTCAGTTCGAAGCACCTTCTGTCTTCACCGTGTAGCTTCCTTCGTCCGACAGCTCATGGAGGGTTTTGAGTGGATTTTCGGTGGTTGTGACGGATCTCCTCTGCTGTCTCACGGCGGCTGGGCTCTCCTTCGCTTCTCAGGCCATCGAAGCCTCATCCATTCAAGCTTTTACCTGTCGGATAGGGTTCAAGGTTCTGCTCTCCGTTTCGTTCATTTGGTTTTTCTTCTGTCATGGTTATGCTTGGCGATTGTATGGTTTCTTCTCCGGTGAGTCAATTCTGCCTGAGGACAGCAGCGGGACTGATGGTGAGAAACTGTTGTGGCTCGTCAAGTGTGAGAATTCCTTTCGGTTGATGCAATTGTTCTTAACGGAGGCCTCAGTGATGTTTGCGTTGGTGATATTAAGGCTTCCGGTGGTAGCTTTTCACGTCTCAATTTGCTTTCACCACGGGTACTTCTTGGCTTGTTGTGTTGCTAATAAGCCCTGTCTCTGCTAGTGTCTTTTTTTGTGGTTCTTGTGAGGTGAGGTCATCGCGTAGCATCGAGTTCTCGCTTGTGGTTTTGCTTTCAATGCTATGGAGGAGCTAGTAAGGCTAATGTGCGATTTGGTGTGGTTTTGTCTTGTTTAATGTGGCTCTGCGCTTGCCGACATCGGGGAAAGATCTTGGTAGAGTGAGCTTGCACCTATTGCAATTGTTGGTTCGTGTGGTTCTGTTCAGTGAGCGCTCATGGGAATAAGCTCGACGAGTCGCTCTCACATGGAGTTTGTGATCGAGGGCTTTGAGAGCTTCACCGTTGACTTCACAGTCTCAGGCCACCGGTGAAAGGCTTCCGATGCTAGTTGTTTTGCGACACTCGGCGTTTTCCTATTTGCTTAGTCGTCCTTCATCTTCTTTTTCCCATCAAGAAGAACTTCAGAGTCGTTTTCACTTCATTTGACTCCGTTCGCTTTGTTGCTTACGTTGAGTTAATGGACTGAAATTTGAAGTTTCGAATTATGCTTCCATGTTTTTATCTTTTTTGCCATGGGACCATTTGCTTAGGTCTATAATCTTTGATTGTATTCCTAAATCTTTTTCATTTTCAATGAAATATTTACATTCTTAGCAAAAAAAAAAAAAAAAATACTATATTCATGACGATTCAAACATATCTCTTTTTTTCAGAAAAGCTTAACAAATCAACTCAATGATCTCTTTTGATACTCAAGGGAAAATATCCAGCTTAGTGTTATTTTATGTTATTTTGTTAAGACTTAGAGATATGTTAATCTAATTTTTTTTAATGATATTTAGTTATATCTTTGAGATTGAAACACATCACGAACTTATGGAAGACAGATATAAAAGGTCAAGAAGTCAACGCCTTGAGAAAGCGAATAGTAGAATTAATAAACCAAAACAGTGGTGTACGTGGTCACATAATATCCGTACATGTGGCAATTCGAAGCAAGGGACAAAACTAGATGCCAAGTGGAAGTGGTGTTTTGTGCGTCAGGCTTAATGGAAAAAAGGTTACGTGGAAGGTGAAGATTGGGCCGTGATGTAAAAGCCCATCACCGTTGAGTGGTTGGGTGATAACAGAATTGTCCCCACATTTTGGTTGCTATTATTAGAAGGCTATTATACATTTGAAGACTTTTGAATAATTATGATTTCCCAAAATCGAGACCCAACAAAATATGTACTATAATATACATTTTCTTGAATTGTTGGAATCTTGTATACCTTTTTCCCCCAATATCAATATGTATTACATTTCGCTTTGTAATTTGGTTAAATGAGAAAAGGATGTCAATTTCATTAGCATAAATAGAAAATAAAGCTATAACCCACAAACAAAGAGGAAAACTTTTTTTTACAAAGTTAACTTTTTCAATGCGGTGAGAAAAGGCTATAAAAGAATCGCACTAGAGAATTTGTGGAGTGAAATTGGAGTAAATATAACAAAATAAATTGATTTCACTTTCTATATTCAAATAAAGTGAATTTCTTTTCTAATGTATTAAAATATTATATTGTAAGTTGCAACTATGACACCTTTACCACATTCTTTGAGCTTATTCAATTTTATTTATTTTTGGTTTTATATAAGAAAAATCGAAAGACGAAAAAAGTAAATCGAAAAAGCCAAAAAGCCAAAAGGTATATCACTATCTCTTGCAACGTATATTTTTTAGCCTGTACTGTTTTGAGCCCATATAAATAGTGAAATCAGTTAACCAAAAATATGATTTACAGTTTTTTCGTTATTGGGCCGACTAAGGCCTATAACGAGAAATTAAATCAAACCAAAACAAACCGAAATCGTAGGAACCGGATCGACCAGAAAGTCAATTTCAATTTAGTTCCGGTAAAATCATAACCGATTCCACATTAAAGAAAGACAAAACCTGATCAAATCCTTATTAGAACAAATTCAAACATTGTCTATGTACAAAAAAATGCTCTTGCAAAAACTCAAGCTGTAGAATAAAACACAACAATAGCGTATCAGTGTATCACACAACACAAACAGAACACAACTATGCTCTTCATGGCTCCGGAGACATCGGCGGTAGTGGCGGAGACGGAGAAGTCGGAGTCTGAGGTTGCTGCTTATCTTGTGAATCAGTGGAAGATTCTTTCTTGTGTGAGAAACTTAAGCTTTTCCTCCTAACAAGAAGATCACCAAATCTACGTATAAACGCCTTCTTCTTCCTTGCTACTGCTCCTTTGTCGTTTAACTCTCCCTCTTCTAAATGATTCCCATCCAAATTCTCCAAATCCTCTGGATTTATCGTCTCTACTTCTTCCAAAAACGTACACGAAGACCTCCTTTTGTGATGCATTTGCGCATGTGGCGTCTCTGCTACGTCAAAGATCGAGCCTTTGAATAGATAAGAATCTGAACTTGGAGAGTTTCCTTCACCACTTTCATCACTGTTCTCTTGATGATGATAATGATTCCCACCGTTTGCGTTTTTTGTCTCTTCCTCTAATGTTTCTTTGTTGTGCTTGTGGTTGTGATTGTGATGAGCAAGCTTCATGATACTGAAACTACAAGTTTTCCCAATCATCTTCTTATCGATGTTCTGATGAGTCTGTTCTTTCTTCTCCTTCTCTTCCTTCTTCTCGCTATGTTCTTTCTTCTCCTTCTTGCTCTCTTTCTTCTCCTTCTTGTTGTTCTCTTTCTTCTCTTCCTTCTTCTCCTTCTCTTCAATCTTCTTCTCAACAACTTCTACATCTTTCGGCATCGACTCTTGTCTGTTTAAGCTTCTCTGTTTCTCTTCCTCCATAGCTACCTCTATTTCAGACAACAACTTCTTCAACTTCTTAACATTGTCATTAGCCACAGCTTCATTAACCTTCACTCTCTCAATCTCCTTCAAAGCAAACTGCAATTCCTCTTCCTTATCCAACAAGGCATCTTTCAAATTCGAATTCTCAGCTCTCGCTATCCCCGCTGCTTCTTTCGCAACATTAGCTTCGTTAATCGCCTGTTTAAGTATATCTCTAACCTTATGGTTCTCATCTTTAGCCTTCTTGCTCAAATTCTCAGCAGCGACAAGAGCTTCAAGCAACCTATTGTTCTCATCAAGAAGTGAGTTCTTCTCGTCTTCTCCTCTCTTTATACAACTCACAAACACAGATTCTTTCCCATTCCAAGCCAAAAGTGATTCCTCTGCTTCAATCCTTAGTCTCTCACTCGTGTTCTTAAGCAATTCAGCTTCTTTCCTCACTTCCTCGTACTTCTCCTTCCATTGCTGCGACTCCAACCTAGCAGCCTCGAGCTCTGTTTCTGCAATTACAAGCTTCTCTTTCGTTTGGCTACAATCAGTAGCAACCTCTTTCAAAGCCAATGCCAAATCATCCATTGCTTTCTCGCTCGTCATCTCTGCATCAGTCGCTGATTTAAGCTCGTTCTTAACCGATTTCATCTCTTCTAACAATTCAGAAACCTTTAAAGAAGAAGCTTGTGCAGCCTCATGAGCCTGTGCGAGAGACTCCTTTGTTGATTCCATCTCAATCTTCATAGACTCAATATCAAAATCCTGAACAGAGCTATCGTCTTCTTCTTCGTCTTCTTCTTCGTCTTCCTCGCTAGAATCTTGGCTATTGTAAGATGTCTCTATCTTCTCTTTTAATGAAGCAATCTCTACCTTCGATTCTTCTACCAAAGCCTTGGTTACCTCTAACTCTCTCGATTGATCTTTAAACGAATCAAGAAGTTTCTTCTCTGAAGCTTCAAGATTCTTGATGAAGATGTCTTTCTTCAATAACTCGGCTTTTAAAGAAACGACTTCGTTTTCTCTGTTCTCAAGAGAAGCTTTCATCTTGTAAAGCTCTGTATCAATATCTGCAACTTTTTTAGATGAATACCTCGGAGAACCTACTACATCAATGGACGGTTTCTCATCTACTTCTCCCATTGATGATGAATGGTTTTTTATTCAGAGTTTCTGAGAGAATTCAGAAAGAAAAAGAGGAAATTTTTGTAATGGGTTTAGATTGACTAAGTATATATATTTAAGAGGTTGACAAAAAGGAAAAAAATCTATTGGTCAAATAAAGAAAATTTGGTTCAATGCTTTTAGGAGCTTAATTTCCTTATTTTTAGGGGAAGTTTTATCGAGAACCGTCTATTTTATCGTCTGATATTATTAATTTCTTTGGTCAAGTCTCAAATCTAATTCTTTTAAAAGAATTCAACAAATCCACAATTGTAGAAAAAAATCAGCCATTAAAAGACCTTTGAAGAGAAAGCAATGGTGACAAACAAACGAGTTAAGGAAACATAAGAATTTAACAAAGAGTCAAAGAGTTTTGCAACACACATAATAAGCTTCAAGAACATAACATTCTTAGATTGCAGACTTCTTACTACTACATACCCAGAGATTTAAAAACACAGCAATTAAGATCTTGCTTTCATAAACGAAAAAAAAAAAAAAAAAACTAGTTGACCAATCTTGAACCAAATCTCGGTCTTTTGGTTGGCTTAAGCGCGTTCACCTCTGATACGACGAGCGAGCTGAATATCCTTAGGCATGATAGTGACACGCTTGGCATGAATGGCACAAAGGTTAGTGTCTTCAAAGAGACCAACAAGATATGCTTCAGCAGCTTCCTGGAGAGCTAAGACAGCATGGCTCTGGAAACGCAAATCAGTCTTGAAATCTTGAGCAATCTCACGGACTAGCCTCTGAAATGGCAGCTTCCTTATCAGCAACTCAGTACTCTTCTGGTACTTACGAATTTCACTGAACACCAAAAGATTTAAGAATTTTAACACACAATGTTATATAAATTAAAAGACAATGTGAAAAATCAAAGATAGGACAAACCGGAGAGCGACGGTTCCAGGACGGTAACGATGTGGCTTCTTGACTCCACCAGTGGTTGGTGCTGATTTACGAGCAGCCTGAGTTTAATAGAGAACAAGATGTCAAGATCAAAACTCAATCTCACAACAAAAGCGTTATTTGAGTACACAGAGACACAAAAGAGACAAGAGGGAACAAGAACCTTAGTAGCAAGTTGCTTCCTTGGAGCTTTTCCTCCGGTGGACTTACGAGCGGTTTGCTTGGTACGAGCCATCTGCTCATTTAACAAGAAATTAAGCAGTCAATTGAGGATTCTCATAATTCATAACAAAATGATGAAGAAATTGGAATACTAAACGTAACCACTTAAAACCCTAATACAGATGAATAGTTATCAAGCCAGATATCGCCCAAGGGGCAAAATTAACTCAATAACCCTAATTCTCAAAACACGGCTACGCGATGACAATCAAACACAGACAAATCGGCAATACAGAGCCTCGAAGCAAAGAACAAACGAACGATGAAGAATGGATCATCCAACAAAACGACCAGACACGATCCAGTAAATTTAAAAGACAGGACCTTTATTTTTCAAACTCGACTGGGACAAAACACAAAACTCAATTGTCGTGAAAATCAGATCGCAGAGACAGTAACAAAAAGTTAAATGGAAAGACCTAAACCCTAAACTAATCTAATCCCCAAATCATACCTCTTGTTCGCTTGAGCTGACTTTTGCTTTTTATTTTTTTGTCTTTCGTAACAAAAGCAGTAATAGCGGATGATTGAAGTAGTGGTTGTGGCCGCAATGTGGTTGAATGGTTTATTTATATAAGACGCACGAAAGGGTTATCACGATACGCTCCTTTGTGCTTTCTTACATTCTTCATCCGACGGTTAAAACATTTGCACATTGTGTTTTCTCAACACAACCCAACGGCTACGATTGAAGATTTTTAAGTGTCACGCGGATTACCAATTTCGTGAATGTTGTTGATATCGAAAGTAATTGATACAGAAACGCAAAGCTTAATTTTTAACAACAAAATCAAACATATTAAATTGAACAGAATCAGATGAAACAAAAGTCAGAAACTTTGACATACTAATATGTTTCAGAGATGAAATTCAACAACAAAAGGTGTTTGATATTGCCAAACAAGAAAGCAATACACACCGCAAAACGTAGCTAAGAAGAACACACACAAATCATAAACCGACTAGACAAGAAATAGAGAAAAAAACCAACCACCATTGTTTTCAAGTCTCCTACAACCAAAAGCTTTTTAAGCCATTATCTAATCCCAACTATCTATTTAGAAAAAAAACCACATTCACATAATCCAACAACCAGCTTCCCCATCACACTTAAGCACGTTCTCCTCTGATCCTGCGAGCGAGTTGAATGTCTTTCGGCATTATGGTGACACGCTTGGCATGAATGGCACAAAGGTTAGTGTCCTCAAAGAGACCCACAAGGTACGCTTCAGCAGCCTCCTGGAGTGCAAGCACCGCATGGCTCTGGAAACGCAGGTCAGTCTGCAATCAAAGAGACAAGATAAGCACACAAGGTTATAATGATAAACATGTAAAAGTAACCTATTTTTAGACTGGATCAAACAAACAAACACGTTACCTTGAAATCCTGGGCTATCTCACGAACAAGCCTCTGGAATGGGAGCTTCCTGATAAGCAACTCAGTACTCTTCTGGTACTTACGGATTTCACTGTCAATCAAGAACAAGAAAAAAAGAAAAAGAGTTTTGTCAAATTAGATATCAATCAAGTAAAACCCAACTATAATTGTTGAAAAGCAGAATGCATACCGAAGTGCAACAGTTCCAGGTCTGTAACGATGGGGCTTCTTGACTCCTCCAGTGGTTGGTGCAGACTTACGTGCAGCCTAAAAAAGAAACATCCACCAATTACAACAAATCCAGAGATGTGTACATCAAGCAAATCAGATCACATGGGAGAGCCTGAGTCTTACCTTTGTAGCAAGCTGCTTCCTAGGAGCCTTTCCTCCAGTAGATTTACGAGCTGTTTGCTTAGTACGAGCCATCTGTTAATTAAATTAACAAATTTAAGATCCACGAGTATTCAATTGCAGTAATGTATCATAACAACAACAAAAAACCAAAGAAAATCTCCAATTGCAATCGCCTAATCAAGAAAGTCGAAACCCTAATCAACAAGCGCCGAATAGGAATAATCTATTTACACCGGCGAAAAGTATCAAGAATTTCAGAGATTCGGGACAAAGAAACAATCTGAAACTGAAATCTAGCGAACGATTCATCTCTAACCTAAAACCTAAATCCAAAGGATCATTCGGCGAAGAAACTAGATAATGACCAAGAATAGAAACTAATCTCGCCTAATTCCATACCACCTAACGAACGATTCCAGTAGCTTAACGATCAAACGAAAGAAATTTTCCAGGAGAATCAAAGAAAATCGAAGAATCGTACCTCAGAAAACTCTCTAGCTTCTCCGAATTCAAATTTGAGCTTCGATCTCGAAAAAAGATAATAATGACAATCTCCACGCGTGTACGACTCTTGATATTAATTTATAGGCAACGATGGTAAAGCGGATTTATGATCGGACGGTTATTATCGCTCATCATTGTGTTTCTCATGTTTTCTAATCGTACGGGTAAAAGTTCAACAACATGTGCTTTCTTGAACCCAGTGAACGGTCCAGATCTAGCTCCACAGGTTTGACGAGGATCGCCACTGTTACATTACTCGATTGCTATTGGCTGAATACAGAACGTCGTGGATCGCAGTAATGAACCGCTCGGATTTAATTTAGGCCGACACTTAAACTAATGGGCTTACAGATAAGGCCCATTACATTACAACTGGTGCGTTACTTACAGTACATTAAATTGGTTGCATTGGTCAAACTTTCCGGTTTAGTATTAAACCGAAATTTCGGAGTCTTCGTCATCTTCTTCTTCTTCCCCAAATCCACTTCATCGAGAAGAAACCAGATTTTTACAGAGATTCAAAATCGTCTCCATTTTCCAGGTATAGATTCTCCGATGAGATCGATCTGTGCGATTCAAATTTTGTTATATCTGGATTCAATTCGAAGGGATCTATATCGTAATTTTGTTCCTTTTTCAGATATGGATTGGCAAGGACAGAAATTGGCGGAGCAGTTAATGCAGATCTTGCTTTTGATCGCCGCCGTTGTGTCCTTCGTTGTTGGTTACGCAACGGCGTCGTTTAGGACGATGATGTTGATCTACGCCGGAGGTGTTGTCCTCACGACTCTGATCACTATACCTAATTGGCCTTGCTTTAATCGTCATCCTCTTAAGTGGTTAGATCCAAGTGAAGCTGAGAAGCATCCTAAACCCCAAGTTGTTGTTGTTAGCTCGAAGAAGAAATCGTCTAAAAAGTAGTGTCTTCTTAATCTTCTCTTCTTTAGTGGCTTGAACTTGATGATATAAAGACATTGTTCTGGTTCGTGAGCTTTAATAAAGTCTAAATGACATAACTTTGAGTGATTCTCGTCATTGCTTTTGATTCTGTGTTATATCAATGCATTTCTTCGAGGTGGATCATAGAAGGTGTTACCTTTGAAATTTGACTGGTTCTTGAGACATTCTTCAGTGTTTCAAGAAGAGAGTTTAAACAGGTAAAACCATGTTCGAATACAAACAAAAATCATGAAAATAGAAGCAAAGATTGAGCAGATTAACTTCATACATTGATACCAAGCTCAAAAAATGTACATTCAAGTCTCTGTAGTAATGCTTCAAATCGATCACAATAGCAAAGTGCAATCTGAATCGTTGTTGGTTGGTACAAATTCTATGGTAGTTGACCAATGTAAAGAGCTATATCTATGAGCCATTAGACAATAGAACAAGCTAGAGGAGAGTGACGAGAATGAAAATGAGTAGTGCAGCGATAAATGAATACTTGAGAGCAGCGACGAGGATGGCGAAAGAGATGAAGAAAAGCTGAGACAAGACTTGAAGGCTAGCCCAAGTCAATACTCCAGCTAACCCAACTGCCACAAAGTTATCTTGATCTGGATTCAACAGCTCACCCCACTTGAAACTAAAACCAGCAAATTGGTCTTTCTTGGAACCATTACCATCATCATCGTTACTAACCGGTCTGTTTCCGCCACCGGAAGACTCCTTGGCCGAGTCGTTGCTGCCGCCATTTTGAGCATTTGTTCTGAAGTTTAATGGGGACTTGCAGAAGTGGATATGATGATGATGATGCGGAATGTTGTATGGAAAACGAGGCTTCAATGTTATAGGCACAAAGGGTCTCAATGTTAGCATTGTGGATTAGGGTTTTTCAATTCAAAGATCTTCTGGGTTTCTTGGGATTAAATCCATCTGCAATTGACAAACAGATGCCAATATATGAATATATACCTGGAAGATCTAAGCTTATCAAACTAATAATCGGAGGAACTCAAATTCAAATACCAATCATAGTCGAATTGAAATTGTCAAAATCATTAAACTTTAATCGGAACTAAAACCAAACACGAACTTAATAGCAATCGAAGTCTTAAATCTCTGCAAACTAACCTCGAAATCTCCATGTTTCTTCCTCCTTTCCACTAGCGATAGGTCGCAGAACTAGAAGACAACGAAATCAAGCGGTTCTGGTTACAAACTGGACTCGATGGCTACGATTCAATCTCATAGAGACACCTTTGGCCTTGTCGTTTTGATATTTGACGGCTATGATTCAATCTGTGGCACCTTTTATAATTTGGGTAAAGTTTCAATCTTTATTTCGTTCTTAGCTTCAAACTTAAATAGATAAATAAGAAAAATGTCACACTTTCTTTAATGCAATGCACAGATATTGTTAATCTCTCCTTGTACACAAAGCAAACCATCCTAAAGAAGAGACTAATGATTATTACCTGGTTCTAATCTTTTACAAAGGACAAAACTAAAGAATCATCAAATCAAAATAAATTAAATCCCCAAATTACAATTTTCTCTTTCTTTATACCCTAAAAAAAATACAGACTTTTCTATGAAAAACGAACAAACAACCTACTCTCTCACCCACCAACCTCCCAACCACAAAGGCTCGTGGGTTTTTCTAATTTTATGTGTTGGTGAAGTGGAAAGATTTAGCAACACCCAAGTGGTCAGCTAGTCGTTTTACTGAGGACTGCACTGGTTTAGATACCGGTGAGACCGAGTCTGAGAGATTCGGGTGGCATTGAGGTAAATACGGGTCATCGTCCTCTTTGCGGATGAAGGAAGTAAGTACAGACCGGCAGAATATGAATCTACACAACAAGAAAACAATATTTGAGAAGAGTCCATGCTTTCTGAGGTCTTGATTCCGAAAACTAAGAGAAAAACTAACCTGAGAATCAGCCGTCTCAAGAATGGATCTGGCAAGACCTGTGCCCAGACAAGATTCAAGACTTTGGAAGTCAAGAGAATCGTTTCCCACTCAGAAAAGGAAGCAGAAAGTATGCTCTCTGCTTCATCATAAACTTCCTGAAGATTGTAATTAAAAATGGTAAAGAGGCATGCCGCATTATGAAAAGTTTGGTTGGTTTACGGTACTTCAAATCACAAGTGCTTACAGGGTCGGGGTTTGAGTTTGAGAGGCCCAGCATTTGACAGAATGCTTGTAAAGGAGCTGTTAAGAAAAAAGTAAACTGACTTCCGTTTAGTGCTTCTGTATCATCATCAGTAGATGGGTTCTCGAATGATGGCTTCAGAGGAGAAAGAAGCATAGCAACAGGCTCGCCTCTCTCTGCGCCACCCAGAACCTGGAGTTTGTTTATTTTATAACAATCCATCAGCAAATATCGCACAGTACTGAGAGAAACTATTAGACTCTCCAGCGAAAATGAAACACTAAGTTATGACAAACCTGCCTTGAATGCACGGCTAGTGTCGCTATCAATGATCAAGAAAAGTGGTTTCCGTGTAAAAGGGATTAGATCACCAGGGTAAAGATTGTTTGAACCTGCAGAAAAACGAGCAGTGAGTGAGAAAAGTCTGTTCTTTGGAGACATACTCAAATATTAATCCGAAGAAAACGACTTACCAGAGCCTCCTCTAGGACCTAACCAGAGATGATCCTCATAATAATCACCAGACGACATTTTTCCATTGCTATGTGGTTCTGACTTGTAACTTTTCTGTTCTTGGGAGGCTCGTGCAAGCAGCTTGCTTTTTGATGTTCTGCTTGAACCGACAGAGTTCTCTGGTTGCGCAACATTTTCACGAGCAGGACCACCTGGGTAATAATAACCAATATCGTTGATACAACATGATAAGAAAATACCAACCATTAAAGTTCCAGTGACAAATAAAAGAAAACTAACCTGAAGCTGACAAATATAACAGCATCACAGTCTCTGGAGAGAGCTCATCACAAATCATTGCCAAGACCTGAAAAATATATCACCAGTAAACAGTTAAACATAACGAGTGGACACTATAAAGGTAAAGTCAAGAAGTCCTGCAGATTTTTCTATATGATACATATAAAACTCACCGCTAGCAAGTGAGATACCGTGGGACGATAAAGAATAGCTTTTCTAGGATTAGGAGGTAATGATGGATCAGCCATATCAGCAGCCAACTTCATATCTATAAGCCCAGAAGTTAAAGTATGATCAATCACAAAACCATTCTCCTTCGCTTCAACAACAGGCCGTTTTTGGTAAAAAGATCCACTGGGTTCCCATTCTAAACACTGCATCATTCTATACGTATCCAAGGTGACTTCAGCATATTTCACCTGAGGAAAAAACAAACTCATATAATGAGATCATTAGGAAGGTAACAGAGTAGAAATTTTCCCTAAAAACAAACACTGCTTGTTTACCTCATTACGGTGATAACTAGCCAAAAGAGCATCACGAAACTTAAACAACTTCTTAGCATGGAACCGCGCTAGATATGTTTGAGAAGCTGGATATGAATCAAGCATTGCACAATAACGTAGAGGCCTAACATAAGTTAAATTTGTATCAGATTTAATAAACCGAGTGATTTCTTGCACAACTAGCCTCCACTCCTTAAAGTTTGTCTCCTACACAAAAAAACATCCCCAAATCCATCATCAAGTCCTCCTCAACAGTATAAAAACAGAGACTTTGTACCAATATAATGCTAATTCACAAGAATGAATCAAAAGGGTCAGATCAAAATAATTACCCTGAAATTAGATTTGCTGTCATCAACCAAAACCCTAAGCTTCTCAGCTAAATGCAAAACCATTTCTTTCCGATCAACAATCAAAGAAACAAGCAAAAACCTCGCATAAAACCGTAACTCCTTAAATCGAGCACCAAGATCTTTCCCTTGAGCTTCATCAAAGTACCTCCTCCTCAAAATCGCTTCATAGAAGACATAAGCCTCAAGAAGAAACCTAGCTTCACTAGTCCTCATGTACTGACTAAAGTAAAGCTGACCAATCCGGCTAGCGATCTCGCCGATTTCCCATCGGTTTAAACCGGACTCGACCAGCTTCGACCTATAAGATTGCTGATAATTCCAAAGTTTCATATAAGCTTTGAAAACCTTTTGGAAGTAGTGACTCTGTGCTCTTCCAAACGCAGGAAGATCGCGAACTCTTGCGAATTTCCGGTCAGCGTTCTCCACCAAAGCTCGGAAATTGCTTGAAACATCTTCACCCGCCATGTGACTGCTAATTTCCCTCAGTTCCGGTGAAAACCGCCGTCGTTTATCATCGGCTCTAGAGAGAGAGAGAAAGACTAATCAATGGGAACGACGGTGGTTCAGAGAAAGAGAGAGATAAATATGATTTTTACTTTTAATTTAATTTTTTTGTGTTTGTCCCAATTTATCCTCATTATATTTTTTTCAACTTTAAGTTTATTTTATTATTTTCCTTTTTTTTAACAAATTTTATTATTTTCTTCTTTTAGTTGTTGATGATCACCTTTCTAAAAGCAGTTGAAGAAAAAAATGAAATTCTTAGGATTAATAACTATTGTTAAGTCGTACCTATAATTTTGAGAGAAAATCAAGAAGAGTTTTTTTTTTCTTTACACTTTCTAATATGATGATCACTACAAATGTTTTAAATAAGCATATAATGTTTGCTTTTTTCCAATTCAAATTGACAATTAGCAATGTAAACATTGTTCTTTAGCTGGATTAACAGTAATATTATTATTAGTATATATTATATGCATCGTTATTAGCAAAAACGCATGTGAGCACGAACCCACAAAAGAATTTTGCAGAATCATATAATAGTACATCTCATTTGTGTTGTGTAATGATCGTGAGACGAGCTGGCATCAACACACACACGTAAATACATGATGATCATACGTACATGTATACTTTAACACATGTCCGTATCGAACGTACATACTTAAGACAGAGGATATATACATACTTAAGACAGAGGATTAGTCTCCAAGAAGAACTAACTCATCCGTATTCGATCTTCTAAATATAGAACAATTAAATGGTCGTCTTTTGTTAGTTTTGTGTTTTAAATTATCAATTTGGTATAAGAAATTAATGATGGTAGCAATAAGCAACTTGCACATGATGTATGTGTTGAACTCATGATAGATTGATTCGGTAATCGGCAGCAACATCTATAATTTATTTAGAGGAATCCTAGTGAGGGAAAAGTGTTATAAGTTGTTTTCAATTGGTTGCTTTCGACTTTTAAATACGAAAATTAATATACAACTGTGATAAGTTAGTACTTGCAAACCATAATTCACAAATTAAAGTTTATAGTATAATGATTTGTATCAGTATCATCACCATATTATATAATTTATCTTCACAATATGTGGATGAAACTTTAGATTCAATATTTGATAATTCTTAAGTGGTAAAATAAAAAAAAATAACTCGTTGACTTTCTCACTGATTAGTGGTCTTGTTGCTTTTCGGATGTTGTTCTAAAGTCATCTAATGGTGTAATCATCACATCTACTAAATTTTATATTAAAGGTGGACCGACGTGACATGTCGCGTCGCTAATGCTCATTTTTATTCCGGTCTTGTTGAGTACATTAACATGATAACCAAATCAAACTTTAGTGGTCGAGATTAATATGTAATATGATCAGGAATCAATAAAACCATTTAAGATGCTACGTTTTTTTTTAACCATAACAACTGCCATAGTGCCATGTGATTACTAAGATGAGAATCTATAGATGGTTGACACACACACAAAAACACCATAGATAAGAAAGAGGATATAAGTAAAGTTATATAAAAAAAAATGAATATATGAAAAATGTCATATACATATTTTGTCTTTACATATGCAAATTAAAATACCAGTGGGGCTGATTTCCATTAACTTATTATCGTAGTAGTTAGATGTTAGTTGTCTGCACTCTATTTATATTTATTTATATTCTGAATATCCATATTTAAATGTCGGTTGATAGATGGAATATATAAATATATAAAATTCTAAACTAATTTCATTTGCTTTCGTAGATCAAATGGTACATCGCCTTTTATTAGGTGGGAAACTTTATTTGCTAGTTACAAAATGTACCTCTATTTTGAACATGTTTTAGTTTAAATTTCTTATGTGACCTATCACATGAATACATTCCGTTGGACTAAAAAACAAACATAACCCCCCAAGCAAAAAAATCAATTAAAAATTCGTAATTGTTTTTAAATATCAGTCCAAAACCATGGATTATTTGTCTTATATGTCGGAACGTTCAACATCCGGTCTTTCGAATAACTGAGGGAATATTAAAGTTCAATGTGTTATTTTTTGTTATGAATATTCGAAAATTCAGCTCGATTGACTGACTAGTCGCAGTCTTGTGACAACAAAATAAACAATTGGTATATATGCTAATTTCATAATTAAAATGAATTTACCATGAGATCTAGTATTATAGTATTATGTAAGATAGAAAGAAAAGATGGAGAAAAAAATATAAAGAGCAAAAGAAAAATGTGACTCCAAAACAGTGCATGAACCTATTAGTGTCAAAGTAGAAGAAAAAAAAAAGTAAAAAATAAAGAAGAATAGATTGTTCTTTTTATAATGTCAACAGATTTGTTTGTGTGTTGGGCACAAAGTAGATTGGAAAGCTTTTGCATTACCAGATAAAAAGAAGGTACTTAATGATGAAGAGAAAAGTAAAGGTTGTGTTATCATTTTAAAGTATTTTTTCTTTCTTACAACTAAAATATTTCACCTTTAAATCACATATTTGACTATTAGGATTGGTTTAATTTCTTAATTTTCTTTGTACTGTTTGGTATGAATGTAAAAGAAAAGGTAATAATGTGTTTGCTTACATTTTTGTAGTATTGGGTCTTTCTTTGGGCCGAACAGCCTAGTAATAAAAATAACAATTGGGCCGGTTTTATTAAATCTCAAACATTTTAACAATTGGGCTTAATAGTTTTATTTTCTGTTTCCACGCTCTTTTGCTTATAGCGGAATAAACACGATAGGCCTCTGCCTCTCGATGGTGTTTTATATTCAATGTGTAAACTAAATCAGATCGGATAGTTTGCAGTGATTTTGAACGACTCTAAGATACTTTTATAGCCAACGTTTTGGATTTCTTACACATCTCATTCTCTTAATTTTTGATGTGGTTATAATTTTGATACGAATTATTTTGCTTATAGCCATGTCCTATCCTTTCTTTAAAGTGGAAACGGCGTTAAACTTAGTGTGACTGTGTACACTCGCGATAACTCTCTAGGTTGTGTCGTCGTCTGTCCCAATAACAGAGTCAGAGAAAGACGTAAATAACAAAAGTTCTGTAATGTTTTGTGTTCTTTTCGTCTGGGAAATTTTTGTTTTTAATATAAAACGCCGAATAATTTGACTTTCAATATCTGAAGGACCAACAAAAAAAGTAGGATCCACCATTGCTGACTCAAACTTTTTTTATGTGTTAGGACCAGTAGTTAACGGACGCGTGTCATATCATCTTTGGACAAGACAAAATGTCGTCGTTTTAAAGCCTATTGCTCTGTCTCTCTTTCGCTTAAGCGGCCGCGCGCAAGCCGTATATAAGCTGTCTCCTAAATCCTAAATCGTATTCGAATCTTTTTGCTAATTACTATATTCATTTGTAATTTATCACTATTCTTCTGTATTTAACATTTGTCTACATGACTATATTGTTAATTTTAATTACCTTTTGATGTATCATCCATTTCCGGCAAAACTTATCAAGTATTCTAATCGCGCGCACTAGTGGGTGATTTGTTGTTTACTACTAATTTCAATTGTAAATCTTTTTTTTTTTCCGGAAAACTATAAAATAGAGGAAACCAATGATGATGTACGAAAATGATCTCTAACTAATGTTTCGTTATATTATTATATTTTGAAATATTAGTTTATATAGATTCGAGTCATTCGACCTTCCCCGAGTATAGCTTGGTAAGGTTACTAATTAATTAATCCATAGTCATGTAAGAGAGTGATTTCTAATGCTTAAGTGATCATCTTTCTTAACAAATAAAGTTACAAGGAATTATAGGAATATAACAATGGAAGCTTTCATATGTTGGGATACACGTACATAACAGATATGATTATGTGCGAGACTCATTCACTTTTTAACCAGATTTTTTAGTTGGGGACTTGGGACAGAGTTTAGGAAGGAAACTAACTTTGGAACAAAAATAACAAGAAAGAAGTTTAAGCACTCACATGCCAATGTAAACATTTACTCATCATGTGACTCCTATTCCTAAAATTACTTACCAAAAGTTAATAATAAAGAGATTTTAGCAAGTAGCAACCAACAATCTTTTTCTTTTTAGCTTTGAACTAAAATCGTAAAATGTCACAAATATTTACCAAGTTTTGCGTTGGTGTGATGTTAATAAAATGTTTTAATTATATTTGAGGATCACATCAACTAATTAAATGTTTCCGAATTTAGAGTATTATAAGAATTTCCAGAATTAAAGACTTGAGAGGGACCTTTCTAAATGAACACACCTTGTAATTATTTAATGACAAATTATCTTTATTGTTTATACTTTATACACCCATTTGCGTGTTTATTTATATTTTGTATAGAAAAATAAAATAGCCTCTCACCATCAAAGCATATTTGAAATTTCTACAAGGGGGCCCCGGGATACACGAGAGTGTTGAAAAACATAACCTCTCGAGATTAAAAAAGACGATTATATTCTTTATTTTAATTAAAAAAATGGAGTGTCATTTATATTCTTGAAATAAAAAAATAGAACTCGATTGTCTTCATACTCATACGCAATAGAATAAAAAAGTAGTCTAGGTTTTAAAAGGGACACTAAAAGTCTTTGTAGCAGCTACACATAACATGATCAATTCTTTTGTGGTAACCTCTTTTTCAATAAAGAAACCTATGCTTTTTGTTAAGTCCAGTTAATCCTGTAGCAAATAATATTCATGATTATACACATACGCCTATAGCTTTTATAAAAAAGAAAATGTTTTAATGGAATTTTGAACTATGAAGGTGTTGAATATTTACAACTATTTGAATGTCATTTTGCTTTATATTGTCTCTCTTCGAAATAATCAAATTGTTTAGAGTCAATTACTATAACAATAACTCTTTCTCCTCAACGTTTTTTTTTGTGTTTGCTGATTTCTAATTGTAGGATATTTCCATCTCCCTTCATTTGTATATATAACTTATGTACTTCGTATATATATGTTGTTCACATGATTATATAGTTTTAATATCAGACACGATACGAACCACCAACAAAAGCATTAATGATTTCAAAGTATAGATATAATTAAAGGATTTGCGAAGATTCTTAGTAGTTAAAACCATCGTGATCTTTGCTAAGAGAAAGTGAAGCACACAACACAAATGTTCGCCGCTTGAAAATAAATATAAAACTTAAATTTGTACAACAAGGTTTTAATTATCAGAGAAATTTAAGCATCTACTAATTAATCAAACCAAATTTGTGCAGAATGTTAATGTACATTAAGTTTTGAGAGGTGAAATAGACATCACTAATGTACATTTACTAAGTTTCATAAGTCGCACTAAAGTTAATTACTAAAATTCTAAACCGACAAATTTGAAAAACATCAGCCTTGTACCGACCGGTGAACCTCTCTAACTAAACCAAACCGACTCTCCATCATAAGTCGTCCAACGTGTCGACATATGAGTGGTCACATAAGGTAGTGCAATAGACGGCTGTGATAGGTGGAAACAGCTGAGATGTCGTGAATCGGAGGGCTAAAAAGAGAAGCACTGTACACGTGTCTATCTTCCTCCAGCGATTTTTTTTCTGATTTTCTCATTATTTTTTAATTTTTATTTCGGCGATAGTGACAAATGGCAAATGACGAAAACGACATCTTCATCGATGCATCGTTTGGCCCCACAATCACATGGGTGTGTGGGTCCCTTTTTCGCAGCTTCGTATAAAGAAAATAAGGAAATTACAATGTAGGTCCCTTACTTTTCTGTGCCATTTGGCAGTACAAAGAAAAAAATTGTTAAATAAATATAGTACAACTAAATGTTAGATTACTTTTTTCCCTTATAAATTATCATAATTTTCTATTTCCATTGCTATGTATAGAACCATATTTTCCAATGGAATTTAATTGTTTTAAGGTCATTTGATTAAGATTCATCTACTTTTTAGAAGAGTTTGGTATGCATTATCACTAACGTTTTATATTTCAAACTAATGTATAGATTTTGATGCATTTAATCAGCTTACGAATAAACGTTTAATCCGGTAGAAACAAAACATTCATAACTCATATAGTTTATATAAAAATAAAGAAGTTAGAGCAAGTATATAAAAGATATAAAATACGTATAAGAGGATCAAATGGAGTCAAATATATTAATAATAGTAATGTTTTTTGGCGTCATGTTGTGATTTGAATGCCTCAATTTTAGATACGATCCGTGACAATGGTAAAAGCTTCTGACAGAATGTTTTCATCATTCACTAAAAACGATGTCCCATGCTTCCACTGAAACATGTACGCACAATCATGGTAACAAAAGCACCTTGATGATTGATGATGATAGCATTTTCTCACAAGCCAATCCTATTTCTTTAATTTATCACCTTTATTATTACTTTATTGTCTTTCACCAAAAGCAAATTTTATAGCCGATCGAGGGCAAAAAACTTTTCACGAAAATAAACAATTTTCCACCATTTCTTAAAAGTGATTTATTGTTTTGTTTTTTCCCTTTCACATGGGTTAATTTTATGTTGATTGTAATACAAACAATTAAATGATAAAGATGAATTTGTGTTTCGTCGTGATCACTAGTTCAATGTCTTTTTCACTGGTGAATTTGGTGTTGAAAAGAAAAAATTAATTTACAAAAGAAGAAAGAAGAAAGAGAGAGAGAGAGAGATGTCGTGGTCGTGGGGATTATGAAAAAGAAGAGATGTTACAGGTGCGCAGAGAAAAAGCTGCGTCTAGTCGTCTACGTAGAAAATTAACCTCACGTCTTTTCTTTCCTCCTTTTTCCATTTTCACTCCCTCTATTCCTTTAAAACTTCATATTTTACCTCTATGTTTTTCTACGAAAAATATAAATTGAATAATGATGTATGTATGTGTTTTTTTTTTCTTTCAAAAAGGGGTGTCCTAAAATAAAAAATGCATATAAAGTCGATCGCAAAATTATAAATCACTTGTTTATTCATGAAAAAATAATCATTTTAATGGTTAAAAATATAACTTTATATCACAAAACTATTGGATATTATAATTTTGTTGAATGTTATTTTATCATGTTGATTTTAATTGATGGTGTGTTAATTAACATGCAACTAACACAATCAAACAAAAAAAAAAATTCATAATTGTTATTATATCATGATCGAGCTTAATGAGTAAACTATTTCATCCATTTGAGAAATGAAAACTACATCAAATATCACACTTTGAATTACAAACAAAATCTTATATTTTATCTTTTTAGTATTTGATAAGATAGGTTATATTAGTCAAGTGGAATGTTTAGAGGTAACATTTGGAATACAATTTGGACTTGAGGGGTCAAACGTAGCTTTTTTGCTTTCATCAGTGTCCCCATATTGATTCCTATTTCTGTGAAAGCCCCTCTCGACATCGTTAATTACACGAAGAGCCATTACAATCTTAAACCCAAATTAACTTCTCCCGCTGAGTTAATTTAATAATCCTTATTTATTGATAATTCCACTTTTGCCCTCTGTTCTGTTTTCCCACAGAGTAAAACAGAGCACAACTTGATCATTCAATCTCTTTAGGATCAACGATTCTCAAGTCCAATGATCCGAAGCAGAGTACCAATGAAGTGACGGAGGTTGTTCATCGGAGAAGAAACCACAAGCTTCTTCACCGCTTAGAAAATCGTCGTGATCCTCTGTTTGCTCCGTTTTCACAAACTGTAAGAAACTCCCGCCGGTTACCGTCACGGGCGGCGTCAATCTTCCGTTGTCAGAGCTCGTTTCGTCGTTAAGAACAGCGCTTGAATCGCAACTATCGGAAGATCCAGCCTCGACAACGGTGGAATTCGGTAGAAGGTCACGGAGGTCGGTGAAGCTTCGCCGGTAGTTAAAACCAGAGGAATGTTCTAGAAACTGCAGAGGAGACGAAGGAATCGAATCCATCTTGTGAACTTCTTCTTCCTTAACACTCTCCGTTGTAGCTTTGTTCTTGTTGTTGTTGTTGTTGTTGTTGTTGTTGTTATCTTCGTCTCCGTTTATCTTAGCTTTGATTTTACTAATCTGCAATCAAAAACTTCAAAAAATCAAACCTTTTTGCATTTTCGTCTCTAAAGTTTCGATTTTTATGGCTTCAATCTCTAAAATGTTACCTCTTGGAGAAGAGAATCGTTGTCACGGCGGAGAGAATCGAAATTGTGGCGGAGAGAATCGTATTGGCTCTTAAGAACGCCGTAATCTTTCTCAAGCTGTTTTGTTTTCCACCGTGCACGACGGTTCTGAAACCAAACCGCTACTTGACGAGGTTGAAGTCCAAGCTCTTGTGCTAGTTTCGTTTTCCTCTCAGGCTCGAGTTTGTTCTCAAGTTCGAAATTCTTCTCAAGAGCTTTGACTTGGTCAACTTTTAATCTTCTCTTCTTCTCCGATAGACCCATGTGGTGGTGGTTGCCGGAATATTCCTCCATTAGTGTAGTATCTTCATCATAACCTTCAAGCATAGATTGGTAATTGCTTCCGTACCCTCTTGGACTCTGTTCATCTGTTGTTGTAACCAAATGAGTCTTGTCAATAAAAGAAACAGTAGAAAGTGAAGAATGGATCACATGGGTTTTGTCTGAAATTAGCAAAAAGTAGAAATAACAAAAAATGTTAATAAGAACCTGTAGAAGTGGAGATGAGACCACACATTGAATCTGAGCTACTTAGTCTCTTCATGATGACACCAAAAAGGCTCAACTCTTTTTTTTTTTTTAATTATCAGAGAAATTCTTATGAAGTTTTGGAATTACAACAATGTTGTAAACATAATTGAGCTTCTTCACTTGGACTCATAAACAGAAAGATGAGACTTTAAATTAGAAAAACAGAGAGAGAGAGATATGGATTGAGAAAGTCCAAAAGAGAGAGAGAAGCTTTTAATCTAGAGAGCAATGGTTCTTTGTTTTCAATATGAGCAAGTTGGTTTCACACTTTCTCTTTCTTTAAATAAACCAAACTTGGGTTAAGAGTAAGGGTTAAAATGTAACTTGGGTTAAGTTTGAATCAGAGTTATATATGGCTCGGCTCGGCTTAGACAAAGTTGCGGAATCTATGATACGTCGCCGTATGGGTTTATAATTTGGTAAAGCTTAACCTTATTTATTTATTAAGGGTGTTTTTATTTTCAAACTTTAAAATTCAGAGAAAATCATAAACAGCTAAAAGCAGATACGTAAGATGCAATTAAAAAAAAAAAGATTATAAAAATGCAACATCCTCTGAAAATCGTCATAAGATACGTCACAGAAGATTTGATGACAAAATGATAAACTATATGATTTGTTTGTTGATGAATGAAATCAAATGTAATTTTCCTGATCAAACTAAAAATTCGGTTGGATAAGATATAAAATTATACGGATGGCTTATTTAATCCCACATATCTTATTTGAGATATTATTAAAACATGTGTTCAAAAAAAAAAAAAAAAAGATATTATTAAAACATTAGTATTAATTTGTTTTTGTTGGCAACGCAGAAGAGTGGGAAAAAGGCTTGTGGGTGGGGGAACAAGACTGACACAATTTGGGTTTGGTTCATTGAATTATCCAAAACTATGGGCTCAGTCAAAATATCAATTTTGTGTCTACGATCTCTCTCTTTTTTTTTTTTTTTTTTTTTTTTTCCTTTAAACGACTTATGAAAAACATACAGGAAAGTTTAAAATGGTATGGTGATAAATACCAAACTATAGCATATGTCAAAAATGAAGCTTTATTATATAAAAATTCAATAGATGTGGTGATTTTAATTTTTTTTTTGCGTTATTCCAAGTGGAAAATACATACGCAAACGAAAGAAACAATCCCATGACGATTACTCTCTTTGAAACGGAGCTTTTCCGGCCGGGAGGCAATGAAATGTTTCTAGAACAGAATAAAAGGCTTTGGGTCTATCACTTATTCAATTTTAAAGATTTGTTGATACTCATTTCATTTGTGATCAATTTCAAGAAACGTTATCTTTTTTTTTTTTTTTTCGTCAGAAAGATTTTTATAGAAAACAAGGTGAAATACAAAGATGAAATACTAAGCCGGCGGTTAACAAATAACCCCAGAAACTTAAGCCGACGATTAAAGAGATAATCTCGGAAGCAAAGCCCAAAGAAAAGGGAATCAACAAGGCAAAACAAGCCTTAAACAAACAGGGAAACAATTCCGAAACTGAAACAAGGAAGCAGTACAATACAACCCGACATTTAACCACAACATCTCATCAATCACCTTACCAAACAAAATAAAGGAAGAGCTTTACGACGAGCCACTCCGTAGTGGGTAAGGAACTCCCAACCAAACGGACAGCGGTACCACCTATTACGATGAAGACTACCTCACATAGACGAGTTCTAAGGAATCCATACCGGCGAGAAGGGATCTAGGCCAAAGGCATCAATATCACACCAACACTCCCGGAAGCGGCGAAATCAAAGAATATGATTGTTTAACGCCTCGAAAGAAACCAACCAATGAACAGATGAGATCTCGATCAGATCTTTAGAGTAGAGACAAGGAGAACCAAATCAATCCGGACCACACCGAACAAGATAAACGGCAAGAGATCGAACCGGACAGAATCTAAAGCAACCACCACATCTGGTAAGAGGCTAAACGAGACGAAGGTTAAAACACAAGACCGGATCAAAAGACGCTACAAGCAACAGAGACGGCATACCCACAAAAGCGACAGAAGCCATCTATGAAACAAATCAAAGACAAGCCAATACAAGCACATTCCCGCAAAGAATGAAGCAGAAGAGAAACGAGATACCAAGACAACACAAAAACAGAGCCATTGAAACTCAGATCCAGCGAGGAATGAACACCATGAAAGCAGCCCAAAACCTCGCCACAACTAGAAACGCCATAGAACCTCACCAACAACAGGTCCACCACCCGATCTCAACCAAAACTCGGCCGAGAACAAAGCCGCCGTGAATCTCGCGAGCTACTCCTCCGACATCAACTTTGCGAGAGAAACCACTGTCGAAATACTCCACCAACCCTAACTTCAGCAAACTAACCAACAACTATACATGAGAGCAAGAGAGGCCTAGCTCCGGCGCTGTGGAAGCCACCGGAGCCAGCCAACGCAAACTGAGAACTAGATCTGCTTTTAGAGAGAAGGGGGAGGTTTTAGAGAGAGAATGACTTTGACTCCACCAGAAAGACCAATTCTATGAAGAGATGTGTTAGAACTTAGGAATAAAGAGATGGCAAGGCAGGCCTCTACATTATGACCCAGTTTCAGATTATGGACCACGAAAACTGTAGCTTTTCTTATAGGCCTGATCCATTTATTGTACACGATCGGTTTTCTTTTGTTGGTCCCGAGCACATGCACTTTGAAGATATACAGCTGAAGACTGAAAGAGATTTTAAAATTTCTGCCATATATGTCTCTTTGGATTATTATAAGTTCAAGTGTGGAGATTCAGCAATTCTCATTTATCCTTATCAAGTTTATGTCTATCTAGTATCCATAAATATCTACGACTTTGTTAGCATAGAAAATTTTATTTTACAGAAAAATGTGGTGTATTAATTTATTGTTAACTTAACCTTGAAAAAATAGTTTAAATTAATCATCAACTTATAAACACTAACCTAATCGGATTTTAGAGGGTGATTAGCTGCAATGTCCAATTGTTATGATCGATCACTTGTATTGTTGGTGTGGCCATAAATATCAATCTTTATTTTCTTTTGTTGCCAAGGCGATCACACACCACTTATCTACTTGTGTTGTTTTTCTGTGTTTGTTTGTTATTTTCTTGTCTGAAATCAAGGAAATGGCAATTGTACGACGAACCATTCTGACCTATAAGTATTGATTAATTTGACCCTATCGAAGGGACAAAGAATTCGTGTATATGCAGCGAACATGTGGATAAACATAATTGACATATATAATCCTAGCACACAGTTTTGCGGATTAGACTATTTCATCTAAACAAGTAGAGAATAATAAATAACTAGTTATAAATGAAATTGTAACGAACATATCACCCTCAATTTGTCACAATTTTGCCTATTGTCCTTATTTAAAAACCTTTTTTAAGTTCATCTAAAAGTCAAAACAATATAATTGTTACCTTTTGAAGTTTATTCGGGACAACTCTATGCTTCTTTTCTCTAAGTATATAAAACATATCCTTCGTATTTGAAATATCTTGCGTCTATAACCCTTACGAAAAAAAAAGCTTGCAAGCAGAAATCTAATTCATCGTGGATAAATCTCAGCCGTTAATTTCTTCCCGGTGCTTCGAATGAACGATGACACGCGTCGAGTGTTTGAAATCTCACCGTTGGATTATCTTCCACGTGGCAATCATCCTACAGAGCAAAGCCAATGCCCAATCATTCTCACCGAGCCCGCCTGATTTGCAACCGGGTCACACTCCGTCGAAGACCACCGTCTTTGCCGTTCTCGTCGCCCTCTTCTTCCTCACCGGATTACTCTCCGTCTATATCCGCCATTGCACTCGTTCTAGTCTCGATTCCTCCACCAGATACTTCCGCCGCCGTGCTAACGACGGCTGCTCACGGCGAGGCGGACTTGACAACGCCATCGTCGAAAGCTTCCCTGTTTTCGCTTACTCCACCGTTAAAGAATCGAAGATCGGATCCAAGGATTTAGAATGTGCGATTTGTCTCAACGAATTGGAAGATCATGAAACAGTGCGATTACTTCCGATTTGTAACCATTTGTTCCATATCGATTGTATCGACGCTTGGCTTTACTCGCACGCGACTTGCCCTGTTTGCAGATCTAATCTCACGGCGAAATCTGAAAAACTCGACGAAGAAGACGACGGTGTTCCGATACCAGCGACGAGAGATCACGTCGTGATTGACATTGAGACCGTTGAGTTAGCGAAGAGCCACCACCGACGGTTGAGTTCTGAAATCTCCGGTAAGTTTCCGAGATCGAATTCAACGGGTCATTCGATGGATCGATTCAGTGACGGCACTGAGAGGTTTACTCTGCGGTTACCGGATGATGTGAAGAGGCAAATAATGGCGGTGAAAGGACGTAGGCTGAAACGAACGAGAAGCTTTGACATTGATTTGACGGCGGAGAAGTATTGCCGGAGCGGTGAGGAAAGCAGTTACAAAGTCGGGTCGGGTGAGAAGTCGGATCGGGTCAACTGGCCGGATCGATGGGGGTTGACTTTGTTCGTTTCGAAGTCAAACTCGGGTTCCGTTAGATCACAGAAAGCTAACGGTGAACCGTTGAAATGAACGACGTTATATTTTGCCGTGAGCCTCGATTTCAAGTGGTGAAAAATATATGTTTTCTCTTATACGAGTGGTAAAAAGTTAATTTCACTTTGGTTTGTAATTTTGTATATAGAAAGGTCCAGCTTGTTTAGCATCTCGCTAAACATGTATTTGAACTTTTCTAAGAATGTTTAATATTATTAACGAAGATATTGTTTGAGTTTTGATATCATTTCTATTGGTTCATTGATGTATTCATAACTTTCACTAATCTGATGAAAGCATGTATCCATTTTTGTATTAAAAAAAAAAACTTATTTAACGCTTTCATTTGGCAACGAATTATAAAATTTTATAATATACATTTATACATAAATAATTGTGCATTCAAAAGAACATGACTAGCAATTTAGAATTCTCCGGTTGGAAAACAAAAGAGTGTCTCAGACTCACAAGTCCCAGATAAATAGATCGTTACCTGATTATTACGCGTTATTGCGTTAATATTTGTTGTGAATTTGATGGTGGGCTCTTTACTTGTTACAAATGAGTAAACATAATGAATATCTTGTCTTTTTTTTTTTGCTTGCGACTCTCGTCCCACTCCACTCATCCATTGAGTGATGGTTACAAATTCTCTTATTTTTCGCTATGGATTCTTAATTTTGTATAGTATGTATGACCTTTAGTGGTAATTTATACAATTTATTTTGTTTTGGTTTCCTTACCATTAAATCCACTAAGCGGATTAAACTATAGTTGTATTTCTTAATAGATCGGCACCTATAGTTTCGTTTACATATTTCACACGTTTCGTCAGATTATTAATGTTTTTAATCGTAGTTGACAAAAGATAGTAATAGTAGTATGTTCATATAGTACATATTTATAAGAAGTTACGTACTCCTCAGCAACCATTTTATTCACAAGTCTAGGATATAAACAAAGAAAAATACCTGTTTTCACACCGTATTTTTCATAATAATATTTATAATAATTATCCAAATTGTTCTTTTTAGGAATCGAATATTTAAAAATTAGATAATACGGATACCCCTGACGAATTTGGTGAAGAAGAACAAGAAATCATCAGAACGTTCGATTCGAACGATTACATTCCATTTAAAATTTGTTTGAATATGGAAAGTAGTTTGAAAAAGACCAAAAACAAACAAAAAAATAATGCAATCGACGAGCGAGTGATTCTCCATATATATTGATTATTTGACCCATGTTGGTTACATCGAATAACAATAGTTTCCTTTCTTGACCAAAAAAAAACTATATATTATATTCTTATAAATCCAGCAAAAAGAAAGAAAAAACAAAACAAGTCATATCCAACTTCAATCGATGGGAAGAATTACAAGTTTTGCAGATCTAATGGGTATGATCAAAGACAAAGCTTCTCAAGGCAAAGCTGCTTTAGTTTCATCAAACACTAAAAGCAAAACTGTTTCTTTCCATCTCTCTGTCCTCCGTGCCACTACTCATGACCCTTCAACGCCGCCGGGAAATCGTCACCTCGCTGTTCTCCTCTCCGCCGGTACTGGCTCACGAGCCACCGCTGCTTCAGCTGTAGAATCCATCATGGAACGTCTTCACACAACCGGAGATGCTTGCGTAGCTCTCAAATCTTTGATCATTATCCATCACATCGTCAAACACGGTCGTTTCATACTCCAAGATCAGCTCTCTGTTTTTCCGGCTTCCGGTGGCCGGAACTATCTGAAACTTTCTGGTTTTAGAGATGAGAAATCTCCTTTGATGTGGGAGCTTTCTTCTTGGGTCCGATGGTAAGTCAAAAAGACCAATAAGAAAAAAAAGTTTCAATTTTTATCAAAAAGTTTGGATTTTTATATGTTTTTGATTTTTGTAGGTACGCTTTATATCTTGAGCATCTATTATCAACTTCAAGAATCATGGGATTTTTCATTTCTTCAACATCGAGCACAATTCATAAAGAGGAATACGAAGAAATGGTTTCTTCTCTTACCAACTCTGACTTGCTTCGTGAGATCGATGCGCTCGTTGGTCTACTAGAAGAAGCATGTAAAATTCCGGATCTACCCTTCTCCGGTGGCAAATCTCTTGCAGACAAAATCACTCATTTGGTCGGAGAAGACTACGTGTCTTCGATCAACGAGCTTTACACGAGATTTAAAGAGTTTAAAGAACGATCCAACACTTTGAGCTTTGGAGATACGATTGAGCTTGTCTGTGCTTTGAAGCGGCTCGAGAGTTGTAAAGAGAGATTGTCTGAAATCTGCCATGGGAATTGGAAGAGAGGTTGGATCGATGGGTTCTGGGGTTTGGTTCTTGAGGTTAAGGGTATAATTGGTAATTTAGAGGATAATTATGGGCAGATTGAGAAATCGATTGTTGGGTTTGGGACGAGAGAAAAAGGATACGAATCGGCTCGGTTTACTGATCGGTTAGTTATCGGTTATGGTGATGCTGTTCGGTTTTCTTCAGGTAGATTTTCGAATGTTGATCGGTTTAATTTCCCGGTTTCTAATGGACGACTTTGATCTTCTTGTGAATTTTTATTTTTGTTTTTTGGTCCGATGTCTTGTGAATTTTACAAGACAATCTTAAATGAGGAAAAAAGTCCTAAACTTGAGATTTTACTTCCATGATTCCATCTGTTGGGCAACACTTACACATAAACTTGAGCTTTTGATCGTGAAGGCCTATAGTTTATGAATTATATATATACCTTAGCCTTGTGGAATCTCGTCTTTATGTTTAACCAGATTTTGACATAGTCATTTGATCGTTACAAAATTCAAAAGTTCAATTTGTTATATAAAATTTAACATTGTTGTATAATAAATTTAGCATTTCAAATTGTCAAGGAAATGATTGCAAAAATCTAGTCAAAGCAAATGGTGCATATCAAAGATATGTGGGAAAGAGGGAAACGTTATATCACATATGTTTGATCCTTTTAGCTTTATGACGACTATTTCCACGATTGCTTTGGACCGTTATCCACTGCAAATTTTTCTTGCAACTTTGGGAAAGTTTTACACAAGACTATATTAGCGATTGCATTCAATAATAATGCAAATGGATTGTTATTAAAATACTAGTATTAATCCCGTACTCCTTACGGGGCAAAACTTTAATCAAATTTATAAAAATTTTACCCGATAAAAGTTGTAGGAAAGAGCAAGGAAGAAAGAGATTTGTAAGCTTTTTGTATGAAATAATGTTGTTGTTTTATTGTTGAAGAAGAGAGGCATAGAGGAGATATTGAGATCGTGGGGGTGAAGAGGGGAAACAGTTGCAAGGAGATTTTATTTTTTTAGTCTTTTTTTTTTTTTTTTTTGTCGAATAGCAAAAGTTTAATTGTTTAGAAATCTGAAAGTGTAAATATTGGGACTTAAGACAGGTGTCGGATGGAGAGGGTTGCAGTTTTTTTAGAATTGACTTGTGATTTATTATATAAAGATCTAAAACTGGCTGTAATTTTTCTCTAAAACGATCCAATTTTCTTTATCTAAAACATACTAAATTAATACTTGCACGAAATATAAATAGTAAATTAAAATGCAACCATATTAAACAAGACTTTATTAATCAAAAAATAATGAAGAAAATTACAATCAGAAATTCTTCCCTCAGGTTTAATCACATGGCCCAATCAAAGTTATACAAATATTAAAAAGACCCCAAAAAGAAAACAACAACAAAGAGGAAGAAATGTATTTAGGGAAAACAGAGAGATCTCTTAAACAGATCATGATAAGAAAAACCAAAGGAGAATGAGAGAGAGAGATAGAGTAATACGTAGGGCACCCTTTAAGCCAAAACGACGGCGTACAAGGCTCCGGCAATGACCGTGCTCACAAGGAAAGCTTTGTTAGTCCATGCTGAGTCAGCTACGGGTCCGTCTAGTTGAGGAGCCGGAGCAGGAGCTGGTGTTGGACCTGATGGGCCTGGAGCCAAACCATGTGGTTTAGGAGGAGAAGCGACAGGGGAAGTTGTAGGCGACGTGGTAGGGGGTGAGACGGTTGGTGGAGTTGTTGGAACCGGAGTGGGTTCTTCGACTGGAACCGGGGGTGAAGCAAACGGAGACGGTGGCTCTGCAGTTGGTGACTCTACCGGAGAAGGAGACTCTACCGGAGGGAGAAGCGTGATGGGTGCCGGAGCCGGAGCTTGAGCGAGACATGAGGTGGCAAATAGACCAAGAAAGATCAAAGCGTGCAATGTCTTAAGAGCCATTTCTCTATATTGTTTCAATGTCTTTCGTTGTTTGACGAGAGAGATAGAAACCTGAGAATACTCTTTGTCTTTTGTTGGTGGTGAGAAATGAAGGAAAAGGTGTTCTAATATATAGCTAAGAAGAGATGTATATTTTATTTGATCTTTTGGACTATTTAAACATGCAAGCACATAGAGATATACATGGCTTATTTATTTATTGATTTGGAATATTAGAATTAGTAGTCTTTACCAAGTCTCTTGAATTTTGAAGTTTTCTTGAAGAAATCATCTACAATGAGCCTAGACCTAGTTCTAATTGATAAAATCTCATTTTAATGAGACTAGACATAGTTGGGTTGAGAATCGTTTCAAATGTCGTGTTAAAATTGGTAAATTAGTTGACCACTAGTACTAGAAGATAACCTCATTTCTTGGTTTACCGTATCTTGTAGAAATGCAATTAAAAGAGTTTACATCGAATTAAGCAAATGACATATTATGTGCCAAATCAAACAATTTACTAACTTCAAATATATAAATCACAATTTGCACACAAAAAAAAACTAGAAAAAAGAAGAGTCAAGACCACGCGCCATACTTGGTTCCCACTAAGGTTAACGACGAGGCAGACAAGCAACTTTTATATTAACTTTTTCTTATCTGTGAATGATTATGACATTTATATTCTTATGAATAAATGTTCATATACTAATATCATACAATTATAAATTTAAACAATTTTAAATTGGGGAGAGTTTAGTTGGGTCCTACGATAAAAACCTTCACCCTAAACCAAACCAAATTTAAACCGAAATTCTAAAACCAAAACCAAAACAGATTCTAGACAAGGCATCATCACATTGCTCTAATTATGGGTTTTGATACCCGTAAGGCAAGGTCCAACCTATGTATGAAAATTGTAACGTCTTGAATTATACGAGATTTAAAATTGTATGACTCAAAATTTCTATCCATTTGAATTTATACGAGATTTATAAAATATAGTTGATATGTTTTAAATATGGTTTTATGTTTTTAAGTTTTTAAAATTAAAATTAGCCAATGATTTTAATTCTAAAAATCTTCCTAAAAACATTCCCAACCACTTTTTTTTCAATATATAAATCCAATAATAACATTTTTTTTTTTTCTTTTGTTTTAGAGAAGTTAAATATCCAAAAATCTACAAATAATAAATTAAAATAAAAAAGTCTACCCCACATCCCAAATACAAAAGAAAAAAAACCGATACCATACGTGCGAAATCGGAGAATGGAGCAACCGACGAAAGAGACGACAGTGAAATCGGAGGTTCCAATCAATGATCAGAATCCGAAGCTACCGCATAGTACTGATCTAAAACCAGGAGTGGATCAGGTGGCGACAAAAGGAGCCGAGGATGCGAGTTCTGTGATTGCTTTATCCAATGAATCTACGCTACAAGTCGAAATCGAAACAAAAGGCGATCGAGCACCGACTCGAACAGCGTCCGGATCGAGGAAATCGGTCCATTGGAATCCCGAATTGGTTTCTGAATCTCCGGCACCGGATCAGAAATCCGTATCGTCGTCTTCCGCCGCGGGATCTAATCCGTACGTCGCTCGTGCTCCTGCTGAAACTTCGGATGCCTCGTTGAAAGGTACTGTGTTTCAAACTGTATCTGTATCTTTTAGGTTTATGCCTAATTGCCAATGAGATGTGTAAACGTTTTGTAAAATCTCTTTGAAAATGGATCAGAAACGATGGAAACTGTGAAAGGTGTGCTTGGGAGATGGGGAAGGAGGGTTGGAGAAGCAGCAATGAAGGCGGAGAGCCTTGCCGGTAACACGTGGCAACACCGTGAGTTTCCGATCTTATATGGTTGCATCGTTAGCCCTGAGAATTTATAGGTTTGAGTAGAACTATGAGCTGAGATCGTTGATAGATTTGAGTGATTGTCATGCTACATTGTAGTTGCAGTATCACTCCAAAGGTTATTGATGAGTTAGATATTATATCTTTAGTTTTTTTTTTGTTCTGTGATTTGATGTGATTATGTATGGTTGCAAACTATTAAACCTTGGTATTCATCACAATCAGTGAAAACTGCTCCGAGTTTTGCGGATGCTGCAATGGGAAGAATTGCACAGAGTACAAAGGTTCTGGCAGAAGGAGGGTATGAGAAAATTTTCAGGCAAACCTTTGAAACAGTTCCAGAGGAGCAGCTGCAAAATTCATTTGCGTGCTACTTGTCAACATCAGCTGGTCCAGTCATGGGAGTTCTTTACATATCCACTGCTAAACTTGCCTACTGTAGCGATAACCCTCTCTCGTATAAAAATTCTGGTCAAACTGAATGGAGCTATTATAAGGTAATCATCTTCACTAAAATCAAAGTTTTTGCTATCGGTGGCATCCACGGTTTCTCATTATGATCCATCGAGTTTAACAGCGACTAGAAAGCGACCTCATATATGATAGGAATAGGGTGAAGAACGTTAGATTCTATGACTAATTTCTTGTGCAGACTATGATGACACTGGTTATTAATATGTATATCTTCTTCTTCTTAAACAGGTAGTAATCCCATTACATCAGCTTAAATCGGTTAACCCTTCGGCAAGCATAGTCAATCCTGCAGAAAAGTACATCCAGGTAATCTCGGTCGACGACCATGAGTTTTGGTTCATGGGTTTCTTAAACTACGAAGGCGCTGTTACAGCTCTGCAAGATACATTGCAAGCCGGTGCCTTACAGTCTGTGTGATATACTGGTGCATTCTTGATCACAATAGCATTTTTTGGTTGCAAGCTAAATTATTTGATTCGTATTCTTAATCAGTTACCATGTCTTAATACACCGATAGCATTCCTTCTAAATTTTCTCCTAATCATTATATTGCTAATAAAAAAATTAATTGGATTCTAGGATTTAATGTTATTTTCTTAATTTCGATAAGTTTGTTAGATGATAGGATGTAAAAGAAGATTTTGTTGTTACTCTTACAATCTCCATTGCACTATGTGATAAGCAAGCATAACTCTATTTCATTCGTGTTTAAATAGGAGTTGCAGGAAAAAAAAGGTTCAAACATAGGTAGATACCAGCAAATAGGCACAGATACAGGCTAATCAATCTCTTTACCATTTCCATCTGAGTTCATGAGCCCTGGTTTGATTCTTCATCTTTTCCTTTCCTGTTTTATCTTCACCAGCTGGTATAAACTTCTTTCTCTTGTCCAAATTCTCTGCCTTTTTCGTCTTTTCGTTGTCTACTTCCTTCTTCCTCTCTGTGATCTCAATCTTGGTATCTCCTTCCATCTTTATACTTATGTTCACCTCCAATACTCTCTTGCTCTTTCTCATTGAAACATCGAACAACTCTTCTCTTTCCCGTCTTTGTTCATAAAGTCGACGCAGCTTGAGTGCGAGATTGTAGATCCCGTCCTTGAATTCCCCTTCCAAATTTCTTTCGATTTCCATTTCAAGCTCATCGCGGATCCTCTCTTCTTCTTTAGACAATAAGAGTCTCCTCTGCTCCTACAATAATACATATACACAATCAGTAGCTAACTGCTTTTCTTTCCATAATGAAGGTATAATGTATATATTTTCCTTACATTTTGTCGGCTATAGTCTTTGTGGTCCATGGCTTCACAATTCTCTCCTTGTGCCGATATTTCTTTCTCACTAGATTCGCAAATGGGGTTATAAAACAATGTCGTTTTGACATTGACATTTGTCTTGATGGAGTTCCTTGTGGGCCTCAGTTACCATAGTTGGTGGTCCAAATAAGGTTACAAAAAGTTCTTAATTGTATGGTTTTATGTGACCGTTAACAAAAGATCCTTGGAAACATTTACGCGCCAAATATCTCTAATTGCGGATTCAGAAACTTAGTTGTAGTTGATTAAAACTGAAACTGATGTCCTTTTTATATGTTGGTGAGAATAGTGCTTTACTTGTAAGGCTGCTATGGATTGCTTAAAAGTAGGATCTATACGATCTCTGCCTGAGATATTAAGAAGAAGATTCACATGTTTGTTTCCAAAAAAAAAAAAAAAAATTCGATAGCGAATTAGTGATGAATGTATCTCATTATAAACCCAAAAATTGTATTATTCGGAAAAGAAACTGAAATGATATCTGATTGAGAAAAAAAGGTATCATTTTAGTTTTTTACGTTGGTACCTCTCTCATTGTTGCATGAAATAAATCCCATTAAAAAAAACAATACTCTCGCATAACATCTATTAGTTCCCTATAATTATTCCTTTAATTGCATATTGGATTCGTTTTTTTCACAAATTTAAATATTTTCTCTTTCAAAAAAGAAATAAATATAAAAATATTATGTGTACTTAAAAAAATAAAACAGTTTATCTAAAATACTATTTGAAAAAAAACTTTGGATGTTGTGTCAAATTAGTTTTACACAAAATTAAAAATTTAACACTTATCAAAAAAAAATCTAAAATATTATTTGAAAAATAGATAACCTACAGTTTTAATAGTAATATTAAATATAAATTTTAAAACTTTTTTCATAAAAAACAAGTGTTAAAATTTAATTATATGTAAACCATGTTAAACTTAGAACACCTCTTAAGGGTTTAGATGTTGTGTCTAATTAGTATTGGAATTTTTTAAAAAATTTAACACTTATCTGGAAAAAAAACAAAACATTAAGAAAAAAACAAGTGTTAAAAATTTAATTAAGTGTAAACCATATTGAACCTATAACACCTCTTAGGGATTTCGATGTTGTATCCAATTAGTTTACACAAATTTTTAAAATTTAACACTCATAAAAAAAAACAAGAGTTAAAAATTTAATTATATGTAAACCATATAGAACCTAGAACATTGTACATTGAACTTATTCTTTTTCACTCAAAGTTTTGGTCCACACCTACTTTTTCACCTTTCTTACATTTTGACCCTTCTTTTATATTTTTTCATCATTCTCAACCCTTCTATGTTTTTGGGCAAAGATCCATCCATCTTCATTCTTCACTAATTGATTTTTTTTTCCAATTTGTTTAAATAAATACTAAAAGGTTGGTAAACCAAATTACCATATAACAGACCGTTTTTTGAAGTTTTATATATTTGGGCCGACCCAAGTATAAATCACGGCCCATTATCCAAAACCCTAGAAGCCTTGTTTATAAAAATCAGAGATTTTCAGAAGCTGAAGTGACTTTGATGCGTCCGTACGAAAATGGAGCTCTGCACCAGGTCAACCACCGTCATCACTCATCTCCCTTGGACCATCAACGGCCATGGATATCTAGCGGGGAAATCTGTTCATAGAATCTCACTACTTCCTCTCCATCGAAACGTTGCGTCTCTCGTTCTTCAATCCCGTACGAGAACTGAGAAACCCTAGGTTCCTGTTTTTGCTTCGTGCTATTGTGATTCACTCATTGCTCTCACTTTTGCGTAATTGGATTTTTCAAAACCCTAAATTGATGAGTAAATTCATTATTTTTTTTTTCTTTTCGAATTGGATTGTTTTCAGAGTTTAATTTTGTAATTAGTATAGAGTCTTGATTTCTTGCGTTTCGTCAATAGTTTGATTGCTTGCTTAAGTAGATTTCATGGTTCTTTTCCATGGCCTAGGCACGTTGCGTTGTAGTAGAAAGTTTCCAGGAGAAACAGTTTCTGAAGAAACATCAACAGGAGTCAATGAGTTTGGTCTGGAGGATCGTGATGGAGTAGTAGTTGCAGTCGAAGAGAAAACTTCGGATAGTGAAGCTCCTCAAGCTGAAGATGACCAAACTCAAGCCCTAGAGTTCTTGAACGATATTAAGGTATCTCTAATTAACATTATCTTGAGATGATGGGAATTTTAATAAATGCTGGTTATGCTTAGATAGTGAAACCATTTCAGTTCATCTATGGTAGTAGTTCTTTAAGCTTGATGTTTTCAATATGTCTCTCAAATGGCGGTTGCTATGATTTTAAATGCTTAGTTCTTTAAACATTATTCCTATAAAATTTTGATTCATCAACATGAATATCAGAAATCTAACAAGTGACTGATGTTGTGATTTGTCAATGTAGCTGGACTCAGACAAGACGTATTCAATCTTGCTCTATGGGAGCGGTGCAATAGTTGCTCTCTACTTAACTTCTGCAATCGTCAGTTCACTCGAAGCAATCCCTCTGGTTAGTACTCTTGAGCTAGCCCTGAAACAAACTCTGTTTAATATATTTGAAGTAACCTTTCATAGTTGATGTTACAGTTTCCTAAGCTAATGGAAGTGGTTGGTCTCGGATACACACTCTGGTTCACTACCCGTTATCTGCTATTTAAGGTAAGCTAAATATAGGCTTAATCTACTGAGTTTAAAACTTAAAAATTCATCTTGTTTTTTTAAAACCATTCACTTTATTTGCAGAGGAACAGAGAAGAACTCAAGACAAAAGTTAGTGAAATCAAAAAGCAGGTTCTTGGGTCTGATAGTGAGTGAGTAGTTTTGCTATTTTATTTTATTTTATTTCGCTTGTAGAAATTGTTCCCCACAAGTTTTTTCTTCCACTGGGTTTTCAGAAAACAATTTTATGTCTTTGGGTAGTTTTTTTGGCAGTGTGGAGAGAGAATCTTTTGATGATTGGATTTTAGAAATGTTCCAAGTAACTTAAATTAGATGCTATGTATGTGTATTTTCCAATGTTCAGACTAAAAACGTCAGAAGTACGAATCATAAAATCCAAGGCTAAATAAGTTTTATATATTATAAAATCGAGCATATAAAAAATCCTCTTTTAATAATAATAAAAATATTTAGAAGCCACAAACCACAGGCATCAAAGAAAAACTTTTGCAAACTAATTTTCTTTCTTTCTTATATACTAAAAGTCTAAAAGTAGCAAAGAAATTTGTGGTCATGGTATCCGTTGTATTCCTTTTCTCCTTGAGCATTTTATTACGGGGACTACTATTCTTGTTTACATCTTAAAATAGAGATGAAAACTCTTTATAAATAGATTGTATACATAAAATATTCCATCAAACCAGAAGAAATAAAACGAAAAAGATATATTAAGAAGATAAGAAAATGGGTAAAAGTGTAAGACTTGTTAGTTTCATCACTTTTGCGATGATCACCATGTTGATTTCAATTAGTATATCAGTAAATCCACAGTCAATTAAGCCACGTCTGCATCCTCATAGTTGTTTCCCATCGAACATCAAAGAGCCATGCCACAATGTACAAAATCGCTATGAGGCTGATAAATTATGCCAAAAAGTTTGCTACTCTCAAACTGACTATATGGCTGGAAAATGTATGTCTGACGTCAAAGGAAGGCAACGTCAATGCTACTGCGGCGTATGCAACTTGTGAATCTCAACTCGAACCATCATTTCCGAAAACATGCGACCCCTAATGTAATTGTTAATCTTAAGATATGATTTATACTTTTTTTCTAATGAATTCCTTACATCAATTTGTTTTTATATATTTTAAATTCAAACATAATATATTTGAATAATTATTATACAGATTTGTTAATTGGATAGTATCTATACTAGTATTTTTAAAGTACATTTGTTAGCGGGTGGATTAAATTGTTATCCGACAAATTTGGTACTCGACCCGATAAAAAATTTCTTTCATAAATTTTACATCGGATATTTCATATATTTTTTGGATCCGGTCAAAACATATCTGAAATTATGAACCGGATATTCCATATTTAAAAATATACATATTTAGAAAATTTAATTAAGATTTAAAAATACAGTTCTCCTATCATCTTTGTTTGAACATTTTTTAACTGTTTTGAATCATCATATAATACATAAAGTTAAAAAAAAAACTCAATTTTTTTTGCATATATTGGGATTCGAAATTTTTAAATATATTACCCAGTTGATGCAAAAGGTGTGTGTTCAACGTCCCATATCGTCTAAAATGTTTAGATATTGATTCAAAATCATATTATAAATAAGATCAAAATGAATCCAAATCCGAATGAACAAGAGAATTATATACCATGTAATAAGCATCCAAATTTAATATTATGTACCGTTTCATTCGGTTTTTTAGTTTAACTGCTTAATTTTACCGGAAATGTTAAATTTTAAACTTTTATAAAGTTTTAAAATCAATAAAATGTTTATAATATTATGAATATTTGAACATATACAGTATAAAGAGTTACAATAACACGAGACGGGTTATATTGCTAGACGGAGTTATTAACGAGACAAATTTTTAAGAATTTTTAAATATTATAATTCATATATTAAAAATCAATAAAAATTTTATAATATTAAGAATATTTGAACATATATAAAGAGTTAAAATAACATGGGACGATTATATTGTAGGACGAGGTTATATTGCAGGACGGGATTATATAGTAGGACGAGATTATATGACGGGACGAATTTGAATCAAAAAGATTTAAAACATCATTAACTCGCTGCTTCAATACGGGTTAAATATTCATTTTATTATTTTAACACCACCAATATTAGACATATCAAATAATCCTGATTAAAGTAAAATTGTATAAAACAAAAATTGTCTTGTCGTATATCGTTACTTAATAACAATTGTAAACTATAAAATATAAATGTCTTATAAAATGATATAATTTGCAAATTTATATATATAATATATAACCACTAAATTTTAAAAATCACTAATTTTAAAAACAAATCGCGTATTAAAATCTAGTTGTTATTTATAAAATTAGTTAAAAACAACAGAAAAAAAGAGGTAAGGAGACACAATTCAAGTGTCCCCAAAAGAACCAAGGCCACCAACACACATTTGTTCACATATTGACCAATTATCTTGGGGTAACCGGAATTGACCAAACTTGGTTGATAAATTGGGTTTCCAGTAACCAATTATCTTTTGGTAACCAGAATTGACCAAAGAAAGACATCTCTTCCGACTAACCAAATCAAAGACTCTGTAAGACATTTCCCGAGTTTTCTCCGATAATGAGCGTTGTGTTTAAGCAAAGACTGATCGTAGAGAATCACACAAATATTACTATCGATGTAGCTTGAGGAAGAAGAAGATGAGATTGTTCGTAGAGCCCGAACCCGAATTAAGCCTGCCCATCAAAAACCTGAATTTGAAAAACCCGATGGGTTTTCTAAACCCGAAAAAAACCCGATGCGTTTCGGACTAACCCGTGGTACCCGATTTTTTTCTTATAGTTTTAACCTATAGTTTTAGTAAGCCCAACAACAATTTTCTTGTTTATGGGCTTGACATATTTAGTGGCCCAACCTAATTACCCAAACTTATTAACCTCCTCTTCCATCTGACGCTTCTAGTTCTTCTTCTCATGTCCTCGGACATCTTCTTCTTCTTCTCTACAAGATCTTCAATCTTCTCTCTTGCCAATTTAGCTATTAATCAACTATTTGATTCCAACATCGTTTACATCTAACATCTATGTTAAAAGAAAAAGGTTCAAGTACTATAACCACATGTCCTAAAAATCTGGAAACATCATGAAGTTGATTACAAAGGAGGCTTCAATCTAAAAACATATATGACGCAGAGATTGAAACTTCAGATATCAATCAAATTCCTCAAACTTCATGTAAAACCCGTCCAGTTTAAGCCCGCATTTTCTCAATGCAAAAAATCCGGGTAACAACAAATTTGGGTTTCAAGAGACGACGACAACATTATTTTAGCATATTGCAATATTTCTATTTCGAATGGACCTTTTTGTAATCAAATAACAAACCATTTTTTTATTTTATTTTGTTGGTCACGAGAAAACCAAAACAGAGCATTAGAAAAAAAATAAAAAACAGAGCATTAGAATTTTTTATTAACAAGAAAATCATTCACTCAATGCACCAGGGAATAGTTCAACTACAAAGAGAGACATTCAACTATCCATAGAAATTTATTATTTAAGTAATGTTGTGATCGATATATAGCTTCAACGGATTAAGAACAAAGTAGAAAGTACGTAATTAAGAAGTGAATCAGACATCTTTTTAAGGCAGATAAATTACCATTAGCGACCCTCAATGAACAAGGTCATTTCTGGAACTGTTCCAGATTCGCTTTCTTGTTGCCCTCCGGAAGAAGACCCAGTTTCCACCGGCTATTTGGGCTGAGGTATTGCCTCTGTTTCCCTTCCGAGCATCAAACCCACCGACGACATCGTTGGCCTGTCCTCTGGTAGTTCTTGAACACACATCAAGCCGATCTGTACGCATCGCAATATTTGCTGCGATGATAACACTGATGATGATGAGTCTTTGATTGCAGGATCAATGATCTCTAGGCCGTTCCCTTGGCTCCAATGATTCCACATCTGCCATATCAAAAGTTTGTAGTAAGTGTTTTTGTCAATCTCAAGAAAGAAAGAAATATATAAAAATGAGTTGACAAACTTACGTAGCTGAGAAGAGTGCTTCCGTCGTTGAGATGAAGGAAATCTATATTCCTCTTGCCACTGATTATCTCAAGAAGCATGACTCCGAAGCTGAAAACATCTGATTTTACTGATAATACTCCGTCGCTCCTGTATTCAGGTGCTATGTAACCGCTGCTTGACAAAAGATTAATATATAAATCTTTTAATTTGTGTTTCTCGAATACAAGGAGGATACTGTTGCTAGGTATCATTTCTCACAATGTTCCAGTCACGGTCGTCACATGAGCTTCAGTCTCATCCCCTCCAAGGATCCTTGCCATCCCGAAGTCCGAGATCTTTGGGACCATATCTTTGTCGAGCAAAATATTGCTCGGCTTCAGATCTAAATGAACGATCCTAAACCGAGAATCTTGATGAAGATATACGAGGCCACGAACAATACCTTTTGCAATGTCGAATCTCGTGTCCCAGTTTAGAACAGAGCCTCGGGTTGAATCTGCTAAAGAATCATGTCAACAACAATCAACTCGACTAGACTATATAGCTTAGGGAAAGGCACTAACCGAAGAGATACGTGTCAAGGCTGGAATTCTCTAGGAACTCATAGACCAATATCTTCTCGTCTGCATTATAGCAAAATCCGATTAGCCGGATGACATTAACATGTTGTACTAGGGCGATCAGTTTCGCCTCAACTGCAAACCCATCAACTCCTATTGGTGACATCTTGGACAATCGTTTCACGGCGATCTCTTGCCCATCACATAACCGTCCCTGTTTCACAAATTATACAAATTATGAGTAAAATATATAATTTGTATCTACATATTAATTTCTCTTTATAATTACCTTGTAAACGATACCGAAACCACCTTTTCCGAGTTTGTTAAGCTCCGAAAAATGGTTGGTAGCAGTCGAAATAACGTCAAAATCCATGCGTTTAGATCCCCAATCCTCGGTTGTGTTGATCTTCAGATCTCGGTTCCTCTCTTGTGACACTGTTTCCATGCACTCAGACATTAAAACCAAAATATGTACATATATAAGTAGAAAAGAAGACTGTATAAGCATATAATACCGTTAGCAGCTGTTCTTGCTCGCTTCTTTCTCCTCGTCCAGAAACAAATTATGATGAAACTTAGAAGAAGTAACAAACAGCCTCCAACAGTTGATCCAATGATGGTCTTTTTATTCATTCTTCTCTTTTCTCCTAAACAAAAAATTCCTATCAAAATTTATACCAAGATAATGATAATAGGATAATAACAAAACTATAAAAATTTTGGATCGGAACAAACCTAGATCAGCAGCCACCAGCTTGACATAAAGATCTTGACCTTGGGGTCTGTAGATCCGAAGATCTACCAAGTCACCGGTCCACATCACACAACCCCAGCCACCATTTTGCATGTCCGTATTCGCAAAGGCCGTGCAATTGCAATCCATAACCATAAGGCACCTCGCCTTACATTCCTCTAACCCAATTGTAGTGTCCACGATAGTGGTCTTAGTATCTGGCAGCTTCATTTTCGTAAGATGCAGAAAACCATTTCCAACGCACCTCATTTGTGACTTCCTGACACACCCACCTGTCAACTCTTTAAACTCCCACGCCTCTTGGTCTCTAGGCTGAAACCCTTGGAGACAGTTACATATCGGCGTTGTGGTCATGTCACAGTAACTATTAGGCCCACATTCACTGTAGTTATCACATTGGTCGCGTGGTATCTTAAATGGCAACGTCCACTTTTGCGCTGTTGGCGTCCACACCCAACGCCGCAATAATCCGTCGTAGTTCATTTCCAATACGGAGTAGAAACTATTATTATTGATGTCGAACGAGTATGTAACCTCTTCACTAGTCTCTGTAAGATTGATTGTAGCATAAGGCGATACTTGGATAGCTGTCGATGACCCACTCAGAATGACTTTATTCCAGGGGCCACTTCGGTAGATTGGCGAATTTTTCTTGAATATGAAACTCTCTGGAAGATTTCGAATTTCAATTTTATATATATAGTCTCCGTTTGAAGGATCATCAACGCTCTTCCAGGACCTAAGTCTTCTGTTGATGTTTGTTTTGCGGTCCCAGCCTAACTTCATTCCTGGGAGTAAAGTATCGGTCGGAAAATCAAAGCTCTGCCACGAATATGAAGAACTGTTGGAGTATCTCAGCACGAAATTACCGTTATCCAGAAGCTCTGCCACCAGAAGTTGGTTATTGATCATATTCTTTGTCAGATTCGTCGTCCACGTAACCCGGCCGGAATGATCGAGGAAGACAATATTGCTATTATCGACTTTGAGGGTTCCGATGGAGCTGGAGAGAGGATTGTCTCTGTTGGCTACCCATACGACTCTCGTGGCGAATCTCTTATACCAAATTCCGAGATACCAACGATCTCGTTCTTGAAATCTCGTTGCAGGTTTGAAGAAACCAAGCTCAAATATTCCTTTAGGGGACACAATAGTCTCGTTCTCTGTGATCCTGAGAGGTCTTGTTGGTGAAAATGTAGAATCGTAGCTTGCAATGGAAGTAATCAACACAAAGAGTTGAAAAAACAAGAAGAAGAATGTGTGGAAATGGTTGCCGTGAGGTACACTCCTCGTCATCGTCATCATCATCGCAAATTATTTTTGTTTGTTTCTTCTGGTTTCTTTGCTTTCCGTTTTATTTTCGATATTTGTTGATGCTAATAAATTTTACATTCATGAAGAAAGAAAAAACTCTCTGTAGATAATTTTAATTAGCAGACAAAAAAAGAATGGCTATGTTGTTGACTTTTCATCACTTCCATATTTTGCTTTTGGCCATTACATTTGATTTTATAAAAGATGTGAATTTAATATCATTTCAGACAGGCTTACAAGGTCTAGAGCGACAACGAACATTACATATGTTTGTAATGTTCGGTTCTTAAAACAAAGATGTGAATTTAATAATATCAATGAACATTACATATGTTTGTCTAGAGCGACAAGGATGTAAAGGCCTAGAGCTCCATGCCGTCCAACTCCACGTTTCAGCCTCATACTTACGACCAACTTGTAATCGATAGAGTTATTTTGCGATAGAGAACGCTAAAACGTTTAAAAGTGTGACTCGTCTCCGCCAACATATCTAGTGATGTGTGACTGTGATACAAAACATTAATCACTTCCATTTGGCTAACTCACAAAACCCGGGCCCATCCAATTGATTCTTACTGACCCATCTCGATCGAAACCCATTATTAAGCGATGCGTCCGGTTATATTATAAGGTTTACACGCTGGGTGCTTAGAGTTTTATTTCTTTATGATTTTTTAGTTTCTTAGAAATGATAACTTTTTATATGTATCAACAGTCAGATGAATACATACAAAAAACATCCTATCCAAAAAAAAAAGAGATATTAATAAAGACAAATTAGAATGGCTAAGACTGTGAAACTTGTTATATTATAAGGTTTAGAGCTCTCTTATCCATCTTATAAATTCACCGATCATCACGGATTCACCATCTATAATTTTGATATGTTTTCGTGTTTGGTCACATATCAAAATCTCAATTTCCCTTCCCGTTTAAGATATGTATAGTATCAAATTCTATATGTTAATTATGTTGCCTCATTATAATATTTAAGAACAAATGAATGTGAAATTCGAACAAATATGGATTCTGTCTACAATTTTTTTTTTTTATCGAGTGTAGATACTCTCAAGTTTACATCCTCTATTTAAATGGAGTTTGACGTAAACTAATATTTTAAAAACAATTACTTATTAATTATTCTTCTTAAACTCCACGTAGTAGTAGTTATGAAGAGGGTTTTTTTTTTTGAGAAATAACTTTTAAAATATTGGAGAAAATCATATCTTTGCTAATTAATATTTTTTCTTACTAAAAATAGCAAAAGAATTGGTCCAAATACGGGTCAACACTCTTCCGATATGTTATTTTGTTGTGACGTTGGAACTATTCCGTAGATGTTTTCACGGACTATCTTTTTAGTTTCTTTCTAAAAATAGAAATGATAAACTCTTTATATATTAACAGTCCGATTATGATCCTACAAACATAAAACATCCTATCAAAAGTTTTTAAAAAGAGAGATATTAAGAAGGACAAATTAGAATGGCTAAGATTGTGAAACTTGTTAGCTTCTTCATCACTTTTGTCGTGATGATCTTTCTATTAATTTCGACAGGTAATATGCATTTATAACAAAATATTTTATTTTTACAAATATGAGAACTAGGTTTTGATTTATTTTCAAACACAAGTGACTTAAACAATCCAAGCACAACTTACTTGTGATTCTTTTCAAAAACGTATATTTATTAAGGCCTAACTAAAACTAAACTATCCATTTTAGCAAAAAAAGTTTCAATATTTCTTTGATGATTACTATATCAGGAATACCAACGATAGAGGGCAAAAGGCCACATCTTTGTAATCCCACACGAAGGAAGGCGCCGCCTGGGACATGTAATATACAAAATGGAAACATATTATGCCGAAAATTATGTATGGGTCCAGTTGACAATGGTTATTATAGAGGTTTTGAGTTTGGATACTGTCGAGCTGCTCCAAGAGGAAGATATTGTGAATGCAGCAATTGTGGAGAAACTCCCATGCGATTTTAATAGAAATGTTGAATTCTACTGCCATTGAGCCTTGTGGAAATGGCATGCTTTCAAAATTCTGGTTTAATTAATTGTATTGATTATTAATAATTGATCAAGCAATCGCTGGTTACTTGTCATTTTGAAAATGTTGGGTAAAAGTTGTATTCTTACGACATATTTTCCCCACACAAATAATATATTAGTAATAAACAATTATTACATCCTTGTGTATGGTGTTAATGAAAAAGCAGAGATAGATAAGGCACACGAGAATTAACGAGGTTCGGCAACGTGCCTACGTCCTCAAAACAATAACTAGATTCACTTAGACAATCTTTACAACAAGACCTTGCCTAACTGGAATTACACGACACTAAGAACCTCTTAGTTCGACACCAAACAATATCTAGTTACACCCAGTATTAGAACAACTAAACCCGTGTTCCAGCAAGCAGCTCGACTTGCCTACAAAAGCACCGAAACAAAGCAATTCGTTTTTCTCTCTCTATTTTCCCTTCCCGTTTAAGATATGTATAGTATCAAATTCTATATGTTAATTATGTTGCCTCATTATAATATTTAAGAACAAATGAATGTGAAATTCGAACACATATGGATTCTGTCTACAAACTTTTTTTTATCGAGTGTAGATATTCTCAAGTTTACATCCTCTAATTAAATGGAGTTTGACGTAACACTACAAAAATAACGGCAGGTCACGTCGTTTAATATCGTATTTAACGTCGGTATAAAATGACGTAAGATTAATACCGTCGGTTTAGAAAGCGTCGTAATATTGTATGACGTTAACAGTGACTAAATTTAACGTTATTTGTGAATAAGCTCATGAAAATCTCTAACTATAAGAGATTCGATGAAACCAAATAAACATATTTTGACTAGAGTTTTGTGTAATAGGCCCAATGATTTATCTACAAATATTAAAGTTCTTATAAAATAAATAAAATTGAAAACCAAATTTTTAGTCGGTTAGTAAACCGACGGCAAGTTCCTTCCTAGTCAAAATTTTAAAGTCGGTTTAGTAATTGACTTACATAAATTGACGTTATCCAGAGTGTTTTTTGTAGTATATAAAATATTTTAAAAACAATTACTTATTAATTATTCTTATTAAACTCCACGTAGTAGTTATGAAGAGGGTTTTTTTTGAGAAACAACTTTTAAAATATTGGAGAAAATCATATTTTTGCTAATTAATATTTTTTCTTACTAAAAATAGCAAAAGAATGGTCCAAATACGAGGTCAACACTCTTCCGATATGTTATTTTGTTGTGACGTTGGAACTATTCCGTAGATGTTTTCACGGACTATCTTTTTAGTTTCTTTCTAAAAATAGAAATGATAAACTCTTTATATATTAACAGTCCGATTATGATCCTACAAACATAAAACATCCTATCAAAAGTTTTTAAAAAGAGAGATATTAAGAAGGACAAATTAGAATGGCTAAGATTGTGAAACTTGTTAGCTTCTTCATCACTTTTGTCGTGATGATCTTTCTATTAATTTCGACAGGTAATATGCATTTATAACAAAATATTTTATTTTTACAAATATGAGAACTAGGTTTTGATTTATTTTCAAACACAAGTGACTTAAACAATCCTAGCACAACTTATTTGTGATTCGTATATTTATTAAGGCCTAACTAAAACTAAACTATCCATTTTAGCAAAAAAAAAAGTTTCAATAATATTTCTTTGATGATTACTATATCAGGAATACCAACGATAGAGGGCAAGGCAAATTATTGTAATCCCACACGAAGGAAGGCGCCGCCTGGGACATGTGATATACAAAATGGAAACATATTATGCCGAAAATTATGTATGGGTCCAGTTAACAATGGTTATTATAGAGGTTTTGAGTTTGGTTACTGTCGAGCTGCTCCAAGAGGAAGATATTGTGAATGCAGCAATTGTTGAACCATTAAGCCTTGTGGAAATGGCATGCTTTCAAAAATTCTGGTTTAATTAATTGTATTGATTATTAATTATTGATCAAGCAATCGCTGGTTTGATTACTTGTCATTTTGAAAAAGTTGTATTTTGACGACATATTTTCCCCACGCAAATAACAATTATTACATCCTTGTGTATGCATGGTGTTGATAGAGAAATGTTGCCAGAGTAGGTAGATTCGTAACAACCCTCAACTAATATTTTAATTAAGATGTAATTCAAATTCACGACATCGGAAAAATAGTGTTTTTGAATCCGAACAACTTGTGCGGTGTGTTTTTATATAATTTAACAAAAGAAAAACGTGTAATTTTTTAAACTATTATATTTAAACGTACTAAAACTATATTGTTTTCGTTTACTTAGACAATACGTGGTGTTATTTTTTTTGGTTTTAACCAAACGACAGCGTTTTTGTCATAAACGACGAGAATTTGCAGAGTCGAAAGCAAAAAGGCAACAATCAGATGCGGGTGGGCGTACCGGTAGCAGCAGGAACCACCGTCGCCGTCGTTCTCCGCCGCAGAATCCCGGTGATAGTGGCTGCATCCGGCAGGAGCTCGATGGCTTCAAATTCGGGTTCAGATTCATCATTCACGACAATCAAAGAAATCGTATCCGTGGAGAAAGAGATAAAGAAGAGCAAGTTCATAGCAATCGCTGGTCCAATCTCCACCGAGCAATCAGCTCAAATGTTCCTCTCTCAGGTCCGCGATCCTCGCGCTTCTCACAATTGCTGGGCTTATAAGATCGGTGATCAACACCATCGATGTAGCGATGATGGTGAGCCATCAGGCACAGCAGGGAAGCCGATTCAGTCTGCAATTCTTTCTTCTGGATTAGACAGAGTTATGGTTGTTGTCATTAGGTTAGTTTCTTTGTTGAATCTTGAATCTTTACAAGTTTTGAGAATACAATCTCTTGTTCATCCTCATATTATAGGTATTTTGGGGGAATCAAACTTGGAACTGGAGGTCTTGTTAGAGCATATGGTGGTGTTACGTCTGATTGCTTGAAAACTGCTCCTATTTGTCATGTCAAGTCCAAAGTAAGAGTCTTTTTTATTATCTCTTTTGTTGTTGTTGTTGGTCTTCTTGATCAACTTGATGATGAACATCTCCAGGTTCAAATGGGAGTCGAGGTGACATTTGATCTTTTAGGTGTTCTTTACAATCAGGTGAGAGATTCTGGCTGCGAACTTTTTGAGATTTCCTGAGTGCGTTGTCAATCTATGCTCATGGATCTTTTATATATGTGTCATAGCTGCAATCTTGTCACGCTGAAGACATCAAGGAAGACTATGATACTGGTAAAGATGGTACTGCAATGGTTTCTTTCAAGGTTGAATTTGACCTGGTTGATAAATTAGAGGATGCTATCAAATCAAACTGTAGACGAGACCTTGTCTTTTACAAAAGTTAGGTAAAGCATTGTCATGTAATCGTTGCAGAATAAAGCTTTTTTTTTTTTTTTGTTAAGCAACAGAATGAGAGTGCCTTGTTCAAAGTATTTTACGTTTGATGATGATATATGTAGCCTACTGGTTCAGTCTGTTGAGTTGCAGAGGTCAAGCCAAAAAAAAAGAAGGAAACCACTCATTAGAAAAAAGCTGTATATTACAAAAGGAACTGACTCATGGAAGCAACAACAAAGAGGACGACGACACCAAACAACAGCAAAAGAATGCATATATGTGTATACAAACTGACACAAAGTAGAGTGTGTGATACAAAGCTGTCTCAGGAGAGAAGGATAATAATCTGTGACAGCTAAAGAGCTAGCTTGTCACTTCTCTTACTTTGAAGGTGGTGGAGTAAGGAAAGGAATGTTGAAAGGAAAGTTAAAGGGGAAGTTGCTAGGGAAGTTGACCTGTGGAATGTTAGGGATTGTGGGCTGCACCGGGTTGGGCAATGAAGGTATCTGTGTGCTCGGAATTGGTGGCATTGGCAACCCGGTGGGCTGTGGCAGAGTTGGTTGTGGCTGTGGCAACGTTTGTTGTGCTGGAGTTGGTAGAGAAGGAAGCGGTGGCATAGTGGTTTTGGGCAGAGGTGGGAATGTTAAAGCTGGAGGCTGAGTCACTGGTGTTGATTGGAGAAGGTGACGATGAGCGGATAGGCTGGTGAAGAAGCTTGTAAATGTTAGTGCAATGACCAGAGATGTTACAAAGGAGTTCTTGAGAGGAGCCATGGTGCTACTTCTGCGGTATTGTGCTTTGACTAGTTCTTGTTGGTTTGAGTGAGGAAGAGACTTGTGCTGGAACCCTCTATTTATAAGGAAGTTTGATGAGAAGTTGGTGGGGAAAGTTTGAAGAGATATTCGTTGGTTCAACTTATTAAACCAAATCTTTGTTTCCCAGAAGAAAGCTATCTACTAGAAGCAACCATGGGACTTCATCTCAAAAGGTACAATTGGGTAAGAAAAAAGATGGGGCAATTTTTTTTCACATGATTCATATTTTGATATAACACCATCCCCGAAGAAAGAATTGCATCATTTTATTCATTTAGACTCTTGTAAGTATCCACCCAATTTCAATAACACATGGGCTTGTATACCTTTACATCTACCTTCTCTAATGGACTAGGAGAAACAGAGATGTACAAGTATATAAAGAAAATACTCATTGCTGCTGAGTCAACAACAATCCTCCATTGTTGTTGTTTTTCGCCTCTGATGATGATGATTTACCATTCACTACAGGTTTCAACGATTTCTTGAGCTTGACCAATCCTTCATTCCCATTTACACCTTGAACTAACAAGGCACACTTGGTTCTTCCACCTACTGTCATGATCTCAGCTCTCACCGCCTTTGCTTTCACTGCTTTCATTGACTCTGCTACCTCCGACATTAGCCCATCTCTGTCGCTACAACTGAACACGACTCTTGCCAAGTCTCTGTTGTTATTACTGTGGCCCAATCTCAAGCTGTCTTCTAAAGATGGTGTGGTTTGTATGTCCTGAACCATCTTTTTCAATTCATTGAAGTACCTGACAGTCTCTCCAAGCACAGATGCTTTATCCTGCTGTTTAGTTTCATTAACATAATAAAAAAAAAAGTGTTAATTCTCTTGCGAAACATTGTATATGCCTTTTGTGTAATTGAATGCAGAGCTATACTTACTTTGACCAAGTTTGGAAGAATGGTGCGGAGAGTTGCAAACTGGGAATTAATCCGAAGCCGTCTCCTTCTCTCTGCGTCACTATGTTTCTTTGCAGCGACTTCTTTAGATTCGGTTTTCGATTTTGGCTTTGTGACTGAGAAACCTCTGGAGAATAGCTTGCTGCTTGTGGCTGCACCTGCGAGGAAATTTCTTCCCATTGTTGTCGAATACACGGTTGGATTGTAACATCGTGAAATCGGACGCATCCCTTGCTCTAACTGCATTAAATACACAACACATGAAACAAACAAAAGGATTGATTCAGAGGAGGAAGAAAACAGAGAAGATGAATTCTGATTGATGAGAAAAGAAGTAACAGAGAGACTTACATGGTGAAGTAAAACCATGGCGACACAGAGAGAAGGAGACAATAGAACAATGGAGGGAATGTTAATTTGTTGTGTGCTTATATATAAAAAGACAAAGAAAACATTGCAAAAAGAAGAAAGATATGGAGAAGATTCCAGAAGGTACGTAATAATAAATGGGTGATTAATGAGCAATAAGCACGAGAATATATTGTCATAATAACTAATAAACCAAGATGAGAATGAGATTATAATCATAACAATAATAATGATTTAGATTTTCAGACATGAAAATCTGAAAACTAAAACAAACGATATCAAGAAAAGTGAAATTACAACCTCAAGAGTTTATTTATTGAAAAGAAAATTTAGGATTAAGGCAGGACAGGACTTAAACGTTGTCCTTAAGTTTTCTTCTTCTTCAATGGTATCCTTTTCACTCTCTTTCCATTGACTACGCAGAGTCTCGCAGTTCGAGCCATTGAAATAATCTTATGACCGTACTCGTCGTCATCGTCATCAGAAATAACAACCACCTCAATTTGTTTCTTGGGGATAAAGGATTCATGAAAACCCAACTTTCGTTTTCCTTTGCTACACTCTCGGCAAAATGCGGAGATAGCGAGATCGTAATGGGCCTTGATGGGTGGTTTAGACAGCAAAGACCAAGCTAGCGAGGCTTTATCAGCTGCTTCTTGGCTAAATGGGAAATGGTTATGCGTCTTATCAAGAAGCTTCATCAATTTCTCGAAGTCCTCCAATAAAACCGGTCCGAATCGGTTCACCCTAATCATGCCGTAATAATCCTTTAACCCGTTTGGAAGCCGGTTCTCTGCGGCTATGAGAACGTCGCAGATGGCTTCCGCTTGCTCAAACTTATCATCATCATGCTTTTTACTTCTTACCAACTGATTCAGTTGAATGATATACCGAACGCTGATAAAGTCTCGTGATTTGAGGAGTTTATGGCACGTTTCGAGCAGTTTCTTGTCGGCTGATGTGCGGTTCGGCGAAGTAACTTCTCCGGACGACATGACAACGAACGGTGAAAGCGGAGGGAGGAGGTGTTTTGGTTTTTTAGATGAGGAATGATGGGTTTCTGATGCAACTTCAGAGTTGTCACACTAAGGTTTTATATTAACTTTTTTGTTTAAGATGATTAATGTAAAGAATCTAGTCTTACAACTATGATTAATGTATTAACCAGATGTTTGGGATTAGATTCACTGAATGTTTTTGTTTCTATATTTTTTCTTTAAATTATACCGTTTATTTCAGGCGAATCGCGTTGAATATAATTCTTATATCTTTCTAGAAATATATATATCTATATGTTGCATGATTAACTATTTTTGTAGATATTAATTACCATTTAGATTTGGTTGAAGATTATTACTATGTATTTTCAATACAAAGTTTGGCGGTAACATTATGTTATTACTATGTTTTTGTTGAATTATCATTTAATTCGTTGGAACGCCGTTGACTGTAATTGTTGTATTCCTTGACGCATCTTTCTATACATTGCATAGTCAACATTTACAGTTAACTTAAATAAAAAATTATCCATATTTACTATAAATATGTAAATAAATTTGGTTAAAATTGTGCTAAAAAAGTTATTATTTTAAAATTTGCAGCTTCTTGTTGATTTCCTAATCATATTCAAAATATTTCAGAATCGAGGTTAAGTAAAAGTCTACTAACCCCCAAACATGAACCAGTAATATTTCACTAAAATGACCGTGTTAATTCAATTTGACTCATACGGAATTTTGTCAATTCAAGCCAACAAATAAATTACTTTTTAACCAAAAAAAAGGATGTTAATGGTCATTTTGGGTTATTTACTGTTTTGGCATTCAATCCTGATGGCAAGAAGCAACAATATCTGATTAATTTAAGATAATTTATCTTTACATGAGTTTTGATTTACGTTGTTTTGGATTTGTGAAAATAATTAGGATTAGCAAACTAAACATAACAAGTTTGTTTATTACATGAGCAAAACCTCTGTTGTAGAAAAAGGGTTTCGTTAAAAGCTTCAAGATACATCAACACTACAAACAAAGTTTTCAAAGAAAAAACAAAAATTCTCTCTCTCTCTTATGTGGAATCAATCAGACTAATGGTTAAGTTGTCTAAATGGTGACCTGTCTTCAATTACAACATCTTCTTCATGCTTCATTGCCAATCTTGGAGAACCAATAGTTTCACCATTATTGTTCTCTTTACCAAATTCATCACAACATTGTGTAACTCTCTCCAAAGTTTTCATCAGCTTCGTGTCTCCATCACACAGCTTCAACATTCCATCCTCCAATTCGCTGATAAAACTCAAAAGATTTTGTTTCTCCGATGACAAACTCGCGATTTCGTTAACTAACTCTGTCTTTTCCACTTCTGAGGTTCTTAGCTTCTCCTGCATTTGTGTGGTTACTTCTCTCAAGTCTCTCTGCTTAGTCTCCATTTCAGCTCTTAACTTTGTTGTTTCGAGTTTCTCGCTGAGACTATAGATTTCCCTTTCAAGCTCTATGATCATCATCTTTTTCGATTCTGTTTCTACCGCGTTAAGTATCTTCGTAGCAGCGAGTTTCTCCCAAGCTTTGTGAAGCATGTTAACCTCGTTTTGCTTCTGCTCCAGCAACAAAGATACATACTTTAATGAACCCTCCAATTCATGCTTCACTTCACATAAGTCCTGGTCTTTCTGTTGTAAAGCACCTGCAAAAATCTCTCTCTCGTTCTGCAATTCCCTTTCAGCTATTATATGCGCAAGAACAACATCCTCAAGCTCCCTTCTAAGTGAGTCTTGTTCCAACAAATCTACCTCTCTCTGTAGATTTTCCAACATCTCGTCCTTATCCCTCATAAGGGATTCTTTCTCTGAATCAGACGATCTTGCAGAGCTGATAGCCTTTAGCTTATGCATCAGCTCATTCCTCTCTTGCCTCATGGCTTCCCCAACTCCAACCTGTTCAAGAAGAGAAGCTTCTACTCTTTTGCGCAGGTTCTGGTTTTGCTCAAGTTCAGCTTTTAGCCTTTTAGCAATAGATTTCCAGACCCACAATTGGAATTCAATCTGGTACACTTCAGAGGTTTTATCAGACAATTCAGAATTTGCTGCTTCTAAGGCCTCAGAAACGTCAGCAAGTTTCCTTTTCGAGTCGTTTTCCACCTCTACAACTTTCTCTTGCAAGAGAAGTTGACTTTTGGTAGACGCCTCAAGCATTTCCTTGTAATTTTCAAGCTCCCGTTGCCTATGCTCTTCATTTAGATCAATGGACTCACTTTTTCTGACCAATGAGGCAGTCTTCTCAACCTCTTCTGCCAACTTGGCATATGCAATGTCCACCTTGCTGCAGAGTTCTCTAATATTCTCCTTGGAATCACTTTCAAGCTGCGAAATCTGCTCCTCTAAAAGCACCCGACCCTTTTCTGATTCCTCCAACATCTCCTTATACTCCTGAATTTCTTTTTCCATCACTATATTCTTCTCTTTGACAATACCAAAGGACTCAATCTGCCTTGTCAAAGCCACCACCTTCTCACGTTCTGCAACGAGGTCTATGTTTGTGTTATCCAGTGCATCACAGACTTGTAGAAGTTTCTCTTCATAATCATCTTCAGCTTCTTTCAGTTTTTCTTTCATCTGAGTTTGGAATCTAGATGATTCCTCAACCATTTCTTTGTACCTCTCTACCTCTTTCTGCATCTGAATATTCTGGTCTTCGAAAAGATCCAGCATTTCTATTCTTTTCAGCAAACACGCAACCCTTTCACGTTCTTCTTCAATCTCTAGATGCGCCTTGGCCAGCGCAGCATTCTTTTGATCTAGCTGCTCCATCAATAGAGAATAGCTCTTTCCTTCTCTTTTCTCATCCTTTATTTGTTCCTCCTTAACATTCGCAAGCCTTGACTGAGCCTCGGAGACTGTCCTACTTAGCACTAAAAACATAATCGAGATCTCTTCATACTGTAGTCTCATTTTAGCAGTAGAAGAGCGACAATTTTCAAGTTCCAACTCAACCTCTTTCAAGGCTGCCTCCTTGATTTGCAAATGCAACTTAGAATCATTTATCTCCTCTGCCATCTTCTCCACTTGAGAGCTCCATTCAGCTTCTTTACTTCTTAAATTAGCTGAACAATTCTTGTGTATGTTTTCCAAGTTCCGGAACTTGTTTTTCAGCTTTGATAGTGCAGAATTTCCTGATCCCTGAATTGTAGCTTCCTGGAGTTCTTTCAACGAACCGAGCAACTCCCGGTTTTCTTGTTCTAATTTTCCATTCTCATACTTCATCTCCTTAAAATATGCTTCTTTCATGCTCAAGGTCTGTCTCAACTCTGCAACTTCCTCATCTCTTTTACCAGCTAAATCATCAAGCTGTGTTCTTGCGTCTTGGTACTCTGCAAAAGCATCTTCGTATTTGGCTTTGAACTCAGAAACTTGGATTTCAAGATGTTTTCTTCTAGTCTCTTCTTGTGTCAACGCACCGTTACACATCTGCAACTTCTTCTGAAGATCCTCTGAGATTCTAGTTAGTGAATCCAGTTTGGTCTGAAGAGAGTAGATTTCATCAAAAAGCCTTGATTTTTCTTCCTCCCACTCTTTCTTGCTATCCTTGAACAAAGTCTTGAGCTTCTCGTACGCTTCCTCAAGATGCTTAAACTGCTCCGTCTTCCATTTCAGCTTCTCTTCTACTTGACTCTTCTCCTCTTCCATTTTAACCACCATATCATCTCTTCCTCTCGTTTCTTTCATACCTTTGACAGTTTTCTCAGCTTCAATCCTTTTCGTCTCCGCTGCAGCTAAAAGCCCTTTGAGCCCCTCAATCTCAGCCCTATAGACATTGTTTTTCTGCTCAAGATCAATGTTCTTCTCACTAGCTTCATCCAAAACAGACATCATATTCCGTTTCTCCTCTTCGAATTCGCGGTACTTATCTTCCCCGTTAGCTCTAAGCTTATCATTAGCATCATTCACACGCTTGATAACAGAATCCTTCTCTCTCAAACAACGTCGTAGATCCTCGTTCGTTAGCTTCAACTCGGAAATTTCTCTAGTTTTCTCCTCAATCTCAAAACCATGCTTCTCATTTACCAATCTCGCCTCTCGAATCTCAACTAATTGTTCGTTCTGAACCTTCTTTAGATTCTCAAGAAGCTCCGTTTTGTTTCTATAGTCAATCCTCAGCTTCTCATTCGCCGCTTTCACTTCATCAAGCTCTTCATAAACCTTGTCCATTTTTTTTATAAACTACGCACCAATGAATCAGAATCGAAATCGAAACATAAAACTTTTGATTCAACAGATCTAAAGAAAGTAATAAAACAAGATATAGCCAAATTATTATAACCTAAAAAGAACGAGTTTATTAATCTCAAAACTGCAGAAGAGAATCAAACCCTAATTTGATAAACACTCAAAATCAGCGAATCAATCTAAAAAACTAAGTACCTGATTCGGGAACACTGAATCTTCAAAACATAAATTTCATCAAGAAATCGATCGATCTGCTAAAATTCTTCTTCAGGATTAGAGAGAGACAATGCGAGAAAATGGGAGGAGAGAAGAACTGAGACAATCGTAAGGAGCCGTTGGAGAAGAAAGGGGACAACAAATTTTAAATTTTAAAATGTTGCAAACGGAGATCGACGAAGTTAACGCCGTTAATTAACTTCCGTTTAATGATGGGCCTTTTCGAATACCGGCCCATTGAAATCATTTGGTGTCTATTGGAATACTACTACGACGTCATTGAGAAAAATTCGTGTGCAAGATGATGTTACTGCAACTTCCACGTTATTATTTAATAAACTTGTGAAGGATTGTTACGTTTACGTGCACATGTATTTTATTCCTATATACATACGTCAACGTTATTATGTATTTGAGAGAATATGTCCTACAAAAACAAAACCTATTTTTGTTTGCAAGTTCTTTTCTTTTTGGTTCACATATAGTGTAACGTTTTATACAAAATCAAATCATGTTAATATCTAAAACAGGTAAAAATAAGGTGTACGACGATTGTAATACTTAATACTTATCCACACGCGCCGATTAGTTGGACAATACTTTATCATTCATAACCAACCAAACTTAATTATATAAATCTCTTCACAAAACCTATGAAAATATATGAGTTTTTGTCAACGAATTATAAACATCTTAATTTTGTGTTTTGTTGTACTAAACTATTCACACAATCCATCAAAGTCAACCACAACAAAAATGCTCTATTTCGAATCTTATAAGTTGATGATATAGATAATAGATTCCCCGGACAAGTTAAACTAGATTCAGTTTGATAAGATTCAGTTCCCACGTTATTACAAAGAAGCAAAAGCCAAATCAAATTGTGTGGTCAACTCAAAATCAATTTTTCTATAAAAAGGATAATTATCTATAACGACTAAACAAAAAAAAGATTAACTAACACAATTTCCAGAACATTCATCAAAAGTTTATCCCTATAATTAAATTATAGTCTTTCTTATCTCTAAATCATAAGATTTTCCTAGTAATCTCCACGGGATTAAAGTCAGAAGAACCAAAGGCAGATGAGTACGCCACGTGTCAATAACTTGAGCCTCATACACACGCAAAACGATTGGATAAAATATAACACATCATCATCATCAATTTTTGTACGGTTGTAAGAAGCCACTTGTCAATGAATCAACGGTAGATAAGAACTCTTCTCCTTCTTTTTATTAAATTTATATAATAAAAAATGTTTTAAATATTTGTGAAACTCTATCAATCAATCATAATTATTATAGTTTAATGATTGGAGAGACCGATCGTGAAATTGTGGCCGTTGGATCAAACTAAATCCAAAAGATAAGAGAAATCGAATTTATAAATTGCAGAAGAAGAAGACTAGCTCTTTGAGTACAAGGGACGATTTTGGTCGGAATTCGGAAAGATAATGGAAGGAGATGATCGATAATTTGGGTTTCTAGGGTTTCTCTTGTCAGATCCTTTTGATAATTTTCGTGTATTTCACTGAGTTTTTGGGGTTTTAAAATTTCTTCAAATTCTAGTTGATTTCATTTTCAATTTCTGGTGAAACATTCTTTGTTTCGCCGGGTTTCAATGGTGAAGCTTAGATCTTGAGCTAAGATTTACGAAAATTTCATCTTTTTTTCTGCTAAAGTTTTGTCCTTTTTAGATTTTGTGTTTTTCATTCTTTAAACCGTTAATTGATTTCTTCTGATTCATTAGAGGTTGATTTATAACCAAAAGGGTTTTCAATTGTTTGTTTCTGTGATATTTCACCAGATTAATGGTGGAATTTCTGAGAAAAACAATCCAATTCTTGAAATGATGAAGAGACCGATCCCGAGTTGGCCATGGTGGTTATTAGGAGGTAGAAAAGAGAAAGAAACTGAAGCTCTTAAGTTTCCTACAAAGATAACTAGAGTTAATAAGAGGAAAGAGCTTGAGATTGAGAGCTTTGGTTCGTCTGGCTCAGAATCTGTAGCTGTTGTTGCTTGTGTTGGTGTTGGTGTTGGTGATGGACCTGAATGGTCTGTTGGATGGACTGAGCCACATGGACCTGATTTCCAAAGTGATGATGAAGGAGATGATGGTGGCTTCTTAGTGTTGGTTCCTTGTTATAGAGCTGTCGTTGAAGGTTCTAGTAATAACAACCAGCTCTTGAGTGCTGTCAAGAATCTCCCCAATGGTTTGCCTCCTGGTATGAATCATTATGACCACCCCTAATTTGTGTTCTTGGTTTGGTTTAGTGAATTGCCATAGCTTCTCTCTTGGGAATGATATAATGCTTGTGTTTAGCTCTTGATCTTACTTGCTCTGAATCTTTATATGTGGCATGGCTTTTTTGTGGGTTTGATTTAGAAAACTTCCATAGTTGCTCTCTTAAAGTTTTCTTTTCATATGTTGATTGCTATGTTCAATGATCCTCAGTCTTTGCTATTGGTGTTTCAACATTTTTTGTCCTGACCAAAGTGGAAACTTTCCTGATTTTCTTCTTATCAAATGTGCAGATGGGAAGAACTACATGGAGCAATGGCTTTCATCTCTGCAAAACCTTTGACCAGGTCTCTCTTCCTGTTGTAGTTAGTTAGTAGTAGTTTTAGTTTCTCTAAGACGCTCTGAAGAATCATTTTGGTTACTACATTAATCCTGAAAACCCAAAAAAAGGAGAAAAAAGGGAAAAGAAAAGAGAGAACAAGAAAAAATGAAGCACAAGTAGTTTTATGGTTTAGATTGATGGGTATCTTTTGCTTACATTGATCCAAGTGGAAACGGATCAAGTCCAAGAAAAAGGAAGAAAAATAGTATAAAAAAAAAAGAGTGTGGGATTGGAAAAGCTATGGAGAAGAAGCAGCTTTAAGATTGGTTACATTCAGAAAACAGATCAAAATCCAAGAAGTGAAGGTGGGTAACAAATTACATTGATCCTGGAAAAGGATTAAAACCGGAAAGAAAGGAATACGAAAGCAGTGCTAAGGGTTTATATCAAGATGATCAAATTGATGGTGTGAATGGGATTCTTCAATTGATTTGGAAATTCATGTAAAGTCTTGTAAATACAAAAAAAAGAGTGATGTATATACTCTTGTATATATCTTGTCCTGTATCATAACCTCCTCAAGCCTGAGATTGAAGTGATTGTAGATTGTATGTAATATTAACTACCACTGATCTTATTTTGTATATAGAAACACTATTGCCATTGAAATTCTCTTTAAACATCCTCTGTATATATATCCCTTATATATATTGCATGAAGAATTTCTATAAACTTTGAATGTCCACATTGTTAGTAATAAGTAAGAGATATTGCATTGGGTCACAGCTGTGACTTCCGCCACCAGGGTTCGAGGCACGGCCACTAGCAGGTTTACATAGTGGAATTGCCTGCCTCGTGGATTAGTCCTTGGGCCTAGGAAGCCTTTGGGAGACCCGCGGTTATTAAAAAAAAAAAAGGTACAAATTTGATAAAAGAACAAAAATTCTGTTTTTGTTGTACATATATGCATCAGGGGTCCATATCTCGGAATTATGGTAGTTAAGCACCCACCGTCAAGTGGTAAATTATCATTAGGCAGCTAATATTGAATACTTAATCTAAAAGCAAACTTTATTATTGGCTTTAATCATGGATATAATAAGATATTTTCATACATAACAAGGGTAGTTTAGTCATATAGTAGAGGTAAAGACAAACCGCTGATGTCGACATGAGTGAGAAAGTGAAGTAACGTTACGCTCTGTTTCTCACTTGAGAGCCAAAAAGTTAGCAAAAAAGGAAGAAGAAGAAGAAGAAGCTGGAAAATGAATTTAAAGCTCAAGTTCACACTTCACAAGCTTCTAGTTTTTCTTAAATTTTGAGTCTTTTTTTGGAAGCAATGGATTCCGGGTCGGGTTTGGATCCGGATACTGGTAATAAGGGTAAAGGAAGTGGTGGTGGTAATGGTAATGGCGAGAGAAAGTTCGGTGCTTTCTTCAAGAGAGTAGAACCCTTTTTACCTAAAAAGGATTTGAATCCAAGAGACTTAAGATCTTGGGCGAAGAAAACTGGTTTTGTCTCCGATTACTCCAGTGAAACCAGCACCAGTACTCGTACTAAGTTTGGTGAAAGCTCTGATTTTGATTTGCGTAAAGGTAGAGATCAAATAGTCACCGGTTCGTCTCACAAAACCGAGATCGACCCGATTTTGGGACGAAACAGACCCGAAATCGAACACGTAACCGGATCTGAACCCGGGTTTAGAGAGGAAGAAGAGAGGAGACTAAACCGGAATGAGGCAACGTCGGAGACTGAGAATGAAGGCGGGAAAATCAATAAGGATTTGGAAAATGGGTTTTATTATCCAGGAGGTGGAGGAGAATCATCAGAAGATGGACAATGGCCTAAACCAATTGTGATGAAGTTTGGTCTTAGAGATAATCCTGGCTTTGGTTAGTTTTCAATCTCAGCTTCTTTTAACGGTTACAATTTGTGTGTTTTCTTCTGGTGAAAAATAAAGGAAGATTCTTTTCAATACACATGATAAAGGAAGATTCTTTTTGTTTGAATTGAAATGCAGTTCCACTTATCTATTACGGTCTTCAACATTATCTGTCACTTGTTGGTTCACTTGTGTTTATTCCTCTGGTTATTGTACCAGCCATGGATGGTTCCGATGTAAGCTTCTTCTTCTTCTTCCATGTATTATTCTGTGAGAGCTTCTTTGCTTTGTTCTTTGATTAGTAATTGACTTGTTATGATGGTAGAAAGATACTGCCTCAGTGATTTCGACAATGCTGCTTCTTACTGGAGTTACAACTATACTTCACTCTTATTTCGGTACTCGGCTTCCGTTGGTTCAAGGAAGCTCCTTTGTTTACTTGGCCCCGGTTTTGGTTGTCATAAACTCTGAGGAGTTTAGGAACCTCACTGAGCATGTAAGTTTGCAAATATAAATCAAAAAGGAGGATTTTGAGTTCTTGGAACTTTGCGATTAACTGGTGTTTTTCAATTCCGCGCAGAAATTTCGGGACACAATGAGAGAACTACAGGGGGCTATAATTGTCGGTTCATTATTCCAGTGCATATTAGGATTCAGTGGTCTCATGTCTCTCCTTCTTAGGTAATTCGAGAATCCGGGAAACCGCAGTTTCTTGGTTTAGTAGACTTCACAGATATCAGAATAGACCTCTTAATGATATGTTTTCTTGAACTCTTTACTTTCAGATTTATTAATCCTGTGGTAGTAGCCCCAACCGTAGCTGCAGTAGGATTAGCATTCTTTAGCTATGGATTTCCGCAAGCCGGCACTTGTGTTGAGATCAGTGTTCCCTTAATACTTTTGCTTCTCATTTTCACATTGGTAAGATTTTGCCTCAGCTTGAATAATAGAAGCATGATTCTATCTCTCTGATAAGGGATTGTTTTCTATTTAACTATTTTCAGTATCTCCGCGGAGTTTCAGTCTTTGGGCATCGCTTATTCCGAATTTATGCGGTATGTAGGTTGTCCTTTGTAAACGTGAAATGTAATGTGTCAGTCTTATTTCGAGGAATCAGGCCTTGACTTTTGCTATCATGTTGCCAGGTGCCACTTAGTGCTCTGATCATATGGACATATGCATTCTTTTTAACTGTTGGTGGCGCATATGACTACAGAGGCTGCAATGCCGACATACCGAGCTCTAACATATTGATAGATGAATGTAAAAAACATGTGTATACTATGAAGCATTGCAGAACAGATGCTTCAAATGCTTGGAGAACTGCTTCTTGGGTCAGAATTCCTTATCCATTTCAATGGGGGTTTCCAACTTTTCATATGAGAACTTCTATCATTATGATCTTTGTGTCTTTGGTTGCATCAGTGGATTCGGTAGGTACTCGTTCCTCTTTGCCCTTCCTGTCTTTCCCCTAAAGGTGTGATCTTGTGGCTAAAATGTTGGAGTTGGTGCACTTGTAGGTTGGAACATATCATTCTACATCTATGTTAGTGAATGCTAAGCGCCCAACACGGGGAATTGTCAGTAGAGGTATTGCATTAGAAGGCTTTTGCAGTTTATTAGCTGGAATCTGGGGTTCAGGAACCGGATCAACCACTTTAACCGAAAATATTCATACGATCAACATCACCAAGGTGGCTAGCCGAAGAGCTTTGGTGATCGGAGCTATGTTCTTAATAGTATTGTCATTTTTGGGTAAGCATCATCCAATGAATGATCCAAAATGTAAATCTTTATCATACTATTTACTCCATTTTGTAAATTTCGTTAAATTTGACAGGAAAATTAGGCGCGATTCTTGCTTCAATACCACAGGCTTTGGCTGCGTCAGTATTATGCTTTATATGGGCACTTACAGTGGCTCTAGGTCTATCGAATCTACGGTATACACAAACATCAAGCTTTAGGAACATAACCATAGTTGGAGTCTCATTGTTTCTTGGATTATCCGTCCCTGCTTACTTCCAGCAATACCAGCCGCTATCCAGTCTAATACTACCAAGCTATTATCTGCCCTTTGGAGCCGCATCAAGCGGACCATTCCAAACGGGTGTCGAGCAAGTAAGCCACTTTCCTTCCCTTGCCTTGATTAGCATTTTCCTGGACAATGACTGACTGACTCTTCTAATGCGTACTGCAGCTTGATTTTGCAATGAACGCAGTGCTATCTTTGAATATGGTTGTAACATTTCTACTAGCTTTCATACTGGACAACACTGTACCTGGTTGTAAGGAAGAGCGAGGAGTATATGTGTGGTCAAGAGCCGAGGACATGCAGATGGACCATGAGATGCAAGCTGATTACTCATTGCCAAGAAAATTAGCTCAGATTTTTGGTTGCGGATGTTGCTAGTAGATGTTTAATATCCAATTTCATTTTTTCACTAGCTTACACAGACCCAACATGTTCTTAGTATATGGAAGAAAAAGTTCTCGTGTTGTCGTTCAGATGTTGCTAAAACGACAACTTAGTGATAGCCCCCTCCAGTGTTGCGTTTGTGACGCCAAATGGGGACCCTAAAAAAGGAACTAACTAATCCACAGGATGGAACAGAGTACACAATACACAAAAAAATGAATTTTCCTCAAAGAATGAAATGTTGTTGTTCCGTGTTACTGTTATAAGCTATGATATTAAAACTTACAAGAGGTGTACATGCTAGCTTTTTTTTCCGCTTGGGACCGTATCTACGCGGTTGAAGAAAAGAAAAAAAAGAGTCTTTGATTCAGTACTTGATGACATGGTGGCGTAACCATAGTTCATACATGATCATGTGAAATGCGTCGAATTTGACTGGAGGTGAGTTCCACTGAAAATGCTTTTGCACCTGCACAACAATCAAACCAATCAGCTTCTTGTATACAATAGTGGAGAAGATGGTGAAAATTTCTCTTTACCTTGACCAAGTTGTTATGCAACGAAACAAACTCTGAGTGAGGTATATTCTTGAGGATCTGTTTAAGGTTATAGACATCTTGCTCTCTGAGTGCAACCGCAAATTTTCGCCAATTCAGGATGTCGTTGAAAGGCAGGTCGTAGTAGTCTGATAATATGACTGTCCAAGAATAAATGCCGACAAAATAACAAGATGCATTAGTTCAGTTTCTTTGAAGATATAGCGTTTTGATGAGTGCAGAAAGAGTATAAGAACATGTACCAGGAATACATCCGTAATGGATCGAGTCCGTTATGCGAGCGCTGTTGACTTGAGAACCACCGGGGCATATGCAGAATTTAGTCCGGTAGAATCTCTTCTGATACACTAAATGCCCTGTAGCTCTGTTAATTCTGTTGTTTGAAATATCAAGCTCTGTGTCATTTTCCCACACACGGGCAAGTATTACCCGTATCTTGGAATTTCGATGACCAGCCCAAAAACCAAGGGTCGTCCTGTAACACCACCGCTTAACAGTATCAGTAACATTGAGCCAACAATACAACTCTAGGATCTACCTAGCATAAGAACCTATAAAAGCCTCTCGCCAATCACGACATCCAGCCATTCTAAATGATTCTCATTTAAACAGCAAAGCTATAAACTTGAACATTTCCAGAGTTCCTAATCGAAGAGAGAGGACTTATGCTCGATGCAAAGGCATAAAACTGCGAAATGCAAAATGACACAAGAAAAAGAGAAGGAGCTTAGTTTACCGATTTTCAACATCATTTCCACCAGCAGGGAGTGCAAATGGCTGAAGAACTTGAGGCAAAGCAACATCTTTGTGAGGAATGAAACCGACATTGTAGCTCGGTGAGCACACAACCCTAATTGTATTCTTAATCAGAAGCGGAGATCCCTCAAATGCTCTAACACCAACGTCATGACAAGTGACAAAGAAGTGATCTGCTCCTAAAGTTCTATTCCAATAAGGATACTTAGCTATCAATCCATCAACATAGTTTTGAACAATCACAGTCATATTTTCATATGATGTTCCCTGCAAACAAAAAAAGACCATCACAATTCAAATCATCGAATTCCCCAAAAATCAGAACTTATAAGTGAATCAAAGTCGTAAATGATCTTACTTTGCCTCGCATCTTGTGACAAGAAATTGGAATGAAGAAGAGATCTGCTTCATCTGGATCTAGGGTTCGAAATCGACTCTCTCTAATGTTCTGAAAGAAGTAACCCTCACTGGCATATTTACCGGTAACTTTCCTCGGCGTCTGATAAAACGTATTTGGATCGCCGTCGGGATAAATATAAACCTTGAATCTCTTCTCCATCTCGGCGTAATTCAATCGGAAAGCCTCCGGCGAGTGATAAACATCGGAGTAAGTATCTTCCTCCGTCGTCGGTGCTGCGCCGTCGTCGTTATCAGTCTTATCTTCATTCACAAAGGTATGAGGAACATGAATCGGCGTTACCACGATGACCGGAGACGGCGGCGAAGTGCGCATGGAATTGAGAGAGAGGTAGAAGAGGGAAACGAAAGTGAGGATAGCGACGGTGAGGAGTGAGCCTTTGAGTGAACATAACGGCGAAGATCCGCCGCCGGAGAAAGAGAACTGCGACGGTTTAACGATCGTCATGGTTTGGTCGGATCTGATTGCAAAACTTGAATCGATCTCTCTGCATTTAGCTCTTTTAGCTGTCTTTTGTGTGAGCTCACATGCTTTTTTTTTTATGGGTTTTTTTATTTTTTAATTTACTAAAACTATTTTTATATTACAATTTTTCTATTATCATTATTTAGATGGAGGTTTCGTTTCAAAGTAAATTTGGAAAAATACCTTTTTTACAAGTTTTTGTTTGAAAAGTATCATATCCTTTTTTCTCTTTTAAAAACTATTTTTAATATATAAAATCATTAAAATTGCCTAATATTAAAAAGAATATATATTTAAAACAAAAATTAATTAATTTAATTTTTAAATTAATATTTGATGTAACTAACAATTTTTAAGGTAATTTTTATCTTAAATATATTTTTAAAATAATTTACGATTTTTATTTTGGAGTTTTGGATAATTTCTTTATATAACATGAGTACATGACATATATTAAGTAAAACACTTTAGAATATTTTTAGATATTATCTTGTTAAATTTTAATATATAAAATAAACTATTTTACGGTCTTATATAAGAAATTTTTTTATAAAAACAGAAATGTGTGTTACTTATGTGTTTCGGAGTAGGTCAATCTATTTTTGAAGCAAACTCATGTAGTATTTTTCAATTATTCAAATCTAACCGCCATGGACGTCATTCATGTATTGATGTATAGATGATATATGTCATACGTAGGACAAGAAAACATTATTTACATAATTAAAATCTCAAATAATTTGTCATATCGTTTAATTCATGCAATCAATCCAACGTTACAATGCAACACAAAACTTCACAATATATATGCTCCAAAATTATCAAACTTTTAGAAAAATATTAACTTTTTCATCAGGAAAATTTCCGTTATTATCCTCCGTATTATTTATAACTTCTATTAAACAAAAAAAGGATATACACAAAAGAAAAATGGAAAATTCAGAAACTAAATCTTTTCATATTCTTCTATAAATCTAAGTCATATTAGAAGCCTAATTTCAGAATTCAGAAGTCAAAATAACTCCTAGTTAGGCTTTGGTGCACCTACTCTTCCCGTTTAGTCTTGGACTTTGTTTAACAAATTAAACAACACACACGCATATAAATATATATGCATAGAAGCAAAGATCTTATTCTCAAACATTAATTATTTTTAATCTGAAGTTTCTGAAAGAAAAGATGATTTTGCAGAAGAAGATAGCTTCGTTAATTATTTGTTTCCTTCTGTTGCTTCTTCTTCCACTCTCCTTTTCTAAGCCGACAAGGTCAGTTTATTTTATTTTTTCTTCGTTATATGTTACAGTCAAACATATACATATATCAACATCTATTTGTATGTGCACAAAATTCACATGTTTCTCAATTCTCATACATATTTCGTTGGTGTTTTTAGCTAGCAATTGTGATAACTCTCGTTTGAGTTTGAAGATATCATAGATTTTGACATTAAATATTTGATTATCAACAAAAATAACCTTTTAGATGCATATAAAATTAAGAATTTTGTTTTTAGAATTATAACGTGTGTATTAAACTTGTAAGAGCCGATCTTGTTTTTAAGAAACAAACTTAATTAATTCTAAGTGAGCGTTTTCAATATTCAAACATTGGCTTTATTTATGCGTAATTTATTAAAATTCTACAGAAACTTAGATGGAATAAGTGCAAGAGCTCCAACAGTGCAGCAGATAAGAAACAGACATCATGGGACTAGAGAGGTATGTAGATTTAATGATATTCAATAGTACTTTTTAATCAATAATCAAAAGATTTATACATGATAACGTATATATAAAACTAATGATTTTCAGGTGATAGTGGACAATGGGATTATCAGAGTCAGTTTCTCGAATCCTCAAGGACTTGTAACTGGGATCAAATACAAAGGAATTGACAATGTTCTTCATCCACATCTCCGAGCTCGAGGGTGAGTAATTTTCAATAGCTTAATATTGTAGTAAGTAATTATTATATCTCAAAAAGCTTATGTTATGTAAGTACATAAAATTGTCCTGATTAATTACTTTGATTTAATGTAGGTACTGGGACATAACATGGCAAGGAACAAACATTCGTCAGGGCGGCTTAGATCGGTAATTAAATTAGTTTAATTACTTAATACTTTGTCTGATTTGTCAGTTTAAAACTATTTAATAAAACTAACACACGTTCACATTTATAGAGCATGTACCTAACTTATCTTAGGGCCGGGTTTATATAGATTACTTTTAACGATAAATGTTTTCTTTCATAAATATTTTTCTTTTTTTTTCCAAAAAATATTTAATACAAATATGACTAAACATTTTTACTTGATAAACTTGTATTTGTTTTTTGGTTCAGAATCGAAGGAACCAAATTTAGAATCATCAGTCAAACCCAAGAACAAGTGGAGATATCGTTCTCTAGAACATGGGAGGATGGTCATATTCCATTAAACGTAGACAAGAGGTATATTATACGTAGAAATACTTCAGGAATCTACATGTACGGAATCTTCGAGAGACTTCCCGAATGGCCAGAACTCGACATGGGTTTAATCCGAATCGCTTTCAGACTCAACCCTGAGAGGTATCTTATACGATTCCAATGATTTGTTATTTTGTTATATAAAGAAGAGTTTATCTAAACACCAAAAAATATGTTTGTAGATTTCATTACATGGCGGTGGCGGATAATCGACAAAGAGAAATGCCAACGGAAGATGACCGTGACATCGAACGTGGTCATGCCAAGGTTCTTGGTTATAAAGAGGCTGTACAATTGACTCATCCTCATAACTCCATGTTCAAAAACCAGGTAATTAATCTTTTGTATACGGTTTTGGATTCAATATTTAATTGTTCTTGCATCCGAAATCTCGAATTTTGACTGTTAAAAAATTTGAATGATATATTAGGTGGATGATAAGTACCAGTACACATGTGAGATCAAAGACAACAAAGTGCACGGTTGGATCTCAACTAAGTCCCGCGTCGGCTTTTGGATCATCTCACCGAGCGGCGAATATCGCTCCGGTGGACCGATCAAACAAGAGCTCACGTCTCACGTCGGTCCCACGTCTATCACGGTAAGGAATCATCCAAAAGCTATTAAGCAAAAGATTACATTTTCAGTATATAGTAGTATTAATCTGTTAGTTACTGAATTGATTTGCATATGCAGACTTTTATAAGCGGACATTATGTTGGTGCGGACATGAAGGCACATTACCGACCTGGTGAAGCGTGGAAAAAGGTCTTGGGACCTGTTTTTATTTACTTAAACTCTGATTCTACCGGCAACAATCCTCCTCAAGATTTATTATGGGAAGATGCTAAACAACAGGTTTTTTTTTCTAATTTTCTTTAATTTATTAATTTAAAGTCATTTACAAAGAATAGTCATTAATTAACTTTTATTATTATTTTCCAGACCGAAAAAGAAGTCAAAGCATGGCCGTATGATTTTGTAGCTTCCTCTGACTTTCTTTCTCGTCGAGAAAGAGGAATCGTCACCGGTCGTCTCTTAGTCAACGACAGGTATATTTTATCTATAGTTATTTATATAAACAAATCAAAAAAGTATTTTTGACCTTTTTATTAATATCTTTTTTTTGGCGAATATTTTCAGATTCTTGACGCCGGGAAAATCTGCATATGTCGGTTTAGCACCGCCGGGAGAAGCTGGTTCGTGGCAGACAAATACTAAGGTACACTTTGATCTCTCTTCTTTAATGTAACTGAATTATCAATTACTACATATGTATTGATCGTTGGTTCTTTTTTTCTTCCAGGGATATCAGTTTTGGACCAAGACAAACGAAACCGGTTATTTCACGATAGAAAACGTTAGACCGGGAACTTACAATCTGTATGGATGGGTTCCTGGTTTTATCGGAGACTTTCGATACCAAAACCGTGTTAACGTAGCTGCAAGTTCACATATTAGTCTTGGTAGAGTCGTGTACCAGCCACCTAGGAATGGTCCAACGCTATGGGAGATTGGTGTACCGGATCGAACCGCCCGAGAATACTTTATACCGGAGCCATACAAGAATACAATGAATCCCTACCTAAACAACACTGACAAGTAAAGTCTCAAATCCTCGTAATTCCGGTTCACATTGTTCCGAAATCGGTTTTTGTTCTGATGATTCCGGTTTGGTTTGTTTCACAGGTTTAGACAGTACGGATTGTGGCAACGATACACAGAGTTATATCCAACTCATGATCTCGTCTACACAGTTGGAGCTAGTAACTATAGCCAAGACTGGTTCTACGCCCAAGTCACAAGGTTAGAAGTTACATGAAAACAAAAAGTTTGAAACTTTGAGTGAATTCTTGAATAAACATTAATTTTGATTCGCTTATTCTGCAGGAAAACCGGTGATTTAACGTATGTGCCAACAACATGGCAGATCGTGTTTCAGCTTCCATACGTAAACTGGCGAGGCGGCTACACATTGCAGCTAGCTTTAGCCTCGGCTGCACGAGCTAATCTACAAGTTCGGATCAATACCCAAAACTCTTGGCCGTTTTTCTCAACGGGTTCTATTGGAAAAGACAATGCTATAGCAAGACATGGAATCCATGGAATGTACCGGCTTTATAGCATCAATGTGCCTGGAAGGTTGCTAAGAACCGGGACCAACACGATTTATCTTCGACAGGCTAAAGCAACAGGACCATTTGAAGGTCTTATGTATGATTACATTCGTCTAGAAGAGCCTTCTAGAGATTAGAATCATACAGTAGTTAGGATTTGGATTTTTTTTTATAACACTAGTTACGAGATTATAATTGTGTAGATCAAAAACGGTTTTTGAGATTCACTGAGTTTTGATTTATTTTTGAAATACATTTTTATGAAATTGATTTGGATTTTGAATATGATTGTTATGGTTTAAAGCATTCTAAAATTATAAGTGTTTTCAAGTTTATATCTTGGTTTTAAGAACCGGAACGAGATTGAAGCATGAACAAGAAAATGCCACCAGCAACAGAGACGTTCAGAGATTCAAAGTCACCTGCCATGGGAATGCTCACAAGCTCGCATACTTTCCGTGACTGCTCAGACAAACCGTTCCCTTCGCTACCTAAAATCAAGCATAAAGGCTTCTCTGCTACAGATTGAGCAAACTCTACGGAAAGTTTGGAGACAAGTTTCGGTTTCTGAGTACTCGTCGCTGGATGACCGGCTAATAGCTTCATCTGGAACTCATGTTCTAGAACCTTAAGATGGTTCCAATTTCCGGAAACTATAGGTAGCTGAAACGAAGCACCTCGGCTTGCTCGAAGAGCTTTGTCGTTGAATGGATCACAACAACCGGGAAGCAGAAACGCACCATCCTATCAAAAACATTAACCAGATAATGATGATCCTCTCATAAGAAATTTATCTAAAACGCAACAGCTAATGACTTGAGAAGAAAGGCTGATCATATATACCCAATTAAAAGCCATAGCCGATCTGATTAATGTGCCAAGGTTCCCCGGATCCTGCAACAACATCGAAAGACAACTATTACCAATCCAAATTGCCTTCCTTGATCAAGACATGATCACTAAACTAAGCTTCAAGATTTTGTTCCCCAAACAATCCAGCAAAAGCTCATAAGGATAAGAAGTTGCGGTTAAACCTGTATGCTATCGAGAACAAGAACTCGGTGAGCAGAAGAAGGGAACCATTTATTGCAGTCTGTTTTGATGTCTTTATCATCTTCAAGATCAATAAAGCTGCTAGGGATTCTCATCAAGGCAATGGCTTCAACAGATTCAGTAGATTGCACTCCAGAGAGTTTCTTCATCACCAAAGAACTTACTCGAACAATTCGGATACTTAAACTCTCTAATCCTTGTGGAATCTGAGCTTCCTCATGAACAAGTAGACACTCAATTTCACTTGTGATTCCTTGCTTATTCGTTTGAAACATACATACTTCCCTGTGAAAACAATGCCTTAAAGTTATCTCCTTGAAACTCAATTTCACATGAAAAAAGAAAAGTAAACTACTTTCCACAATTCTCTCAGTAGCAATGAAGAAATAGAGAGTACAAGATCACTAATACTTACCTTATTGGGATAGCTCCGACGACAAGAACAGAGCCATGAGCGTGGCGATAAGAAGAGCTTTGACGGAGCTTCAAGCAGTGTTTGACAAAAGGGTTTGAAGTGCTGGTGATGGAATTTACATGAGACGGCAACGAAACTCTAGTCGCCGGAGATTTATCTGAACCAACGTCGATAAGGAGATTTATCTGAATCTGGGTTCTCGGTAATTGAGCTGATAAAGCTCGAAGCTTTGAAACAGAGGTTTTGATTTCAAATGGGTGACGTGGTGACACAGATTGTGAAGCGAAAGCACATCCGCAAAGCATTGCACTTCTGCAACTAATCCGATTTCTCTTCTTTCTCCGGTAAAGCTAATGCGGAGAAGATGATGAGTAGAGAGGAATGTCATATTACGTAGAAAGGCCCAATATATTAAAAGAGTTGGGCCCAATAACAGGCCCATTAAGTGGTTTTAACGGTAAATCCTTTTCGTCATTCTCAGGTTGGCTCTCTGTTTCTTCTATCTTCGCTTCTTCTTCGTCTATGAATCTGCAAATTTGGTTCTTTCAGTCACTGAACTCATCTTACAAATGCAGAGTAGCATAGAAATCACTCCATGTGATTGTTTGATCACTGTTTGCGACTAAATTTGTGATGTATTTTACGGAGAAATCAGTTCTTCTGGAATTGATCAGCCGATGTAGCTCTCTTCGCGTTTTCAAACAGATACAAACTCAATTGATTTCTCGTGATCTTCTTCGTGATGACTTATTCATCAACAAAGTCGTCACCTTTCTGGGTAAATCCGCAGATTTCGCAACTTACAGCTCTGTAATTCTCCACAGTATCCGCTCTGTGTTGAGCTCTTTCTCATACAACACGCTTTTATCAAGCTACGCAGTCTGTGATAAACCAAGAGTGACGATTTTTGTTTACAGAGCATTTGTGAGTAATGGGTTTTCACCGGACATGTTCACGTTTCCTCCAGTTCTCAAGGCTTGTGGGAAGTTTTCAGGGATCGGAGAAGGGAAACAGATTCATGGAATTGTCACGAAAATGGGTTTTTACGATGATATCTATGTGCAAAACTCGCTTGTTCATTTTTATGGTGTGTGTGGAGAATCAGGGAATGCATGTAAAGTGTTCGATCAAATGCCTGTGAGAGATGTAGTTTCGTGGACTGGTATTATAACTGGTTTCACGAGGACTGGTTTGTATAAGGAAGCTTTGGATACGTTTTCGAAGATGGATGTTGAGCCTAATTTGGCTACCTATGTTGGTGTGTTGGTCTCGAGTGGGCGGGTAGGGTGTTTAAGTTTAGGGAAAGGAATCCATGGATTGATTTTAAAAAGGGCATCTTTGATTAGCTTGGAGACTGGTAATGCTCTTATAGATATGTATGTGAAATGTGAACAATTGTCTGATGCGATGAGAGTCTTTGGTGAATTGCAAAAGAAAGATAAAGTTTCTTGGAATAGTATGATTAGTGGGTTGGTTCATTGTGAAAGATCTAACGAGGCGATTGAATTGTTTTCTCAGATACAAACGTCTTCGGGTATAAAACCAGATGGGCATATACTTACAAGTGTTCTCTCTGCGTGTGCTAGCTTAGGAGCTGTGGATTACGGAAGATGGGTTCATGAGTATGTTTTAAGCGCTGGAATCAAATGGGATACGCATATTGGAACTGCGATTGTTGATATGTATGCAAAATGTGGCTACATCGAAACAGCTTTGGAGATTTTCAACGGAATTAAAAGTAAGAATGTGTTTACTTGGAATGCTCTGTTAGGTGGTTTAGCTATCCATGGACATGGACATGAATCCCTTAGATACTTCGAAGAAATGGTTAAGCTCGGTTTTAAGCCAAACCTGGTAACTTTTCTTGCTGTTTTAAACGCTTGTTGCCATACAGGTTTAGTCGATGAAGGGAGAAGATATTTCCATAAAATGAAAACCAGAGAATACAATCTATCTCCTAAGCTAGAGCATTATGGATGCTTGATTGATTTGCTTTGTAGAGCTGGATTGTTAGATGAAGCATTGGAAATCATCAAAGCAATGCCGGTTAAACCGGATATACGTATATGTGGAGCTATTCTTAGTGCTTGTAAGAGTAGAGGGACATTAATGGAGCTTCCTAAAGAGATATTAGATAGTTTCTTAGAGATGGATTTTGAAGATAGTGGTGTTTATGTGTTACTGTCTAATATTTTTGCTGCTAATAGAAGATGGGATGATGTTTCGAGAATCAGGAAGTTGATGAAGGTAAAAGGTATCTCGAAGGTTCCAGGATCAAGTTCTATAGAGAAGTTCATGACTTTAGACCAATGATGATGGATGTATGATGTATGTATGACATGATCATCATATATGAGAATGTCTCACATACCATAAGAGAGTTCATGAGTTTCTCACATGTCTCTGCCTAAAGCTGAACTTGTCCTCTTCTACTTCACGTTCCTCTCGCTTCTTCACCTTATTATATGTATATAATATTATAATTATAATGCCTATCAGTTTACATGAGATTTATCACATAAATTAAGAATAATTAGATTTTAAAGTTCATTTTTTCTCTTGGAAATTAAACAATTTATTATGCTAAAAATTACAAGAAAGGGAAAATTATTACTAGTTTTATCAGCTATAGCTTCTGCTGCATGCTAGCTACAATATTAGAGAATAGAGACTAAATAATGGTAAATGATAATGGTAATTAGAGCAGAGCATTATTATTAGCATTATGGTACCAATTTCCCAAATTACCCTCGCCATCATCATTATCTTCATGATTGCCACTTGTTGCACCTCCTCCCGTGGCGGATCTATCGAAAACCCAATCCGTCGTCGCCGTCGAAGGAGGAATCAACTCTACGTTCTGAAACATAACCGGTCTCTGGTTAACCGGAAGAGAATCTTGGAGAAACATGGAAACGAGTCTTTGTTGCTGAAGCTTCTGGTGCAAATCTTGGTTAAAAGTACTCAAAGACTCGATGGAAGAAGATGCAAGGTTATAATTAGGATCCAACGGAAACATGTAGCCGGAGAATCCACCGGAACTCCTCATCATCATCGCCGTCGTAGGATGGTTTCTTACAAGTTCGTGAGACGACGATGACGTCACGTTCGAGAACAAATGAGGAGAAGAGATGACGTGGAGGCTACAAGGCTTGTTCTTGTTTCGAGTGGAGCCACCGATGGGGACGTTACGGAGGGCGCCGCCACGTGTCCAGTACCGGCGACAGTTCTTGCAGTAGTGACGTGGCTGAGACAAGCTATAGTTGTTGTAGTAACAGAATTTGGTGTTGACTGAATCACATCTCGGACACTTGAGTACCGGCTGCGTCGCCGGAGATGGTTCTTTGTTGTTGATCTGACGTGGTAGCTTCGCCGTCGTCTTGATCCTCCGTGGTTTAAAGCCGGTGGTGTTGCTCTGATGGGATGACGTCATCATGTATTATAAACCCTTTTTCTTCTTTTTTTTTTCTTAAGGAGATGGTGCAATATGGGACAATAGAGAAGAGACTAGTTCTTGTGATTTCCGTGAATCTTCGTATGTATATATATGAACACAGTGACGTATATAAAACTGTATATACATATGTACATGCATGCTTGTTGTTTAGTATGTATATTTAATATTATTTTTCAAACCAAATGTGTATATATATAGTCTGTATAAAATAGAGTTCCAGGTTATCAATTATAAAATTGCTACAATTGCAGAATTACTTGCGAGTATTTTAAATAGTTGAAAAATTCACCAATTCTGAGTATCTAAATTACATAGTTCTCAAATTTTACACCGATATGTGATTTTGAAATATAAAAAAAACAGTAACATATATAGTTCAATGTGGGTAAACTCATTTGGTCGAGAAAAGATTAATGCCTTCATAATCATGTTACGTTCCTAAGTTCGAGCAAAGATATACACATTCGTATATTACAAGCAACAAATCTCTTATATTATATTATGTAATATAATATCCAGACAAGACAAGATAGGATCGACCTAGGGAAGAGAGAGAGAAGTGTGGTAAAAGGTACGAGGTAAAGAAAGAGAAGCCATATCAAGGAATGGAGTGCTTTCGCATTGGGAACAAACTCGAACTTCACTGTCTCCTCTCTTGTTGGAAGCAACACAATACAAATAGTACGGTTTCATTTATTATCCTCTTTGACTTTTCACTTCCATTGCTCCATCATCGAATATGAAGATAGATAATTCTTAAACATTAGCATGATAATTTAATATCAGGTTGATAACTCTCTCCTAATGATAAACTGATTTTTTCACAGTGTAAATTGATTTTTATTCTTTCATCTAAGGATTTCATCTTTACATTTTGGTATTTAACAGTGTTATATAACTCTTGGCTTACCCCCAAAATCTTATCATAATATATACTATTCATTTATTGGATTAAAGCATACCACACATATAGTTATATAAACTATGTATTCTTCAATTAAAGTTATGTAAAACCCGAAAATTTAGAATACCACATATATAGTTATACAACCTCCTCAAGAAACAACACAGAAACTTATTACGACAAACCAAACAAGTAAAACAAGCTTTGAGGAAATTTAATGCTTAAGACTTATAAATTAGGATTAGGCTTCAATGTGTTGGCAACATCAATCACAAAGCGGTACCTAACGTCGGCCTTCTCTAGCCGTTCCATGGCGGTGTTGACATAATCCGCAGAGATAAGCTCAATATCCGCGGTGATGTTGTGTTTCCCGGCCATATCTATCATTTCCTGCGTCTCTTTTATCCCTCCTATCATACTTCCCATTACCATCTTCCTCTCTATATATACACGATAAGTCAATAACATAACCACACACACCAAAAAAAAAACACAATTTCAATGTTGTTTTCACGCTTCATTGACTAAACACTGCAAATTTAGCACAAGTCATATATATACGGATTTGTTACTACAAATATAGCTTACCAAAGATGAGAGGCATGACTGGTAGCTCGAGTGGCTTCTCCGGTGCACCAACCATAACAAGTTTTCCCTTATGTTTCAGCAAACCGAGCAACAGAAGAAGCGAATGAGTCGCAGATACGGTATCAATAATACCATCCATAGTCCCCATTGCATCCTTAATCTGTTTCGGGTCACGGCTCACCAAGAAAGCATCCGCACCAAGCCGATTAATCGCCTCATCTCTCTTTCTCTCCGAAGTACTAATAACCGTAACCTTAGTACCCATAGCCTTGGCAAATTTAACTCCTACATGACCTAAACCTCCTAATCCTACCACACCAATGTGCATACCGGGTTTGTCGAGCCCGTGATACTTCATAGGGGAATAGACCGTGATCCCGGCACAGAGAAGCGGCGCGGCAGCGTCCAAGGGGAGATTGTCGGGAATACGGATGATGAAACCTTCGTCGCAAACCATGTGGTCGGAGTAACCACCGTATGTTATGGTGTCGTCGTAGTACTTGAATCCGTACGTTTGGATTGATTTTGGACAGTAGTTTTCCATACCTTCGGTGCAGCTGTCACATGACCCGCATGAGCTGACCAAGCACCCGACTCCGACTTTTTCTCCGGTTTTGAATTTAGTCACTTTGGCTCCGACTTCAGTCACCACGCCCACGATCTCATGCCTGAAAAACATTCGGATTTAATATCAGCATTAGAGGAATAAGAATAAACATGAATTATTTGCGACGTGTTAGGACAGATTAGAGATAAACATGAGCCATGACCAAGCCCATTCCGGTTTGGGCCTTGATAATTAATAATATAAGATTTTTTTTTATTACAAAAAAAACAGGAGCCAGACGAAGCTTATCGTGGATCTTTTGTCGACTATTTGATTGCTACCTAGATCCTTACATACTCTCAGGCAGGAACAGAACAATTAGTATAGTTTTCGCAATTTTCATCTTACAAACACAATTATAAATATATATATATATATATACTCTATAGGATGCATGTCTTACCCTGGGACAAGAGGATAAGTAGACATTCCCCATTCGTTCTTGACCATATGCAAATCAGAGTGACAAATTCCACAGAATAACACTTTGAACCTCACATCCTTTTCTCCTGTTTCCCTACACATTAATCCCACCAAAACTTAGGTTGAATTCATTGAAACAATATCGATAGAGATTATAAAAACAATTTTGAAACCTTCTAGTGAAACGAAAAGGCGAGAGAACTCCGGAATTGTCTTTCGCGGCTAATCCGAACGCCTCTTTCTGATGAACCTTTTCCATAATCGATTAAACAACAATAAGAGTGGGAGAAATGGATTCAAAAGTAAGTATCTGATTTGATTTTTTTGTTTAAATGTCACTTATTGATAAATGAGAAGTTTGAGATAACGAGGAGAGACAAAGGCCTTAATATAGAAGAGGATTGTGGAACCGACGTGATCGGGTGCAATTAGGTCCATGCACTCGAGTCTTTTTTTTTTTTTTCTGTTTTCTTTTTTTTTGTTTCTTGTTTTTTTTTTGTTAAAAGAATTTCCAAGAATTTCACGAGAGTTCCTCACCGACTCGTTTTTTTCTTCCTTGTTTAGTTTCTTGTTTTTTTTGGTGTGAATTATTTTTTTTTTTCAATTCTTAAAATCAAATGCAAATTTTTTTTATAAAAACATGTTTCATGTATTCAGTTTTAATATTGTCACGGAACATGAACAGAAGATCAAATTAAATAGCGACGGTGCCGATAAAAAAAAAGAAAAAAAATAGCGACGACCAACATTTGTACTATTATTATCGTTTCCATGAATATTAGATCAAACCAAAAGATTTTTAGAAATCAAAAGTATAATCTTAGATATTTGATGGTGCTACGGATTTGGGCACCTATATGAAAAGGTTTATTTGATAAAAGATATGTTTTATTTTATCATGAAAAGTCCAACTTGTCTTTCTAATAGTATTAGATGTGACATAGTTATATTCGAACGATTATGGAAATATTAAATTTAAATACACAATATACAATACATACATAATATATATATATATATAACCTATAAATTCAAAATTTACTAATTTCTGTAATAATAAATAATCCAAAAAGTTTTGAATGAACATAAAAATTTTTTTATACAAATATCTAAAATGCAATACTAAATTTCAACAGTATATTTAAATTTATTATCTCAGCGCACAAAATCATATTTGATTAGCATATTGAAAATCAATACAAGATCGTGGACCTTGTGCAACCACATAGTCATTTTGTTTACCAGGCCCACGAAATTAACGTTGTTAAATACTGACAAGTCAGTGTGTACGGACCATTGTAAAACTTTTCTCAACTCAACCATATACTGAATGTATCTGTCCACGTGGTCCATATTTTTCCATTCGGACTCTCTCCATACAGTTCCGTCCACGCAACATATTCAAAATATAAACGTGTTTACACTGCTAAGATCAGAATCATTGAAAATTTTCTAAGATACATGCACTTTGGCTCAAAAAATTAGTCGTACGAAATCTGACTAATATCTTGTTAGTTTCTAGTCATCCATTTAAATCATATTGTTCTCATTAATTTCTCGGGTCGGTCAAACAACACTGCTTCTGTCATTCACACCCAACACATTTCAACCTTAATATTTATTTTATATATTTTTTTCATTTTAAAATATTTTTGCAATTTTACAATATCGTTAGTTAATATCTTCAATCCCATTTAATTTTACTTAAGCTTCCCCAAGATCTAATCATATAGCTAGTTAAATACAATGTTCAAGTTTATCAAATCGATAAAACACATGCAGTGGTACTGGTAATGACACAAAGTCGTCAGCAAACAACATCAAACTTATTACAACCAACCAAACAAAAGAAAAAAGCTCCAACAAACAAAAAAACATGAAAAAATGCTTTTTGGAATTTCAATTCTTAAGCTTTCTGATTAAGGAGTTGGCTTCATTGTATTGGCAACATCAATCACGAATCGGTACTTAACGTCAGCCTTTGCAAGTCGTTCCATGGCGGTGTTGACATAATCCGCGGAGATGAGCTCAATATCCGCGGTGATGTTGTGTTTTCCAGCCAAGTCCACCATCTCTTGCGTCTCCTTTATACCTCCTACCATACTTCCCACCACCATCTTCCGCCCTATATGTATACAACCACACACATACAAAAACACATGTTCTCAACGTTTATCGACTTGACTCTTCAAATGTGGTTAGATTTGCGATAAAATAATTTAGCGACGGATATTAAATCACTAGATTTAATTATCGATTGAAAGTATACGGATTTGTTACTATAACCGATTTCTTCGAAATTTATCGATATACTCACTACAAGAAAACAACCGATTTGCTAGGGACGAATATGTAGCTAATCCCTCGCAAATCGACTTTAGCGAGCGATTTGCGAGGAACACCAGTTCCTCGCAAATCGTGTCTCGCAAATCGGTAAACGTAGCAATTCCCTCGCAATATTTGCTAGGAAATATATGCCCTCGCAAAACACGCGCAAATTGCGAGGCACGTATGCCCTCGCAAAACACGCGCAAATTGCGATGGATTTGCGAGGGACAATTAAAAAAAAATAAAAAAAATCCGTATTAAATTTTGCGATGGATTTGCGAGGGACAATTAAAAAAAAAATAAAAAAAAAAAGAAAATAATAAAATGCATTTAAATTTTATCAATATATAGATATATATTGATAAATTTTAAATGCATAATATTATTTTCTATAATGCATAATAATATTCAAAATACAATAAGAAAGGTTTAAGTCAAATTTTAGAAAATCCTTAAAAGGTTTCTAAAATTAATAATCTTTAAAAATAATAACAATTTAAATTTGAAAATTAGTTATTAATATATAATCTAAAATTCCATACTAAAAAAATTCTAAAAATTAACAATTCAATTTCTAAATGAAACCTAAAATAATTTAAAATTCCAATCCTAATATAAAACTAAATTTCTAAATCCAAAACTAACAAATCTAATACCTTTCACAATAATCTAAATCTAGAAATCCTAATTTTCTAATTTTAAAACTAGCAAACTCCTAAATCTAAAACTATAATAATACAAATCTATACATAAATCTAACAATGAAATTAAAAAACATACCTTTGAAGAGATGTGAATGATAGGAATGAAGACTTTTTAAGTAAGAGGAAATGAGATGTGAATGAGTGAGAGAAGAGTTTTTAAGTAAGAGGAAATGAGAGATGTTTGAGCATAGCTCAAACATGCAATCACTTATATATATATTTATACCGTCGCAATTCCCTAGCAAATCCCTCGCAAAAGTTTTGAAAATTTTCGGTAAAATTTTTGAAATTTCAGCCAAAACGTTGAAGCGCGAAAAACTGAAAATGTTTGCGAGGGAATTGCTATGGTCCCTCGCAATTCCCTCGCAAAACTCTTGATTTAGGGTTTAGTTTTGCGAGGGAATTACTAGTATCCCTCGCAAATCCCTCGCAATGTTTTGAAATATTTGCCAAAAATTTTAAAATTTCCGCCAAAAAATTGAACCGCGAAAAAACTGAAAATATTTGCGAGAGAATTGCGAGGCATCATAGCAAATCCCTCGCAAATGGTTTAGGGTATAGGGTTTAGGGATTCATAAGTGGTTTCCACTTTTGCGAGGGAATTGCTATGGTCCCTCGCAATTCCCTCGCAAAACTCTTGATTTAGGGTTTAGTTTGCGAGGGAATTACTAGTATCCCTCGCAAATCCCTCGCAAAATAGAATCAATTTGAAAAAAAAACAACAAAACACTACTAAAAATCATTCGGATTCATTTTTTTGAATCATTAGGAAGTTAATTATCTACATTAGAATCTACTTTCTTATCATATACTTCGAATTCGTCCGAATGTGCATTTTCCTCAAATACATCAATGATGATCTTATGTTTTTATATAATATGAATCAATGTTTATGACATTTTCAAAATAAAATGTTAATATTGAAACCTATACAACATTTTTTTATGCATCACCATATATTCAACTTGTCTGATTATATGGTCTCTTAGATTCATATTTATAAATAAAAATCAAAGATCGCAAAACACTTTTATGTATTTTAGGGTTTAGGGTAAAGATTTGCGAGGTATGTGCGGGAGATTTGCGACAGAGTATATTGTTCCTCGCAAAGTACTCGTAAGTCGCTCGCAATTTTGCGAGGAAACTTTTCCTCGCAAAATTTGCGACGAAAGTGCGACGCGCGTCCTTTTCGTAGCAAATTACTTGCAATTCCCTCGCAAATTTGCGAGGAAATGTTCCCTCGCAAAATTTGCGACGGAAGTGCGACGCGCGTCCTTTTCGTAGCAAATTACTTGCAATTCCCTCGCAAATTTGCGAGGGATGGTTTCCCTCGCAAAGTTGCCTCGCAAAACGACTGTTTTCTTGTAGTGACTGTATAACGCAAATTTGGTGGCTATATCGTTTGATAATGTTTAAAGATGATGGCGAATAGGTTCATACCAAAGATGAGAGGCATAACAGGAAGCTCGAGCGGTTCCGCTGGTGCACCAACCATAACAAGTTTTCCCTTATTTTTAAGCAAACCAAGCAGCGGAAGAAGCGGATGGGTTGCAGATACGGTATCAATTATACCATCCATAGTCTCCATTGCATCCTCCATTTGTTTCGGGTCACGGCTCACCAAGAAGGCATCCGCACCAAGCCGATTAACGGCCTCATCTCTCTTACGCTCTGAAGTACTAATAACCGTAACTTTAGTACCGATAGCCTTAGCAAATTTCACTGCTACATGACCCAAACCGCCTAGTCCCACCACACCAATGTGCATACCGGGCTTGTCGAGCCCGTGATACTTCATCGGGGAGTAGACCGTAACCCCGGCACAGAGTAGTGGTGCGGCACCGTCTAATGGGAGATTGTCAGGAATACGGATGATGAAATCCTCAGCACACACCATGTGGTCGGAGTAACCACCATGTGTCATGGTATCGTCAAAATCTTTGGCTCCGGACGTTAGGACCATCTTTGGACAGTAGTTCTCTTCACCATCGCTGCAGCTGTCACATGACCTGCATGAGCCGGCCATATAGCCAACTCCAACTTTGTCTCCAGCGTTGAATTTGGTCACTTTGGCTCCAACTTCAGTCACCACCCCCACAATCTCATGCCTGAAACAATTGAATTCCGATTAAATGTCATCATTAGAGCTATTCAAATGGTAAAATTACCACTGGTTGATTTTTTTTTTCTTTTTTGTGCAAACCATTATTGATTTTGCAATTTTTATCTTACAATCAATGATATGAAAGTAGCATGTCTCTTTGTCCAAACAAAGAAATTAACATGTCTCATCCGGTAAAATATGTAAAAATTCTTAGAAATAGGTTGATATTTTTTAAAATATATAGTAACAATCACGTTTGCTAGCATTAATAGTTTACTTTAAAATAAAATATGTTATTTTAGAGTAAAGAAAATTTGTCTTACCCAGGGACAAGAGGATAAGTAGTAAAACCCCATTCATTTTTGGCCATACTCAGATCAGTGTGGCAAATTCCGCAGAACAAGACTTTGAACCTCACATCTTTGTCTCCTGTCTCCCTATTTACATTAAATTTCACCAAAACTTATTTTCATTAGTACAAAAATATCTTAATTATCGAAATATCATACTAAACAAAATCGAGGGATATTAAGATTCGTTAAAAAAAATAAAAAAATTGAAACCTTCTAGAGAAACTGAAAGGCGAAAGAATTCCCGATTCGTCTTTCGCGGCTAATCCGAACGCCTCCTTCTCAAGAATCTTTCCCATATGGATAAACAATAAGCGAATGAGATTGAGAGATGAGAAGTGTAGAGATAATGAGAGGAAATATGTCGAATTTTATACAGGAATATGGTTTGTGGAACCGATCGATATGTGAATGAGGACAATTACGTACTCATTAATTTACCAGGACCATATTCACTACGTCCACGTGAATTGATGGTCCCTAATGGTTACTCGATCTGGTAGTAGTGTGATGGCTTGAGTCATCATGCTCATATCAATTAACCTATTTGATAATGATGTGTTCATCAATAATGCAATTGGTTATTCTGATGATTTAAAGCTATGGTTGTAGTGCAGTAAACGTCATTTCTCTTAATTTTACAACGTTTTCCTAATTTATATTTAATAAATAATGCGAGTTATCTTCCCTAAACATGCGATTACTCAAATCTTAGCCAAAAAGAAACTGATTTTGTAATTTATTGCCAAAGATAAGATTTTGCAATTTTCTACATGAAAAAAAAACATTCTACAGTGCTCATGCTAAAACATTATTTATCCAACAATTTCCCGTTTAAAACAAATTTTGAATTTATGCAATTTTTTCGAGGAAAATGATTAAAAAACATTTCACCAAAAAACAATTATGCAATTTCTTGCCACAAAAGCAGTTCCTGTAAAATCTCATAATCACCAATTTTTTTAATAATTTTTTTTTTTAAAATGAAATTGTAGATGCGAAACGGAAATGGAAATACTTGGAAATAATGCGTTCCAAATATTGAAAGCGTAACTCATTTCTATTACGAATCATATTGAATATGGCCCAGCAGTGACAATTATTGTAGGAAGAGAATTATATCTTATTTTCACAGCAAACTTTTAAAGATCCTTTCCACACGCACATGGAACTTATTCAACCAAATGAGCCAAGCCCAGTTTTCATTCCACTCTGACAAAATCATAATTTTTGTAAAACAAAAAAAGTTAAGTTATTAGACGATGAAATACATTGCTGTCAAATTTTAGTAAAGTCCACACAACATAACACATACGTTCATATTTAAAACGTGTTAAATCGACCCCACATGGATACGTTCGGTTGGTACATTTAGTTAAGTCCACCCAATATAATATAAGATACGTTCGGTTGATATTCACTCGAATTACATTTATTTGATTTATACTCCATTTATATAAAACAGACTGTATATCCTTCAGTTCCGTGGGATTGAAATCCAGACTATTTTGAATACGTATAGAACTTCGACTTTAATTAAGATCGAGTAGCAGCCAGTGTGTTAGCTATGTCGATGACAAATCGATATCTAACATCCCCTTTCGCAAGTCTATCTATGGCAGTGTTCACATAATCCATGGATATGATCTCAATTTCTGCTGTTACGCCATGCTCAGCCGCAAAATCAATCATCTCTTGTGTCTCTTGCATTCCTCCAATACCACTTCCCGCTATCGATTTTCGTCCTGTCGCATCATGGTTTCATCATACTCGATAGTCTAGATGTGAAAGGCTGAATAAATGAACTAATGTAACGTTCTATTACTTAAGGGTTATATATGCATACCCAATATTAAGGAAAATGCAGATATATCAAATGGCTTCTCCGTTGCCCCGAGTAGAACAAGTTTACCGTTGGATTTGAGTAGTCCAATTAAAGGTGAAATCGAATGCGATGCAGAAACTGTATCAATTATGCCATCCATAGTTCCCGTTGCAGCCTAACATAAATTTGAAATCTGATAACATTTTTTACGTTTTATATGCATAATATATGGTTTAAGATTACCTTCATTTGGTCTTCATCAGTACTAACCAAGAATCCATCAGCTCCAAGAGTTTCAAGAGCATCCTTAGATTTCCCAGTGGTCGAGCTAATCACCGTGACTTTAGTCCCAAATGCTTTAGCAAATCTCACCCCAATGTGTCCAAGACCACCTAGCCCCACGATTCCAATATGTTTATCCGGTCCGGCCAATCCGAAGTACTTCATAGGACTGTACATCGAGATGCCTATATATTACGTTAGACACGTTATATTAATTAAAATAATTCAATAATAAAATATTGTATATATTTTTAAAGTATAATCATATTTGATTCAAATTACCTGCACAAAGCAAAGGTGCGGCTGAAGCTAGAGGCAATGTGTGTGGAATTTTGACGGCGTAACGTTCATCAACGACGATGTGGTCGGAGTATCCACCGTAATTAATCGTTCCGTCATGGTGAACTCCGTTATAGGTTGCGACTGCTTGAGTGCAGTAGTTCTCTTGATCTTCACGGCAACTTTCGCAAGTGCGGCATGAATCTACTATGCATCCAACACCGACTTTGTCTCCAAGATTGAATTTACTTACTTTGCTCCCTATCTCACTCACTTCTCCAACAATCTCGTGACTGTACTAAACAACCCACACGTTTATATATTTCTTACATTAATCTAGTAATAATGTAATTAGCATTAAATATATAAAAGCTTTTAGACCGTTGAGATTATTGTGTTGCCCTTATATATCTTCATAACGTTCAATTTTGATCTGTGTGTGGATTTACTTATAATAAAGTTACTAAATGAATTTAACAAAAGAAAAAAATGTCACTATATGAGAAATCATTTGCCACAACAGGAAAAGAGAGGGTAGAAGCTAGTAATAGTCAACTTTAAGTGATGATGGTAACAATGGAGGTGAGTGCTCATTTTTTTGCAAAACTTATTTCAGAGTAATAATTAATTTATCTGCCTAAAATGTTTTTATTCAACTATATTTAATTTAGCCGAAAGAAAAGAACTAAAAGTAAGTGCTCCACTATAAACAGTGGACAAACAAGAACTTGCCACATTTACTTCCACTCAATTATATGTTGATCTCTTATAATTAAGCATTTACCAACCAAATCCAATATTTTTAATCTTTCCTGAAACATATGTTAAGTTCATTTCACCTATAATAACCAATATAATAATCCTTGTGTATTTAAATCACCATTAGCAAAATTTCGATTTTTTCGGATCAAAATTTACATTGTTTATAATTGTAATGTGAATTCTAGAGTGGTCAAACGTGTGGATATAATGAAAAATAATCTTAACATCAAATAAAAACAAAATTTACTGGGACTATAATCTAACCGAGTGATAATAATTTTTTTTAACATAACTGAAAATTTTACGAAAATAATGTTATTTAAAAAAAAAAATGGCGTACCCAGGAACCAAAGGGTAAGTAGAGGAATGCCATTCGTTCTTGAGACAATGGAGATCACTATGACATATTCCACAATATAACACCTTCACTCTCACTTCCTCCTCTCCTGTTTTCCTGCACATTGCACATACCATCACCATCATCATGGCTACAATAATCATCGATCCATCATGTAACACCATCATCATCACTCAGTCACCGTTACCTTCTAGAAAAGACAAAGGGAGAGAGATGGCCTGAGGAGTCTCTCGCGGCCCATCCAAACGCCTCTACGCTCTGTTCTTTCTCTCCTGTCAATCTCTCCATCTCTCACTCTTTCTATTTCTTTATTTTCGAACAATTAAGCGACCCAGACTTTATATAGAAGTGAGAATAGAAATGGATCTAAACGTTGCCGTTTCGTGTGAGAAATATCGTTTTGACTTTAGGTCTCTCATTTTTTTTTTGGGAAAATCACATTTTTAACCCTCAAAGTGTAACTGGGTAGCACTTTAAACCTCGAAAGAATTCTACTAACACTATAAACCACCGAGATTGTTTTACTAACACTTTAAACCTCCAAACTAGTTTTTCTATTTACAAAGCCATAAAAGATGATGGAACAATCAATTTATGTTTGTTTAATATATATTTATTTAGTTTAATTTAAATTTAAATTAGTTTTATTATTTATTACGACTTTGACGATAAATAAAAAAGTAAAACAAAAAATCATCATCTTCGACTATTCACCGTCCGACAACAATTTTTTAGATTTTTATTCAGTTTATTGTATGTGTTCCCCATCTTTTTTATTCAATTGGTATTATGAGATTCCAATTTATCCACTGGAAAGAGTGAAAACACTTATGGATTAGTCTAAAAGATTTTTCTAATAGTTCATAAAAAAATTTCATGGTCGGACAGTGAGTAAACGAAGAAAATAAAGTTTTTTTTTTTGTTTTTATAAATTTTTATTAATTGTAATAAATAATAAAATTAATTAAAATTTAAATTAAATGAAACAAATATATATTAAACAAACATAAGTTGATTGTTCCATCATCTTTTATGACTTTGCAAACAAAAAAGTTAGTTTGGAGGTTTAAAGTGTTAGTAAAACAATCTTGGTGGTTTATAGTGTTAGTAGAATTCTTTCGAGGTTTAAAGTGCTACCCAGTTACACTTTGAAGGTTAAAAATGTGATTTTCCCTTTTTTTTTTGGTAGGAGACTTTAGGTCTCTCATTAGTCATTACCAATCAACAGTTGACTTTCATATATGAATTTTTTTCTCAACATATTTAACATCAAAATATTACTTATAATGTTTATATACTAACAATTAACAAATATCATCATCATGCATGGTGAATGTTGTAATATTTGATATAATTATATGCTTTACATATCATTTTTGGCATTTGATTTTTTTATATAAAAAATACTCTTAAAAGTATTAAGAACTTAATGACATTAGGGAAGAATTAGGTAACAAATTTAACCATTTTTTTTTTGGTAAGAGTAACAAATTTAACCATTGTAAAACAGATTTTTTTTTAATTATAATTTGGACTTTGACTACTAAAAGAAAATAATAATTCCTATCGACATTTACACATTATTATATATATATATATATATAGTTTATCAAACTCCAGAAGGACCTTCCAAACGAAGATAATCATACATTACACCTGAAAAAGAATCAGAGTTCCGACCATGAGTAAGAAAAATAGTATTATTACCAACCCTAAGTAACTGTCCATGAACATCGATATTGTACAATTTGTACAACCCATGAATCCCATGCCTCGCGATCGCGTTATCCCGACCTATTAGCCCAGTTATGAATAGGGGTTTGGAATTAGCTTGGTTGACCCAAACCACTAGATCAGTAGTTGTGGCTGCAGCCAAAGCTATTCGAAGTGTGTAGATTCTAGTTTGAATCACTGCTTTTAAATTAAACTTAATTTGCCATGTCGTTGCTTTATATGTCCCTTTTCCAGCTTTCCTATAGATTATTAAACATATAGTTTTTGTATTGACAGATATCAGTGATTTATACAACAACATTTTGAATCATCAAAATTAAATTTTATTACCTGTTGACATGGGCATAGAACCAGTCTTTTTTAAAGTCACTCACTCCAGTAGTAAAAATAAGATCGTTTCGAGGATACAAAACACTGTAACGATCCCATAGACCATATTGTCTAAATCTGTATTATTACATAAATTAAATAAAACACCATTTAGTATATTAAAATAAAACTATATTGTAAACAATAATTAATTACATGCTTATTCTGTTACCTGTCTTGAGGATTTGAGTAATTTAGATAGAGTTTGGTCAAAAGGGTTGGGTCCGGATCTGGGATATAGAATTCTGCGGCGGTTCGGTCTGGTTCTCCGATCTCCCACAGAGTCGGACCATTTCTCGGTGGCTCGTACACTATGCGTCCTACGTCTATCACCCTACCTATCGGCCAAACCAAACACATACATGAATTATAGGCACCACAATAATTGGGCCTATTAATGGGCCCAATCACATCTTCAGCTGTGGCACATGACAATTATAACTCTTACAAAAAAAATATGGACTTAATGGCCATTAATGCGTCTCTAGTTGGATCAACGTGGGCACTAAACACTCGTTTCACGTTGTATATACTAAAGAGATGTGATATAAATAAAATAAACGCACCTGGTGTGATGGTAATGTCACGCTCATATTTATAGTCACCGATAAACCCAGAAACCCATGCGTAGAGACTATATTTCCCTGGTCTAACATTCGCTATTGTGAACATCCCTACTCTGTCTGCTCGTGTCCAAAATTGATATCCCTTTTTCCAGATTTTAGTGTAAGAGATTATTAAAAGCCGTTAGTTTAGTCCATTTGACAGACACTGACCATTAGTTTAGTACCTTGTTTTCGGTTTGCCATGAACCAGCTTCACCAGGTAATGCTAATCCCACAAAAGCAAATTTCCCGAATATGTTCGTTTCGGTTTTGTTGTATCTACAAAATTCATAATAACTCAAAATTCATAAATTGTAACCAAGAAAACCTTTCTAAGAATCTTAGATTTATTTACCTCTCCATGACAAAGATTCGACCCTTGACTATTCCTCTTTGGTGATGAAGAGGGTAATCTACTGACTTCACGAAATCATAAGGCCAACTTTGGACCTCGGAAACCATCTATACAATTGTTTAAACATTTGAACTATACATAAACAATAATTCATGATAATATAAATCGAATGAAATAATGGGGTCATTGATACGGTAACGAGACCTGTCGTTTAGCATCGGTCCAGAGAAGATTACGAGAAGAGGCAGAATTGAGATAAACAAAGACAGGACCGAACATCTTCCTCCACGGCTCCTTGCTTTTATAAATTGTGTTAATATCTACTCCCGCGTAATGTACACTTGTAAACATCTAAAAACACACAATATTCTTAAAATCGGACAAGAGATTAAAACAGAAATGCATTTCGACTCAATGAATCAATAATACATCGAATTAATCGTACCACGCAGATCATCCAAAAAGTGAATATCTATAAAGATACTAGTGTGTCTAAAAACGAACAGGAAATTGGACATACACACTTCTTGAATCAGTATAACACTGGATCAAGTTAGTCGAACCATATATCACTTTCTTTTTTAAAATTTTTTTTTAAAACTAATGTAACAATTTACAACGAAAAATAGAAGAAATTGAGTTTTTTTTTTAACTCACTGAAAGAATGGTGGGTCCCACATGAGAAGTGAGATCTTGTTTGATGGGCCCACATGAACGAAACTCATCGCTGGGAGTAATCATCCAAAACCCAACACGTTGGTCCGACGATATCCAACCGTGTACTTTGTTGTCTTTGTTTTCCATCGAGTACATGTACTTATCGTCTACCTGCGTTAGTAAATCATTCAGGGTTGTCTTATTTGTATAGCCGGTGTTATTCAAGGTTCGTATACAAAAAAAATTTAAGAGACTTTACATAGAATAGTATATGACCAAAATGTCTAAATTTGTGGATTCATTTATATATATACCTGCCCTTTAAGTATATGATTTTGGGGATTTATCAAATGAACAGCTTCTTTGTAAGCCAATGGACTAGCACGACGAGTTTTGATATCTCGATCTGCTTCAGAAGGCATAATTTTCTGCCGACCATCAGATATAGCCATGAAATCGAATCTGCAACACACAAAAAAATGTTTTTTTTTTTCAGTCACATCAATTTTAGCATAAAAATATAATTAAACAAGGGTTACTTTGTTGTGTTAAGCTTGAAGACGATTCTGGTTTGGTCCATGTTCACGTCTGGCCAACCTTTTAATCTCTCTAACACAGCGTACATGTAGACTCCGGACACACCACTTCGAATGATATATCTTTAAAGAGAACAATTTCAGTTATGATTTATCTAAATATATCTAACTTCTCATAATAAAAAACAAGAAAAACTCTCTAGTAACATACTTTTTTTGTTCTAATACAAATTGACATACCTTTTGTCTACGTTTAATGGGGCTCCCGAGCTATGTTGAGAGATATTCCATGTTCTCAAAAAAGAAATTTCGACATGCTCACTTGTTTGATTTACAATATTGAATTTTTCTCCTACTAAACTGTTGAAACATAATAGAAATATGAAATATATAGAAAACATGTATAATACGTAATTACGTATGGTTATGAAAAATGTTTATTAACAAAAATATACGAAGAGAGATTCGACAACTCACAAATCGGTTAGTGACTTTTGTCCTGGTTTATACCATACTACGTCCCAATACCTATATATAATGATGATTATTATATATTAGACGAAACATTTTTAAATACTTTTTCCGAAAGCTAAATAAGTTCAGATATTTAAATGTATCGTACCCGCGATTCTCAATTTGGTCGTTCAACACATTGTTAAAGCCATTGTACTTGATTCCAGTTATTAAGCCTGCCGGACTCGAGAAGCTAACTTGGATGATACCGTTATCAACGACCACCTTAAACACCATGCAAAAACTAAATATCAAATCTTATACATAACAATTTTTGGTACCTTATAGTAGAATCATTGAAACAAAGATTCAGAAGATTAAATAGACGTTTCAATCGTACTTGGTTATGACCAACTTTCCTAAGCGTAACCGGGGGAGATGGGTGTTTTTGTCCCGGGTTTGTGACGTTTAAATTGTTTCTGTAATAAGAAGATTTACAATTAAACGAAAATTAAAAAAATTAACGTGACTATCAGAATATGCATGTCTACATTCAACCGTTGATTATATACCAAAAGGAGGAATAAATCTAAGCATTTTAACATTTAAATTTTGAAAACTGAATAAATTAATAAAACAAGATTGAGTCATTTGACCCATTCCAAAAACATAAATTCTACCAAAAACACAGCTTTTGTCCCTCAAGAAGAGAAAACATAAGAAAGATCACAAGTCTTATGAGAATCCAATTGAGTTTCAATAATCTAGTATTTATAATATTGTAGAACCCGTTTCAGTGAAAAGACATAGAAGTTACAAGAAAGCATACCGTGACGTTGTGGAACGAACACCTTGAAGAAGGGAAATCAGAACGAAAACCTGAGTCATGACCCGACCCACCTTCATTCCCGGAGATCCGTTTTCCAATATCTTGTCCATTTTACTAAACCTCGGACAAAGAAATCAGAAGAAGAGACAGTATTTTCAACAACAAAAAGAAAAAAGAAAAAAAAAGAAGACACAGACAATATTTTTTGTACCCATTTGAGACAAATGGTCTAAAGACCTTAGCTATTAATTTGGTCAACCTGTTGTATAAATTGTAACCAGCGAAGAATTAGTCTGGTAGATCTGTAGGATAATGTCTAAATCTCTTTATACATTTAATTTTTTTTACAAATAAATCTTATATATGTAAACACGTACGTTGACTTAGAAAATTTAACCATATTTCTTCTCGTTGTTGGGTTCATTTGCAGCTTTTGATTAATTCCTCGGAGAAGAAGGAGAGCTCTCTCCAGTGAAGAAATTTGTATCTCTCCTAATATATTTGGACTGATTTTATCAATTTACCATACTATTATTAATATAGATTATAATCTCTAGTTAACAAAAAAAGAGATCACAATCTCTTATAAATCAGATCCAAAGGCGGTTAAGATGTATTTATATTTATATTTGTGGTAACATGCTAAGTTAAGAAACTAGGTTCAAGTAATCTTACTTCCAAAAATTTTCTTCCATCTTTTCATAAAAACATATAGATCTTTTTATAATCAAATTCTGGATGAGTTCATGCCCAAGTGTACGGGCTTCACTAATTTTATTTTTACTTTTTGAAATCAAAACATTAGTTAATTATGACATAAATACGACCTGATTCTGAATTTACATGGTTTTAATATATTCTTTTGACACATGGTTTTACGTAATCAAGTTACTCAAGAAAATGTATCACATGTTTTATTCTAACTTTTTTTTTTATATAGTAGAAACTATGATTTTTGTTTGGAACAAAAGTGGAAACTATGATTAAACACAATATCAAATTAACGAGCGACACGTGGCAACTGTGCCGTTGACATAGATCTACCAGGACGTGGTAGCCGTAGGATATGTCGGTTTGAAATTTGATTCCACTTCTATGAGAAACACAATTAATTAAGAGGTCTTTGGAGATTTCAAAAGATTTTTCAAGAATTATTGCTTTCCATTAAAAGAGTGCTCACTAAATAATTTTTGATTGTTTCATTCAATGATAATAAAAAGAAAATTATTTACTATAAAATGATGATGTGTTATTTTAAGATGATGTTTTATTGAGATATATATATGATTTTTTCAAAGTGGATTTATATATTTTGCATGTAGTTTAGATCATAAAACCAAATCTCTTTAACATCTTCATCATTTAATTTGTTCCTCAATCAACATTTACTTGACATTCTTTCTTTCTTTGTTAATCAATTATCCGAACTTCCGAAGTAACGGTATGAAGTTATCATTTGAGGTTTGATAGATTGAAAACTTCAGTAGAATCATACAAAACATTACCGAATGGACTGTAATTAATTATAGTATTGATTTAAGCCTCCCCATAAATCTTGTTTAATGGGCTTCTGGGCCATAAGTACTAAGGAATTTCTTACAAATTGCTAATCATGCCGTTGGTCCATAGAGACTATGTAATTGGTATACTACTGGTCAGATATTTTTTTTATTTGATTGTCCACATAAGACGATGATATATTGCTTAGTACAGTAGTTTGTTTTATTAATATTGTTGATACATCATCACCCAGATTTAAATCTATATAATACATTAATACGTGTTGATAAAACAGAAATTGTTGAATCATAATGCATTCATATTGTAGAAACAAAAATATAATGATATAAAATAAGTCTTTAAACTTAGGAAAACAGAAAATAACTAGATAATTATAAGATTAAATCCAGTTTGAAAACAAGTTTTACTTTTTCATATATGATTTTTAATTTTACTTTTTCTATTAAAATAAAATAAAAGATATCATCTAATAATATATAGAATACATATATTAAATAAATTAATATAATGAAACTGGATTACAAATCTAGTTTAGTTATGACAATTTTATGATTTTGTTATCTGAATTTAAATACAAAAAAAGCTTTGATTTTCCAAATATATAAAAGATAAAACGATTCAGATCTTATATTTCAGATATTTGTTAGCTTCTATTTATCACCGGGGGTATCTTACGACATGTCGACATCTACCGGAATTGAAAATAAGAGTTATATTCATACTTTATACCTAACGTTTTAGTGTTAACGTATCTTCTGACATATAAATATAAATATTGTATAACTTTCCGATAGGTAAGATTAGTAACGAAGTATGAATTTTTTATGATCAATATTTAATTAATTAATTTGTAAATGACAAATACATTTTGGGCACTCTGAGTAAAATTACTGGTCGATTCCTTTTTAAGGTATACTCAATTATGCTACACACTATCGTTTTAAATCATGCTCTTATATTTCCGGTATTACTTTAAGAACTATGTAAGGAATCATTATTTAAATATGAAATTTTCATAACTAGTGAGCTATGATGACATTTTCAACTAGTGTTACGGTTGATCTCGACTGCTTTGTTTATTAAATGCAGATTATTAATTATGGTATATTCTAAAGTTTATTTACGTTGGTTTAGTGTGTCTGACTTTTTGGTCCAAATTTGGATCAAAGATATTCTGTTTGGTCATAAGTATATGTCTGTCCAAAAACTGTATAAGAAAGCTAGTTTCTTATAAATCCAATAATAAGGAATCTCATTTTTAGCAATTTATAAAACCAATATACCATAATTCTTCGTTAGTGTTTGTATATAGTTAGTAAATATCTTTGATATAGTATCAAATCTTGAATTTATTCATATCTGAGGAGAAACGCATCATAAAAAGTAAATCTTTTATAAACGCATCATAATGGCCAACAACTTTGGAACATTTAGTATAATTTCCACCAGTCTTCAAGTTCCAAGGCCATCTTTTAAACTCGACCTTTGCAATTGATAACTATAATTATTATCTTCGGAAATCTGAGAACATGTTTAAATTAAAACTTTATGGACCCAAAGATAATGTGGGATTTAATTTTTAAAACATCAAAAGGGACAACACCTTATCTCCTTTTCTTGGTCTGATCAAGAATCTGAATAAGGTTTATTACTATATCATTCACACTCTGAGTACGCGCTCACCCGAATTTTATAGCACTAACCAGAAAATTAAAAAGAACTATACTCAAAATAACCTATACGTATTATACATTTTCCCATACCATAATTTTTTGTCAAATGGTAGACTAATGGAACATTTTGGTATTCAAATCAAATTTATATAGTACTCCCTTGTCCCAAATTATAGAATGTTTTAGTTTCTTTTTCTTATTCTATTTTATAAGAATTTCTCATACACTTTTATGCATAATTTATGTTTATTTGGTATGTTATGACTATTTGAATTCTGCAGTTTTATTTTTTTGTTAAAATAATCTCTGCTCTCAACAAACAAGCCAAACTAATTGGACATAAACGCATGTTCAAAAGTTAAATCTAAAATATAGCATTAATTATACTTTAAAGTTTTAAAGAATACCTTTTTTTTTTTTCTTAAAGTTTTAAAGAATACTACTCCGATCCTTTAGCTATTGTGCTGTGACAAATAGCTAACAACATGCTTTGTTGGTGTAAAGTTACACGAATCACCTGAAAAAACAGTATTCTATAAAACAATAGGTGTTTGTAGATAATATATACTATAGTGTTATGAATAACGAATATAAAGTTAAAAAAAAAAAAATAACGAATATAAATCTGCTATTTGCACAACAGATAGTCAGTATGGGTGTGTTATTTAAACACTATAATACCAAATTGTTTTGGTAAAAAAAAAAGAAAAAGTCATCTGTGAAACCTATTACTCTTTGGCAACTAGCTTATGGATTACATCTTCTATACATGTGTTAGATATTTGGTTTAGTCATTACTAAACAATTCTTAAGAATAGTTCTTATACAGCAAAGAAAACCACATACAAAATATTGTGTTAAAGGGGTTTCAAGAAAACCAATATAAACAAACACTCTGATAGTCTGATATATATAGTTGTAGATAGTGGAGTCAAAATCTGGAAAACGTAAACTAGAAAATTGAAACGTAAAAGAGAGAGTGTTATCTTATAACCCGTCGTCAAACAAAAGATAATACTAATGATTATTATTGTTGGTAAAATCGAAATGATTCGCTGATGATTGACACCTGGCGTGAATGAGACTAAATCTTTTATCTTAAGTCTTAAGACGACGATAATTGGGGATTTGGTCACTTGGAAGCTCTTTAATAGAAAAAGAGCCAAATCTGAAGTTGAGTTTGAGATTCGAGATGTGATTGGTTCGAAGCAGTCCAGCCCACGTGGTCCTTAATGGATCTTACCATGTTATCTATCACCTAAATCTTTTACATCAACGGTATAAAATCGAACTTGGTTAGGGTTTGAGTTTGGTTTAGTTCGGTTTAAAAGAAATTTGCTACATTTAAACCAAATTCAATTGATGGATGCCTTCGCACTAGGGGTGTTGATTTACGGCAAGTACGAGGATTGGTCAAAGTTATAACTTTAGATATATTCATAGAAAAGAGGAAAAATGGGTAAAAAAACCCTTACCTTTCTTAAAAACATAGAAAAAACCCTCAACTTTTTTTGTGGGTTTTTAAACCCTCACCTTTTTATATATGGTTAAATAAACCCTAATATTAATAAACTCAATTTAATTTTTTAAAAATCATTATATTAAAACAGTAAGTAACAAACAAAATTTAATTTATGATTTTTTATTTTAAATTTGAGTTTACGATTTTTTTTCTTCTAAAATTAGGGTTTTTGTGCTATGAACATTTATTCACCATTTAGTTGAGATTATGCAAATTATTTTTGTTATAATTAGAAGTTATGTTATATAAACTACAAAATTTATAGGATATCACATTTGATGTTTTTTTATTCGAGTGTTCAGGTTTTGGATAAAAATATAGTTAAATAATGATTAATTAAATTAAATTTATATTATATTTTAATATATCGTAATATATATATATATATATATAGAAATATTAATTGTTAGTAAATCTTATTTAGTTTGTCCAATGAAAATATTTTGATGTGGAAATTCATGTACTTTTCATAGTATTATAAAATTTGGTTTGGTTTTACGTTAGTAAATTTGTGTGGTCGAACCTAATAAACCTTTATTAATATAAACTCATATTCGGTTTCGATATAAGAATTTACATATAATTCGTAACAAAATCTGTTTGGTTTCACGTTGATGAATTTTTGTAACACACCGAATAAAACTTCACTAATTAACTTTTTTACATCATGACTTACATATTTTCAATTTAGAAAAATATTGTAAACTAGAATTTTAGAAGAAACACCCGCAATCAAAATTTTCCTATTTATTAATGTTTTAGTATAACAATTTTTTGAATTTAAATTAAGTTTTTTAATACTAGGGTTTATTTTACCATTTATGAAAAGGTGGGGGTTTAAAAACCCACAAAAAAAGTTGAGGGTTTTTTCTATGTTTTTATGAAAGGTGAGGGTTTTTCTACCCATTTTTCCTAGAAAAGAAAACATCACTTAAAATAAAATAAATTCTAAAATACTATTAAAATGAAAGGAAAGAATATTAATTATTTATGAATTATATTTAACTATAAAATTAAATTAAATTTTCAACAAAGTTAATTATAATCTGTCACGTTCTTTATATTTTTAATGTATAAAATATTAATTTTTAGAAAATTTTACTTGTAAAAGTATTCGGTTTCACTTGGTCTTTATTTTGTAATATATCATGAAATTAACTTATATTAATGTAATAAAAAGTGAAACTAAAACTTAAACACAAAAAGTTTGTCTAAAAAAAAAAAAAACTAGTGTAAAACACAATAATTTTTTTAAAAGGATCAGGTGTACGGATTATGCGGTGGAGCGTGCGAAAGCTTCCATCAATGGGTGTTCTTAGGAGCTAATCCAGCTTCTCCCACGTGTGCCTGTCACAAATGCATATTGCATTTTAGATTGTATATTTGCAAATTGTATTAACCACTCTACTACAATTTAGTATTTCAAAATTGAGGCTCTTATATTAAATTAACAAATATTTCTTTGAGGGTCTCAAAATTTACCTGATAAAACTCTGCTTTCTTACATAGTATTTCATATTTAAACCTTTTGTATTCAGAGTTTTTTTTTAATATGAATTTGGTATCAGCTATATACTTATTGAATATATGTATTGTATGTGTGTTGCTTTGATTAGAAATTAAGCATTAAGCCATCGAAAGCATTAATTAAGCGTTAGTTATTAATTTGATAGTATTAAATTTCTTACCATATTTGGAAACTTACGACAAAACAATTAATATGATGAATCTCCGCAACTCCAAGTTCCTGTCTGACACGTGTACTTGATATCGTTTTAAATAATTAATTGACACAAAAATAACGTATTCATGTGTATTTTACAGAAAGCCATATGGACTATTTGTTGTACTATGTATGTTGTTCAATCCATTCTCTTACTTTTTGGGTAAATATCTTTTGTACAGCTCTAATTAATATATTGTTTTCCTATGACCATAATCAAGGTCCATAATATTATTTAAAATTTAATTACCTAGGAATGATAATTAAATTAGGAAAAGCAGCATATAAAGCAAGAGGGTTTTGTCAGAGAAACACAGTCCTGTGATGCGCCCATTCACTATTTCCACATGACATCTGAAATAGACTTAAGAATAAATTATCCCGTAAATTATAAATATGTACGGACATGTTAAAAAAGGAAATATTATTGATAATGGAAATTTACCTAACTCACATATGTTTAATAGTATTATTTCACTCCTTTTTATCCAAAAAAAATTCCATTAAGTTTCCACTATCTCCCGTGATAAACTATAAAAAAGAATCAGTGATTAAAGTTATATATGTATATCAAACATTTAAGCTATATCTATATATTCTCTTAACCTAGGAACTTTATAAGAACTTCTTTCTATTTCGTTGGTTTGATAAAATCATACACGAATACTATTTTTGGACTATAAATTTAGTACTTTACTTTGCATTAAATCTACCCAAAAATGTCTCAAATTAAGAGGTGAGTGTGTATATATGTGTGTGCATATGCATATATATACTTAGTTTATTCCTCGAATAGATTGTTGACTCTTGGCTCAACCTTCCCCTCTCTATATTTCTACCTTTCTCTTTCTCCTTATTCGTTCATCTTCGTCTTCCCTTCCCTTTTGGTCTTGGTAAGATCTACAAAAAAAAAAAACCCTAGAAAAGAGAAGAACCAGAGGAGATTCAAATAGAGGATAAAATTGATGGGAAGAGGGAAGATTGTGATCCAAAGGATCGATGATTCAACGAGTAGACAAGTCACTTTCTCCAAACGAAGAAAGGGTCTTATCAAGAAAGCTAAAGAGCTAGCTATTCTCTGCGACGCCGAGGTCGGTCTCATCATCTTCTCTACCACAGGAAAGCTCTATGACTTTGCAAGCTCCAGGTTCTTCTTCTAAAATTATTCATTCTGAAATCTTTAATTAAATCTTCTTGATTTTGTGGATATACGGAAGTGTTTGTGTACTATTACTTATATAATTTTATGCTACGGTTTTGCTTAGAAGGCTTGGAGATATTCATTGAGATATATGTCGCTGTGGGATCTATTCATATGTAGTGGAATTTTTTCGCATCTGGCGGTCGGTAGAACATGTTACATTTTTCCGTATATGTACAATAAGATGTGTATGTATAGCCGACAAATTATTTTCTTACAACAATGAAAGATTAAAATGAGGTAGAAGTTTTAAAGAAGAATGATACTTTTGTAGATGAAAAAGATTATTTGAAATAGTTTCTTTGCTTCCTATTTGGGTGACTATGTGTACACATCAGTATGTTTTGAAGTGATTTCTTAACATATGTTTGTGTGTCTCTACACGTATATATGTATATATGTATGTACGCTGACTTATAGTTAATGCTCAGTGTTTGTATTTTCCAAATCTAGAAATGTTTCAGAAGTAGATGAGATAACAAGTGTGAATGCAAAAACATATGGAAAGCTAAAAAGGAATTATAATTGGAGACCACGAGATAGAATGATTGGTATGTAGAGGGACTTAATTTCTCAAAACCAATAAACTAGGAGATGATTTAGTTTAATCTACTAACAAAATGGTGACTAACAAAATGATCTATTTACACTCATAAACATAAACATATTTTTGATATTTCTGTGTATAATCCTATATATCATTACAGAACGATCAGATCACTCTGTATATTTATCGCTATATATGCAGGATCGTTACTATTATATTTCTTCTAAGTAAGTTACTCATTGTTAAAACTTTACTTAACATAAACAAATGTAGAGGTGAACAACTAATTGCGATTATGTATTCATGAATAAGTATACTCACCGTAATAATATCGGATTAGAAAACATATATATATATATATATATATATATATATAATAACAGGTAATTCTAAAGCATATAATATTTTTGATTATTTTGAAAAATTATACGATTACATATTTATCAGTTCAAACAACCAAATAAAAGAGTTCTATAATGTGAATTTTTTTTTCTAATTTCCTTAAGGGATTTTACATTAGTATCAACCTTAAGCATTACTAATTCTTCATGTTTATCCTTTGATAACATTTCTCATAATGTCTATATCATAGGGTTTATGAACCACTTGCTGAATGAAATTACTTAGCATATATACTCAAGTTTATATACCATTCTTAAAAGTAACTGACACCATATTATTGTTTTCTTGGATTTAGAATAAAGTGTACCATGTTACTGCATTATATTTATGACCGAGCCTTAATTAGTATTAATTTCCTTTTTTTATATTATTTTATTTCTAGCCATAAAACTGGATTGCGTTAAAACTCTTACTTAGCTTATATCTACACCCTAAAAATAACATTTAAGCATTTGTTTTTGTTAAACATCAGTTTTTTACTTTTTTGTTTATTGAATTTTTTTAAAGAAACTAACATCTAATTTACTTTCTATATAATTTATATAAGTATGTGGGTGCGTAACAAATTCATAATACTGTGTGCAAGTTTATATAGGTAATGTGGAATGTATGTATGTATGTATACTTGTGTGTAAAAATTATGTTGCCAAAGCCTGAAAAGTCTAAATAGCACAAATTAAAGGCTATGAGTTTTCTCTTTACGTACGAAAGCTTCTAATGGAGGAGTTGGATAAACTTAATGAAAATTAATATCTTATATACGTTCTTTACTCTGATAGATGATATGATATGAATGAATTATATATCATGAACAAGCTGGTAACTAATATTAAATCTTTTGAATAGCATGAAGTCGGTTATTGATAGATACAACAAGAGCAAGATCGAGCAACAACAACTAATGAACCCCGCATCAGAAGTCAAGGTATACACAGATATATATATATAGTTTATCGATCTAATGATTATTAACAAATATGCAAATATGTGATTACTGATTGAGATTTTAGAATGGTGTTTTTGAATAGAGATTTTGGTTTACTGAGTTCAAAGTTTGATGAGTTATACTTGTGTTGTGTTACAGTTTTGGCAGAGAGAAGCTGCTGTTCTAAGGCAAGAATTGCATGCTTTGCAAGAAAATCATCGGTATGGCCTTGAACTTTTACAACATATGTTGTGTAAAGAATTAGCATGAGATCAAAATATCGATAAAAAGGCATACAAGGAAATGAAGAAACTTGTACTTATAGATTGCGGCATGTTTGCTTTGAAGCAGGCAAATGATGGGAGAACAACTAAATGGTTTAAGCGTTAACGAGCTAAACAGTCTTGAGAATCAACTTGAAATAAGTTTACGTGGAATTCGTATGAAAAAGGTACATAAATACATATACTCTACCTTGTATGTATATGATTTGGTACTTGTATTAGTTAAAAGATTGACTATAGAACACAATGGAATTCGTAGAACCGATTGCTTTTCCGGATTCGCAGGAACAAATGTTGACTCAAGAAATCCAAGAACTAAGCCAAAAGGTCACTATGAGATATGTATATATATCTATATATATACACACACAAATATCTCTTACCCATATATGTAAATTCCCCAAAAGAACACAAGTTACAATTCTTATTTTGGGATTTTCGTTGATCGTGGTGCAGAGGAATCTCATACGTCAGGAAAACCTCGATTTATCTAGGAAAGTACAATGGATTCATCAAGAAAATGTGGAGCTCTACAAGAAGGTAACAAAACATATAATATTACACAAACTCCATTTGCTTAGAACAAGAGCTTTGAAGTGATGGATTCGACTTTCAGGCTTATACGGCAAACACAAACGGGTTTATACACCATGAACTAGCTGTCGCGGATGATGAATCACACACTCAGATTCGGCTGCAATTAAGCCAACCTGAGCATTCCGATTATGAGACCCCACCAAGAGCAAATGAATAACATCAAGGTAGAATTTTTATTTGATCTTTGACGTTTCACAAAAGCCATTTAGGCATTTATAAATATGTAACTCGTTAAAAAAATTTCACAGATTGAAGTTGGAAGATACCATGATGTTGAAGAACAATCCAAAGGCTTGGTTTGGATAAGGTTCTTGAACTGGAAACCCAATAAACCAAGCCACGACGATAAGTAGCATGGATCTTCTAACATAATCATATTTTTCTTTGTGCATTTCAATTTGAAATATATAGAGATATATAATTAAAATTAAAGCATATATAATTAAAATATGGTGTTGTTATACTCATCTTGAGTATTATATATATTGTACTTATTTATAACCATAGATTCGTCAATTAACAGAAAAAAAATCATATGATTTATCCTCACAACTCTCTCAAGTATCTATAATTTTAGATCAATAATTTTCAAAATCTATATAACCACTTGGTAAGTCTAAAATTGAAAACAAATATTTTCTGTTAAAAAATCGTCTTCGCCAACGTTAATTTTTTGTTTATGTTGGTTTTATTTTGTATATTCACCATAATTAATTCTGTTATTCCCCCAAACAAACCGGTTTGGAAACTAAATTGATAACTGAATCGGTTATCGTTGACTTCGTTGACCAGAAACCATAAAGGTTCTGTCTTTAAGGGAAACAAATCATCATCGTCATCAAATCATCACAATCCACAAAGGTTGGTGTAGACAGGGACCTGAGATAAACGACAAAGAAACAACAACTTAATTAAGATAAAGTTTCATTTTTTTTTTGTTCGGAAGAAAATATAAATAAAAAAGAGGGAAAAAATTCGAAAATTTTCTGCAACCACCAAAAGCTCAGCCAAAAGCAGAGGCCACAATTCTCTCTTCATCTCTCCACAAGATAAACCCAATTTTGTTTTTTTTTTGTTCATGTTTCCAATCTGTTTCTAGGGTTTCACAAACCAGAGAGAGAGAGGTTTAGCGAAAAATGGCGATGGCCATGGCTCTTCGAAGGCTTTCTTCTTCAATTGACAAACCCATTCGTCCTCTTATCAGATCCACTTCTTGTTACATGGTAATAACCCCAAAATTTCCTCCTTTCTCCGATTAACGGATTGGAAATTTTCGATTTTTGATTTCTGTTGTTTCGTTACAGTCTTCGTTGCCCAGTGAAGCTGTTGATGAGAAGGAGAGATCTCGTGTCACTGTGAGTTTAAGCCCCTTTTTGTATCTCTTGTTGTTGATAGTTTTCTTGTGGTCGAAGCAATGGTTTTGTTTGATGAAGTTCTCTGTCTGTTTCAAATTGATGTTTGGATTTCTATTTTTGGTGTGTCTGAATCTTATAAATCTTATGTGTTTGTAAATGTTCGTTGCAGTGGCCAAAACAGCTTAACGCACCTTTAGAGGAGGTTGATCCTGAGATTGCTGACATTATTGAGCATGAGAAAGCTAGACAATGGAAGGTTAACTAGTCTTTCTTTACTACTTAGAATCTGAGATTTTAGATTAGTATCTCTTAAATCCTGTCTTGATTGATTATTATAACTGAGGCTGATATTTTTTTATGCTTATGTTCTCAAGGGACTTGAGCTTATTCCATCTGAGAACTTCACATCTGTTTCCGTGATGCAAGCTGTTGGGTCTGTGATGACTAACAAATATAGTGAAGGGTATCCTGGTGCGAGATACTATGGAGGAAATGAGTATGTTCAGAAATTTTCATTTTGTATAAGACACATATTTTCGGTTTCAGATCTTAGACATGATTGCTTGACCAATCTCTGTAATAAGAATTGAAACCTCAAGTACCTTTTGCTTTGTAGGTACATAGACATGGCCGAAACGTTATGCCAGAAGCGCGCTCTTGAAGCTTTCCGGTTAGATCCTGAAAAGTGGGGAGGTAAAATTATTACTTTCATGTATATTAGAAACAAGAAATCTGAATTATGTATCTGAGTTGTAATCAAATGTTACTGCTCTATTAGTCCTTTGATGGCTTATTTGACTCCCGTCGTTACAGTGAATGTGCAACCTTTGTCTGGATCTCCTGCCAATTTCCATGTCTACACTGCATTGTTAAAGCCTCATGAAAGAATCATGGCTCTTGATCTTCCTCATGGTGGTCATCTTTCTCATGGTTATCAGGTGCTTTCAAGTTGTGTTGATGTCATTTCCTGAACTCTCTGACTCTGATGAATAACAGTTTCTTTCTTCTTATTTCTCATCAGACTGACACCAAGAAGATATCTGCTGTGTCTATCTTCTTTGAAACAATGCCCTATCGATTGGACGAGAGCACTGGCTACATCGACTATGATCAGGTTCTTATTTTTTGATCAAGCATCATAGTAGTTTATAACTACCCCTCTTCATAAGGTTTAATCTTACAATACATGTCTTTAATTTTGGTCTGCAGATGGAGAAAAGTGCTACTCTTTTCAGGCCAAAATTGATTGTTGCTGGTGCGAGTGCTTATGCTCGATTGTATGATTATGCCCGCATCCGAAAGGTAAGTCAATCGCATATTCAAATACACGAGAAAGAAAGACAACTGACTACTGAGTATGGTAATCAAGAGTTCTGATTCAAACTCTTTTCCAGGTCTGTAACAAGCAAAAAGCTGTAATGCTAGCAGATATGGCACACATCAGTGGTTTGGTTGCTGCTAATGTAATCCCTTCACCGTTCGACTATGCTGATGTTGTAACTACCACAACCCACAAGTCACTTCGTGGACCCCGTGGAGCCATGATTTTCTTCAGAAAGGGTGTTAAGGAAATTAACAAACAAGGGAAAGAGGTAAAACAAAAAAGCAAAATTTGAACCAAAATATTTTAGATTTACGTACACTCTTTCACGTCATTCATTTGTTGTCTTGAAAGGTTTTGTATGATTTTGAAGACAAGATCAATCAAGCTGTCTTCCCTGGTCTTCAAGGTGGTCCACACAACCACACTATTACAGGACTAGCTGTTGCTTTGAAACAGGTACAATGAGGCACGGAATGGAACTAACGGTTCTTACTGGATTTGCGGTTTCTTTAATCTTCAAATGGTTTGTTAAATGCAGGCAACTACTTCAGAGTACAAAGCATACCAAGAGCAAGTCCTGAGTAACTCTGCAAAGTTTGCTCAGGTACTAATCGCGTGAAGGAAAGAAAAACACATATGGGGTAGTATCTACTTTGATTATATCTCTAAATTGTTACATTGTTGTTTCGTGCAGACTCTGATGGAGAAAGGATATGAACTTGTTTCTGGTGGAACTGACAACCATCTGGTTCTAGTGAATCTGAAGCCTAAGGTCACTTGATCTTTTTTGTATACTTATTTATTAATCTTCTTTTATTTTTCTTAGTTAAAACTCTTTGTTTTTGTTTGCAGGGAATTGATGGATCTAGAGTTGAGAAAGTGTTGGAAGCTGTTCACATTGCATCCAACAAAAACACTGTTCCTGGAGATGTTTCTGCCATGGTTCCTGGTGGAATCAGAATGGGTAAGAATCATATTTAAGCTTCTTTTTGGTACGCGAATGTAGTTTTGCCTGAAACTCTCTGCCATTGTTATTTTCAGGTACTCCTGCTCTCACTTCCAGAGGCTTTGTTGAGGAAGACTTTGCCAAAGTAGCTGAATACTTTGACAAAGCTGTGACGTTGGCTCTCAAAGTCAAATCTGAAGCACAAGGTTTTTCATTTCTCTGATCAACGATGCTATGTTTTCTGTTCTTATAAACAAATGATTGAACTCATTTGTTATGTTCTAAAACCAGGAACCAAGCTGAAGGATTTTGTGTCAGCAATGGAATCTTCTTCAACCATTCAATCCGAGATTGCGAAACTGCGCCATGAAGTCGAGGAGTTCGCTAAGCAGTTCCCAACAATTGGTTTTGAGAAAGAAACCATGAAGTACAAGAACTAAACTGTTTTATCCCACAAGTCTTTTTTATTATGCTTTGAATTCCCATGGAATGTATAGATGATACATGTAAAACTCTATTTTACGCTATGCGAAAATAATGATCTGCGAATCTCTGTTATAGACGGAAATCTATACATCAAAAGAAATATAATCGCAAGAAGAAAAGAAGAAAGATTTCACAGATACAACAAAACAGTGAATTCCTAAAGGAGATTGTCTTTTAGCTCACAAGTGACTTGAGATTAACCACAAAATACCAAGAAAACGAGAAAGAGATAAATAAGAAACTAGAAGTTGGGAGAAGCTCATCCATAAGCTGTGGTCATTTCTCAATCTCATCAAATCTCTTTACAAGAACATGGTTCTGTAACAGGACAACATCTCACAACTTGATCTGTTTTTTTTTTTCTTCATTTCTTAGACCAAAAATGGTTGCATCATTCTCTTACACTGCCTGCACCAAGCTCTCTCTATTACATCCTCCCATGGTTGCTCAAATCCGGCCAAGAACAACACAGAAGACGTTCGTAGTGACAAATCCTGAACAAGACAGTACTCTGGAGGCACAAGAAACAGAGCCAATCAAAGAAGAGCAATCAACAGAGAAGATGAAGAAGCAGCCAACACCATTGAGACCAGTTGAGAAACAGCTGAACGTGAAGAGCAAAGGTATGGGCCAGTTTGGTGGTCAGTGGCTAAGCAGTGTCACACGTCACGTTAGGATCTACGCTGCTTATATCGACCCCGAGACTTGTGAGTTTGACCAGTCACAAATGGATAAACTCACTTTGATTCTTGATCCTACTGAAGAATTTGTATGGGATGATGAAAGCTGTAACAAGGTCTATTCTTATTTCCAAGAACTCGTCGATCACTACGAGGTAACAATAACGATTATTAACGAACAAAATTCATCTAAAAGACTCATTCAAGAAGACCTTATAATATTGTTTTTATGACAGGGAGCACCATTAACGGAGTACACATTAAGATTGATAGGATCAGACGTAGAACATTACATAAGGAAAATGTTATTTGATGGAGAAATACAATACAATATGGATGCAAGAGTTCTTAACTTCAGTATGGGAAAGCCTCGTGTTCAATTCAATACTAGTAACATTGAAGGTGGTGGAGATGGTCAGCCTCAAGAAGACGCATAGTAGTGAAACAACTCTATTAATAATCATGTAATGGAGATATCTAAATACATGCTCTTTTAATCTCGTCTATCACAAAGTAACATATGTATATTATCATGACATATGTATTATTATTTCTGTAAAAATCAATTTAAGTATAGTTGTCTCTTCGTGTTAATGTAAGGTCTAAAGATCATGTGAATATGTAATGTCAAAACACAATTTTGGTCTTGCTCATTCATGTTCCTATATTAACTCTTTAAACAAAAATTTCAAGATGATGCAAAACTTATTAGTTTTAACAGTTTTGCCCCAAAACTTTTTGAATTTGTCAACCATTTCTAATTATTTACAAATATAACCCTGTTCTTCTTATCCTCTGGCTTTTGTCGTCGTTTCGTCACCAAGAGTCCAAGACGAACAAAACTCCTTCAAAGTGAGGGACAAAAAATGGCGAATTTACTGGAAACATCAATCTTCTTCTCCTCGGCTGATAAATTGATTTCATTCGCGTCTCATAATTCTCAAAGCCATCTTCTCCCTTTCTCTGCTTTCATCAATGGAGGAAGAAGGAGACGCAAAAGCTCAACTATCACCTTTGCTTCCGACACTGTCACTTACAGTAGCATCACCAGTAAGCTCATAAACCCTAAATCTCTCATCTTTCTGTCTAAGTACCAATAAATTCCTTTCCTTTAGGTTCCGATTTGAATTATCAGTCGCCATTAGATAAGGGTTCTGCAGAGAAAGCTAAACCCTTTTCATAGACTCGGATTTTGTCTAATTTTGATAGAAATTTTGTGTTTAGGTACGGAGGTAAAAAGCTCTGTTGAGGATCCTATGGAAGTTGAGGTTGCTGAAGGCTACACTATGGCTCAGTTCTGTGACAAGATCATTGATCTTTTCTTGAATGAGAAACCTAAAGTTAAACAATGGAAGACTTATTTGGTTTTAAGAGATGAATGGAACAAGTACAGTGTTAATTTCTATAGGCGTTGCAGAATCCGAGCTGATTCCGAAACTGATCCTATATTGAAGCAGAAGCTGTTATCTTTGGAAAGTAAAGTCAAGAAGGTATTTATAGTGTTGTATTTTGTGTTTATTAGTGAACTCTGGTTTTGAGGTTGGTTTATTGTTGTTGTGTACTTATAGGAGTGAGTATTGTTGCAGATAGATGAGGAAATGGAGAAGCACAATGACCTATTGAAGGAGATTCAAGAAAACCCGACTGACATAAACGCAATCGCTGCCAAGAGACGCAGAGACTTCACGGGAGAGTTTTTCCGCTATGTCGCTTTGTTATCAGAAACTCTTGATGGCTTAGAAGACCGAGATGGTACTTAAACATGAATCATGTTGCTTATTTATTGATTCCCACAGTTTCGTGACTGTTTTTTTTTTTTTTGAGCAGCTGTTGCGAGGCTTGCAACTAGATGTTTATCTGCTGTGAGTGCTTATGACAATACTTTGGAGAGTGTTGAGACTCTAGATTCTGCTCAAGCAAAGTTTGATGATATTTTAAACTCTCCATCCGTGGATGCCGCTTGCGAAAAGATCAGAAGTTTAGCCAAGTCAAAGGAGCTAGATTCTTCACTGATTTTATTAATAAACAGTGCTTACGCTGCAGCTAAAGAGTCTCAAACCGTTACAAACGAGGTAATCGCATCACCAAAAGTAGAAAAGCCTTGATCTTTAAAATCTTTCTCATATCAAAATCGTATTTTATGAACAGGCTAAAGACGTAATGTATCATTTATACAAAGCTACAAAGAGCAGTCTTAGAAGCATTACACCGAAAGAGATCAAACTTTTAAAGTACTTGCTCAACATAACAGACCCCGAAGAACGATTCTCTGCTCTAGCAACAGCATTCTCTCCTGGCGATGACCATGAAGCTAAGGACCCTAAAGCATTATACACGTAAGTAACATAAAGATACACCCTTTAATGTTTCATATTTAACCACAACCATTGATTCTAATCAAACTGATGAACACACAGGACGCCAAAAGAGCTGCATAAGTGGATAAAAATAATGCTTGATGCTTACCATCTCAACAAAGAAGAAACTGACATTAAAGAAGCTAAACAGATGAGCCAACCAATTGTTATACAGCGGCTTTTCATCCTCAAGGACACAATCGAAGACGAGTATTTAGACAAGAAAACAATCGTGGCTGATGAAAATCAAAAGAAGGAAGAAGATACGTCTGTTGAAGAATTTTTGAACTGAAATTGTGAAATGAAATCCATGGAAAGTTGGAAAATTTAGGACCTTTATTTACAAAAGGGGGGGGGGGAGAGAGTAATTTTGTAGAGTTTGCTGTTATATCTGCAATTACGACTAATTATGAGGTCTAATTTATAAATTAATATTTTTGGTAAAAATTCGGGCCTGGCTATTAGGTCAATAAGCCCATGTAGGGTCCAGGTTCGTCAGAAAAGTCAACATATACTTGTAGCCCACGAATATTTTTGATTGGCGTTCCTATATTACCCCGTGTGACCTACGGTACTTTCTAAAAAACGAGGAGGTTATAATAGTAATTTGAGTTTAATCAACCTTTATTATAAGGTCTTAAACCCTACGCGTAAGCAGCAGCCAAACATTTCTTTTGTTCGTCTCCGACCTTAAACCCTACGATCTCCACCGACTCTCATCCAATCAAATGGCCTCCGTCGCGCTTCTACGGTCCCTTCGCCGCCGTGAAGTCCAAACGGCTTCCGTATCTGCGTTTAAATCCGTATGTATCTTGCCCTTCATTTTCATTTTTGCTTGAGAAGAGTAGGGTTTTTCGGATCTGAAATCGTTGATAATTCTCCAAAATGGAAAAGGGTTTGAAATTAAGCATCGGTAGAATCTGGGTTATTATGTTGTACTGAAATCGATTTTCAGGGTTTTCGATCTAGGTTTCTTAAAGTTCCGTACTTTATGTTTTTCTTTCTTCTTCGAATTCATCTGTGAAGCAATCTATTTTGTTCCTTGTTGATTTGATGATAATGGTTTTTGAATGGTTCGAATTTGGATTGAAGCTTTACACTGTTAGTATTCTGAATTCTGCAGATCTCCGCAAATGGAAAGACGTCTTTGTTTGGGAAATTGGGTTACTTGGCGAGACCTTTCTGGTAAGATCAACCTCTGAGTTTATGGTACTGAATGAAGAACTATATCACTTTTAAGTGTTATCTCATACTTTCGTATGTGTGTTTGTTCTGTGTATGTAGCTCGAGGCCTGTGGGGAATGATGTTATCGGTATTGATTTGGGTACTACCAATTCTTGTGTAGCTGTGATGGAAGGAAAGGTAAAATCCCTAATTTGTTTCAACCCTGTTATCAGTTTTTTGAGATATTGGCTTTTGGATTCTAAAGGTATTGATTTTGATCTTGCTTATGCAGACCCCTAGGGTTATTGAGAATGCGGAAGGAAGTCGAACCACACCATCAGTCGTTGCTATTAACCAAAAAGGGGAACTCCTTGTTGGTACACCAGCTAAACGTCAGGCTGTGACTAATCCAACAAACACGATTTTCGGTTCTAAACGTTTGATTGGGAGACGTTTTGACGATCCACAGACACAGAAGGAGATGAAAATGGTTCCTTACAAGATTGTTAAGGCACCTAACGGTGATGCTTGGGTTGAAGCCAATGGACAGATGTTTTCTCCCAGTCAGATTGGAGCTAATATCCTCACTAAAATGAAGGAAACCGCTGAAGCTTACCTCGGGAAATCTATCACCAAAGCTGTTGTTACTGTTCCAGCTTATTTCAATGATGCACAGAGACAAGCCACCAAGGATGCTGGGAAAATCTCTGGTCTTGATGTCCTGAGGATCATCAACGAACCTACAGCTGCTGCACTATCATATGGTATGAACAACAAGGAAGGTGTCATTGCAGTGTTTGATCTTGGAGGTGGAACCTTTGATGTTTCTATCTTGGAAATCTCAAGTGGTGTTTTTGAGGTAATGCCTTGTTTCTTCTTCTGCTATGTTATTTTTTCTCCTCGATTTGCCTTTTTTCTTTTGTGGGTATATGATTATTTTCTCTTATCAGGTTAAAGCAACAAATGGAGATACCTTTTTGGGAGGAGAAGACTTTGACAACACTTTGTTGGAGTACTTGGTTGATGAGTTCAAAAGATCAGATAATATTGATCTGACTAAAGACAAGCTTGCCCTCCAGAGGCTGAGAGAAGCTGCAGAGAAGGCCAAGATTGAGCTCTCTTCTACATCTCAGACCGAAATCAACCTGCCTTTTATTACAGCGGATGCTTCAGGAGCTAAGCACTTGAAAATCACCTTAACGAGGTCAAAGTTTGAAGCTCTGGTGGGCAAATTGATTGAGAGAACAAGATCCCCGTGCCAAAACTGCCTGAAGGATGCTGGAATCACAGTTAAGGAAGTTGATGAGGTTCTTCTTGTTGGTGGAATGACCCGTGTTCCCAAAGTGCAAGAGATAGTTTCTGAGATCTTTGGGAAGAGTCCTTGTAAAGGTGTTAACCCGGATGAAGCGGTTGCCATGGGAGCAGCCATTCAAGGTGGTATCCTCCGTGGTGATGTGAAGGAGTTGCTTCTTTTGGATGTGACTCCTCTCTCATTAGGTCTCGAAACACTTGGAGGAATCTTCACCAAGTTGATTCAACGAAACACCACTATTCCCACAAAGAAGTCTCAGGTAATGAATCTTGACAGAGTACAATTTCAGATTGTGCCTTGTAACTATTGCTGATTTCTAACTTTTGTCATTGTGATTTGGTTCTTAGGTTTTCTCTACGGCTGCAGACAACCAGATGCAAGTGGGAATCAAAGTTCTTCAGGGAGAACGTGAAATGGCATCGGACAACAAATTGCTTGGAGAATTCGATCTTATGGGGATCCCACCAGCACCTAGAGGAATGCCACAGATCGAAGTTACATTCGACATTGATGCCAATGGTATTGTTACTGTGTCAGCGAAAGACAAAGCAACAGGTAAAGAGCAACAGATCACAATCAGATCTTCAGGTGGTCTCTCAGACGATGAGATTAACAGAATGGTGAAAGAAGCTGAGCTTAACGCACAGAAGGATCAAGAGAAGAAGCAACTTATCGACCTTAGGAACAGTGCTGATACTACCATATACAGTGTTGAGAAGAGCTTGAGTGAATACAGAGAGAAGATTCCAGCTGAGATTGCCTCTGAGATCGAAACTGCAGTGTCTGATCTCAGGACTGCTATGGCTGGTGAGGAAATTGAAGACATCAAGGCTAAGCTCGAAGCTGCGAACAAGGCAGTGTCGAAGATCGGAGAACACATGTCTAAGGGATCCGGATCATCTGATTCCTCTGGACCCTCTGGTGAGGGTACAAGTGGAACTGAGCAGACGCCTGAAGCTGAGTTCGAGGAGGCGAGCGGTTCAAGGAAGTGAGGTTGCTAACCGGTTCCATACAGAATTCAGGTTTTTTTCCAAATAAGTTTACAAGCTTATCTCCCTCACAAATTTGATTAGTTTTGTGTATTTAAAACCTTATTTGAGAGGTACCTCTTGATATCTTTGAAACCTATTGAGAGTCTCGGATGTAGTTTCTTTGATTGGTTTTTTCATGAAATTTACGGTTATTATCTTGACCGGTTAATGAGTCAATTTCAGATAAGATTATGACCTCTTAAGTTTGTTTTATGGATGAAGAATGGCGGTAATTGAATTGTTTTGTAACCCTTAAAACCTCTTTGAAAGTATATAACAATTTCTAGGAAAATGTGGGCGTTGTCGGTTTTTTGAAGTGCAAAGAAGCTTAATGAAAAGACTTGGTCATGTTGTTGGCGTTGTCGTTTTAAGTCTCAAATTCAATTACTTGTGGAACTTAACTTTGTCCATGAACAGAGACAAAGTAAGCGAAAATGTCAGCAAATTATGGACATGCTTTTTGTTCCTCGAAGGTCGATTATCTTATGATCTCACGCAATTTCCACCTTTTTAAAATTGTTGAAACTAACATTCAAATGTTGATTAAGAAAATAAAATAATAATGACATATAAAGAAACAGTTCCATACTTAGGATTTTAAAATTTTTAATTTCTCCCGGTCAGAGGGGTAATATCGTAATTTCCAGAAAGGCGAAGAACACTGCTATAAATAGTGGCTGTTGAAGTCTTCTTCTCTCTCAAAACAAAATTCAAGAGTCAGCTTCATCAGAGAAAGTTTCCCCATTGGTATAGTTTGATTCTTTTATTCATACTTTTTCAAAAGCGTGTTCTTGCATGATAAGAAGATAAAGACCAAAACTTTGGGTCAATTATAGACTTTTCATTTCGTATTTCGCAGGTGAAAATTTGTAAGAGATGGACAAGGAAAAGGAGCAAACTTTGGAGTGGAACGAAGCACAAAAGCTAGAGATAAGCGTTGACCTCTTTGGTGCAGCCAAGAAACAGCTTCTCTTCCTCGGAGCTGTTGATCGCAACCGTTGTCTCTACGATGGCCCTGCACTCCAAAGAGCCATCTACAGGTTTAATCAATCTCACCAAATGGTTTTGTGTTCTTTCCATCGTAATAAAGAATCTTGTTTCAAAACTCAAATTTGGGTGATTGTTTTTCACAGATACAATGCTTATTGGCTTCCCTTGCTTGCTAAATATACCGAGTCTTCTTCGATCTGTGAAGGACCATTGGTCCCTCCTCTTGACTGTGAATGGGTTTGGCATTGCCACAGGCTTAACCCGGTAAATCCAAAACTCGATATTCAAATCCGTTTAAATTCTTTGTTTGATTGTATACAAAACTCAAAATGTTGTTAAATCATTTCAGGTGAGGTATAAGACTGATTGTGAGCAATTCTATGGGAGAGTTCTTGACAATTCTGGCGTTGTATCTTCCGTAAATGGAAACAGCAAATCACAAACTGAAACTCTATGGAAAAGATTGTATCCTATGGAGCCTTATGACCTTGATTTTGGCAAGGCAATCTCAGAGCCAGCAGATATCTCAGCTCTTGAGAAATGTACCACTTATGATCTTGTTTCAGCTGTCAAGAGACAAAGCCCATTTTACTACCAGGTAAAATCATTGTCAGCTTCTGTTCTAAAACTGCTGCAATGCAAGGTTATATAATCGAATTTGTTTGTGTGTCTTTGTTGCAGGTTTCAAGAGCTCATGTAGATAATGATGTCTTTCTGCAAGAAGCTGTGGCTAGATACAAGGCATTTCTCTACTTGATCAAGGGTAACCGAGAAAGGTCGATTAAACTTTTCTGTGTTCCGACTTACGATATTGATCTTATCTGGCACACACATCAGCTTCATGCTCTCTCTTATTGCAATGATTTGACTAAGATGATTGGTAAGGTCTTGGAGCATGATGATACAGACTCTGACCGTAGTAAAGGTAAGAAGCTTGATACTGGTTTCTCTGGAACTACTGCTCAATGGGAAGAAACATTTGGACGAAGGTATTGGAAAGCCGGTGCTATGAACCGAGGTAATACCCCAAAGCCAGTCACAACTTCTCCTTATGTTTGGTCGGGCAAGAAATCAACTGCGAAAGAGGAAGAGTCCCAGAATGTAATCCAATTTCCAGAGGTGAAAGTCATTGAAGTTATCTTGGAGATTATTGGGGTTAAGAACTTACCAGATGCTCACAAAGGAAAGGTCTTTGTTCTGTTCAGCAAAACTCAACCCGATTCTCTGTTTAACGCTGAGCGTAGGCTTACCGTTTTATCTGAGTCTTGTGGGGAAAAGCAAGTTGCTTTGTTTCAGTGTGAGCCTACAGGAGAGCTTAGTTTCCAACTAATGTCTTCTAAGTCTAAAAGCTTAGGATTTACTTCTTTATCGCTTTCGGAGTTTCTGTTTCCAGTTACTAAACTCTCTGTTGAGAAGTGGTTGGAGATAACACCAATTAAAAGAGGGAAGGCAGATGATCCGAATCCCATCTCTCTGCGAGTCGCTGTCTCGTTCACCCCGCCAACTCAAAGTCCCAACAGTTCTACATTTGGTTCAAGCAAGATCCATCACTGAAAGGCTCTTGTTTCCTTCCTATGATCCGGAAGGTACGTCTTGCTAAGAGCTTTACACGCGTTGTTGATGAAACCGAAACAGAGGTGATCAACCTCCAAATGAGGAACTCCAACGACACAGCACCCAAAGCTGATAGAAGACAAGTGATTGGTGTGAAAGAGTGTGGTGAAACTTATGTTTTGGCAGAGTATGATGGCAATTTCTGGTCTCTGCTTGACTCAAAATGGTCACTTAAGCAGACAAGCAATCCTGCAACAGATGGTCCTCTGTCTGAGCTTTTGGGTACTCGAATGGTGAAAGTTTACTCCGGGAGAAAGCTGGAATATGAGCCAAAACATTGCTCGAAGCTAAGAAGCGAGCAAGATTTCATGACTGCTGTTGAATTCTCAAAGCAATATCCTTATGGCAAAGCTGTGGGGTTACTCGATTTAAAGTTCGGTTCTATTGAGGTAAAGTTTGCAACTTTGATATTATAATCCATCATTTTGCTATTTCTGACTTGGGGTTTATTTCAATATGCAGGCAAATGAGAAATGGCTGGTTTTGCCAGGAATTGTATCTTCTTTCATACTCAGTGATCTTCTTAAAAAGGAAGGCTTTAGTGCAGCTGCAAAAGACACAGGTGAAAGCTAATGGAATAACAGAGGAAAATAAGGAGATTGACGTTTTGACTCAAGTGAATCAAGAAGAAGAAACAATGATGAATGTGGACACGACTACTCAAGTTGCTGTAGCCACCGAGAAGATCAATGGTGGTGCTAGGTGCTTATCGAAAGAGCTAAGTGGGAACATGGTTGAAGAAGAAGGTGGTCACTGTGGTGGTTGTGGAGGTTGTGGTGGATGTGGAGGTGGAGGTGGATGTGGTCATGGCGGTAGGTGCGGTGGGATGACAAAGATAGAAGGTTGCGGTGGCGGATCCTGCACTGGCGGTTCCACTGGCTGCGGTAATTGCGGTGGAGGATGTGGTAATATGATGAAGAACAATGCTAATGGAAATGCTCCATCAGTAGAAAACGACGCAATTACAGCTTGATTATTCAAATAAACAAAAGTGATATATATTATATGGTTATGTATTTATGTGATGTTAATATATAGATATGGTCTAAAAAAATAGTGAAACTAATGTGAGATGTTGTTAAAAATGTGTTTTACCATAAGTTGTAATAAATAAAAGAGCCTATAAAAACAGAGAGATTTGTCTGACTCTGTTTCTTTTAACCTTATCTAGTTAGGTATTATGGTATCACTTAGCCAAAGTATAAAAAGCGTCTTAAAGAAGAAACAGAAACCCTAGAGGAGATCATGACGAATCCAATAGCTCCTCTGTCGTTTTTCATCACTTCCAGATGAAACAGTTATTGTACTTCCAAGTATGTTTGCCAACTTCATTAACATTCTTAGATTCTTGAATTGCCAAGTGTTATTATACTTCAAAGTAAAAAAAGTTTTTTTGACTAAGTGGTCTGTTTATGATTCTTCAGTGGTCAATTTTGTGATGAGATTCAACTGAAATTGGAGAATGATTTCATGAAATCTCTTCAGGTTGAGGTAAATTCATGACCTTTTATTTTTCTACTGTCTCAGACATATGAAGCTAACAAAGGAGAAGACGAGAGTGGATTGACTGAAATCTGAAAAAACATATGCTTTGTCTCTGAAATATGTTTTCTCAGCTTCTTCACTCACACAGTGTTGATTATATTTGCATTATATGAGAGGAGGAACTCCCCTACTATTTTCATTTTTTCAGCCAATCAGAGGGCTTATTTTCACCCTCTCCGAATAAAAAAATGATAAAAGAAAATTTTCACACCCATTCTCAGCAAGTGCGCGTTGAGCGCGTGTGTCCAATTTCTAAAGGGGTTAACCTACAAAATCATATGCCTATTTTTGGTCAACGCTCTTCATTCTCAAAATCCCATCGCGTGTGTTTTTTTTTTTGGTTTTCTTCTCTTAACCAAAGTAAACCGAACTGAAATCAATTCTAATTTCAAAACCAATATAAACCCATAAAACCCGTCGCTGTGACGCCGCCGGCGAAAACAAAAAAGCTCGGCGACTGTAACAACAAAAATGGAGACGACACAGAGGTACTACTTGGAAGAGAAATCAAATCGACAATAGCAACGAGAATGTTCGAAAACCCCTCGCTTCCTTTGATTCCAACAACTTCCAAAAGCCCATCTGCTCAAATCTTCATTTCGAGGAGTATAACAAGGTACCTCTATACAATCAATGACACTTCCATGGATTTTGAAACTTTGCTTCTAAACAATATTGTAATCTCTTGTTGTCTTGTGTTTAAGGAACAAAGGATAGTGAAAGCTGAAGAGTGGGATTCTTTTATGGAGTTTCTTCGTAAGCCATTACCTGCTGCTTTCAGAGTTTATTCCAAGTTTGTATCCATTAACTTTTATTTGTATTCTTGGATTTTTGAATTGCTAAGTGTTACTATAGTTTTTTGACTAAGTGGTCTCTGATTTTGATTCTTCAGTGGTCAATTTTGTGATGAGATTCGATTGAAATTAGAGAATGATTTCAGGCTGAGGTTAATTCATGACTCTTTCTTTTTTCTAGTGTCTCATTCATAGATAGTCTACATAAGAAGCACTCCGATGTTGGTTTTTGTTTTCCTTACTTAGGCTATAGAGAGTGGTGAACTGGAGGCTACTTGCCTTGGTACCCTAAGAATCTTGCTTTCCATACTTATTTGGAGTTACTCGATTTAAAGTTGGGTTCTATTGAGGTAAAGTTTGCAACTTTGATCTTATAATCCATCATTTTGCTATTTCTGACTTGGAGATTACATCACTCGATTTAATGATAGGAACAATCAAATTCCTGCTCAATACTTTGGACCCGATCTTCTGCAAGAAGATATGCCAGATTTGCAACGCAAATCCAAATCCAAATCCCCTGAAAACGATTCTCTTATTGCTAATATTGAGGATCTTGAGGATGAAGACGATGAAAACGATGAGCTTAATGATCTTGGGGATGATACCTTTGATATCAAGAACCAAGTAGAAACAACTCTGTACATGCTAGAGTTGACTCTGACTTTAGACGGCAATGTTACTGAGAGACAAGCTGATGAGCTAAAATCTTCTATGGAGGCGTTAGAGGCTGTTATTGCTACCGGAGATAATAATATTATAGAGAACCAGATTGAAGCTGCCAGTAAGAAACTGTTAGAGATTGAAGCTGCATCCTCTGGTTCTTCTACTCCAAGTGTGCAGAACGTTAAAGGGATGACCACCAAGAAGAGTAGGTCTTTGAACAACTTTTTTTAACCGCATTGGTTAATAATAGGTGTTGAACAGATTTATTTGTTCTCTTTAGTCTTTCTTAACACATTGGTTAATAGGTGTTGAACAACTAAATGCATGGATTTGTCTCTTAGGCTACTAGATTTGTGACTTGACTTGACTTTTCTTCCCCATTTGTTTGGCTACTCATTTTGGGAGTAAAAATGTCCTCTTTCTCTTATTTTTCCGCTTCTTAAGTTTTTACCTTTCCCTGCATTTGTGTGGTTACTTCTTTCAACTCTTTCTGCTTAGTTTCCAATTCCTTGGTTGCTTTCTGTCTGAAACAAGAAACATATTCATCCAATGTTTCCAGTTTCTGGCTGATACTAGAGACTTCCCTTCATCATCATTTATTTTTTTGCTTTTTCTACCTTAGTAAGAATCTTTGTGTCTATCATGCTGTGTAACCTCCTAACTTGGTTGTTTCTTGTGTGAAACAAGAAACTGATTCGTCCCATGTTTTCAGTTTCTGGCTCCATCAGTAAAGATGCATACTTTAACCTTCCAATTCACTATTCACCTCAAATTAATTCCTCTGTTTTATGTTGTAAAGAATCTATCTGTCTTCTTCATCCAAACCTTGTCATTTGTCGATTTCACGCTTTGTCCATTTGCTACCTCATTATAAAAATACTTACCGTTTCCCTCTCACTAAGCCAAACACTAGCTTCTTTCTTCAAACTAGTAAGTCTTTGAAAGAAATACAACTTTGTAAAGGATTTTATACCTACTTTAAACTCTTTATTAAAAAGAAATTTTATTTGATAATATCTTTTTTTAACAAAACAAAAACAAACTTTAATAATATCTTTTAGCTGCGGTTTATATATATCCTTAATTTTGTAATTAATGCCAACATAGTTTATAAAAAATCTGAAAGATACATCAAATATTACAAAACTATACCGAAAAAAACAGAGCTTCCTTCTCCTATTTCTCTTTGGTCTCCGTCAATTTTTAATTCAACTATAAAAAAGAGTGATTTTTACAGAAAACCATTGAAAGAAAAAGACCATGTCCAATATTGAAGAAGCACCGCATAAGAAAAGGAAGGTGGAGGCGTCTCTGGAATCGTTGTTACCAGACGATGTGGCTATCAGCTGTCTGGCTCGAGTCTCGAGATTGGAGTACGCCGCGTTATCTCTCGCCTCCAAGAGTTATCGCTCTCTAGTGTCTTCCCCTGAGCTCTACAAGACCCGATCGCTGATGGGTCGCACCGAAACTTACGTCTACGTATGCTTACGCACCCCTCCTGACTCTAATCCACGTTGGTATATCCTCCGCCGTAGAGAAATCCTAAACGCCTCCTTCTCCGATTTGATGCCGATCCCTTCGTGCCCTTCTCAGCCTCCGGAAGCATCCTCCGTGGTGGTGCTGGATTGGGGGATTTATGTAATTGGTGGATTGATAAAGGGGAAGCCCACTTCGAAAGTCTTGCTCTTGGATTGTCGGACTCACACTTGGCGTCAAGTCCCTTCCATGAGAGTGACTCGAGCTTCCGCCGCTGCTGGAGTCGTAGACGGGAAGATTTACGTGTTAGGAGGTTGCAAGTTCGATGAGAAGAACTGGGGAGAGGTATTCGATCCAAAGACTCAAACTTGGGATACTTTGCCGCCAATGCCGGATACGAAGAAACGAGATCAGTATATCCACGACAGTCTGGTGAGGGATCAAAAGGTTTACGCAGTTGATGGAACAGATAGAACCTTGTACTACTCTCCGAGCCTAGGTCAATGGGGAAGAGGGAATCGTGGGGAAGTGATAGGAAACAGAAGGGATTGGTGTATGATTGATAATTTGATCTTCTTTCTTACTAGAAACGGGACTGTAATCTGGTGTGAGCCAGATGAGTTGGATTGGCGTGAAACGGAAGGGATGGTTTCAAAGGAGGTGAAAGGTTTAGGCTTTCTGAAGAAGAGTCTCTCTTGTTCTAGGCTGGTCCACTTTGGTGAGCAGATTGTGAATCTGTGGGAAAAATATAAGATCAAGTTTGGTAGACCTCAAAAGCTGATAGATTTACTTCCTGGGGCTAGACTGAGCAACTCTGGTGGGAACATTGTGCTCTTTTGGGACGTCATTGAAGGGGATCATCTGGAGATTTGGTGTGCAGAGATCTCCTTGGAGAGACGCCAAGGAGGTGAGATTTGGGGTAACATTGAGTGGTCCAATGCTGTCATGACCGTTGATCCTTTCTTAGATCGCTCTAAGGTTTTGTATTCTGCTTCTGTTACTCTTTGAACTAAGGCAATTCTTTGTTTAAAGCTACCCAAAATCTTGATTTTATATCATCTATTATGTGGTTTGAGTTTTATTGTTTCCCGTTCGACCAGTCAAATGATATGCAATTCTACATCTCCCCAAGATTGTTAAATGATTTTTCTCTTGCTTGTGGTGTTCTATTTTTCTTCAGGCTTTAAGCTCTATATGAGTCTCCCATTGGTAGCTTGTGAGATGGGGACTCATGTAGAGCTCATGGATGTGTCAGAACATGATCTTTGTAAACAGGTTTTGAGCAACCCCATCGAATATCACTGCCTTTTAGAAGTCATTTGTGGCACAGAGAGCCTATGTTCATCACCTCTTCCTTGTCCTTGCAACTGATTTTTTTGAAGGTAGAGAAGATATTGTGCTGTTGTTTTGTTCTTCTTCTTGGCCTGCAGCTATGTATTTCCAGTTGTGAGGGCATCACTGTTTTTTGGAATGGGATTCTCTGAAGCAGCTCTGATTCTACATAAGCTGATCATCTTTTGGGATCAACCTGAAGCGCTTCACACAACAGGTTATGAGATTTTGATGGGTTTGCTCTACGGGTTAGGAGTTTTGGTTTATGCAACTAGGATTCAAGAGAGATGGATAGCAGGACATAGCCATCAGTTGTTTCATGTTCTGGTAGTTGCTGGTGCGTTCACCACACACTATAGAGCTGGGCTTGTGTATCTAAAGTGAAGAGACATTGAAGGATGTTGAAGATGAAGGAAGATTAGAATGGAATCTTGGTGATGTTATGAATCTTGTTTGTAGCTTCATATAAAAATTGGATTATGTAAAGTCTTATCTGTAATCAAATGTTTGATATTTTCCTTTATTTAACAAAGGATTCGTATTGAACATATGACTAGTTAGAGAAGCTGAAGAAGAATGTAGTAACAAGTTAGGGTGTGTGAAACCATAAAGGCTGTGTCTTGCTAGAGAATGAATATGGTAGTGTTGGATCTTTTTCATCACAGAGGATATACTTTGGTTCTGATCTTCTTGAAGGTTTCACCTGACTTTGCAGCCTCTGTTCTCTGTTTCAACAAATAAGAAACTTCAAATAATTTACCTTTTGATAAATTGTTACGCACTAAGAGACAAATATGACCGTTGTGACCAAATCTCTGTTTCAACTGCCCATTCTCTGTTGTGAGCAAATTTCCATTTATTTATCTTTTGCCGCATATAATTGAAATTTCCTTTTTCTTAACCTCGTCGAGAAAAAAAAAGGAAACAATCGATATTTCCTTTTTCTTCAAACAAACTTTGCTTATAAAAACTCTCACACTCATATCATCTTCCTTACGATATCAAAACTCTCTCTATTCTTCTTCTTCTTCGATACTACAATAAAAAATCCATCTTTCATCTTTTTCTTTTTTAAATTCTCTGTGAATTTCATACCGTGAAGATCGCCGATGATGATCCATTCCAACATTCTCTCTTCCAAAAAAGTTCATTCTTCATCGCAAAACCTATCCGTAAGATTTGATTCGAGGAAAGCATCTCTAATTATTTTAAATTAGTTTAAGTGTTAAATTTTAAACACGTCTAAAACTAACCGCGCCTAGGCATCTTGTCCTTAGTTGGTCCGTAAGTTTTGGTGTTCAAAGTTCGGTAATGTTTTCACGTAATATAGATTTAACACTTAAACTCATTTTTAAAAAATAATAATGATTTTCGCTAAAATTTAAAACAAATTTAACACTTAAACTTTAAGAATAAAACTATAAAATTTCGTTAAAACATTTTAAAAATTAGTTTAAGTGTTAAATTTTAAACACGTCGAAAACTAACCGCGCCTACGCATCATGTCCTTAGTTGGTCCGTAAGCTTTGGTGTTCGAAGTTCGGTAATGTTTTCACGTAATATAGATTTAATATTTAAACTCATTTTTAAAAATTGATTTTCACTAAAATTTAAAAAAACCATGAATTTTGATTAAAATTTTTGAAAAGTTAGTTTAAGTGTAAAATTTTAAACACGTCGAAAACTAACCGCGCCTAGACATCATGTCCTTAGTTGGTACGTAAGTTTTGGTGTTCGAAGTTTGACAATATTTTCACGTAATATAAGATTTAATACTTAAATTCATTTTAAAAAATAATAATGATTTTAAATTTATATAACGATGTTAAACTAACCGAATTTTGAATCTTATCATTTGAATAAGTCATTTGATCGTTGGAAATTGTAAAAATTCAATTTGTTTTTGTACCGTTATATAAATTTAGCATACATTATTTTAATGTATTTGACAAAAGAAATAATTGACAGCTTCTCACTGATTTTACTTTTTCCACTTTACATTTAAATTTATTTTCTTTTTCAACGAAACAAATTTAAAACTAACTGTATTTGATAATATTAGTATAATAAAGTAATAATAGACAACGGACCACCACATGTTTTTTTTTCTTGTCAACTTGGTTTAACATGGATCGGTCCTATTTCCTAACCAGCATATGCTATGTCTCCGGAAACCTTTTTCTTAAGTTACGTTTTTTAGTAAATTTGTATTTAATTATATACAAACAAAAGATAGTCTCCATTATATACAAACCATTCATCATTACTCATTACAAATCATTCTCTTTACTTCAACATACCGACAGAATTTAATTATATATTATATAACTTTAATTCAGTATAATTTAACGTATACTTTATTCTATGAAGAATTGTATAGTTTAGGGTCAACATATGGTGATTATGATGTTCACCAAATCTTTATCTTAATTATTAATGTTAGAATTAAGCTAAATGGTTTGGTCTACAGCATTTGCAATTTTTTTCGAGTTAAGATGTACTTGAATACTGCGGGATTTAGTTAGATAGTTGTATTTTAATTAGATTAGTTTTGTGTCAACTCAAAAATCCAATTAATTGTTTCAAGATATTCTTGTCAAATACAAAACATACAATTATATATACTGCTTGTTTAGACAGAAAAAAAATATTCAGATTTTGAAATATTAAAATGTCCAAGTAGATTAGGGCAAACATGTCCCCAGAGGCCTCTTTGCTTGGTTACATGTGTAGTGTTTAATTATACGGCTAACCCTACATTAATAAATAAATTACGCATTGGGGTATGATATGTAATTTATTATATATGTATATTTGTATACTACAAGTAATAGATCTTGCTTGATCCTAGTAGTAAGATTCACGAATTTAAAGTCTCTTTTGAAAAATTCAAAAGTTCGATGATTGTTTTGCTCAAATCCACAAATTAAATACTTAATGACCACTATCTGAGTTTTTTTAATCTCACGCGAGCGACTCAATCTTGTCCTCTACAAAATCTCTAATAATAATTGAAAAATCTAATATCAGCTCTTAATTAACTTAAGATAATGATAATGACTAATTACACAAACTAACCAAATCGGTGTGGTCTTGTTTTCCTTGTATATATATAGTCAAGGCTGATAATTTATTCTCACTTGATGAAAGATTCTAAATAACCATAAAATTTGAAAGACCATTCCAAATCTTATGATTCTTGTGGTTATTAATTGATGAAAATATATATAACGAAATATATAAAAGTAAGAATTGGTCAACGGAAAATGACACAATCGGAGAAATTATATTATATATACTTGTTGTTTCTCTATAATTGAGATTGAGACACATGAAGTCTAAGTAATGTGAACACTTGATAGCAAACAGTGATAGAAACACTCCTTTTCAGGTTTCGAATTTAGAGTAATAAACTATAGTTTAACGAACATTGAGTAAATAGTTATGAAAGAAACTGGTCCAGGTAGAGGGTTTCGTCGATAGGAGGAATTGTCTCCATAAACCCATATTTAGTATCTTGGACCTTCTCATGCATGTCACGTGCCGCATGGTTCTACTTCCACACAACAAATTTGCTTTATTTTTGAATATATATGGAAGTACTGTTAATTAGGATCGAAATTTTATGGATTAGGCCGATATTTTTGGCATCAAGTTCTTTCAGGAACATAAGTGTTTAAGTGGTCCGTTCTACAGCGAATTAAATTATTTTCATAGTTTGGTGGGTCTTGATAAAATCTCAATGATTAATTTAATAAACTTAACCACATAAGAAGACTCGATAAGATTTTTGATACAACTAGAACTACTTATGTATGATTTTTTTAGCAGTTATTTCTTGGTCAATACAGTCAAATCACCGAATCAACAAAATTAACATAAGCGAATATGAGGTTAGATAGATTTGACGTCTTTGGCTAAACAGAAAAGAGAAAAGAAACAATAATTAAGAAACGCGAGGATAAGTTATGAGATGCTCACTCATATGAATTGAGTTTGGTTTGACCTCAAAACTTTACAAATCAAATCTAGAAACTAATCCATCAATTTATATATTCACTAGGTATTAATAAAATCGCAGTAGCCAAAAATACATCCATAGAGATAGAGTTTGATCTCGATTCTTGACCAACATAACAAAATAAGTGACCTAGACGTCTTAGATTTTTATTTTAAATACGACGAACAAACAACAAATGAGTACACTTCTCGAGAATGACCTACTATTTTGGTTTTATGTGATACGATGTCGTATAGTGTCTTTATTTTTAATTAAGCTAAGAGTTTGATCAAAGTTTTAAGAAATAAGACAAAGTTAATTTATAAACATGTCCTCTCTAGCCACTGGTGCGGCTCGCCTAGACGTATTAGATTTGTTAAATTCAACTAATGAGCTTAAAAAAAAAATTGTTTAAGATTGGTTTTTGGATAAACTAATTATCATAATTTATCTGGTATATTATTCCTTGAGATTTATGCTTTGTCAAAAGAGATTATTCCATAGATATAAAATTTTAATGAAATAGGTTTGTTGGAACTTGAAGCTGTGATAAATAATACGCGTCGTTGTGAATTCAATTATTATATGTTTCCACTAATTTAAATTCAAGTTTTTGGACGGTGTTCTGCTGGTTCATTGTCTTTATATGTTGGTTGATATGATATCAACATTCAAATCATCTTGAATAAAGTAACGACAACAAACTAACAAATTTCCAACTATATACAAATTACATAAAATGGTTCCTGTTACGTAATTTGTTTTCAAAAATCAATTTGAATCATGTAAACCTCCTCTCCTATATGGAGAATACAAGTAATACCCACACTAATTGTTGTTAATATGCTCTAAAACAAATACAGAACTATATTATAGAGCATATTATTTACACACGTAAATTGTCACTTCTCTATAGTATGGTTTTATGTTTTTCGGTGCGTCACATGGAGCAGAAAGAAACAACCAAAATCTTCTGAAACATAGGGAATGTGCGAAGTTAATTGTACACTTACAATAATTAGAATACTAAGATAAAATGAAGTCCTAATTAAGTCTTAACAGTAGTATGTCAGTATCTTTTTGTTATGTCCTAAAATGTTAGATACCTCCAAATCTTCATATATATTTTAACCACATTATTCAAATGGTGAAGATATAATTATACATATACAGACATGAGACACCCATCTTTTTAGCTAAGAAATAAATCATACTACTACTTTGTTAGACGTGCTTTAAACCAGAGCCGTTTGAATTAAACTTTTTACATAATTGACGACTATATATACACGTGAAGCATCCAAATACACATATATGTGTGAATCAGTGCATGCCATGTACGTTAAAAAGCTGTTATAAAAACATGTGTAAGAAGAAATGTAAATAAAGTGATAAGAAGCATTAAATAAAAGACAAGTATAAAGATAAAAATGGACCGACGCAAGACAATAGAATTGAAGCAGAGTGTACACACATACTCAGTAATAGGCTGCTGCTACGGATTGTTTGGACATCTCTCTGAGTAAAGATCATCTTCGCAATTCACTCTCGTTCATTTATTATGTTTCCTTATCTTTTTACTGATCACATTCAACTTCAACCATAAAAAAGTTTGTTTTCACCAATAATTTTGACTGCGTGATAAAATTAATTACAACTACTATCTAATCTCGTCTTTAATAGAACATTTCGACTGTTTCAAGCTACACCAATGATTCGGAACTTGAGTTAATAAAAGGAAAAAAAAAAGAATTTACATTCGTAGACTCGTAGGGTGATTCAGTCTCTAGACCAAAAGCCAAGCAGTAACTTTTAAAGTAATTTACAGCTTTTAGAGATCATTTTTTTGTTTTTTTCATTTTTTTTTTTTTTTTGGTGAGCTCAAAAAAATCTTGATAATCCCAATAATCAATACAACTTTAATTGTGAAATAAACAAAAGGATGCCACTTTTTAAAAAATAACTCAACCCCACCATTTTCTCCTGTTTCTTTATCTCTCCACTCTCTGTCTCCATTAAAACCTCAAAAACGTTTCATTTCCACTCATCAATCCAAAATTATAGTCACTACGAAGAAATAATAAGTTGAAGATGATGAATGGTTTGCGAAGAACGTTTTGGAGTTCGATTCATAAAAAGAAAGACAACAACAGAGTCGATGATTCACTTGATCGGCAAAAACCATCAACTTCAAGATTCGGGTTTTTCTCTAACCCGTCTACTCCAAGGTCTGAGACCCGACCCGATTCAGTAACATCTCCTAGCATTCGTTGTCAGAGTTGGTCTGCTACAGCATTCACCACTCCTTCACCGTCTCTTCCCGCTAGTCCCAAGCTTCAATGTAATACTTCCGGCGACGTTACTCCGACGAGAAACAGAAGCCCTCTCTCTTTTCTCAGCGTATCTTCTTCTTCTACTCCTTCCTCACCTAAATCTCCGGCGAGCTTCTCTCTTCTCAAATCAAAACTCTGTTTCACCAAAGTAAGAACCCAAAATCGAAACAACAAAACAAGATTTTTTCAAATAACTCAAAGTTAACATTTTTACGTTTTGTGTTTTGAACAGAGTAGCATCAGTAGTAGCAAATGTGGAATTTGTTTACAGAGCGCGAAAGCTGGAAGAGGAACGGCGATTTTCACGGCGGAATGTTCACACACGTTTCATTTCCCTTGCGTAGCTTCACGCGCCGGTGATCGGAATCTACTCTCCGATTGCCCTGTTTGTGGTGCTTCATGGAGAGAAACCTCACTTCTTCCTCTGTCTCTCTCTTCTTCTCTACAAGAATTGGATACTACTCCGAAATCCGGATCCGAATCCGATTCCAAGATCCGAGAATCAAAGAACAACAAATCATTAAGAGTTTACAACGACGACGAGCCTTTGATTTCATCTCCAATCTCTCGTACCGGTTTCAACACTATACCGGAATCAAACGAAGACGAAGAAGAAGATAACGATAACGGAGAGTTTAAAGGGTTTTACGTTAACACGCCGTCACCGTTAACGACGAAGAAACAGATAACGGATTCTGTTAATGGACACGTGGACGTTAAGCTGTCTTCAGAAGCGGCAATTGTAGCGGTTGGGAGAGGTAACGAGACATACTCAGTACTCATGAAAATCAAATCTCCGTCGTTACCGGCGGCGCGTAGATCTCCGGTGGATCTAGTAACTGTTATAGACGTTAGTGGAGGGAAGATTGAGATGGTGAAGCGAGCGATGAGGCAAGTGATATCGTCTCTACGAGAAACGGATCGTTTGTCGATGGTTTCGTTCTCGTCGAGCTCGAAGCGATTGTCGCCGTTACGGAGGATGACGGCGAACGGAAGAAGATTAGCTAGAAGAATCGTCGACGAAATTTCCGGTGACGGCGACGGAATGAGTGTTAACGATGCGGTTAAAAAAGCGGCTAAAGTGATCGAAGATCGACGGCAGAAAAATCTCTTCACCACTATCTTCGTCTTAACGGACCGTAACAAGAACTCGGCCCACGAAGCCCAATTGGCCCAAGCTGACTTTGTGTCGTCCACGCGCTTCTCTCACTTAGAAATCCCAACGCACACTATTTGGCTCGGCGCGTGTAATCACGCTCTCTCCGAGGACGTGTTTGCTAAACGTATCAAGAGTTTGTTGAGTTTATCGGTTCAGGATCTTACTCTAAATCTCGGGTTAGTTTCCGGGTCGGGTCAAGGAGAGGTGACGTCAGTTTATTCACTCTCAGGCCGACCCGTTTGGCTCGGATCCGGGTTGATTCGGTTGGGTGACATGTACGGCGATGAAGAAAGAGAAGTGTTGGTGGAACTCAGATCACCTGCATCTTCTTCGTCTAATAGATCCCAGAGAATCATGACCGTCCGATCTCGCCACGTGGATCCTACGACTCAGGAAATCAAAAACTCTGAAGACCGCGCGCTAATGATACCGCGTCCCATCGCCGTTAGATCATCTAACCCGAACATCGCAAGGCTAAGAAACCTCCACGTCAGCACACGAGCCGTCGCCGAGTCTCGGCGTCTAACGGAAGCCAATGATTACTCGGGGGCTGAGCGGATGCTGACGTCAGCTAGAGCCTTGTTGGTGCAATACGGTTTGAGCTCGAATGACGCGTGCTTACGTGGTTTGGAAGCTGAGTTGGCAGATTTGAACCGTTTGAGAGGTAGACACGTGGTGGTGAAGAGTCCAGAGCTGGTGGTTCAGAAGAGTGAGCCGCTAACACCGACTTCAGCGTGGAGAGCGGCTGAGAGATTGGCTAAAGTGGCGATCATGAGGAAGCATATGAATAGAGTCAGTGACCTCCATGGATTCGAAAATGCTAGATTTTAGTTTCTTTTTGTTATGGTTTTTGCTGTTTTTTATTACGAAGTTTTGTAATGGTGTGATACAAAAGAAATACAATGGTATATGAGAAAATTTATGGATATAAATATTCACAACTCACAGAGAGTGATAATTTCATTAAACATTCATTCATATTTAACTTATGATATTTTGCAACGGGTGATACAAAAAAATGCAAAGGTATATAAAACAAACTTATAGAAATTAGTATTGTATGTAGGTCAATTTTTTAAAAGTGGGTGGGTGTTAGCTCCATTATAGTTTCCAAAAAATAAAATAATAACTTGTTTACATAATAATGCTATTTGTTTGCTACGGCGGAATTGGCTTTGCTTTTGTCTCATGTACTTTTGTACATTGTACATTGAATAAATCTTATGATGATTGTTCATTTTATCTTTTATCGGCACAAACTTTTTGTGCCTCTATTGTGTTCCCCATTAATAATTTCACAATTATGTTCCCCATTAACTACCAATAACACTCTAGTCAATAGGTCAAAGTGAAGTGGAAAATTTTGATACGTGCTCTATTGTTTTTGGTACACTTAATTTGGATAGATAGTTGTGTTTTATCTGAGAAAAAGGTGTGCTCTTTTGAGAAGAATAGGTTTGTTTCGTCATTCGTGGATTGAAAAACCAAGCTGACTCGCACGAACGAGACACATTTATAAAGTTTGTTTTTGCAAGTATATTTAAGTGTTTACATATTACATCATGGCAAATTTAGTTTGATATTGGTAAATTGAACCTCATGTCTCAAGTTCAAGCACCTCTTTGACCCCTTCTTATATTTTTTACAAATTTACATATTAGTTTTTGTTCTTCTCTTGATTCCTACTTGTATATACAAATAATATTTGTAAAAAAATTAAGAAATGATCATAATTTGATACTACATTCATCCGAGTCATATCTAATATGAGGAGTTAAATAATTCTAAAACTATGTATCCATTTAATCGGAAAACAACATGAAGTTATATGAAGTTTGTTGCAATAGTATATATTATTTTCAGTTTTTATTGAAATTTTATGGTTTTATTCTTAAAGTTTAAATGTGTTAAATTTGTTTTAAATTTTAGTGAAAATTTTATTATTTTTTTAAATAGAGTTTAAGTGTTAAATCTATATTACGTAAAAACTATTATTTTTTAAAAATGAGTTTAAGTGTTATATCTATATTACGTAAAAACATTACCGAACTTAACTTACGGACCAAGAGCAGGATGCCTAGCTGCGATTAGTTTTTGACGTGTTTAAAATTTAGCACTTAAACTAGTTTTTAAATTTTTTAATGAAATTTCATGGTTTTATTCTTAAAGTTTAAGTGTGTTAAATTTGTTTTAAATTTTAATAAAAATTATTATTATTTTTTTAAAATGAGTATAAGTGTTATATCTATATTACGTAAAAACATTACCGAACTTCGAACACCAAAACTTACGGACCAAGGGCAGGATGCCTAGGCGCAGTTAGTTTTTGACGTGTTTAAAATTTAGCACTTAAACTAATTTTTAAAACTTTTAATGAAATTTTATGGTTTTATTCTTAAAGTTTAAGTATGTTAAATTTGTTTTAAGTTTTAGTGAAAATTTTAATTATTTTTAAAATTGAGTTTAAGTGTTAAAATATATATTACGTACAAATATTACCGAACTTCGAACACCAAAACTTATGGACCAACTAAGGACAGGATGCCTAGGCGCGGTTAGTTTTCGACGTGTTTAAAATTTAAAACTTAAACTAATTTTTTAAAAATTTTAATGAAATTTCATGATTTTATTCTTAAAGTTTAAGTGTATTAAATTTGTTTTTAATTTTAGTGAAAAGTTTAATATTTTTTAAAAATGAGTTTAAGTGTTAAATCTATATTACGTAAAAATATTACCGAACTTCGAACACCAAAGCTTACAGACCAACTAAGGACAGGATACCTACGCACGATTAGTTTTCGACGTGTTAAAAATTTAACACTTAAAAAAAAAAGTTAAAATTTTTAATGAAATTTTATGGTTTTATTCTTAAAGTTTAAAAATGTGTTAAATTTGTTTTAAATTTTAGTGAAAATTTTAATATTTTTTAAAGATGAGTTTAAGTGTTAAATCTATATTATGGAAAAACATTACCGAACTTCGAACACCAAAGCTTATGGACCAACTAAGGACAGGATACCTATGCACGATTAGTTTTCGACGTGTATAAAATTTAACACTTAAAAAAAAAAATTAAAATTATTTTATGGTTTTATTCTTTTTAATGAAATTTTATGGTTTTATTTTTAAAGTTTAAGTGTGTTAAATTTGTTTTAAATTTTAGTGAAAATTTTAATATTTTTTAAAAATGAGTTTAAGTGTTAAATCTATATTACGTAAAAACATTACCGAACTTCGAACAACAAAGCTTACGGACCAACTAAGGACAGGATGCCTAGGCGCGATTAGTTTTCGACGTGTTTAAAATTTAACACTTAAAATAATTTTTTAAAATTTTTAATAAAATTTTATGGTTTTATTCTTAAAGTTTAAGTGTGTTAATTTAGTGAAAATTTTAATATTTTTTAAAAATGAGTTTAAGTGTTAAATCTATATTTCGTAAAAACATTACGGAACTTCGAACACCAAAGCTTACGGACCAACTAAGGACAGGATGCCTAGGCGCGATTAGTTTTCGACGTGTTTAAAATTTAACACTTAATATAATTTTTTAAAAATTTTAATGAAATTTCATGGTTTTAGTCTTAAAGTTTAAGTGTGCTAAATTTGTTTTAAATTTTAGTGAATTTTAAAATGAGTTTTAACTGTTAAATCTATATTACGTAAAAACATTACGGAATTTCGAACACCAAAGCTTACGGACCAACTAAGGACAGGATGCCTAGGCACGATTAGTTTTCGACGTGTTTAAAATTTAATACTTAAAATAGTTTTTTCATGGTTTTATTCTTAAACTTTAAGTGTGTTAAATTTGTTTTAAATTTTAGAGAAAATTTTAATATTTTTTAAAAATGAGTTTAAGTGTTAAATCTATATTATGTAAAAATATTACGGAACTTCGAACACCAAAGCTTACCGACCAACTAAGGACAGGATGCCTAGGCGCGATTAGTTTTCGACGTGTTTAAAATTTAACACTTCAAATAATTTTTTAAAATTATTAATAAAATTTCATGGTTTTATTCTTAAAGTTTAAGTGTGTTAAATTTATTTTAAATTTTTTAATATTTTTTAAAAATGAGTTTAAATGTTAAATCTATAAGGACATGATGCCTAGGCGCGATTAGTTTTCGACGTGATTAAAATTTAACACTTAAAATAATTTTTTAAAGTTTTTAATGAATTTTTATGGTTTTATTCTTAAGTTTAAGTGTTTTAAATTTTAGTGAAAATTTTAATATTTTTTAATATTTTTTAAAAATGAGTTTAAGTGTTAAAATCTATATTTCGTAAAAACATTACGGAACTTCGAACACCAAAGCTTACGGACCAACTAAGGACAGGATGCCTAGGCACGATTAGTTTTCGACGTGTTTAAAATTTAACACTTAAAATAATTTTTTAAAATTTTTAATGAAATTTCATGGTTTTATTCTTAAAGTTTAAGTGTGTTCAATTTGTTTTAAATTTTAGTGAAAATTTTAATATTTTTTAAAAATGAGTTTAAGTGTCAAATCTATATTACGTAAAAACATTACGGAACTTCGAACACCAAAGCTTACGGACCAAGCCTAGGCGCGATTAGATTTCGACGTGTTTAAAATTTAACACTTAAAATAGTTTTTTTAAATTTTTAATGAAATTTCATGGTTTTTCTTAAAGTTTAAGTGTGTTAAATTTGTTTTAAATTTTAGTGAAAATTTTAATATTTTTTAAAAATGGGTTTAAGTGTTAAATCTATATTACGTAAAAATATTACGGAACTTCGAACACCAAAGCTTACCGACCAACTAATGACACGATGCCTAGGCGCGATTATTTTTCGACGTGTTTAAAATTTAACACTTAAGATAATTTTTTAAAATTTTTAATGAAATTTCATGGTTTTATTCTTAAAGTTTAAGTGTGTTAAATTTGTTTTAAATTTTAGTGAAAATTTTAATATTTTTTAAAAATGAGTTTAAGTGTTAAATCTATATTACGTAAAAATATTACGGAACTTCGAACACCAAAGCTTACCGACCAACTAAGGACAGGATGCCTAGGCGCGATTAGTTTTCGACGTGTTTAAAATTTAACGCTTAAAATGGTTTTTTAAAATTTTTAATGAAATTTCATGGTTTTATTCTTAAAGTTTAAGTGTGTTAAATTTGTTTTAAATTTTAGTGAAATTTTAATATTTTTTAAAAATGAGTTTAAATGTTAAATCTATATTACGTCAAAACATTACCGAACTTCGAACACCAAAGCTTACGGACCAACTAAGGACAGGATGCCTAGGCGCGGTTAGTTTTCGACGTGTTTAAAATTTAACACTTAAACTAATTTAAATTTTTTTTTTTAATGAAATTTCATGGTTTTCTTCTTAAAATTTAAGTCTTAAAATTTTTAGTAAAAATTTTTGTTATTTTTAAAAAACAATATAGTAAAAAACATTATTTATAAAAAAAAAATACCTTTAAAAACAAAACAGAAAAGAAAGTGTTATTACCTGGTTTGGATTTGGGTAGTGAAGAGTACGAAAAGCCCAATAGCTAAGGCCCATTTTTCATTGCAAGGCCTGTATCAAAATCATCTATGGCCAGAAAGTCTTTCAGGTCAGACTTTCCTGCAAAACAATAAGAAAAATAGGGTTTTAGTTAATAATTTCGACTTGAGACAACAATAAGATAAAGTTTTATCATATGATCGAAAAAGATAAAAAAGTTTTATCATATGAACGAATTTCATAAACAAATTCTGATATTTGGGGAAGTTTCCTAAACAACGGATGGTGAAATTGAACCCTAAAAGCCAAACCTTTGACATCGGAAGTAGAAGAAGGCGAAGTGACGGAGGAGGCGGGGGATGGCCGGAGAAGGGAGTGAAACGGCGGAGAATCTCCGGAGAGTAGTGCCGGGGAATCGCGTAAGAAGCACCCATGGTAACGGATCAACATTCAACATGAACGGTGAAATTAGGAGAGAATGTTGGAATGGATCATCATCGGCGATCTTCTCGGTATGAAATTCACAGAGAATTTAAAAAGGAAAAAGATGAAAGATGGATTTTTTTTTTTGTAGTATCGAAGAAGAAGAAGAATAGAGAGTTTTGATTTCTCAAGGAAGAGGATATAAGTGTGAGAGTTTTTATAAGCAAAGTTTGTTTGAAGAAAAAGGAAATTTTCGATTGTTTCTTTTTTTTTTCCCGACGAGGTTAAGATAAATAAATGGAAATTTGCTCACAACGGTCATATAATTATCTCTTAGTGCGTGAGATTATTATTTGTTGAAACAGAGATTTGCTCACAACGGTCATATTTGCCTCTTAGTGCGTAACAATTTATAAGGTAAATTATTTGAAGTTTCTTATTTGTTGAAACAGAGAAACAGAGGCCAGAGACCGCAAAGTCAGGTGAAACCTTCAAGAAGATCAGAACCAAAGTATATCCTCTGTGATGAAAAAGATCCAACACTACCATATTCATTCTCTAGCAAGACACAGCCTTTATGGTTTCACACACCCTAACTTGTTACAACATTCTTCTTCAGCTTCTCTAACTAGTCATATGTTCAATACGAATCCTTTGTTAAATAAAGGAAAATATCAAACATTTGATTACACATAAGACTTTACATAATCCAATTTTTATATGAAGCTACAAACAAGATTCATAACATCACCAAGATTCCTTCTAATCTTCCTTCATCTTCAACATCCATCAAAATCTCATAACCTGTTGTGTGACGTGCTTCAGGTTGATCCCAAAAGATGATCAGCTTGTACAGAATCGGAGCTGCGCCAGAGAATCCCATTGCGAAAAACAAAGAGGCCCTGACAACTGGAAATACATAGCTGCAGGCCAAGAAGAAGAACAAAACAACAGCACAATATCTTCTCTACCTTCAAAAACATAAGTTGCAAGGACAAGGAAGAGGTGATGAACATAGGCTCTCTGTACCACAAATGACTTTAAAGGGCAATGATATTCAATGGGGTTGCTCGAAACCAAACTTGATCTCTTCAGTTTTGTTTCTTTTGTATCCTCTTAATCTGTTTACAAAGATCATGTTCTGACACCTCCATGAGCTCTACATGAGTCCCCATCTCACCAGCTACCAATGGGAGACTCATATAGAGCTTAACGCCTGAAGACTCATATATAACACAGAGACACATTCTTTTGTACACAAAACCCCATTTTTAAAACTTATGAATATTGAACACAAGATTACATTGATACAGATTAACGGGTCAGAACTTTTTTCCCAAGCTTCGTTCCAAAAGTGCAACTACACCATGCCTACATTGTCCTGTAGTAAGGACACTATAAAGACGACTTAAAGCCATTCTTTGACATTCTGGTTACAAAAGCACATGCCCCACATGACATCATCATAGGAAGATTATCATGACTAGATTGTTCCTTAGAGACTGGACAGACAAACACTGAATGGAACTAGTTCTACAGCTACAAGAAGTTGTTACATAATTTCCAATCCAGCTACAACTATCTCATAGGAAGGATCAAGGGAGTATCATAGGAACCTGATACGATGAACAGAAATGTGATCAGAACTTAATTATTGGAGTTGGGAGGAATCCTCTGCCGCAAGTGATGAGTCCAATTCTCAGAAGCAGCTTTTATATATCCGACGCTCGGGGATCTTTTCACCTCCAGAAAATTGTAGGTTGTGTCTCTCCCACAAGCTCTTCTTCTTTAGTTGACTGTCGTTTGTTTTGTTGGAAGGATTTTCATTACCTTGTCCCCATCCTCTGTAAGGCACAAAACACATTGTATAAGCAAGTCCATATCTTGTGAATTTGTATTTGATCCTACTAAGGAGAAGAAATGAAAGTAAATCCAAAACTGGTATTAGAGTCTAAGTTATAGCATCGTTAATGCCTTCATAGGAACTATCATCAACGCTGTAATGCGGAGCATCGCATACATTTGCCAAAGCCCAAGATGTCATTATACGCATTTGACTTGACAACCATTGAAGCACACTGGAGTAAGAAAAGTAAATCGAAAATGCATGGCTCATGAGGACAAACGAATGAAAGCAAGCAATATAATACCAAGATCAAACAACATAAAACAACTTATTGCATTCACTGATGTACTAGATTATATAAAACCAATATTTATGAGCAAGTTTAACAAAATGAGGCAAATTCATAGAGTGACAGAAACAGAATGCAACACCTTATAGTGGTGTAAGAAAGGATCAACACTCAGGACAGCATTAGACCAGACAATATTGCCCCAAATCTCATGTCCTTGGCGTCTCTCCAATGAAATTTCTGCACACCAAATCTCAAGATGATCCTCCTCGATAACGTCCCACAACAGCACAATGTTGGAACCTGAGTTGCTCAGTCTGGTCCCGGGAAGTAAATCAATGAGCTTTTTGTCTCTACCAATAGTGATCTTGTACGACTCCCACAAAGCCTCAATTTTCCCATCAAAGTGAACCAGTCTAGAGCTAGAGAGTCTCTTCTTGAGAGAGACCAAACCTTTGACCTTCCTCCAATACATCCCCTCTGGTTCACACTCCAACTGATCTGGCTCACACCAATACACACTTCCGCTGCGAGCAATACAGAATATCAAACCATCAATCACACACCAATCCCTTCTGTTTCCATTCGTTGGAGCATCATTACCTCTTCCCCATTTACCTTCACTCGGCGAGTAGCAATAGGTTCTATCAATTCCATCAACTGCGTAAATCTTGTCCCCCCTCACCACCACACTGTCGTGGATATACTGATCTCGTTTAATCCGATCCGGCATTGGAGGCAAAGAGTCCCAAGTTTGAGTCTTTGGGTCAAATACCTCTGCCCAATTCGAGGAATCTGGGTCCAAGCAGCCTCCAAACACGTAAATCTTCCCGTTTACGACTCCGACCGCCGCACAAGCTCGAGCCACTCCCATAGAAGGGACTTGACGCCAAGTGTGAGTCCGACAATCCAAGAGCCAGACATCCGAAGTACGCGTCGTCTCCTTTATAAATCCACCGATTACATAGATTCCCCAATCAATCACCACCACGGAGGATGCTTCCGGAGACTGAGAGGACAACGACGTGATCGGAGAAAGCCGATTCAAAGTTTCACCACGGCGGAGGATGAACCAGCGTGGGGTTAGGTCAGGAGGAGTGACCAAACATACATAGAAGCAATTCTCGACGCAACCCAATTCTGATCTCGTCTTGTACAATTCAGGCGAAGCCATTAGGGAGCGATAGGATTTGGAGACGAGAGACAGAGCCGCTTGGTCCAATCTCGACACTCGAGCCAAACAGCTCAGAATCATCTCATCTGGCAGCGACGATAACGGAGACCATGATGAATCAGGCGGAGACGTTTTCCTCTTCTTATGCGGTGGCTCTTTGTTGTCCGCTGAATTCGACATCGACTCTCTCTTTGTGTTTCTGGTTTCAGTTTGTGTTTCTGAGAAGACAAGCTTTTTTTTTTTCCACTTTTTATAGGCAAAAACAATTCCTTCTTCAAATATAACTGTGTCAGTTTTTTCATAAATATATATAAAAAAAAAACCAATAAGATTTAATAAAATCGAAATACAAACTGGAAGTGTAAAAAGTGTAAAGCTAAACTAATTTTGCAATGGAAAGAATTTCTATATTCAGAAAGTTTAACAAACAAAGAGCAACACAAAAACACAATCTTATGGGATGTCCAATCATCTAAAAACTTCCCGTGATCAATTTGTACACAAAAGCCCCATCTTTTTAAAAACTTCATGAAAAAAGAAACAGAGAACACCACAAGGTTACAATTTTGACACAGATTTCACCGATTCAGAACTTAGTTCCAGTTTATACCGGTCATACGTTTTTTCCCGAGCTTTCGTTTCAAAAGTGTAACTGCCTACACCTCGAGATGTCTACATCGGTTGGGCAATAAGGACACTTGAAAGACGACTTAGAGCCATTCTTTGACATTTTGTTGATCGTCTGCTTGCAAAGCACATGTCCACAAGACATCATCATTGGAGGGTTATCATCACTTGACTGTTCTTTAGAGACTGGACAGACAAACACTGAATGGAACTGAAAGTCCTCTGATAGTTGTGCATCGACAGGAAGCTGTTCCATGGTCTGCCAATCAAGCTTCTTGTTCGCCATGACGTTCATGTATTTCAATAGTACTGGTAACGCTTGTGTACCCGCTGTTACTGTTATACTCAACGGGCTTTCAGATGATTCACCGAGTAGGTTGCAGTACTGTCGGGTTAGCTCTTTGACTGCATTGTTCCATAGAGCAGGGGAGAGAAACTCGGAGTACGGTGATCTATCGAGTTTTCTGTTCCATAAGAGAGAACACATGAGCTTCTGGATTTCCGGGAGGCAGCTATCTGCAAACGTGGCAATATGTTTTCTCGCGTAGTTGATAGCTTCTTTGGAGTTTTTGCCTTGAGCTATTTCCAGAAAGTGTAGACTGTGAAGCTTCATCTCAAGATCAGACCTTGCTTGCTTTAGTTTGTCTGAGTTCAAAACTGCCCAACTAAGAGCTGGTTCAAGATCTCGTCTCTTCATAGCTTCTAGTATCCGATACATTTCCACAAAAGATTGTCTAGTGGAACATTCAGATTCACCAGTTTCAGCAACGAAACAGTCACCGATGTCAAACATCCCTTGACGGTAGAAAAAGTTGGCGATTATCTGGTTAACAATATGAGTATCGAACTCGACATTGTTTCTGTAAGCCTTTGATATGTCTGGATTCAGCTGTTTCTCCAAAACTTTAGGGTACTTGGTCAAAGCCGCATGTAGTTCTTTCTCAACAGCTTCAAGTTGAGTGATAGGAGCAATCTCCATAAACACTTTCTTCACATCAGCAAGGATAGATCTATGATCAAGCAGAGTATCTGATGATGGTGTCTCCTGTAATATACACAACGTCTTGTCGATTTCTTGAGACAGTAAGTGAACAATCTCATTTGTTTTACTATAAGAAAGCTTCTGCTTCGTCGCAACACGATCAAACGCATCCTTAATGCTCTTTAGCTCCATTCTTGATAGTCAAAATCACTCTTAAGAATCGACGAAATCGCCTGATACACATATACTAATTGAAACATCAAGATTGCAAAAATCGGATCTTTAAATGATTCAAATCCAAATTAGAAACTTAAAACAGAGGACACGAAATTCTCCTAATTGAAGAATCAAATAATACAAATTGATTCCAGAATAAACAGATCAGATCAAAGGATGATTCCAAATTATAGAATCAAAGATCTCAATCAATTTCAAACTAACGATTCTCGAACATCCAGAAATGAATCCAAAGACTTTTACATACAGAAAGAAAGTACCTGAAATCGAGAGGTAGAAGATGAAGTTTCGTGGATCAAAGTAAAAACACAGACTTGGCTTCGAACCAGATTTCGTGATTTTCTTTTGTCTTTTTTTTTTGTTTTTGGTTAAAAAAATGTTTTTGTGTTCTTATTTTCTCATCACTCCTTCAGATTATCCTTACGAGTTACGAAGAAACTATCACGTGTTTTAGTGTATAATGAATCTCAGCCGTTGGATTAGTACAGTGTTGTATACTTAATGTGGAGCATATTACAGACGATTCCAGCTCTACGTCTTTTGAACTTAAAGCCCATTTTCTATTTTCAAAGGAGAGACAAGGCCCAACTACGGATCCAACTGAGAAATGGACAACTTTTTACGCAGTAAAAGAAAATATGAATGACTTTGTAAGTGTAACGGTAACTTTTTCTTACCGTTGTGATCAATTTCCGTTTTGTTTTTGCACCCCAAATAATATAAAAAGAAATAATTTAACCTCGTCGAACGAAAAGGAAAGACCAACATAATAATTTACAAAAACGTTCAAGTCAAATTATTGCAACTTTGTTTTAGTAACTTAATTCCAAAATTTCATAATCGATTGGTTTTGAATTTTCGTTTTGTTTATAAATAGTGATGTTAACACTTTAAAGTGTGTATAGAAAACTACATTCAAACAAGGATTTTAATGTTTCATGAAACCACTTTAAATAGAAAACTATGGGTACGTAGAAACCACGCAAAAAATAAATTTTAAAACAAAAAATGCAACAAAATTCTGTCCCCAAAACGTAAGAAAAATATAGTTAACACTATGTATATAATTAGAGAAAAAATAGGAACATATTCTCATTTTCCTTTCATCAAATCATATATGTTATCAAAGATAATACTCTATAGTGTTTTCTCTTGTGTGATTCATTTTATTTGTTTCAAACTTTCAATAATGTTAAAATACGAGAAAACCACCAAAAAAAACGAATATAGAGGATAAAAATAATGCTTGGAATTATGACATCAGTAGAAAACTCTTTTTGCGGACTGTAAAATTGAGATATCCAAGAAAAGAAAAGAAAAGAAAAGAGGAGAAGAGTGAATCGGCCTCCCCCACAAGGAGACAAAATTGGAATCTATAATGGGAATGTAAACTACTTACAATTAATAAAAGAAAGAACCAATGAACATTCAAAAGTAAATTTGAGAGTAGATACATATAATAGTACTAACCACTCCCTTGCACATGTTTAATCTACAGCGTTGGATCCCCAATATCAAGTAGTACCTATGTCAAGATTCAACAAGATCTTCAATGAACAAGATGGAAAACAACTATTCAACTCTTTACTTTTTTTTTTTTTTTTTTTTTTTTTTTTTTTTTGATCTTTACTTATTCGTGGTCAGAGAGATTAGAATTTATAAATGCAAATTAATTCATCTTTTTTGGAATTTGGGTCATCGATGTGAACATCTATCGGTCACGGCCGAGACCGACAACCCAAAAAAATGTCATGAAATTTTCACGGGACTCTCTCGCGTGAGTCGTGATCTCTATCTCCATCGCCATAATATATGTGCCAACGGAAGACTTTTTTCTTACAACAAAAAACTCTTATTCCTCCTAAAAAGCTAAATTTCAACGAAAGACTTTAATTTTGCTTAACTTTTTTCTATATTCTTTTGATTTTTCAAAAACTCGGCCGATTGGGTCCAGACTATTAAAATGAATTATGATCACTTTCCGATATAGGCTAATATGTTATCGTGTTTTAATGAGTTGTAGTAAACACATCTTTGTGATCAAAATGCAAATCCCGTGAGACTTTGTGGACGAGAGTACGTGGTGCTTATTATGACTTTCACCTTTTTTCATGTCCGATATAATACAAAATTAATTATATAACAAGATTTTTATAAAAAGAAGATCCGAACCGTAGATTCTTGCCACATCTATTTATTTTCTTTTTATTGTTACACTTTTGTTTATTGTTGTCTTCATTATCCTGCGCCCATGCTAGCATGCAAATTGCAGAGTCTCTCTGATAAAATTATTCTCCTTCAGTTTAACGCTCAGAAAGTTGGAGTATCTAAATATTGATAAACTAATTACAATCAAATGATGAACATAAACAATAAATTCCAAAAACGACACGTGAGGAAGGTTCTTGTAACTGTGAATAACAATCATCATGTTCGTAACGTTCCTTGTAGTATTTATTTTCCTGATTCATACATATAATAATAATAATATAGTGTGAATATGGTTATAAATAACTATACGTATATATATGTTGAACCTCCCTTGCGTGTCCTCTCACGAATCCACTTGCTTTGAGATGCGTGCCCATCTCCTAAAATACAATCGGAGCGATGTCTATCGTTTTCGATATTCTCCTAAACGATCCAACGAATTTCAATTTACAAGTCGAACTTATAGATTACTATATAATATAATTAGTTAAAATATATATATATATATATATTGTTTTTGGTAAAATAGTTAAAAATATATATTAGCTCTCTTTCAATTTTTTCCATGGCTATTAAGATGCAAAATCTTCTTCAAGCCAGAAAATTGTCTCTTATTTAATCAATCAATTTACCGTTTTATGATAATAGTTTTTATCATATTATAAAACTAACTTCGTTTTTTTGTATTAAGTCTTATATATCATCATCAAACAACTTGATTTAAGTGACACTTGCAAAGATTATACGATGGAGATCAAGACTATCAGATCATAAAATCGTTTACCAACATGCAACTTACATATTTTAATCAAGTTGAATAAAATAGGCAAGTTGCTCATAACACGTTGATTTCTTTAAAGATTTATTTCCCATCTGAACTATATTAGATAAAAAAAAAATTTTAATTTGATTTAATACTAGTTAAAAAGAAAAAGAAAAAGAGTCAAATCTTATCCTTGATTTCCAAATAAAAAGTTGAATTTCATTATTTCATACCAACTACAAGAATTTCAACAGTAGAGGTAGCCGAGCTATCGAGTTTTCAAATAAAAACACATAAATAGTTTTATTTTAAAATTTACAAAATTATCTTTACATTATCGTGTGGGGTCTATCATAAATGGTATAGTCATCTTTATCAGACCACCGGTTATGTTAAGAGAAGGAAAAAAAAAAAGGGTTCTTCCTAGGAAGATAGATCTTAACCATGGTTAACACTCTCACGGTTAATTATTAACCATGGTTACAAAAATCTAACCTTTAAAAAGCCCACTTTCGCTTCTCTTCACATTCGCATCATTTTGTATCGTCCCTTGAAAAACTTTAAATGATCTTCTCCTCCGATCATTAATCTCTTTAATCTTTCTCAGTCTTCTTGTTCTTGATCTCTCTTCCTCCGGTAAGTAAAGTAACGTCGATGATGATTTTAATTCAGTACGAGTTAATGAATTGATCGTGAGTGTAATAATCAAACTTTGTAACTCTGTTTTGTAGGAAACGGTGAAAAGATGTCGGCCGGTAACGGAAATGCTACTAACGGTGACGGAGGATTTAGTTTCCCGAAAGGACCGGTGATGCCGAAGATAACGACCGGAGCAGCAAAGAGAGGTAACGGAATCTGCCACGACGATAGTGGTCCGACGGTGAATGCCACAACCATCGATGAGCTTCATTCGTTACAGAAGAAACGTTCTGCTCCTACCACTCCGATCAACCAAGGCGCCGCCGCTGCTTTCGCCGCCGTCTCCGAGGAGGAGCGTCAGAAGATTCAGCTTCAATCTATCAGGTCCTTATAACTACTTCACATATTATAGATTATTTATACGTTAATAAAATAATTTATCTCGTATTAAGGAAGATTATTGCGTTTTCGTGTCCGATCATTTTCATGGAAAAGAAGAAAAAATAAATCAGGAGTTTTGTTTTCTTTTTTAGTTCGATTTTTTTGGTATAGTATTAAATATTTCTGACGTGATACACACTAAACTTGAAAATTTTCAATAACTCTTTCTTCCTTTAATTCGGCAATATAATTTGTTTTTGTTTATTTTTGGATTAGAAATTTAATGTCAAGTTAATGCGCTATAGTGACTATTACCAGAAAATAATTAATTTAATGTACATGACACGTGGCATAAAATGACACGTGGAAACTAATATTTGATTTATAATATTTGATTTGAAACAGTGCATCGTTAGCTTCGTTAACGAGAGACTCAGGACCAAAGGTGGTGAGAGGAGATCCGGCGGAGAAGAAGACCGATGGTTCAACTACTCCGGCGTACGCTCACGGCCAACATCATTCTATCTTTTCTCCGGCGACTGGTGCCGTCAGTGATAGCTCCTTGAAGTTTACACACGTCCTCTACAATCTTTCCCCTGCAGGTGAAAAATCCCTAAAATCCGAATCCGATTTTGATCAATGTTTCTGCGAGGGATTTGATAGATTGGTTTCCGATTTGTTGTTGTAGAGCTTTACGAGCAAGCTATTAAGTATGAGAAAGGTTCGTTTATCACTTCTAATGGAGCTTTGGCGACGCTTTCTGGTGCTAAGACTGGTCGTGCTCCGAGAGATAAGCGTGTTGTTAGAGATGCGACTACTGAGGATGAGCTTTGGTGGGGAAAGTGAGTATTCCTGATCTCGATTTTGATTGATGGAGTTTATGGGTTTATGCTCTGTTTTTGTTTTATTGATTTTGGTTTTGGTTTTGATTTAGGGGCTCGCCGAATATCGAAATGGATGAACATACTTTCATGGTGAACAGAGAAAGAGCTGTTGATTACTTGAATTCCTTGGAAAAGGTATAAATTTGAAAACTTTAATCAATGTTGTGAGTGTAGAACTTGGATCTAAGTTTCTGAAATTTCTGTTGTTGTTGTTGTTGGGGTTTTAGGTCTTTGTCAATGATCAATACTTAAACTGGGATCCAGAGAACAGAATCAAAGTCAGGATTGTCTCAGCTAGAGCCTACCATTCACTGTTTATGCACAACATGTAAGTAAAACCATTGTTACAATTTTAATACATTATTGTACCCTTTGGGTTTTGGGTGAAAGAAAACAACAAATTAGTAACTGGTGAGGGGGGTGGTAGGTGTATCCGACCAACTCAGGAGGAGCTTGAGAGCTTTGGTACTCCGGATTTCACTATATACAATGCTGGACAGTTTCCGTGTAACCGTTACACTCATTACATGACTTCGTCCACTAGCGTGGACCTTAATCTGGCTAGGAGGGAAATGGTTATACTTGGTACTCAGTATGCCGGGGAAATGAAGAAGGGTCTTTTCAGTGTGATGCATTACCTTATGCCTAAGCGTCGGATTCTCTCCCTTCATTCTGGATGCAATATGGGAAAAGATGGAGATGTTGCTCTCTTCTTTGGACTTTCAGGTATTGTAGTCTCATCACCAAACACCATGTTTTGGTGATGATGGAAGGAACGATAAATCAGATGATACTACACAAAATTACCCCTGAAGTGACTTTTGAACCCTCTTTGTTGAAATGAGGCGTATGAATTGAGATTGATGATTGTTTTTTGTTTTCTATGAATGTTGATTTTAGGTACCGGGAAGACAACGCTGTCTACTGATCACAACAGGTATCTTATTGGAGATGATGAGCATTGTTGGACTGAGACTGGTGTTTCGAACATTGAGGGTGGATGCTATGCTAAGTGCGTTGATCTTTCGAGGGAGAAGGAGCCTGATATCTGGAACGCCATCAAGTTTGGAACAGGTAAAAAGACAATACATTGGAATTGTTTTTGAGAAAAAAAAACATCAAATCAGTGATATAACAATATGATTCTGATGTTGTTACAGTTTTGGAAAATGTTGTGTTTGATGAGCACACCAGAGAAGTGGATTACTCTGATAAATCCGTTACTGGTAAAAACAACTGTTATTCCTTTAGTCTCTGTTCTTCATTACAATTGACAGAATGATAATTTTCGATTCTCCTTGGTTGCAGAGAACACACGTGCTGCGTACCCGATTGAGTTCATTCCAAATGCGAAAATACCTTGTGTTGGTCCACACCCGACAAATGTGATACTTCTGGCTTGTGATGCCTTTGGTGTTCTCCCACCTGTGAGCAAACTGAATCTGGCACAAACAATGTACCACTTCATCAGTGGTTACACTGCTCTGGTATGCCCGCAGAAAAAGTCATTTTTCTTTTGGATAAATCTTCATAAATTTCAAAACCTTAACCAAAGATGTGCAACATATATAGGTCGCTGGCACAGAGGATGGTATCAAGGAGCCAACAGCAACATTCTCAGCTTGCTTTGGTGCAGCTTTCATAATGTTGCATCCCACAAAGTATGCAGCTATGTTAGCTGAGAAGATGAAGACACAAGGTGCTACTGGTTGGCTCGTGAACACTGGTTGGTCTGGTGGCAGGTATGTCCTCCTACGGAAACCGATACAGTAAAATTCTGCCTTGTTGCGCGTGTTTGTAGGCTATGAACATGATCTGTAACGTTTTCTTTTCTGCAGTTATGGTGTTGGAAACAGAATCAAGCTGGCATACACTAGAAAGATCATCGATGCGATCCATTCAGGCAGCCTGTTGAAGGCTAACTACAAGAAAACCGAAATCTTTGGATTTGAAATTCCAACTGAGATTGAAGGGATACCTTCAGAGATCTTGGACCCCATCAACTCCGTAAGTTTCTGCAAAATCCCTCTTTTTTTTGGATTCTAAGTGATGATGAACAATTTTGTTGATTTGGGTTTTATGAAAATGCAGTGGTCTGATAAGAAGGCACACAAGGAAACTCTGGTGAAACTGGGAGGTTTGTTCAAGAAGAACTTTGAGGTTTTTGCTAACCATAAGATTGGTGTGGATGGTAAGCTTACGGAGGAGATTCTCGCTGCTGGTCCTATCTTTTAGAAATAACCAAACTATGATGATGTTGTCGAAAAGGAAAAGTATCTATTATTATTAAGAAGAATAAATTGAGACTTGTGTTTTTGTTGTGTATCTCTCTGGAGAATGAAGAATAGAGAGAACTTGATGTTCCAAATGTGGTGGATATGAATATGATGACCATATGTAATTTGATTGTTGTTATTTGTTGTCATTTATTTTTGTTGGGCTTTTGCCAGCATTTACATGATAGAACCAAGTACGAATAATATGAATTCTGGTCCAATTTGATGATGGTTTTCTAAATGGATAGATAGCTTTATAATTTATTTTATCACAATAGAATTAAATCTTTATGGTTATCATTACAAAGTAAATGATAATTATGGTCGTTAAAAAAAAAAGGAAATATGTAAAAAGGGAAAATTCTATCCGCCTATAAAAGCTTCAGTGCCTCAACGTCTTTTTGTACTGCTTGCTCTGTCCATTAAAGACAAAGTCCTCCAAAGCAAAGCTTCAGACTGAAACCAGATTTCGTATCATTCGTGTGACTTCGTTTCTCAACGTAAGTTATCTTTCTTTTCTCCAAAGGTTTCTGTCAATTTCAATGTTACATCCTCTTAACAAGGATCTAGTTTAGAGATTTTGACTAACTTGAATCGTAAGTTATTATAGGGCATGTCTCGTAGAGAAACTTTACCTTTAGACTAACCGAGATTAGTTTTTTTTTTTTTGGTTTGGGAATTGGCATTAGAGCCTGATTGTGTAAGAAACAGAACTCGAACCCTAGTTATGGTAGCGTTTTGTGAATTTGATTCATATGACGTAAAAACCCTAATTTTGTGGTTTTTCTTGAAGCAGATCGAATACTTTTGACATTACTTCTTGTAGATCTTCGACGATGTCTTATGTGAATACACATACTGAATTAAAGATCTTTTGATTGCAGGCCTTTAATTACTAGCTATGACAAGTTATCTTCCAAGAAATATACAATCTTACAAATCAGAGTTTCTTGAATTCCGTCAACGAATTAAAGAATCGATTAGGAAGAAGATGCAAAACGGAAACACTATTATAGCTCCAACATCACAGACACAGACACTTGAGAGCAAAAGTAATCTTCCCTATAACGAGTAAGTTTTATTTGTTAGTTTTGATTTTTATGTGTTTAAGATAATTAATTAGCATGAATTGAATATTCTGACTCTGTTTTTGCAGCTTTGGTTCCTTTTTTGGTCCTTCTCAGACTGTTATTGCTTCAAGAGTCTTACAAGAAAGCAAATCGCTTTTAGAAAACGAAACATTGACAGCTAAAATGTTAAACTCGGTTCAAAATGTATGTCTCAGATCCTTCTTTTTCACATTTTTGATATCAGCAAGTGTTTTTTGTTCTTACTCCTTTATATAATAAGGCTGATGAAACTGTTTTGTGTCTTGTGTACAGAAGAAAAGTCCTGTTCAAATGAATGCTTCAGGGACTAAGAATGCGAATGAGGTAACTTCATCGATGTTTGACAATTTTGTGTTGATTTTTTTTTACCTTTTGCTAATATGCCCTTTTTTACTTGCTTAGGTGAAAAGAAAAGCTGAGAAACTTAAGGATGCAAGAGACTACTCTTTCCTTTTCTCTGATGATGCTCAGCTTCCTGTTTCCATCAAGGAACCACCTAAGTCTAGACCAAGTCCCAGAGAAAGCCAAATGAATCATTCAAAACAGGCTTCTTCAGGCAGCCAAATGCTGCCAAGACCAGGTTCATTAACTAATGCTCAAGCGCATACGAGCGGGGATTCTGCAAGAAAGTACTCTCGAAAGCAGAAATCGATTAACAAGAATGGCCAACCGAGTTCCAAATTAGGTCCTCAGAGACCACTGTCCTCATCAAAGCCTTTGGCATATGATCCTAAACAACAAAGGGTAAAACAGAGGAATGTTTCCTTGGAACTCACAAGGTCGCAACTGCCTTCTGCGAAACACCAGTTGACTAGAAAACTACCATTGAAGCAAGCTCATCAACTGAAGAAGAAGAAAAAGCCTGTGAAAATGTCAGAAGATGATTTGGTGGCCTTGCAAATGGTTAGACAGATGTGCAAGACTGATCGTTTTGCGGGGCGTGATTTCGAAGAAGACTATGATGATAGGTGCATGGAAGCTAACTTTGATGATATCATGAGGGAAGAGAAACGAAGGTATGTTATTTCATAACATGTTTAAGAGAACCAATCATGAGGCGTAACCTAAACGGTCATGTTTGTTTGTTGTTTGATACAGTGAGAAACTTGCGAAGAAAGAAGACGCGGAACAACTGCGGTTGATAGAGGAAGAAGAAAGAGTGAGAAAGCAGATCAAGAAGCAGAAGCTAAGCCATTAAGAAGAATTGTGGTTTAGGGTTAGAGAGTCTACGCGTTTCTGATTTCAAAGTTACTTTCTTCTTTGATATATTTCTGATGATGTTAATAATCATCAAGTGATCAGATTAATTATAGAACTCTATACGCAAGGAAAGAGTTTTCTGTTTTCTTTATCAGGCAATGACATTTGTTTGTTTGTTCTTTGTATGTTGTTACACTTTAGTGGGACTTGACAGTTTATTCTTAGGGTTCAAATTGATGTCAACCAGATTTCAATCTGAAACAGAGTTTTGAAGTCTTCTTTTGGTTCAATTTAAAAAATGAAGATTAGGATGAAGAGTGCTATCAAATCCATAGCAAATCTACAGCGAATCCATCAATTATAGGGTCAATTTGCTCTAAATTTATCAACCAACACAGATAATAAAAAAAATTGTCAAGTGTCTCTTACATGACATATGACAAAAGCTTATAATAAGTTCTCTGTTTGTTACTTTAATACTCCCATTTGTCTTAATCTATTTGATCTCTTTGGTTTCAGTTTTAGGGTTTGACTTCAAAACTAATTATTCTCTCACGGTACCCAATGATACGGCTCCAGGAAACAGGAAACTATTTAGTAATTAGATCTTGAGAAATGAAAAATAAGATTTTAAAATTGACAACCTAATTAATCATCATGTATATGTACTTGGAGCTTTAGAAAAGGAATAATACTAATTATTATATTATTTCTAATAATAAATAAGTTTTTTATTAATTGGGAAACATACTCGATCGATCTGGTTTACATATATTTGGTCAAGGCAAAACCGATTATAGCTCATATGATGAATTTATGCACAAGGAAAATAACAATCTATCAAACTTATAGTTCATATATAGGATGTACTGTCTTTGTGGTGTGATACAGATCCAGAAAACTGTTAAGATATTATAACTAATTTAGATTTAGATCTAGAGAAACGAAATATATAAAAATATAAAAATTTGAACCCCATATATGTGCGTATTTATGGGATTTAGAATAATTTTTTTATGGAGAAATGTAAAACACTAAATTTTGTTTGGAGGAGCTAAGATGCTTCTATCATGGGGCGTAGTAATGGACGAAAATAGAGAGAGATCTAGTTGTAAGTGAACTGGCTTTTTTCTATTTTAGTACTTAGATTATAATAGCCCACGTGCAATTTGTTTGCCTAGCTTTGCATTTCTATGAAGTTCAACAATTCCGATAAATACTTTACTTATATCAATATTATCCTCTTTGAGATTATTTTTTACCTAAGTGATTATATATTCAGAAATCAGAATAGCACGTTTGCACAAGACACAAGACACATGAGTTCCAGGAAAGTGTTCAACTGAGTAAGAAATTATCTTAGTGTCGATCACTTGTAGTAATAATCTTTTTTTCATAATCGAACGCCTTTGATAGTCATGGTGATTCACACATTTAACCAAGCTGTGTATAAAAACATACTAGTTTAGAAGTTCTCACCAAACATACTAGTTCACTCTTTTCTTGAAAAAAAAATATAGAGAAAACCGTGGAAATATTTAATGTCGTAACAATAACCTAACCGATACCATGGAATAAAATCGTAGGGAGATCTTCGGTTGGTGCCACATTTTGTTCACAAAACAAAAGTATAAAACTAATCTATATATAAATTTAGACTATATTCAATTGGACCCACCATTTGATTATGGAAAGTTTCATGTCATCTTCTATCTATTTTCGCTTAAGAAATTTATGAAAGTTAATCATAAATGCTTTCCTTTTACTGGTTCTTCAACGACATATACATATTTGAATTGATCAGATAGTGATTGAATGACACACTAGTATAAATTACTGAGTATATATAATTTTATTAACCAATACTAATACCAGAATTTGATTACAAGCTTTATATTGACATATATACAAATGTTATTAAAATTGTGCCAACAATATTTTGATGCGGTCTGAAAGTTAAAACAATATTCATAGGATGTTAGGAAATAGTCCACGTTTTAGAACTGTTTTCTTATTGGTTTCATACGTATTAGTGATAGTTTGTTTGTACATTCTCTGTTTCTTTTTATTTGATGTTTAAGGTTTTTGCATAATTTTTGTTTATTTTTAAACTAAAACATCATTTATTATCTAATCAACCAATATAAAAACAATTTGCAAAATATAAATAGTCAAAACCAATAAAAACTAATTAATATTGCATTGAAATTAAACTGAAAATATCATCTAATCTAAATAAAAAATTTCTCTTGAAACATCAACTAAAAAATAGAAGGAATATATCACAATTCACACCTGATATGAATTCACGTAAAATTTGGATGCATTTTGCAAAATGTGTTTATGGAGAAACCAATATTTTTGAAGCGACTACTTTTTTGTTTCTAACATTTTTTATTAGTTAAGTGAATAGTAATTTACTTACCAGACGAATACCCTTTGAACAACAATTTTAAATTCACTGAAATAGCACCTCAAAAAACTGTTTACGTCAATGAGTAATTTTGAACATCAATACTGCGAAATTTGACAAATATAAAACATTTATGATTAATTAGTTTTGACAACAAACACCCAAAAACTTTGGAAAAGAAGAATATATATATTTTTTAATTTAGAGGTTTTGGGTTTATGTCCAAAATATCCTCTCATGCCAGCGACCAAAATATTTTATATATGCAAAAAAATATTTTTAGTGTGAAAGTAGAGTAATATTGCATTTTTCACACGTGCAAATTACTCCATATTTGTGTCTATCTCTATATATACATGTACATATATGCATTCCACTAATTTCACACAGAAATCCTAATCTCTCTCTCTCTCCTCCAAGAAGGTGAGTTTCAGTTTCAACTTTCTTTTTTTTTGGGTATTACCTTCTCCAATTTTCTAGGGATACACCAATTAGTTTCCCATTTCTTTGGGATTCCAGAAACAAAAGTCACATCCCTTGTATTCAAAGAAAGGTAAACAAGCAGATCTTGGGGTTTTATTCAAAACTTGTATTTGAACAGCCGCAGATCTAATATACGTCAAATCTTGTATTTGAAACCAAAGATCTGCTAGTTTACCTTTCTTTTTTCTTGGTTAATTAATACAGTTTCGTGTTTATAAATCATACACTAATATTCTTTTTCTTAATCTTACCATTTTCAGAAGCAAACAGCAATGAATACCTTATCCACAAGATGGTTTTCTGAACAGGTATGTGCGCGCACACACACACACTCATATATATTTTGTCATCTATGATTTTATTTTTCATTATCTTTTTTTTTTTTTTGGTGTGAATATTTAGGAAATAGAAGAAAATAGCATAATTCAACAATTTCACATGAACTCAATAGTGGGAGAGGTCCAAGAAGCTCAATACACTTTTCCACACTCTTTCTTGACCAACAATGATCTTTATTATGATGATTTGATCGAAATGAAACCATCAAAGATCCTCGAGACAACTTACATATCACCAAAATTGCCACTACCTCCTCTTCCTCCAAATTCAAAGCCTCATATTCACCATCACTCTTCCTCAAGAATTCTCTCTTTCGAAAGTTATGATTCAACTGTTATGGAACACGAGTACTCTCCCACCTCTCTAAACTCAATCTTTAGCCCAAAAGTAGAGGCTCAAGTGCCACCACGCCAGAAGAGTGATGAGTTTAATCAGAAAGGGACCAAGAGGGCTCGACCGTTATCAAGATGCCAATCCAATGCTCAAGATCACATAATCGCCGAAAGGAAACGTAGAGAGAAGCTTACTCAAAGATTTGTAGCTCTTTCCGCTCTAGTTCCTGGCCTTAAAAAGGTACATACCATCAAATCTTCCTTCTTGATTAACTTACACAAAAAAAAATTACACTTTTATAGAATCTATAGGTGTAATTTTCTCTAATTGTGTGCATAGATGGACAAGGCTTCTGTGTTGGGAGATGCATTTAAGCATATAAAGTATCTCCATGAAAGAGTGAGAGAGTTGGAGGAACAGAAGAAAGAAAGAATAATGGAATCAATGGTTCTTGTGAAGAAGTCTAAGCTGATCTTGGACGATAATAATCAATCTTCTTCTTATGAAGATGGCTCCTCGGACTTGGATCTTCCCGAGATCGAGGTAAGATTCTCGAATGAAGATGTTCTAATCAAGATACTTTGCGAGAAGCAAAATGGTCATCTTGCCAAGATTATGGCCGAGATTGAGAAACTTCGTATCTTGATAACTAGTTCAAGTGTATTGCCATTTGGACCAACTCTTGATATCACCATTATAGCTAAGGTATGCAAATGTATATTCAGGGCATATATACACATATATAAATGAAGAACTTGTTCTTAATTTTAAAGTAACATCGCTTAATGTTTATTTGCAGAAGGAGAGTGATTTCGACATGACACTCATGGATGTTGTAAAGACCTTGAGGTCTGCTTTATCGAAGTTCATATGATCTGTATTAAATTTCATGCTTATCATCAATTTCTCTGGGAGACCTATAGATGAACATATGGAAGAAGCATAAGTGGTTTTTGCCATGAAAATGGTTTTTTTTTTTTTTTTTTTTTTTTTTTGCTGATAAGTTTGGTTGGAGGTTTTCTTATCTGTTATCTATATATAAATAAGATTGAATTAGTTGAAGAATCAGTACTCCTCTATTTCACTTTTTTCTCTTTCACCTTTATGTATTATATTGCTGCTATATGAATTTCCAAAGATGTAAAGCACTTTCGTTTGTGTAGTTGAGCGTTAGTCAACATTTCTTTTACTTATATTTGTACTATATGATTTATCTTTTGTATGTCTTTTCAATCTTATAATTAATACCAAATTACTAAAGTTTGTAGTAATTTTTGGGATGACTTAAAGCAATTTATATTGAATATGATTGATGACTGTCATTATGAGTAGTGGAATAACATAATCTTTGATTGATCGGAAAGTAAAAAGACTATAAACTAGAACAATAGAATTTCCAAGGGATAATATCAACACATTGAAAATAGGGTTTTAATAAATTATTGACGTTTTCTCTTGAAGTTCATTAGTGCATTGAAAACCAAAACTAAAAGAAAATGAAAAATTATAATGATGAATGATAAATCATTTTTTCAGGTTTTGAAAACGTGATTTCGTTTTTTTGTTAATCATGATTTTTGTAAAGTTTTCACGTTTTTAAAAATCGTTTGCTATACACTTCGAAAATGTTAAAAAAATATATAATTGAAATAAACGAGATGTCATTAGTCTATTAAATCAAGTATTATATGATTTATTCGGTAAAACTCTATTCAACTCAAAATGTTATCGTTACTATTGGATTATTGGACTTTTCTGTTATTCCTTTATTCCATTATTATATATGTGACATACGTACTAATCAAACCAAACCTAAAACACATTTTGTTATATATTGGCTATATATATTAATCGGCATTAACATATGAAATGCCTAAATTCAAGATAGGAAAAAACAATCAAAGTAATATACAAGAGATATATACAACCCAATCCAAGACATTATAGGTTCAATCATTTTTTAAAAAGACTGAAAGAAAATGGTTTAGTTATCACTTGGATAATCAAGGCAAGGAATGCGACAGGACGACCAAGTCTTTCCTTCCATGTTATAGGACAACAAGGATAATCATGGGAAACTAATTAGGACAAATCGGAAAGTGGATAACTATCCTTCTCTTTCTTTCAGCTATAATAAAAATATTATATATCTGAAATACGAAAAATGAAACAATTATGGTTTCACATTTCACAAAACAATAGATAATATGTGTACACACGCATATATATATACGTACAAACACTATATCCAGGTGCAAAATGTCCGAATCGTGGATATATAATATATTACATATTATTGCAATGGAACTCGTCCAAGAAAAATGGATATTATGATCCAATGAAGATTATATGAATCTAGCCTGCAGGCAACTCTGATTATATATATTATATATGCTAGATATTGATATACTGTCTCAAATCTATCGGGAAAGATATTCAAAAATATATATTTACGTACTATCCTGAATATTCTTGTGTTCAAATGTACAAACTTATGAATTGATTTCCGGAACAATAAAAGAGTTTTCTTTCCCAAAAATGGCATCGTTATTCTACCAAAACGGCTCCGAAAAGTTTGAAACCCTTCCAACATAATTTTTGGAAGAATCATATAATAGGTTTTTTTGAAGAATCGAAATATTTCAGATATAATAGGTTTTTTTGTTTTCAAAGATATAATCATATAATAGTACATGTTTCAATCATTCACGCGACAACTCACCTCTTTTTTGTTTAGTCATTTGTTTCGTCAACTCTCCCCCCTGTCTTTTGATATTTAAACAACTATCTTGATTCAAAATTTTCTCTACTTCCCATAAGTTTTTATTTATTTTAGTGCAAACAAAAATACAACAAAAATATATATAAAAATAAAAATAAAAAATACAACAAATAAATAAATGACGAGCAGCTTCCATTTTTTTTTTTTTTTTTATATTTTTTATCTTTTGTCTAAAAACGGGCAGCTTCCATACGAATACGAACCGGGTTACCAAAGACATATAAGAGGTTATTATATTCAAATTAAAAACGTGATATATCGTTATTTTAGTTATATTTTTGATTACGGTATGTCAGTTTCAATGAGGTCAAAACAATGTGACACCAATTATAACTCTGCCGGATTTGTCTCTGTTAGGTCCAAATAATCCAACGGTAGTATATATAAAATTAGAAATAATCTGAGAGTTGCCAAAATTATATAATCGAAAATAGAAAAGAGTGGTTCAATTCAATCAAGTTTTATAACTATAGGATGACAAACAAAATTAAGAACATCAATATTGTTAGGAGTTACTTACCTAGTGATGGTATTGATTGGTTGCATTAAATAAATAAAAATTCTATACATATCTGAACTTAAATTTAGAGTTTGATTGGTTGATCTATTTTCTTGTATCTCAACAACGCCTATTCTTCTCTCCTTCTCATCAGAATTTGTGTTGACTCCAACACTCACAACATTTTCGTCGGTCCAAATTAGACGTGGCTTTATAGATGATGGTTTGTTGTACTAAAATAGGTGATGGTCTGTTATATTCAATCAGATAATATAAAGATGTAAGCTGTAAGAAAAATCACATGCTGCATGTGACTGACGTTGCTTTCAAATGCATAAGCATACTTTAGTCAGGATCCAATCACCAATCCAAAAACACTATAAAATAATTAGTTAATTTAATTACATTATCATCTACCTATATATATAATCTCAAAGTCGACATCTACACGACATATATGACATGACGACTCGCTCTATAATTACATCACTTACTTGCAAAGCCTTTTCCATTATTGAAATAATAACAAAACTACGTAATATGTTGAAAAATTGGGTATTGCTATTCTTGGCATATTTAAAACTGAATTTGAAACGTGGGAAATTTTCATATTTAGTGGACTCAGAATCAATGTGAAACCGGGTCACTTTAATTTTCTCTATGTATCAATCTTAACCAATTAAACAATTAATAATATAAAGCTATAGTATAATATAACATGCATGGTCAAAAACTCAAAATCATACTATTCAAAAACGCTTTAAAAATCGTTTACACATTATAAGCCCATGTAATTCACATGTCTACAAGCCCATCTATAGCGACAAGTTCGACAAATCACAGGAATCGCACCGTGTGAGCTACACCACGTGATGTCACGTGGGTATATATAGTTAGACCACTGAGCAACTTGTGTTCTTTACTTCTTTGTTTATGAAAAACAGAGCAATGATAGGAATTACATAACAGTATTTTTTTTTCATCAATTACAAAGCAGTATAAACTAACTGAAATGTAAAAACGTTTTTTTAATGATAACTTAAATTGGTATCAGTGGTTTGATTAAACTATTCAAAAAAAGATTAGTTGAGTTAATCAAATCAATTTGAGTAAATCGAAATTCTTAAAATATACATTATACTTTTGGTTGTTTTTTACTTAAACCAGAGCCAAACCGATATTTCTCTCCGCACCAAAAATAAAACCAAAAAAAAATCCTTACTCATAACCCAAAATAAATTTATGCCTAAACCGAGTAATCCGGTTTAGTGAAAGAAAAAAATAGGTTGAATGATTCAACTTGATACGGAAAACAAGCTAACAACAAGAGAACGTATCTTATTTTCTTTGAGATTGTTACTGTGTCAATCAGAGATCGGGTAAAAAATACTCTGTAGTAAAAATGACCAGGAAAGAGGTTGTTCTGGCCGTGACGGCTGCAACGGTTACGGCGGTTGCAGCAGGTGTACTAATGGGTCGGTGGATCCGGAGGAAAGAGCGGCGGCGGAAACATACGCAGAGAATTTTGAGGAAATTCGCTAGAGAATGCGCCACGCCGGTTTCGAAACTCTGGGCGGTGGCGGACGCTTTGGTCGCCGACATGACCGCCTCTTTAGCCGCTGCGGCTGCCGAGTGTTGCGGTTCCCTCAACATGCTCGTTTCATTCGCCGGTTCACTGCCTTCCGGGTAAATCAGAATCCTCTGCTTTAGACAGAGAGAATTAGATGATCGTTAAATAACGGTGTTTAATGTGTTACGTGTAGTGATGAGAAAGGGGTACACTATGGAGTTAACTTGAGAGGCAAGGAACTTCTTCTGTTACGTGGGACGTTAGGAGGTAACGAAGAGCCTATGTCCGACGTACATAAGCAGGAGATTCCGATCCCTCAAGATGTTTTGAATGGTTCTTTCAAGGTATGAATATAGATAGATACACGATTTCTTGATTACACGTTAGGTTAACTTGAACCTGAAGTTTTTTGGCTCAGGAGCTTTGCGATTTCATATCATTGGAGCTTGTTAAATTTCTTGCGATGAATCCCGGTGAAGAAGCAGAGGAAGTGAATAACCTCGGGTTTACATTGACGCGCTCTGTTGAGCAGATTGGGTCAGGTTCAATCTCGGCTATACATAGGAAGAGTTTAGCAAATGATGATGATGATAAGGTTTTGAAAGATTTGGTGAATGATATGAATGAATCCTTGGAAACACACGGTCTGAAAATCCGGATGAAAACAGCGCTGGTAAGGGGGTCTAAAGATGATCTATGCGATGAAGATTAATCTAGTAACTTTTTAATGATCTTTTGAGAATCTTGTTTTTGAAATCAGGTGGATAATACAATAGGAGAGTTGGCTGGGGGAAAGTATTATCACAAGGACACTGTGGCTGCAGTATCATTAGGTATGGGAACTAATGCTGCTTACATTGAACAAGCTCAAGAGATATCGAGGTGGAAATCCGCGATAGCCGAGCCACAAGAGATCGTATGTTAAGATACTTTCAACACATTTAATCCAATATCATAGACCTTTTCAAAGTTGTGATATCAAGTGGTTGTACATGATAAGATTGTAGGTTGTTAGCACAGAATGGGGAGATTTCAGATCTTGTCATTTTCCTATAACTGAGTTCGATTCTTCTCTTGATGCGGAAAGCTTGAATCCTGGACATCGAGTAAGAACACATACCGATTAGTTCTCTCTGAGGTTTTTCGGATCATGTTTAGTTTTGAGAGTTTTTTTTTTCCTCTGCTCAAGGTTTTTGAGAAGATGGTGTCCGGCAGATACTTAGGGGAGATAGTAAGAAGAGTGTTACTAAGAATGTCAGAAGAATCTACTCTCTTTGGAGATACTCTGCCTCCAAAACTCACAATTCCTTACATTTTATGGTATCTTTACTATGTACTTATTTTAGTCTACAATATGAAACTATAGATCCCAAGGACTATACTGCAATATTTCGAGCATGCATGGTTTAGGTCGCCAGATATGGCTGCAATGCATCAAGATATATCCGAAGAACGGGAGATTGTAAACAAAAAGCTCAAGGAAGTTTTCGGAGTAAGCTTCATAGAGACTCATTCGCTTTTCAATTTAGAAATTTTGATTTGAGTTAAAAACAAGAAAATCTTGAATATCTTGTGTGAACCCTGCAGATCATGGATTCAACTCTTGCGGCAAGAGAAGTGGTGGTTGAAGTATGTGATGTAGTCGCGGAACGAGCGGCTCGTATGGCGGGAGCAGGAATAGTTGGGATGATAAAGAAGCTTGGAAGGTTAGAGAAGAAGATGAGCATTGTGATAGTTGAAGGAGGATTGTATGATCATTATAGAGTCTTTAGAAACTATCTTCATAGCAGCGTTTGGGAAATGCTCGGTGATGAGTTATCAGATCACGTTGTCATTGAACATTCTCACGGTGGATCTGCTGCCGGAGCTCTCTACCTTGCCGCATGCGGTGGCGGCCAACAAGAATCTGAAAGCAAGTGACGATGCTGATTCTTTTTGTATTTCTTACAATCAAATAAGAACTTAATTTTTTTTATCATGTTTATTTAATTAAAAAATTAAGTTAAAATTACAAAATAAATTAAATTTTTATTAACTAGACATGTTAACAAAATTCCAAATTTATTTTAGCTTTTAGAAAGAAAAAAAAAACAGGAAAAATATATTTTTGAAAGTGACTTATTGTTAAGAGATAAAAACAATGATGGGCTAAAATAGCCCATACTTAAGGAAAGGCCCATTAAGCTTGGGTTTAGATTCAACAACGCCTGATTAGAGTGAGTCACATAACCCTTTCAACATCTGTTCCAAAGAGTCTCAACACTTTGAGAGAAGAAGATCCCGGAAAATGGCTACGGCGATTGTACGGTCAGCTCTTTCCCGAGCAGCGATCCGCGTTGCTCCAAGAACATCCGTCGCTCCTAAGCGAAACTTTTCTTCTTCCGCCGGCCATGACGACGCTTGTAATTTGTCCCTTCTCTATCTATCTCTATTTTTACCATTTCAATAACGATCTAGGTTTTCTGATTTCATTTTTGAGAACACCTCGATGAGTTTATAGATTCTCCTCCGATTTTGATGATTGTTAGATTTCCCAGTTCTTAATTGATTTTGAGATTCAATATGATTTCACACGGATCCCAATATTTTTAACCAATACCTGATTTTGTCAATTTTGAATTGATCAATTGGTCAAATTTGAATTTGATTTTTGTACATGATTCGTCTTATTGGATCAATTCTATAACTTTTGGTTATTCATCAAAGTTTTGTCTTTTTTTTAATATTTCACAGATGAAGCTGCGAAATGGGAGAAGATAACTTATTTGGGTATTGCTAGTTGCACTGCTTTAGCCGTCTATGTTTTATCCAAGGGCCATCATCACGGCGAAGACCCTCCTGTAAGCTTCTCTTACAAACACCTCCATTGGTTTTTTAGTACTATGTATAACCTTTGATTTGGAATCTTAAATCTTCCTTACTTAGTGTGAGACAATGTTAATATCACCCAGTGAAAACGGAAATAAGTATGCACTGAAAACGGAAATGGGTATGCAGATGATGAAAATGTTACAAAAGCTGCCTTTTTTACCTTTTCTTATTTGGCTCATCTCATTCATTCTGCTTAGTAGTTTAAAACATACATTGCTTCGAGTTGTTGTGAACCATTTTTTTTTCTCTTGTTGTTTACTTGTTGCAGGCCTATCCCTATATGCACATCCGCAACAAGGAGTTTCCTTGGGGTATGTATGCCTTTTCTGTTTTTCTATCTTCCGTCTTATTGTCTTATGTTTCGTGATCTGCAACTTGGTTAATGCTGTTTAGTCGCAGCAAAGAATGTCTCTTTTTATCATGGGTTCTCCTATAAACCTTTAGAGATCACCAAAGATTAATAGTAACTTCTTGGTTTCTGAATTTACACTTTCTGTTTGCCATTCTCAGGTCCAGATGGTCTGTTTGAGGTGAAGCACAACGAAGGGCACTGAGTCTTGCGTGTTCACAATAACGTCTTCTTGGTTTATTTGAATGGCTAAAATGCTTTAACGTATCTCTTTTCTTTTGTTGGGAAATAAGAATTTATACTTTTGTTGGGAAATAAGAATTTATACTTTGCTTGGTCATATTATGATGCAAGACTTACGTTTCCTTCAAATCTCTTGTGATTCAATCTCAATAAAAAGGAAACTTTTCATAATTAGACAGAACTAGAGATAAAAGAGTATACATGTATTGATTGGGCGATCAAAAACTCAATACTACTGATTGGGACTTAGTCCCGTAATTTGATGAAAAGTATAGAATATGTATACAATACAATGATACATGACTACTTAACTCATTTAAGAAACATCACTCAGCTGCAACTTTGTCGTTGGTCAATCCATTGCTGGTTTTTAGGAAGAGTGTCAATCAGTTCGAGCATCCTTAACATCTTCAGTGAGACTATTATCCAAAGTGGACTTGCTCTGTTCTTGATCGTTTTGGGTCTCCTCTGTTTCACCACTTTTGTTATTTTCCTCTTTCTCTGACTCTGTTTTTGAAGTATCATCCTCTGTTACCTTTTTTGAAGTATCATTGCTTTCATCAGTTTTTTGTTCGTCACTCTTCTGTGTGTTTGAAGAATCGGTAGATTCCACCTGTTCAATTTTCTTCTCACTGTTGGTGTTTTCATTTTCCTGAGATTCTGAAGACTTTGTTTCGGTTTCTCTGTTCTCATTCTCCTCTTGGGACGTAGACTCTTCTTTCTCCTTTTTCTCAGTTGCTTTGATCTCATTCTCCTCTTGGGACGAAGACTCTTTTTTCTCATGTTTCTCAGGTTCTTCCTCTTGAGATGAAGACTCATCTTTCTCCCTTTTCTCGGGTTCTTCTTCTTTACTTTCCTCTTGAGATGAAGACTCTTCTTTCTCCTTTTTCTTGGGTTCTTTGATTTTGCTTTCCTCTTCAGATGAGAGCTCAGAAGATTGTACCTTTTCCTTCTCATCTTCTTCGTTTTTCGTTTGTTGATAACCAGTGGATTTCCCATTCGATCCCGACTCCTCACTCCCAGAAGATTCTGTAGTTTCAGTTGCATTAGAAGTTGACTGGTTAGTCTCAGGCAATTCACCATTAGAATCAGAAAACCCCTTCTCGCCTTCTGACTTATCACCAGTCTTTGAATCCGACTCACTCTTTATCTCGTGTTGCTCACCATCATCACTACCAATCTCCCCATTCTCAGTTGTGTTCGAAGAGACTTGTTTAATAACAGAACCCTCCAATACTTCATTCTTTGGACCCGACTCATCTTCATGGAAACTAACACTCTCAGTTCTGTTAGATTTAGTCTCTTCCTCAACTTCAACCTTTCCATTGCTCTTCTCCTCCGTCCCATGCACTACCTCACTCGACGCATCATCTCCTTTGTAATTGATCTCCCTAGCTTTCTCATTACTTATCCCATTCCCACCTTCACTCTCATCAACCACCTTCACTCTTTCTCCATTATTTGAATCCTCGTTTCCCTCTTCATTCTCGGTACCTTCGTTTCCCTCTTCATTCCCGGTACCTTCAATTTCCTTCTCGTTATTCTCTTCTACCGCTTTCTCCTCACCTCTTTCCTCCTCCCTCTCTACAATCTCATCGCCATTCTCCTTATCAGTACTTGAGTCTCCTCCTTCATTCTTGCTCCCTTCTTCATCTTTCACATCTTTCGACTCCTCGATACGCGGTTTAAGATCTTTCCTACCAAGATTAACCACTTGATGATCCTCAACAACAATCTTTGAACTCTCTTCAAACTCAGATTTCTTCTCATGTGAATGCTTCATTTGATAAATCAGCCATATCCCAACACCAAGCAACAGAGTCAATTGAATACAATGCTTCACTTTAATTCCCTTTGATCTCTGCCCTCTTCGTGGCGTTCTCACCATTCTTCTTCTAACTTCTCTACTGCCAAAATCAAAACCTAATTCGTATCAAAATAACCCAAAGATCATCAATGAAATCAATCAAGAGCTCAAAGAATCGGATTCGCCGAAAAAATTATCTAAAAATTTCCAAATTTGTGCGATGCATTATAATTCAAATAATCGCCACTAGTTATATCAACAAAACGGCGGAAAAATCCGAGGAATGGAAAATTACCTGGAAGAAGTTGAATTTGCGAAATACAAGTTCTGATTCAAAGCAGAGAGGTGTGAACGCAGAGAGTGAGTTCTTGGATCTGGAGAAGAAGAAGAAGAGTAGACGAATTCAAATCGTGTATTCCTTCAATTAATCAATTGCAAACTAATTCCACTTGGGAATATTTTAGTAACAGCATACATATCTGCAGAGATGACTTCAAAACGACTTCGTTTATTAGTTCTTTTACTTTTCCGCTGACTTCAAAACGACGTTGTTCCTTCAGTCTTTTTCTCCGATGACTTCAAAACGACGTCGTACCTTTAAGAGCTTTTTTTATGGACTACCAAACGATGTCGGATAACATGTACTCGAGACTCGAGACTCGAGACTTGAGTCTTGTAGAGACATTTGTAATTTTGTATAGGTCTCGTATAAATTTTTCAGTAATGCATTGTAACACTATGATGCTTAGTATAGTATTGAATATTGATCTATATGATGACTAGGATTTGTAACATTTTTATTTAGTTTTCTTACTTTTTGGTTATTTTAGTTTATTTTATATTTTGTGTATATTTTGTATGGTGGTTACATTTTTGTGTCCATCTCATTTAATAGATAGATTAAAAAAGTTGTAACCCTAACCCATAAATTATAGGACCAGACCGGATTGCACTGCAAGTTTCAGCCCGCATTGACGTTTGTGTGTAATGAGCCTTCGTTAAGGCGTAAATGGTCCCCATGAAAGTGCCCTAACGATGACCTAAATTCCTCCACCCACGCAAAGGTACAGTTTTTATAATATACTGATGCATTATTTTAATTATTTCGTTTATTTAGAATTTAGCATCATATTGTAGTATTGTACGTTTATGATAATATTATCCGACTAATTCTAGGATAAAACGAATCTCCAACATTATGCCGAAAACAATTTGCGGATTTGTAATAATAAAAAAAAAAATATTATTGTCGATTTGTTTAAAATGGATTAATTTGCACAAATGTACAATGGAAACCCAAAAATAAAGACTATTTATAGTCGAAAAAACATTTGCAATTTCATCAACCTAAACAAATTATTTATACGAATATTTTATTAAAGCCTTAATGATATTTCATATAGTGTTATTATAGTACGTACTATATTGGCATGCAGGTTTTCTTTGCTTCATCTATTGTAAGCTTTCAACGAATTTAAGAACCCATCATAGCTCTTTCAAAATTCCCATCCCGTGTAAGCTTTAAACAATATATGATACATGAGTTTGATTTTTGATGGTATAATGGTACAAATGTCATGGCGGTGGTTATACCATAAATTCCATGTATCATCAAGGTATGTGTGTATGTTACATGTATAATTAACCACAGATGTATCCACTAATAACGTAGACTCGAGAATTTTTTGAATATTGGTGCATAAAACATTTGAGATGTTGACAAAAAAAAAAGAGACTTTTTGAGATGTATTGGCTATTGCGTGTGCATACATATTCATATTCACTATCCAAAATCAAAACTGGACCACTGGAATCTCCTTGATCACCTTTTTGTCCTTGTAAGTTTTGTCTTCAACTCTTTGAAAATAACTATTCTCTGCATTTATTCTAAATATAAGTATACAAATATAAGTTTTTTCCCCAGAAAAATATCAATATTTAAACTATATCTTGTAAATTACTAGATATATAATGAAACAAGATATATATTATAACCAATTAACCATCTCATATATTATTATGAACAAAGGCCTGTGTCGTACAAGAACAATGAATGAGGTATGGAGCAATTGACGTCAAATAAGATCATTGAAACAGAGAAAGAGATTATTATCGATATGTCCAAAATGCTTCCACGTGACTGTACCTTGTCAACTCTGTGCTTTAACGATTTCTCTCCAATGCATAAATCTCTAAACCTTTTTTTATTTATTTTCTCTGGTCTTAATACTTATTTTCAAAAATGTTTCCATGGTTCCAAGGAAGTGATGCAACAGGGAAGAGATCCAAAACAGTTAAGTAAACGGTAAGAAGCAGAAACAAAAAGAGATCGGAATGGCCAAAGTATTTTCGCTTTGGAACTCTCATTTTTTTTCCTTCTTTGTTGTTTCTTATTTTGAGTCTTTTCATTTTGTCACTTTGCTTTTAATGGTTTTCTCGATCGTGATACAATGTGCAATCAATAGTCTCCAAACAAAATGCATTTTTCCCAATTCCAAAAACTTTTTTTTAGCGAAATAATAGTGTTTTGAGATCTGTTGGTACACATATATTAAAATATTTGAATGGCACAAAAATTTAGCACAACCCCAAAGTATTCGTAACTAAGAAGTTTTGGTGAAGGATTAACAATGGTAAAATGCTCCGCCTTCGAGATACCAAAATCAAGAAGAATTTACGACAAAACATTCATTTTAACATTTTTGACAAAAAAAAAAACATTCATTTTAACTACGATTTTGAGACTCTAGCAGATCGCAAACTAGCTGAGAATACAAAACTTTGTTTTTGGAATTCAACTACTGAAAAAGTTATGATATGTTTTTGGAATGAGTCTTGTATAAGTACAACAGTATTTTCCATTGACCTTTGGATATTAGCATAATGTGTACAATAGTATATAAGTTAGATGTATAGAAGATACTATTACATAAAATATTCGGAGCGGCGTTGTCATTGAGAAGATTAGTTCAAGCAGTAGCATGGTGGCAGTGTACCGACTTTGATTGACACTTGAGTCTCCACCAAATTCCAAATATGTATTTTTTATTTTTATTCAACTATATTTGAATTGCATTATTAAGTAATAAATGAAATGAAAACAAAAAAATAGTAAAGTCATTCAAAGGAAGAACAGTGTAGAGAATCAAGACTGTTTGCTTTGCTTGATTTGTGAAATTAGTAAACCCCACACAAAGACACATCTTCTCTTCTTTTGTTTTGTCACTTCTCTTCCTCTCTTTCCATATGTTCAATCCCATCAACTCTCACACTCTTCAATTTTCTTTATGAATAGGCTTTGTCCAATCTCATATTAAGTTCGACTAGTTTATATTCCAAATGTTAAATCTGACTTAAAACGAACAAAATGCTTTAAGTAGAAATTGATCATTGGCTTTAAGTAGATATCTTGATGATTTGATTGCTATACTATCATCATTTGGTAATATTACATTTTCTAGGTTTTATTCTTTACATATATCATATCATTCTACATGTACAGTAAAATGTGTATTTTTTTTTTACCATGGCCCAGGTTTTACTGTTTCTTTGAAATTTTCGCTTTGGAAAATAATTGAAATATGGACGATAGTTTCAGTACGATTATATCAATTCAAAGTAGTACAGATTTGGTTATGATTTTTCTTGCTGTTTTATCAGATTTTTAAAAATATATAACTAATAAATCCCAAAAAGAACTCTACTGAAACATGTACTAGGACACAGAAAATCACCAGTGGTCACTAATTAAATTAATCATTAAAGAAAGAAAAAAATAAGTACAACCCAAAATCCAATGTGAATGAAAACGGCGACGTTCGAAGAAACGACAGCAAAGCGGCTGAATTTTTGTCTATCGGCTAATGGATTTATGTATCAAACGTATCTTTGTCTCTCTATTAAACCAACAAATATTTTCATACATAAATTTCACATATATATGTATGTAGATGCATACGTACGTGCGTGATGTAACTTTCATCCATAAAATTGGTATTTGTCAGAAATCGTCTTGAAAATAGGTTTCCGTGCGTTCTGTTTACGATGTCTAAAAGATTTTTACTTTAACAATTAGTAATAAAATTATAACAAATCATTTTGGATAAAGCAAATTTTTATTCATCTCTGTTTTTTTTGTTAACTACACTATAATAAACAACAACACCATAATCAGTCACACAGAATTACCATAAAATCTGAAGATTACAACTAAAATATGTTTGACCCGAAAAAAAAACAACAAAATTATAGATATTTACACAGAGATTTTAGAATTTGAACCAAAGAAAAAAAATGTAGAAAAAGTAAAGAAATGTTCTTCAAGGGTTGTAGATAGAGTTACCACATTTGCATTTCCAGCTCATGGGTTTGTAATTAGTACTATCATCTCCTCTGGTGTAATCAAGATGAATAATCTCAGAGGAAGAAGAAGAAGTGGTAAAAGGTGAGTGAAGCTTTGTTTGAGGATTTGTAGGAACTTGAATTGCTTCACAATGACCACAAGAACGACATCTCACTCTCTCACATCTTGGTGGTCTTGATCCTATTAGACCTCTCATCATCATCTTCTCATCTTGATCTCCACTCTGTTCCAAATCAAAGAACTTTTAAGTACAGTTTGATTCTTGTTTTAGTAGAGAAAAAAAAACAGAGGAAGTTCAAAAAGTGTACCTTGGTGAATTCGACTGAGTTTGGCTCTGGTCTACCTGAAAAATGTCATAAGAAGTAAAAGAATAAGATTATGAAATAAAATTTTGTTTGAAAATAAGGAAATGTGACATTGACCCATTTACTTACCATTAGCCATTAGACTGAAATGGGTCGAATTAAGAATGAGCAAAATCAGTAGAAAGCTTGACATTTTGCTGCTCCACACCATTTTCAGACACAAGATCGGTTTGCAGTTTACAGGAGAAACAATTAGACTTTCTCTCTCTCACTTCTATTCTCACTCTCTCTATCTGTCTCTCTCTCTCTTTCTCTGCGTTTTGATGTGTAGAGGAAGAAAGATTTGTAAGTAAAGAAGAAAAAGGAAAGTGACTACCCTATGAAGGGCAAATAAATTTTTCCTAAAGAGTACTACACGCATGGATATATCATATTTATACACGTAATCGTTTTATATACTCCATGAGTTGACATAAATAATAATGTCTTTTTATGAATATTATTATACATACTTTTTTTGTATCATCACATCATCAAAGATTTTTCAGTATGTATTAAACTATTACAGAGTCAGTATTTGAATAAGAAACAAACAAAAATATGTCGGGACCTCCATAGTTATGGTATATAAATACAAGGTAATTTAATTTTCTTGAAATAATTAACGGTAGTCAGATTCTATTAACGTGTATGTATGTATTGATTGATACGTATGTCTACAAGACTACAAGAGTCGAATAAAACAAGAACCAGGTGAAAAGGAAATTACGTAGGTACAAAAGAGCAGGATGAATAATTAATTTTAACGTAAAAAGAACAGTTATAATGTTAAATACTTAAAGCCGAAAGCCAAAAATAAAATCAAAATTTTGAAGACGACAAAATTGATAAATATATTTTTTCTTGTTTTAAAAGTGACAATACAATACACACAAACAAAAAAAAATAAAAGGAATTTAGTTGTTTTCTTTGACAATACAAAAAAAAATAAAAGGAACTGACGTTCCAATCAGGCAATCACAAGCTGCTCCGATATATTTTTTTTAAGTATTGCTAAAATATTATCTATAAGAATTATATTTTTCATAATTGTTTTTAAAAAATGTAAGTTGCTTTTTGAGTTCTGGTTTCTGCGGTTTCTTGTGGTAATAGACTGACTGGAGCAGTAGAAGGGACCCTACTTCACCTGACCGACCAATACCGTGCCTCTTTGCCTTTTCGTATTCTTCTAACCAAAAACTTATATATATGTGTAAAATTATGGGTTATTATATGTTATTTAAAATATTCATATAGAACTGTGTCAACACGTTTCGCTCACTCTTCCCAATTTCTTTTTCCAATGATTAAATCAATTATATGCTCAATGGCTATGTCCAGTTAACCGCTGTTAAACAATTTTATGATATTTAAAATACTTCAATTTTTTTAAAAAACATGTTTTCAGAATATTTTTGAAAGATGTTGTTTCTTCATAATTAATTTTATTTTGTATTCACAACAATACAACATCATGAACGATACTAAGCACATTTGTTGTGGGCTGCATATTCCTTGTGCAACAATCACAATTTTAGCAGCTTCATTTAAGTTAAACCCTTTAACCAAAAGAAAAAAATCATTTAAATTGAAGTTATCATGCAAGTAATATTTGTCTCTGTTGGGCATACAAAGTATGGCCCCTGATTGTATAATTAAGTTGAAGAAAGCCCATATACGAAAAGCCTATTATGGGCATATTCTCACTTTCTAAAGGCCCAATAGATTCAGCAGTTACATTAGAGTTATACAATCCCACAAAATTTGTTTTTAGGTGCAGAAAATTATCATTTTAAAAAACTTTAAAATATGTTTACCAAATCGACTATTAATGAAAAGATAACTACTGTACTAGTGTTTTTCTGTTATCTGGAAAAATAGTAAAAAAGTTTTTTTTTTTTTTCCGATAAGCTCTAATCATTTTATTGTCGGCCGTGTTATGTACTATTTTAAACAAATACGACAAGGAAAAGGTGGCAAAGGGATGAAAAAGGTGGGTATCATATTAAATAAAATATAATGCGAAAGTTAAAATAATTCAAAGACATGACATTAAATTTTTTTTTTTTTACATGACATGACATTAAATTTGAGTCAAATAGAGCTTTGTTTCATGAAATTTATGGAGTCCGTCAATTTCTTATCCATAGTTCTTAGTTGCATGTGGGTTTGTCCAATGTTGTGTGTCCTTCTAAATTAACTAGACTTAATTGTTTTGATAACAATTGTTTTCATGCAAAAATTCCAGGGTGTATTTACATTGTTAGACATGGTAGCTTAACATAACCAAAATATTGCATCAAACGAAATGTGTGAGTTTAATCTTGCCAATTAAAAATTGCAAAAGTCGAGGAATTAGCCAATCAAATATTATTGTCTCAACAGTCATGTCTAGAGCGAATTAGCCAATCAAATATTATTGTACTACAAATGACACTAGAATGCGAAATTGCCTCATAGAATCTTTGGTTTTCTTAACGATGTTTACTTTAAAGATGTTTTCTAGCTGGGACTAATACTGAGTGAGAAATTACATAAATGAAGATGGGGATATGAACTATTCATTGAGCACGACTTGTGTGGTGTGGATAAGGAAATGAAACCTAATATTCATGAATTAAACATAGACACATCCCTACTCTCACGCCTCTCCACATTTAACAACTTTCATTTTTTTATTTTCATATTAGAATGTTCATGCACAATCATAAATACTTCACACTCACTCTCATTGATTAAAGCAATAATGTATAATTTCTTGGTAAAAAAACAACCAAAACATGTAAAAATTATTAAAATTACGAGTCGAATTTATCATCTCGCATGGGAACAAAATAAACTGTTTATGCCTAATGAAACCTCTTTGTGTATAATAAACGAATATTCATATTTATTTAAGAAAAATATGATCTAAGAAAGGATCGTGTGGCGACAAAAGAAGAAAATCTAAGAAGAATCTAAAGATACGACGATCGTATCATATTTGCGAGTTATAGCAGAGTAGTGTAAGGACGAGACGTGTCCCAATGAGATCTCACCACGCCTTTCAGTTATGTACACTGGGAAATTCCTATGCAATTCAATCATTGTGAGGCTGAGAGCCAAGCAAATATTTTAACTTAATAATGTGAAATAGTTTTAGGAGATAGTACAAAGAATAAAATTGAATTCTAATAACAAAAAAAGAGTGAAAGAACAGTAAGATTTGGGAAAGAAAACAAGATATATTCAGTGAATAATAAAAACAATAATAGAAAAGTGGTAGGTCCAAAATCATTGTGACAAATCGATCAGTGATTAGCTGTACTGAAAATCTAAGCTCTAAATGAGACCTTCCTCAATAATTGTATATACATTTGCCTGCATGCGTCTCTATATAAATATGACTTCGATCTTCTAATTTCAAAAACAAACTCATCATCATAAGCAACAATGGTGGTGTCACTCTTCTCTTCAAGAAATGTTTTCTTTACGATAAGCTTATGCTTATTTGCAGCATTGTACCGGCCGGTTTTGAGTAGACCGGCTAAGTTTGAAGATGACTTTAGGATCGCATGGTCCGATACTCATATCACTCAAATTGATGGTGGAAGAGCCATTCAGCTTAAATTGGACCCTAGCTCAGGTTCTTACATACGTTATACTAAATTACATTTCAAAGATAATATCCATTTTGCATTCATATACTTTATTTTATTTTCATTAATATTGGTTTAGGATGTGGATTTGCTTCGAAGAAGCAATACTTGTTCGGCCGCGTGAGCATGAAAATCAAATTGATTCCCGGTGATTCGGCCGGAACTGTCGCTGCCTTCTACGTACGTAACTATATATACAAATATTTCAAGTTTGTGTTAATTACTGCAATTTTTAAAAAGGTTTGATTAAATATAAAACTAATTTGCGCAGATGAATTCAGATACCAATTCTGTACGAGACGAGCTTGATTTCGAGTTCCTAGGAAATCGAAGTGGACAACCTTACACAGTACAAACCAATGTGTTTGCTCATGGTAAAGGCGACAGAGAGCAAAGAGTTAACCTTTGGTTCGACCCTTCTCGTGATTTCCACGAATACGCCATCTCATGGAACCATCTCCGTATCGTGTAAGCCAAATGATTTTGTATATATATAAATACATCTACATACAATTATTCTTTACATTCTCTGTCTAATTATTAAAAGGAATGTAAGATATAGTTGATCAGTAGTGAGAAATTAAACAATAATTTTGTACTATAAGATTCGTTTAACTATTCTTGTCTTTTCATATTGTCACGAGAGACATGATTGGCTTCATATTTTGTCGGCCCACGGGCCATGTATTAAGAGAATGAAAGAGACAGCATATTTGTTTTGGAGGCATTCATAATTTGTAAGGTCCCATATATATTTTTAATAATCCATTAGCCATTAGTTTCTAAGAAAAAAGACAAATGATCAAAGATACGGTTCTATTTGCAATAATATATGTAGAATTAATATCCATTTTCTAATCGTCTAAATATGTGTGGTGTGTAGGTTCTACGTAGACAATGTGCCCATTAGGGTTTACAAGAACAATGAGGCAAGGAAAGTACCGTACCCAAGATTTCAACCAATGGGTATATATTCCACGTTATGGGAAGCCGATGATTGGGCGACACGTGGAGGAATAGAGAAAATCAATTGGTCGGGAGCGCCATTTTATGCTTACTACAAAGATTTTGATATAGAAGGATGTCCGGTTCCGGGACCGACGTATTGTCCTAATAATCCGAAGAATTGGTGGGAAGGAAGTGCGTACCACCAGTTGAGTCCGGTGGAAGCTCGAAGTTATAGATGGGTCCGAGTGAACCATATGGTCTACGATTATTGTACCGACAAATCTCGTTTTCCTGTTCCACCTCCAGAATGCTCGGCTGGAATATGATCCAACATTATTGTCTTAAAAGTGCCAAGTGGTTCCGTAAGAAATGTTGCAATGTATGTGAAGTGATTAATGAGTCTTGTGGTATGTGGTGAACTAATTGATCTGATTGTGGTCAAATGTTCATATGTCTTTGAGTATTACTTTGTTTTCATTGTGTCTTATGTTTTATTGATCTTTTCATTGTGTCTTATGTTTTATTGATCTATTGAATAGAGAACCATGTTTGTTTCTCGTTGGAGTGGTATTTTGGCCTTCGTTTAGGTATGAAACAGTTTCATATGGATAATTCAATCTAATATCATAAGAGAAAACAAATCAATATTAAACTAAAATACATAAATAATGAGAATGATAGTATTGAGTATTAAGAAACCTGAAGTATATTTTTTTGTTAGACCATCCTATCTTATTATATAAAGTATGGTTTTCAAAGTTATTAACTCATAAGATTGTGCCACCACGTGTTAACTTTATCTATCTTAGAATTTGATAGGTGTAAACTAAATTTTTCTTTCTATTAATTTTAAAACTATAAAAAATAATTGGAATAGTGAAATTTAACATGATGCCTAGGCCCGGTTAGTTTTCGACGTTTTAAAAATTAAAACTTAAACTAAATTTTAAAAAGTAATAGTGGAATTAACATGATTTTAGTTAAAAAAAAATATTAATTATTTTCTTAAAATTTATTTGTTAAATTTGTTTTAAATTTTAGTGAAAATCATTATTATTTTTTAAAAATGAGTTTAAGTGTTAAATCTATATTACGTGAAAACATGCCGAACTTCGAACAACAAAGCTTACGAACCAACTAAGGACATGATGTGTAGGCGCGGTTAGTTTTCGACGTTTTTAAAATCTAACACTTAAACTAAATTTTAAAAAGTAATAGTGAAATTAACATGATTTTTGTTAAAAATTATTTATTATTTTCTTAAAATTTATTTGTTAAATTTGTTTTAAATTTTAGTGAAAATCATTATTATTTTTTAAAAATGAGTTTAAATGTTAAATCTATACTACGTGAAAACATGCCGAACTTCGAACACCAAAGCTTACGGACCAACTAAGGACAGGATGCCTAGGCGCGGTTAGTTTTCGACGTTTTTAAAATTTTTTTTTTTTTTTTTTTGTCAACCACACATTAATTAATAAAGAACTCCTTGATTGGTTGCCCAACCACACGTTTTTAAAATTTAACACTTAAACTAAAATTTTAAAAAGTAATAGTGGAATTAACATGATTTTAGTTTAAAAAAAGTATTAATAATTTTCTTAAAATTTATTTGTTAAATTTGTTTTAAATTTTAGTGAAAAACATTATTATTTTTTAAAAATTAGTTTAAGTGTTAAATTTATATTACGTGAAAACATGCCGAACTTCGAACACCAAAGCTTACGGACCAATTAAGGACAGGATGCCTAGGCGCGGTTAATTTTCGACGTTTTTAAAATTTAACACTTAAACTAAATTTTAAAAAATAATAGTAAATTTAACATAGTTTTAGTTAAAAATTATTAATTATTCTCTTAAAATTTAAGTGTTAAAATTTTTTAAAGTTTTAGAATTAAAGAAAATTGTTACTATGTTTATGATTAAAAAAAAAAGGTAAGAAAGGAAAATACCTGGAGGTTGTGAAATCCTGTGTGAATGTCCAGCTCCTCTGCTCTCTCACAAACCTCTGGAGTTAACGAATGAAGAAGAAGCGCACGTGGGCCCAGTCATGGGCCAGAAACAAAATAAAGAATTGGGCCCAAAAGAGACAAATAGACAAAGCCCAACATCAAGTCATCATCTTCAATCGAGAAGAGGAGGACTGGTTTTGCACAACAGATTCACGCCGTTGACACAGAGGACCCGAAGCCATCTTGTCGCCGTTAATAGCATGTCGATCAACTTGGTCACATATCTCAAGATTAACGACAGATTATCACGAACCTCTCTTCGTTATCCTCTTTTTCCTCCGGTGAAATCTTTACGGTGGCTAGATCATTATCCAGTGACGAGAGAGGGTTGACGTACGGAGATCATCAATCAATCAATGAAACGATGCTTTCCGCTCCGATCAATCTAACTCTTACGGATCATGTTGCAGAGATCATCATCATCATCGGAATTCACATTCGCTCGAGAAGAGAAGAAGATGAAGAAGCGAGAATTAGAGAGTTTTGATTTTATTTCTCTCAAGGAAGAAAGAATTTGAAGAAGCTGCGAAAGAGAGTATTTTTTTTTATCTATAAGCAAAAGTGTTAATTAGGTCTAATCTCAATCGATGGATCAATGTTATATATACACAAGAGAAATTACAATAGAGCCGTTGGAGGTAATTATGTTTCTTTATTTTAATACAAAGAGGTTCAAAAGAAAAAAGGAAATTGAGATGTCAATTTCATTTTCTTTTCATCGGCTTTATTTTTTTATGAAACCAAAACTAGTCACTAGTGTATTAACTTGAATTTAATATTCGTTTTTCTTTTCCTCTACTCATAAATTTGTTCTATTTTGTCGTCGAAAAAGAAAAAGAAAATAAAATCTAAGTCTTCATGATAGGGCTTATTATTGGTCACCTGGGTCTGAAAAACTACTCTCGTCTTAATGGGCCTGGTCTTTCCGTCGTCTCTTTAACAGTATTATCTTGGCCTTCGAGGCAATAATATGCTTTGAGGTTTTCATATAGTCCGGTCGATCCAATTTCATATATTCCTGTCGCAATTTAGGATTTGAAAAATTTAGGGTTTAAAACTAAAGAAAAACAAAAGTAGGCTTAGATTTCAGTCTGATTCATGGGTGATCACTGATCAACCATGCGAGAGCCAGTCAAATTAGGTTTGATCCGTCAAACCCATTTTTTTTGTTTTACTTTTTGTAGTTAGCCTGGTCCGTAAAATTACCAAACCAATCTGAATTCTAAAGGTTAAGATCAAACATGGAATAGTCCGTATGTATGTATAAAAGTTGCTAAAATTAAAGTGTCTTAGCCTTTTGTTGATATTGATGGCAAGAAAAACAAAGCCAACGATGCAGATGGCAAAAGATGATGATTGTGATGATAAAAATGATGGTAATTAATGGGGTTTTTAGATGAGGCCAGCGTCAGATGGCTACAAAACAGGGTTTGATTTGATTAAAAAGTAAAGTATGGGATAAATCAGCGAAAAGATAAGATTACTGGGGTCCATTAGAGATAATTGGAATGGTCCAAATTTGTAACTTTCTGGGAACGAATTGATGAGTGATGACTAAGCTAATGCCTTTTCTTTTCTTTTAAATACAACTTGAAACTTCCATATTGACCTGTTGTTTGGCTGTATCCATCTTTTATTAAATGTTTATAACAAAAGAAAATATAGCGATAAGGAAATGAAAAGTGATGATGTAATTTGATGTAACACAAACTATACTGCAACAGCTCAATATACTGTATCTTTTTAAAGTCGAGAGACTTGAGACAAATGTTAATTTGTGAAAGCCTTTTCCTTCACCGTCTCTCTTTTTTTTTTTTTGGATCTTTTCTCAGTTTCTTTAACTGTTTATCTTAAAAAAAATGATAGCAAAAAAAAAAACTAATTATATATTTCTTCCTTACTGATCAACACTAATCATCGATTTCGTTATCAGATTGGGATTTTGCGGTATACATTAAGTACTTTTGTATTCGAAAAGGATTTTCATATAGTTATATTATACTCCCTCTGTTCCTAGATATTTGATGTTCTAGAGTTTTAGTTTGTTCCACAAAGTTTGATTTTTTAGGTTTTTGTTTTATTTTTTATTAATTAAAATTAATATATCGTAAACTTCGAGACGTAATGATTAACTGTTTTCTAATACTATTGGTTCAAAGTTATTAAAAAATATTTAGTATAAAAAAGTAATTGACAAATAATTAAACAATGATTGTTTCTTAATATATGTGAAAACTCTAGAACATCAATTTTCTAGGAACAGAGGGAGTAATGTTTTGTACTCAAGTTTCGTTAATTAAGATTTAGACGTATCTTTTAACTATGAATGTATCTGAAAAGACAGTTAACTATTGTAAGGGTGTGATCATTAGAGGAACATCCACGTGTACCAAAAGAAGAATGTTCCACGTGTCAATTTGATGACTACCGGAAAAAATGATTTGACCATGATTAATAGAGCATGTGATGCGATGGAAAATGAAACTCATAAGACCCGCGTGTTATTTGGAGATTTTGTCACATGAAACGATCACTTAAATGCATGCAATCTTTTATTAAAGTTTTTTTTTTTGTTAAATCTTTTATTAAAGTTTGTTTTTAGTTAATTGAAAGTCGTGAATGGTTTTTTGTAAACTATGTTTTTTTAATTATGTTCAACTTAAACTAAAATTATATAACAACTAGTCCTTTGATATATGTACGTAAGAAAGTATATATGAATACCAAAATTAATATAGATCTTTTAACAGAAAACAACAAAAAGCTAGAGAACGTATATAATTGACAAAAAGTCCGGAGGATGGGAAACAAAATCACATGGTTCTCCACATTATATGCATCAATCAATTACTTAAAAAAGGTTCAAAGTTCTTTAATATGGTACATGACAAGTGAAGCAAAATGGGCACACACTACTGCTTTTCAATATCCTCTATTATTGAAAAATTTAAACCCATTTCGTGGACAATAACTACAATGCATGTATAGATAGGCTTTTAAACTAGCTCTATGTTGATAGATATCTAGTCAACCCGATAATATATGGTCTACGATACATAATTGGAACACATTTTTTTGATCTAGTAGAACAAAAACACTTTGGAGCACCCATTACATGGGTTCGAACCTAACATTATTTTAGTTGCTTGTATGATATATTTAAAGTTAATTTTCGGGGGAAAACAAATAGTTTACTGAAATATATTCAAGGTTGTCTACCAACCTTTAACTAACACGCGCAATGGTGCGTCTAGAGACGTGCTGAGCAACCAACGTTGATTAGCTTATTTGCTTTAATTAAGCCTCTTATTAACCTCTTATATAGTTAGGTATCAAGTCACCTTTTAATTGATTAATATTTATATAGAATAGAACTGTTGTGTAGTTAAATTATACGTGTGTTAGTGTGTATATGACTAAAGGATTTTGGGTGCGACTGAAATAAATATGTACAACTGCATAAGGCCACCACAAGTTACATATACTACTAGACTGTCGACAAAATCAAATTAAGTAATGATTAAATTAAAGTGCAAAAGTAAAGCAAAAGTGTATATACTATATTTTTTTTTTTGTTACAGAAAAGAGTATTATATTGATATTGGTAAGATAACGCGTAGAAAGATTAGCTATGAGCCTATGACACGAGAGTTGTTATGTTAATTTATGTTTGTTTGTAATAGCAAATTAGTAAACGAATTAACATTCGAGATATAAAAAATGACTATTTGTTTTTGGAGTCTTCTACCGAATTCATGCCTAGTGATTAAAAGTAGCAGTACGTTTAAAAAATTAAAAGTCGGGAACAAGAATTCGACAAACCGACAATTTAACCAGCAACTGACACATGTTTTTTGCTGTTCTTAATACACTAATTACGTTCGTGCACACGTAAAGCAAATCTAGTATCAATCATTAAAAGAAACAACCCAAATAATTAGTCACCTACATAAGTAAAATAATTAAGAATGACAAAGAATACTAATTTTAATATACACTCATATTCAAAAATAAAATACATATCGTATTCGTCGCATACATTTAACTATTTTCGTACCGATTGCGGCCGATTAATACGTCTCATCATAATCTTACCGGCCTATTAAAAAGTCTTTTATTCTTGCTTGATTGAGCGATTTTTTTTGGTCAAGTGACCACGTATATTTTTGAAAAGAGAATACTAATCTTCTAAGTTTGACTTCGTCAAATGCTTACAATTAAATAATATTTTCTGTTAATTCAATTATGAACCTTCACTTGCCACTATGCATGTAAGTTGTAGATCACGTAATGAATATTTATAAATTAGATAACAGCAAAAAAAGTTAGTTCACATAAAACAATCGACAGCAAAACTGAAAGGAAAAAAAAAAAAAAAATTGATCAACAAGAAAAATTGATTAAAAATATTGTGTATACTGTATATGCTTATGAAAATCTTTTTTAAAAAAGGAAATATGAAAAGGAAAGAGTAGATATATAAGTAACATAGACATATTAATATAGCTTTCACTATTGTTAGGTTTTTTTAAGACATTATATATCATAATTGTGTTGGAAATGACTGTAATGATATTATGATAATGAGATCCATAGAACATAGGACAGGAGAGGGAGGGAGATGGGTTCATTTACTGGAATCTTATTTGATTATTTGCGTTTACATTTAGTTTTATATATTGCATTTTTGTCTCTAGTGGACTCATAATTATAAACATGTAAACAACAAATGTTTACTTGTTGTGATAAAATCACCAAACTCGAAGGGGAAAAAAAGATATTTTAATTCTCATTTCTGTAACATTTGTATTAGACATGAATCATGATGAAAATAATTTTTTTTCCCTCTTATTTACGTTGAAAATAAAATAATTTTTCTTCCATTTGCCATGGGCCCCAGTGGCGGATCCACGGCATACGTGGGGTGGGCAAATGCCCTATACTCTTTTATTTTTTCAAGTAATTTTGTTATACACTACAATAGTCCACGTTAACAATACACAGAAAACAACATTAAAAATGCCATATTAACCAATTAAAAAAGAAAATGTGTTCTCAGCCCACATAAATGCTAACAAGTGAGAACGTTAGTTATGAGATATAATATGAGGTGTCGTTGGGCTAAACAAATTTTAAACGATTGCTTAGTTTATTTTGTTAAAACATAATATTGTCAAAATAACATATGAGATAGTAATGAAAATATTTCAAAATATAGAAGAAAGTAAGATAAATTTGAAAAACAAAATTATATACTGATGTAAAAAATATTGTGCCCCGGGTTAAAATATGTTCTGGATCCGCCCCTGATGGGCCATGAGTGCAAACCTGTTATTCTATTTTTCCCCTCTTTTTATAATTGAAGGAGACTCCTTCAAGGACTATTTATCTTTCCATTATTCTACTCTTTGTATTTTTCTCGTCATTTTACTCTAATACCCTAGTATCAATAACACCCTTAAGTCCGGATGTAGCATTATGGGATAAAACTATATTTGGACTAAACAAATTTTTTTGTTTTTTTTTTGTCGTCAGGAGTCAGGACTAAACAAATTTAAACGAAAGAAATATAGAAAAGAGAAAAAAAAAAATGAAATTAGAATTGAGTTTCCGAGAAAGTCACCGATTTCTCCGGAAAGTCATCTCATCATTAAATGGTCCACCACCATAATTTCAGGGTCACCGATCTTATGATTTTCTTGTGGACTCTCTCGTCATCTCATCCATCCCCCATCATCACGCATGCATTACATTCTATACGAAAATTTCTATTATTTTTTTTGTCAAAGACGAAAATTTCTATTTAATTTTATAATATTTTCTCGAACAAAAGCAACAAATTTATTTTGACACCCTTATTTTTTCTTCTTCCACATACATATTATTACTTTAGACCTGACTAGATTACATGTTTAGCTGAAAAAAAAAAAAAAACTGAAAACTCTTTATTCTCAAATTTGCTAAAAGATTATAAATTAGAATTTTTCTTTTCTTTTCTCATTCTCGCTATTTACTGTTGCATGCAAACATATTACTTGTGGAGATCAAATCTCAACGCCATATCTTCGAGACTTCGACGTCCTTTAACACAACCTAGAAATTCAGTGATTTATTTAATGTTAGTCGCGATCAATGTCAGCTTTTATTAATTGGATATACAGTATACTACATACGACAATTAATTGAAAATTAAACGGTTCGAGTAAAGATATTCTAGTAACAAAAACATAATTTTAAATTAAATTGTACTCCATATCTTGTGCATGTACGTGTTGAAGTTGGAAGATTCATGAACAGATTATGTATAGTATATGTGTGTTCGTGAATCACGTAATTACTTTATGAATATCTATCGTTGTCATTTTCATAAATATGTTAATTAATACGTCTCGTTGTCATGTATTCATTTAAAACCATGAAAATACGTGTATAGCAAATATGGGTATAACATGAAGAGTCATATAATTTAATCCCACACATCTATAACATGGTCGTGAGAAGAAAAATGAAGAGAAAATCACGTGAAGCATGTCCCACCTTACCTCTTAAAGATATAGCATCTCACTGCTTCAAATCTTCAAGAACTTTTTATTTATTATTTATTGTTAGTTTTTTTTTTTTTTTTTTTTGTCAAAGTTATTTATTGTTAGTTTTTATTTCCATTTTTATATTTTTCACAAACGTATCTTTTTAGTAAAAATAATAGAGTTCTTTTCTTTGCAACTAAGCTTTGTAATACGATGATGATATTTTTGTTTGTTTATTGTTGTTGTTTTGGATAATATTTGACTACATATGTGAACACGTTTTTGCATGGTGAGTATTTGTTCTTCAAATTTGTCAGTTTTATAGCTTTTTCTATAGCTTTTTTTTGTTGTTAAATTTATTTTCCTGTAATTTTATTATAATAATTGGTTGGATAAATTTAAATGGTTTAAGGAGATGTATCAATACACGTGAGCTAACCTCTTAGCCCCACACCCTTTATCTTTCTCACTTAAATCATTCACACCCATCAAATGATTTTTCAGTTTTTTCTTCTCTTTTTTTTTTCTTTTGGATAATAAAAAAATAAAATCATTATATCTGGAGCCAAAACTAAATGTGATAAGTCAGAAAAAATAAATAAAAAACTAATAAAATGTGAATTTTTGAATAAAATATATTTGGATCTATAATAGATTCTTTTAACTTACCATTTTTTTTTTACACCTTTTCACCTTCGTGAAGTTTTAGGATTCTCCATCTATTTAGTTATACTCATAAGTGGGAAATTTATCTGTGGAAAATTTATCAATCAATTATATTTCCATTTTTGGGTTCGACGGCTGAAAACAAAACCAAGTTGGCACCAATGTCTCATTTAAATGAACGATATTAGTACAGAATAATGGAGACTTAGCTGATTAAAGAAACTCTGAAATTATAAAATCGTTATTAGTCTGATTCTTAACAGAAGGATTCGTGTTTAGTTGTTTACGTCGTTGTAAAGTGTGAACTAAAATGAGAACCCATATTTAGTTATCATTTGACAGTAGAAAATGTTATATAAATATTATACTCGCATGAATGAACAATCATTTGTTAAGGAGGCGTGATAAATCATTACAAACTTGTACAAAATTTATTAAATATAAATATTTATGTTTTTTACAAGCAAAATTATATCACCATAATACATATTTGAAGGAAAAAAAACAAAAGAAGATGGATTAGTAAGTACTATTATCTTCTTCATTTTTTCTCTACAAATTAAAAACTGTAATTACAAACTATTTTTTGCTTCATCAACCAACAATCCCACCGAAAAATAAAGTGGAATCGTTGAAGAGTCTTATCTATAAAGACTATACCCCATTTTCCCCCAATTTGAACGTAATACTTTTTCCCTGGGATTTATCTTCTAACTAATTCCTAATTTGATTCAAGAAACAAAAAAAAATCCCAAAAAAAATTATAACTAATAAGTAACTAACATGCTGCAGAAGGATTAGTGAAAGGGTTATAGAAACGAGGCTTTGTGACGATGGAGAAAGCTCCTTTCGCCGTTTCTCCATCAACCGCCGCCGTACCTCCGCCAACTCCTCCGGCACCTCCACCACCACCGCCGAGTCTCTCACAAGAAGGGCACATAGTCAAAGTCGCCGCCGGCATGTGCATGTAAAAAGGTTGAGACAATTTTAAAGCCTTAAGGTCTTGAAGCTCTTTTTGAAGCCTTCTATTCTCATCCGTTAAAGTCTCACAGCATTTCTTCAAAATCTCACAATCAACTTCTGTTTGCTTTAGTTTTGTCCTGTCCAAATTCAAATTTAATAAAAATAAATTAATTATGATCCAAAATAAAGAAAGAAAATATTATATTTATTAAAATTTCATAAAGTAATCAATTAAAATTACCTAGCTCTCCTGTTTTGGAACCACACTTCAACTTGTCTAGGCCTTAGATTCAGCTGTCTCGCAAGATTTTGTTTTTGCTTCTGTGAATTCATAGAAAAATTAATTAAGGATATGATTAACGTAAATAAGAAGAGATTGATTAGTTTAATTAAGGAAATAATTAACTATATCATACGGGATTAAGGGTGCTATGAAGTTTGAAGCTATCTTCGAGAACAGCAGATTGTTGTTTAGTGAGTCTAAGCTTTTTACGAGCACTAACACCTTCTTCATCTTCATGATCATCACTCACTCTCGAACACACCACTCTCTCCGTCGTCTCCTCCGCCTCTTCTTCTCCGTCGCCGCCGTAGATTTCTCTTTCTCTCTTTACCCTTCCGCTCGAGAAAGATGAGATGCCGCTGTGAGACGAAGTCTGCCGGCAAATTTGGTCCCCGGCGCCGGCAGCAGTCTTGGTCTTGTAACTCTCACCAGAGAGGCTTAGAGTCAACGACGGATCGAGCCTGATGAGACGGTGGTCTACGGTGCCGGAAGATTTCTTGATGGCATGATTGTAATTATTAGGCGTTGGTGAGAGGCCTAAACCAAGAACAAGACCTGTGTTGCATGAATCATCAAGACCCATTTGAATTTTCTCTTCGTATTAATCAAATCTTTGAGATCTTGAGAAGTAATACTATGAAGAAAAAAGTTTTTTTTTTTTTTTTCTGTTAAGAATTTCTTTTGGTGAAGTTTGGATGATTATGGGACGAAATGAAACCAAGAGGCTTCATCTTAAGAAGGAGAAGAGAGTTTTTTTTTTTGTATTTTTGTATTAAAAAAAAAAAAAATTGATGGGTGGGTGGGTGGGTGGCTAATAATTAGAATTAATCAAAGGAATGGATTTATTTTGCTTAGTTTTTTTTAATGGAATTTTTGAAAAAAGAATGTGGGAAATTATGATGGCACAAATTCTCTCTCCTTTTAATTTTCTCACTTACAAAGGTTGACCAAATGAGCACCCCACTTGAAACTATTATTCCCACTTCATAAATTTTCAATATATTTATTTATTGTATACAAATTTATACTCTTAGAATATATTTGTTGTCATACTATTTTCATGGTATAGTTTGAAAATTAGATTGATTTTAGAAAACAAAAAAAATTCAACCGAACTCCGTTTAATCTTTATACAGTACATAATTTAACTGAAACAAATGCAATAAAAAAACATGATTCTAATAAATTTTAGTCTCTCCAAAACTTTTGATTTGTCGTCGGTGGCCAATGACTTTTAAACTCTTATATCCGGATTGATGTTTTGCATTTCCTAATAAACTTATTTCTATCTTTTACCATTTATACATTGTTTTAAATATTTGTTTCAATTTGTTACTCGGGATATCCACAAAATTCTTTTCAAGTCAGCGAAATACAATAACTAGCACATGATTAAACGATTCTATATCCTCCCATGCTCTGCACCTTCAAAGATCCAATGTTCTGTGATAGATATTTTAAAATTATTTACTCGAGTGCAGATATTCTTGTAATATACCACTGAAGCATAACATATAATTAACTTGATTGAAGACTTCCTTTAAATAAAGTTTTAGTTTATAATCACATGATACTTTTACTACCTTCTCTAAGTAGGAGATTTATTATCTATTTCAATATCATAATAAGTTTCAATAAAGAGTAATTAATAGGGGACTTTAAATAAGAGACCACATGAATTGTCTCCCACTCCATGCTTTGCTTGAAGAAGGTAGATATGGGTAACATGTCAGCTTGCCTACCAATCTTAAACTTCCTCACATTACACATTGGTTTTTAAATTATTTCTTCTAATTTATTTTTCTATTCTCCTTTCTTGTATTATTATTTTGGGTTTCGGATTGTGATCTCCACTTTCTTGTTTTAGGTTCGGTTCTCTTGATCTGGCCAGATTGTGTTGGGACTTAATTATCCAATGATTTCTATCTATTTATTTCCACCGCACTCTTTTTTAATAATATGCTTTTATTGATTACTATTTGTTGACAAAGCATAAATATCATTACTCGAATTTATACAATTGAAAAACACGTCATGGAATAAAAACTTCCATCATTTTAAATTTATAATCAATTAAAAAAAAATTCATCACGCGACACACTAAATTATCGTTAAATTTTCTGCTTTTCTCGTATTATCTTCCAAATTCTTTTTATAGGATTACCTAGAAAAAAACTGAAACTTGTTTTTTATTTATTAACACCACAGTGTTTTGTAACAATGATTTGACATTTATTTAATCAACTGAAACCGTAAAATGGCGGAATAGTTCAACTTTAAGTATTATTATTTATTATGTATAAATATTTGTGAATGGTCTGAAAATAGAAACGGGTGGGAGAAGAAGATTGATAATAATGGTGGTGGTGGAATATGATTCGTCAACCAAAAATAATATTGTTGAGGGACTTAACTAAGAAAGTCGACGTGGAACGTTTTATTGGTTTAGCCATATTTTTTTGGCACTTTCCAACCAAGTTAGGTTACCCATATTGTATAAATTAATACATAAGCGTGGCTGCGAAGGAGAAATGGAGAAAGTCACAATTCTGTTAAAATCGCTTTTACTAGTTAATTTGGTTTGCTTTGGTTTACTTTGGTTTGCAATTCTGTTAGTCATATATCAATATTTGGTTTTGTCTACACCATCTATTTTCTTTCACCCCTCTGTGAATTACATATGTGTTTTTTTTTTTTTTTTTTGTGCACCAAACTCTTTCATTCAAACTAGAAAGATACAAACGGATTAGGCTTATTCGGATAAACCTGAATAGCAAGCTTGGAAATTAAAAAACAAGAGCAGACATAAATAAAAGATAGAGACACAAGCTCATCGAAGCTTGATAGCGCACCAGGAGAAATGTCGAAACAAAATACATATGTGTTATTTTATATAATCACTTGTAAAATCATGATTCCTTATAAAATATGGTAGTGTGAAAAATCTTATCAACGTGTATATTGTTAGCCATTATGGTCACTTCAAACAGCTAGAATAGTCGAGGCTTCCTACATAATTAGAATTGCAGTTTCTTGAAATTTGCTTTTGATCATTTTGCTGGTGTCTTTTGACTAAAAAGATTGCAATCGCCATTACAAAAATCTTCCTGACTTTGTTTAAAGAGTCAATTTTGTCGTTTGGAACAAAAATAATTGAAACTTTAGAATATATATAGTTCTGAGAATGTTGAAGATATAGATATGTGATTCCAACTAACGAGAACTTTTAACCATTTGGACAAGCTGCAATTCATTTAAAGAAAGGGCTGAAAACAATTTCAATTGCATACAAATAATTAAATACGTATTATAAATTGTTAATTATAAAAATAATTTTGTTTCTCATAGTATTGGTCCCCGACGGCCAGACCAGTCTCCTAAGGGGAAAGGTGGGCAAACTCATGAACACGACGACACATGTATTTATTAACTACATGTATTATTTAACAATTACATAGTCCTAGTGTTGTATTTAAAATGCTAGGTGTCAACATTGGAAAAATCATGACTCATGATTAAATCATATTGTTTCAACAAAGACCCAATATCTAAAATTTTCAAAGCAAGAACGAGAAGACAAATTAGTAATGGTATTGACCCGATAATTTAATTTAGTCATTGAGGCGATCTTCCTGTAACTAGACGTCGTCATGATTATTTTTGTTTCTGTCTTATTTATTGTTATCGAATTTAAAATATTATTTCATTTTGTTTTATGGAGCGTGTGTTGCTATGACGCATGATCATATCAAAATAATCACATTACATGACAAAAATATAGAACGTGGAAAAGAGGTCAGATTCAAAGACCAGATTTTACTAGGATCTTCTAAGTACGAAAGATAACGATGATGAATAAGCTTCGTACGATTACTAGAATCGTTTCTAAAATTAAACGACTTCTTACAGAAAAATGTTGTTTTATATTTTTTTGTTTTGTTTTTTTTTTATCAACAGGGTATCATATTTTTAATATAAAACATGGTAGTATATCAATATACCAATAATTTTCATACTGTTTGTTACTATATCATAATAAGTTATCATTTAAATAGTCATATTTTTTTTTTGAAAAGTCAGTTTAAATTTGTAAAACGTTGAATTTTGTGATATGAAGTATTTCCACCAAAATATTAATTTTGAGGTTAATAAGATACTGAGATTTGTGAAATGGTTAGAACAATTTTATTTTCTTTTAATCGAGACAAATTATATATGTTTGTAAAACTGTCGCACATATATTATTATACATGTTAGCTGAGTATGCAAAGTGATCGATGAAATGTTATATATACACTAATACACATATATAATATATATATATATATATATATATATATATATATGTCGGCATTAAGTCATTAGTTACACGATTTAAAAATAATGACAGGAATATCGATAAACATTGACTTCTGAAAAATGGTGGGGGAAATTAAACCAATAAAAAGTGTGTGAAAAAGAAGGGAAGAATAAAGACAAAAGGTAAAAAGATGTCATATTATAAAATAAAGAATTGATACATCCGAAAATAATAATTTAAATAACGGTGTGACCCCAATTCGTAAGACCTTTTTAGATGGTTTAGATGATTGGAAGACAATTTAAAAATTAGGTTTAGACTAATCAAACCCAAACGATAAAAACAAAACAAACCTCATCCACAACCACAACAATAAGAAATTTTTTAATGAAACTTAAATACGTTTGTTGATAAAGTCCATTAATTGGTGCGGTGAACAAAAAAGTATTAATAAGAAAATTGGAATATAGATGAAGGAAAAAAGATTAGAGGAAGAAAAAAGATAATAAAAAGAGAGAAATTAAAGTGGTGGTTCTCATGTCATCAACACTTAGACCATCTGCATTGGGGGATCACCCCCCCTGATCTAAGTATTATTTAAATCCAAAAAAATGGGTTAGTGGGCTTAAGATCAGGAACTGGGCTCTTGACCTGGATCTGTTCTTGTGGGTGTTGCGGGGTGACGTGGCATTTGGGCATTGGTTGGAATATTCAACATATTTGGAATAAATTTGGATAATAAACTATGTATTAATTAGATAAAATGTTTTTGTGCTTTTATTAAGTAATATGTTTGTTTGTTTATTGTTATTTATATTTTTAATGTTTTTTTCATAAATATTTAGTATTGTATTTTCACTTTTATTTTCAGTTTTTCATAAATTTGGCATTTGCAATTTATATGTTATTTTTAAATGTTTTAATAATTGTAAAATCTTAATTTAATTTAGATTATTATATTATTAAGTCTTAAGATCTTACACATGTTCTCCCACTAATCAACTTTTAAACAAAAGATCTAAACACATGATCTTACATTATTTTAACATTATATTCTCTATAAGAACACCCTCACATGATCCCCCATTGATGATGCCCTTATGCGATCTCTCACAGACTTATCCACACGACACAGAAAGAGAGAGAGAGAGAGCCAATTACGAAACTTGGAAACAGTATCATTCTGTTAGGTCCGACACGTGTCAGCTCCAGACATGTAGGTCCCTTCAATGATTTGGTATGATAGAGAGTATCTAATTCCGATTCAGCCCCCACATTACGGCCGTATTATTATTATTATTTTGTTCGGTTACTTTTATAAAATAGTATAGCTAAGGAGGAAAGTTAAGCATGATGCGAATTAAAAATTAACTTAGTTATGGTTTGTTGATCCGGTTTAATGTAGTATATACTTATATACTACAAAATATCAATTATTATGTTATGGTTTGTGTTTTGTTCATTTGTTTTAGTAATGTTTAAGATTTTGCAGAACCATTTGGTTAATATATACTCCAAGTTAAGTATTAAAAAAGAAAAAATCAGGAAACCAAGTTGTTGTCGTATTATAAGTATTATTTGGTATAAAAGCGTGGAAAACATGTCCTGAGTTTCTGACTTGGTTAAGCAGATAAGAAAACTAGTGGGAGGTTTTATCAAAAAGAAAAAATATTTTTGAATTTTGGAAAATAATTATGTATAGTAAAAGAGGGACTAAGTTGGATGAATGATAGAAGGATTGTCTGATCCTTTTCTTTGTCATATCTCCGGTTCTACGGCCAACCAGACATGTTGCTTTTCATGTCTTTTATTTTGTTCCTTTTTGTATTTTTAAAAAATATAACTTTGCATAAGTCAAATCATGGATGATGCATCTTTATTTGTTATAATCCCATTTCAAATATCCACTCAATTTCGGGTAATAATAATGACACGAAAAAAGAGCCGTCTGTTACCACTTTAAATTTTAGCAAAGCCACCAAATTGACGGCCTAGTTTTATCCTAAGTTAAATCAGAATATATACTTGAATTATATGCCGAAATTATTGGAATTGGGGGTGGATTTTCCTTTTTCAAATGATTTTTGCAGAATGTCAAAAAGAATATTACATTGTTATCATACATATAAAGAAGATTATCGTCGAACGAAATTTATTCTAACTGTATATCATGTCTTAAGCGTGTGCTAATTAAAGGCTATCATATTCATATTATATTCGTGATGTTATTTATATCATAGTTTGCACGCTTAATGAACTTTATTTTTTTTTGGTAAGCCGCTTAATGAACTTTATAAACCACACAAAAACTCTCTTTTATTTTGTTTTATTTTTCTTTTTGATTTAAACAAGGCATCTAAAACAGATGATATTTTTTCTTTTATTGAGGAATTATCAACTATTCGCAGGTAATAAATTCAAAAGCACGTAACGAATATTACCCTCAAATGTATACAGGCGCGAATAATTGAACCATATTGGGGAAAAGGAAGAGCATTTGATTATTTAAATAAATAATCATATTAATTCATAGGATAAAAAAAAAAAAAAAAAAAAAAAAAAAAAAAAAAAAAATCATAGGATAAAAAACTGCATGATTAATAGGAATATATAATTAAATATTCTTCCAATCACGTCGAGATCTTGACTTTCTAAAGAGGCGAATCATTGAGCCTTTGACAACAAAAGTCTACTCTTAAGAATATATATCATTAACTATTATGAATTAATCAGGGTAAGTAAAAAATAAATTATAAGTTCTGGCCTCTGGGGTCGTATCATATGCAAAAATAGATGGTCGAAATTAGAGAATACCAAAAGAATTGGTGTGCATATTAAAAAAAAAAACATACGAAACTAAGCACGAAAATATTTTGAAACTGTCGAGGTTTTAATACATGAACATTTAGGGAAAAGAGTGAGTCACCGTAGTGGATTAGTGACTATGGTGGACTAGGACTTGTAAACGCAAGCCATGATGCAATATTTGTCTACCAAATATGTATATATAGTTTAATACGTATGTGTATAAGTGTGTGTGGTTGTGAAAAGAAACTAAAAAGCGAGGACAAAGAAACGATGACCTTTCTTTTCGCTTTCGAGTCGGCCAAATAAAGTCGGTGTGTCTCTTCGTGTCTTCGTCCTTCTAATAGTCTATTATCATCATTGTGAGAGGTCTTACCAATTTAGTTAGGTATATCACAAATTTTGTTTGTCAAGTCTTATATATAGGTCCCCTTATATATAATGATTAATCAACTTTCCTTTTTGCTCATGAAAAGTTTTATTTTAATGTTTTAGTTAGTTCGACGTAAAAGTATTATAACTAATTTAAGGTATATATAAAGTATTTGTTTTTCAGAAATAATTTTCATATGATTTTTAAGATAAATAGTCGTATTCAAATTATTGTTGTATGTACCAGAATTTGTTTTGTTTGTTTGATACGTGGTTATAGTTAGATTAAGCTGCGTTTATGCGATTATCAAAATGTTAATGAAATTGAAAAGTGAAACAAAGACAAAAGCCCATCAGGTAAAGCAATATATGATGATTATGAAGTATGAACTACGAAGGATCGCACGTAATAGGAGATGACAAAATTGCCCCCAATTTGAGCAGGGACCATACTTAAGAAACACATAGTGCAGTTTTGTCTTTTCGCAACGAAAGATCTTGAAGATATCTGGGTCCTGACTCGTGACGTTGATTTTCTCATCGATTGTCTTTTGGTAAACGATCTTCTGTTGAAATAACCGTCACTATCATATTTTTATTGCAATGTTTTATATTCTATGCTATTGAAATATGTACCTTTTTTTCCTTGCGGCATTTCTTCACTAAAAGTAAATATCAACGATTTTTAATCATATACGTTTTTTAAAATCTTGGTTGAGAAATGTTTTTTACAGTTTAAATGTGGGCCACATACCCGCAACTCGTAGGGTTTTAACAGAAAAAGGTAAAAAAAACTGAAATTACTTTACTTACTTAAGGCCGCATTATGAGGCCCATGGGTATAAGTACAGCCCAAGTATAGAATAAATAAAATTTGATCCCATTAGAGAATTACCCATTAAATAAGATGTCAAAAATTGTCGGAAGTAAAAAATTTGGTCCACATTTAATAGCCCACAGTTTGAAAGGTTCACGTTCGAACCACATAATAGCCCACAATCTTTCAAGCCGTTGAAAATGGGCCTCGTACTGTACAAATTAAGACTCGTGACCCATGAACTAGTGGGCCTTTACATATTCAAAATCAGGTGAAGACGTCTTTTTGACTCTTACCGTTTTAGCTTTTGATAATTTAGAGTAAATTATTTAAATGCGCTGAGTCCATCTATGATTGAGATCCTGTAAAACAAATTATGTATTTTTAAGAATCGGATTTCTGCCCTGTACTCTTTTCTTAGCAAATCCTTATTTGTTATCATGTCATCAACAATATATGGCACATTTGGTTGGGCTTATGGCCCATTAGGGTTGCCTATGAGTTTCTCTGCTAGATGGGCTGGGTTCCCATTTATGGGCTGGGCATGGGCATTTTTAGTTTTAATTTCTGTTATTTAAATTATGTTTCCATTTTGTAAAGGCTAAGGCTACCGCCGAATATGTTGTGTCGACCTAATCCTACAAAGTCAAGAAAAATGAAAATTCTTTCACAAATAATAATGACATATCTTTTGTTCCTGTTTAGGTTACACAGAGAAAAATACCATTCACTATTTTATCTTTCAAACTTTGGGAAAACTCAAGTTTGTTTCTTTCAATTTTCTCCTAATAACTAGTAGGGTATTAACTAAAATCAATTTCAGAATTTTATAATTAAATATTTTTCAAGTACGAGAAGTAATTATATATCCAATTAATCAAGTCTCGATTTCCTTTCAGAAGAAAAATCAAAGACCAATCTTTATCAATCTTTAATTCTATAAATAAAAGTAAAGATTTGGTCTCAAAGACCTTATCCAAGCATTGGCCCGTGGACTAGTAAGAAAAACTTTAAATAATGAAGTCAAGAATTCAAAAGTTTAACCTGATTGATTTGTCTTATTCATTTCCTAATCTTGAGAGTAGACATAATCAAATAGATAATAATCTCGTTTTTTGGCTTCAAAAGATCAATTTTATTGCAATTAGAAAATTTGTTTACGATTTAACAGTCACTGAAAGAATATAGTTTTAGATGTATGAGAGTGCTTAAGATAAACTATATTTGATTTTAGAACGCTCTTTCTTGGGGTTTAAGTTTAATAAATAACTCAAACAATACTTACTGACGTTAAAATATTTGTACTCGTCGTACCGAGAAGACCGAGTCCTCGTTAGCGCGTTAGAAAAGTTATTTTTATAAATTTTGGTTTTTCTATTTGCTCGTACTTTATCTTGTAAGTTGTAACCAATTACTTTTTGTAAACTGGAATATAATAGAAGAAAGAATGTAAATTTCTTTTTATTTACAATTTTCCAGGACTAATTCTCTCGGTCTCAGGTCAAGTCAGCCATTTGCTTTTCCATCTAGAAGATTATGATGGTCCTGGTTTAAATATAATCCATAATTACCTTAAGAAACATAATCCAAACAGATGAAACATTTTACTACATGAACCGGAATCAAAAGAAAAACAGTTGCTAACCAATGCAATCAAATTGTGAATCCTAAATCTCAACAAAAGCTCGTTTAATACTGGATCAGGCATCTTTATTATAAACATCGAAACTATTATAAATATTTAAAAAAGAGAAAATCATTATAGTTATCAATTCATTATACTAGTTGTACATATAACTGAAGGTTAGAGGTGCATGGTGGATTACAATACAAAGATTCAAATTGAAATATGTTATCACATAAGCTGGACCACACGGAAAAATAACAAATCCCATTTGTTGGCTCTTTACTATATTTCCTCTCGTTTCAGTCTTGAAATATTTGTAACATATTATTACTTTCATAAAGTTTGCTTACTTTAATGTATTTCTTAGTCATATTTACAATTATTTGAATGTTAGGAGACCGATTCTTCTCTTGATATCATGCCTTTTTCTCACCTTATACATACATATACAGACAGAAACCCATTTGTCATCATTCTTCATAAAGCTAAGTTTGCTCATATATATACACATATAGTAGAGAGACTATAGAAGATAAATACCTAGAGAACAAGATTGAGAGGAAGGGAAATAAACAATTTATCCAAAAATCTAAGTGAAAGAAAAAAAAAATGGGAAGAGCACCGTGCTGCGACAAGACGGCTGTGAAGAAAGGGCCATGGTCGACGGAGGAAGACGCGGTGCTTAAGTCTTTCATCGAAAAAAACGGCACCGGCAACAACTGGATTTCCCTCCCTCAGAGAATTGGTATATATATATATGTATTTATAGAAATTCATTTTTTTGTTTGATTTCATATACTCTATAGTTGTGAGTTGTGACATGTAATACTAACAGTTTTACATTTTGATAAAAGGGATTAAGAGATGCGGGAAGAGTTGTCGTTTGAGATGGCTTAATTACTTGAGGCCTAACTTAAAGCATGGAGGCTTCACCGATGAAGAAGATTACATCATTTGTAGCCTTTACATTACTATTGGAAGCAGGTTTGTTATCAAGCTAGATCTCTTATTCCTATATAGTATAAATGTGATTTTGTTTACATGCACGCTGCATCAATAGTTGGTGTATATTTATTATAATTTTGTTGATGAAGGTGGTCTATCATTGCTTCACAATTACCGGGAAGAACAGATAACGACATCAAAAACTATTGGAACACGAGGCTGAAGAAGAAGCTAATGAGCAAGCAAGGGAAGGCATTTCATCAACAACTTAATGTCAAATTCGAGCGTGGAACAACATCATCATCATCGACTCAGAACCAGATCCAAATGTTTCATGATGAGAACACCAAATCAAACCAAACATTATATAATCAAGTGGTGGATCCATCAATAACATCCTTCCCCATAGAAGAACAAAGCATGATCAAGAATCCGATGTTGGAACCATTTTATTGGGAACCAAACAAGGTTTTGTTTGATCTTGATCATGATGCAGGTGCTTCGTCTTATCATCATCATTCATCCCCATCATTGAACTCGATGAGCAGTAGTAGTAGTATTGGTACTAATTCATCTCTACAAATGTCTTACTACACCTCCAATCACAATGATCATGGTGATCAACAAGATATGTTCTTTATGGCCGGTTTTGAGAATTTCCAGGCCGAGCTATTTGATGAGATAGCCAACAACAACACGGGAGAAATCGGGTTTCATGGAACCGAGATACCGAACAACAACTACTTGGATCACGATATTAGCTCCTTCATTGATTATCCTCTATACGATAATGAGTAGATGATGAATTAATTAAATCTTTATTTGATACAGATATGATATGCCAATGTACTTAGGTTAAATCATGTGTTTTTAATTTGTGTGTGTTATCTCTTAGAATGTTGAAGGCGTGAAAGAACCAAAACCCTAGAAGTGTATTACATAAAGATTTTTGCTTTTTGCAATATGAATAAATGATGATATCGTTTTGTTATACTATTCTTTATTTTAATGTTTAATTCACTTATCATTGGTAATTTATTTATGCAAAGAAAGTGCCTTTATGCTCTCGTGAGTCGTGAATAAAGAGCTCAAGGTGATGCTGAAAGAATGGAATCCTAAGACTTGATGTTTTCTACAATACCACGAAAGTGTGGGAGTTTAGCTTTTCAAACTCTAGGTTTTTTTTTTTGGTAAACATGTGAAGATACGAATTCTAGGTTTTGTTCGGCTTCTTTAAATTTTTGGTTTTGTTAATTTTAAATAGTTTGGATTTTGGGTGTTATCAAATTGAGTTTTGTAGCGTAAATCATGGGTGGTTACACAACTTGTAAAACTACATAAATGCAGTAACCTAAACATTTACTGACATAAACAAACTGAAATACAGAAATTTTCTGCATTTCAACTTTTGAGATTATACTATTGCAGAGATTAACTTTCTATTTTGTTAAGTAAGCCTATTTTTCTTCATTCCGTATGTTTCAAGTAAAATTCTACAAAATTTCAGTAAGCCTATCTGAGTTTTTTTCCCATTGCGTAAATTATGTCGTTCAATTTTCTTTCTTTATAAGGATCATAAATGTTTCTACAAAGATGTTCATCATTAGTCTAGTATCATAGACGACATACATAAAATAATACTATGATAACTTTTATAATAACTACATGGATCAAAATATTTGGCGTTCTTTTGTTAAGAATCAATAACAATCATACATTCATAACTCTCTTTTTTTTTTCTGGACTCCAATCATAATACTATTTTAACTCCCTAAAAATCATAATCTTATTATTTTGCATATGTAGTAGTGAGTAGGAAACCATTAGAAATCATCAACACCATAAAGTCAAAAAGCAGTTGACCACAAACGAATGAAGGAGACTTTGATAAATCTGTTTGTCAAAACAATAGTGTGATATTATATATCCCCAAAGTCAACACTGTTTTCAACTTTATTTTGGGAGTCGTTGGATCTAACAATAAAATATATAAATTTTAAAACATTTCATATGAACGCTAGCTCGTCATATTGTAACCAAAGTCAAATCCTTATCGCTAGAAATTATTTGTTAAATGTTTCTTTGTAAATCTTTGATTTCTCCAGGTCCTTAATTACTGTCGTTACGCCTACTCATATTATGATTTTTGTCGGTAACAGAATTAGTATGTAGCATGTGGTTAATATTAAGGTGATATACGGAAATAATAATATTTGGGATAAAGAATTTTTTTATTTATTTATAGTTACAAATAGATTAACGCAAGTAAATTTCGACTTACGATAATTAAAAAAACTCGATTTGAGCTAATAGTTTTTAATTTGGACCAAAGACCAAAACAAAGATTATTATCACGTGGTCTTTTTCTTAAATGTAATGTTTGATGGAATTCGTACCGGTTTATAACGATTTATAAATAGTAATTACGAATTTAATTGGACATTCCCAACAATGTTTTCCTCTATATATACTTCCTCTCCATATATCGATCGTTTTATTACAAGAGTACACATAAATTGCCATGAAATATACGTGTAGTATAAGTGTATGAAGTGTGAACAGTGCTGATGCAATGTTTGAAATGTGACATATGCCCAACAAATCAACTACAATTTTCGCACAAATTTGCTTTTTTTCGACAAAGAAGACAAATAAAAATATCACATGTTTCTGGTTTTTGGTTTCGTCTACTACTTTCCACATATAGCAACTTCCGCATCGACTTGGTCACACCCACAAATATTGACGTGTATATAACCATTGAAAGTTTTTGAATTATGATTTATCTTATGGTTTGACCAGAAAATAAAAAGTTATCTTATGATGGGTAAGGCCTTAGTCTCTGACAAAAAAAGTTTTTAATGTCTCAAGCCCAACAGTAAAAGTATACCACTTCAATCGCCCTCATTCTTCGTGGGTTTTTATAGTCTGGGCTTTATTTCATGGGCTTTTAGGTCTTATTACTCTCTCAATGGCCCAGCTTTCTTTGTCTTTGATTTTATCTTTTACTATTTATAATTTTTTGTTTAGGTTTTATAATTTCATCATTTCACTAGGCAGTACTAGTAGGCACTTAGCATACCAAAATCAAAATGTATAGGTGTTACGTCCTCTGATAAAATCAACTGAAAATACTATTTTTTTGGGCCACGTATGGCAAAATATCAGATGTTGAAAACGGGAAAAAAAAAAACATGTTAAGATTATAATAATAATAAGGAAAAATACGTGAAAATCCTAAAAGAATGATCACCAAGAAAGAAGATCGAATCTTTATTTGAAAAGACGAATAAAGGTAAACTTTTGTGTTGGAGAAAGCTTGTGCAAAGACATGAATTGCTTTCGGCCTTTTGTTTTTTTTTTTAAATTATAAATAACTTTGAATGTTGAAAAAAAACAAATTTGAATCCTCATGCTCATGCCATGCCAACATTTTATGGAACAAATGATATACTTATTGAATCCATCCCTTATTGCAACATATAATTTCAACTTACGACAATAATACAATATATGCGAGATTAAATTGGATCGGGCACATACAATGTAGTAAATTAACTTCGGTATATCAACAGATTTTACATTTATTATTGGACATCAAACCCAAATGTTGTATTAATATAATGTAATGTCGAATACAAAATTACTTAAAATGTTGAAAATGTTGAGAAAATCCCTAAACCAAACAAAGTTTAAAGCTCTTTGAAAAACATAGTGTCATTGTCTTCAAAGTTCCAAACATCGAAACATATACTATTCCACGAAGAAAACAATGCCACTAGTCTCCAACACGAAAATGTGACAATGAAATTTGTTGTCTGCTTAATGTTCTTTACGTACTCCAAATAAACAAAAATGTATTTAGATTTCGTTATACAACCTACTACTGTTCCGATACTAGCTAGAAGACTAAATGCACAGTCTTGTTGTTATCATATTTTATATATTCCATGCTTTTGAATCTAAAATTTTTGAAAGGTTAGAGACATAACCTTTTTTTGCTTTTAGATAAGAAATAACGCATAATTGTGTGATTGCATAATCATAAAATATTTTTTATCGTATCATTATGAATTATTAAAAACTGCAAAAACAAAATACGGATAACCAATGAATATTCCACATGACATATTTGAAGAGTTGTAGGGTAAAAATACTGTTACGACTTACAAGTGGCAGTGAAGCAACGTGGTAGCAAACGAGGCCCATGGTCATGTGGCCCCCGGATGCGTAGATCAACACGAACATAACATAGCACCACCAATGAAAAATATACAAATATATATTATATATACAAGGTTGGTCGAATATATATAATTTATGGTAGAATATATTTGTCGAATGACCAATCAGAAACTATTAGCAGATGTTCTCTGTTTTCTTTTGCCATGTGAAACCCACATGACACTTTGACATTTGACAACTACTCCCATAGTCCCATGACATCCATCCTTATTAATTTCTTTTCTTTTCCCTTTGTACATCATATGCGGTTAGTCCATAACGGTTATATAAATTACACAGAATTAATAACAAAAAAAAAACTAATCTTTATAATATATTTGTAAGAATTTGTAGTACCATTTATTTCGCGTACAGTGTATATACATGCGTTAAGGCTTGAGATCAACGAAATATGATATCATCAAATTTTTTTTTTTTTTTTTCTTTACCGGACAGCTGATAGGGTTTATAAAAAAAAAAAAAAACTAATGATAAAACAAAAAAGTTGAATTGTTAGATAAGAAAGAATGTTCTAAGATAAGTGAGGTCGTTGTTCTGATTTACAATATTCCTTTAATAATTTAGAAAATACTTAAGATAAAAGTTATATTAAAACATTGAATATAATGATGATTCAATATACAAATGTATAATCACCATTTGAAAATTGAGATGTTGCACACATTTAAATGTCCACGAATCATTTCTAAGTTTTTCACCCTAGAAAAATGGTAAGTTTTAGTCTTTTACATACCAGTATATTAATTCCTACTCTAGCTAAATACATGTACACACGACACATGTAAAATACACAATAATGTCGCTAAAATAATTAAATAACATTATTCACTTATTTGAAAAATAAGACTCTAACGTCAGTGGCAGATATTTAGTTTCTGATTAGAGAAAGTAGTTAGTTGAGATTGTCTTATTTGTGCCACCAAACATTTTACTGTAATCGCGCCTTTTACACCCTTAAGTTAACCAGCTAATGTATTTATTAACTTTAGAGATTCTAAAATAAAAAAATGTGAATGTTCTAGTTTGGATTACTTCCAAATAATACTTCCTCTCCTAAAATTGCATTTTTGATAATATATGGTCACAATTAGTTCATCATTCTTAATTTCTTTTTGAATCGACAATTTATCATTGAATTTAATTATTTCGAATTTACACGAATGGCCACGTCTATGTAGGTATGTCTACGTGGCTGTGAGTGTATATTTTGGGTTCATCTTTTGACTTCAATGGTAGTTTTCGTTGACTTACAAGTCATTTAAACGAAATCGATCACTTCGAAACCAATTAAAGCAATTAAAGAATCACTATTAAATGCACCAATTTATCTCTTTTGTCAACTAGAGTAATAAAGGAATTCCCCTAGTTGTTCAAAAGGATTAACAAATGTGAACATAGTCTACTATAGTGCTATGAGGTAGGTTCTAATTAATTACTTAATAATTAATGAGCGGATTTATTGGCCGGACCCAAATTACGGCTTTTCAACCAGAAATGTCGCCGGCAAATCACACGTAGCACTTTTTTAACGTAAATTTGAAACAAAGATATTGACAATAGTATTGTTTTTGAAATATCATTAGAAAGTGACAGTAAATTATAGTACATAAGAAAAGCCACACTGCATTATCCATTTCACGTACGGAATGAGTGAACTTTCTTCCTAAAAACTATACCAAAATATCAAAAGCTGATATTAAAAAGAAAAAAAAATTGCTGAACAATCACTCATAAATAATGA